ATTTATCCAGAAGGAAAACAGGGTAAAATTACACATGTTCGAGTTTCCATCCAATTCCACTGTCATTATTGTCAAAGAAAATTATTTTGCGTAATATGAAAACCGTAGGGTTGAAATTGGATCGAAAGTTCACGGCTTTGAAAACAATCCTCCAGCAGAATCCAAATCCGATCCAGTGAACGAACATGCATCTCCGGAGCGAGAGATCCCACTGCCAACCAACGAAGGCAATAGGTTGGATGTATTACCCATTATTATGCTGATTGTGTGTTATGCATGCGGTCAAAACAATGTTACTTATGAAGAACAACTCATATTTACATATGCAGTTTCATGTTCCAATTGTTAACCTCGTTAGAATTGGATTGAATGAACCTGGAACAATTTGCACATAGGATTTTCATATACATCTGTACTTACATATGTACGTGAACGCATAATAAGTACAGCGGTGTAGCTTAATCAACAACACTTTTTAAAAGCGTAAACAAAATTTAGAACAATAGGAGTACTGTGTTAGATATGTGTACAATTGCGACGAAAATATGTGCACTTGAGACGAGACCAAGCCAAAGAGGAAAGTTATATGCATGTCCACACATTAAAAACTGCATGCGTACCTAGATGCACGCAGTGGTGAAAGCAGAGAGTACTGACTGAGAGTGCTCCTCAGTATATGCACATAGATTGAGTTGGTTTGTTAGTTGGGTTCATTATTGGACGTGTAGGTTGGGAATGGATGGCTGGCTTGATCCTTTTGATCCGACCAAAAATAAGTTTGAAATTAAAACTATGGAGGGGAAAACTCTGTTAATCTCCACTAATTAAAGAGTTGGATGTATCTCTCGCAAGGAGGAGACGGAGGGGTAGTCGTAAGTGTCTCCTCTTCACTTAATCCACACCACCACCGGGACGATAAGGCTTTCTCTCTCATTTTACTCACTCAAAACTCACTGCATTTTATCATTATTCTGATTATGAAGATTAGTACCCGGCACATGATGCAGGCAGATCTCTTCGCAACCCTCTCCTTCCTCCTCTCCTCTCATTACTCCCAAATAAATATATGCAGGGCTACACAATGGGTACACATCTACACATCTACACGACTATTACTATACCTCTCCGTCTACTGCTTCGTTAGCCAACATTTTAATTCCCTTTTATTCCTTCCAGCACAAGTGAATATCATTCCTCATCGCCTTGAGTTGGCAGTTATTCTCATGAACTGAATTAAACTGAATTCGATTAGTTTAACAGGAGTAGAAGGGATTTTAAAGATTCGTCATCGATTCCATCATTAATTATTTGAAGAGTACGGAGTTACCACTCAAGAAAATAAGTAAGTATAATTATTAGATGCAGAAATGTACATGTCACATGTTAAAGTATTGTCTGAATGCTGAGTGGAAATTTTCAAAATTAATGATGATATAAAGATAACAAAGAGTAGCGTCGTTCATCCCTCTCAATTCCAATGCCTTATTTCACTCGTAACAAATATTACGTAAACCAATTAGTCATCTCCTAACATGCTTATCCATTGCACAGAAGATGTTGCTTCATCTCGAGTGTTGTTGGTTCATCTTTCTACCTAGAGAGCGAGGATGATATTTATTGCATTCGTCTTATGTAAATCTGACAAGGCTGTCCCCTGCTAATATCAAGGATAAATAAATATATCGTTGAAGGATAATAAGTCCTGAAATGAGATTTGCTCATGAAACTTAAAAGGATTTTCTTCAAAAAGTTTCCAATGTTAGAGATTATTAAGTTTCCCTTGGTACTTAAACCCTCCAACCTACTGACTTCTCTTCACTCTTAATAAATATATGTATTTCACTCGCATTGCGCGATCCTACTTTCAGAAGAATCCTCTTCAATTCTATTTATTGCTGTCTCAATCTGCTCAACCACCTTACAGTTTTTTTGTCATCTACGTATGCATTTCGTCGCTTCGTGTCAAACTCTTGTTGTTGATTTGTATTCGAAAAGTCGGCAACATGCTCAACTAATCTCGCTAATACATACGTAAGGCATATTTTTAGTAAAAAATATTATTTCAGTGCCATTATTATTTATTGTTTTTGCTCAACCTGTCTTCGTTGACCAATGCCGCTATGCGTATGTAAATAATTTTGCTATTCTAAATAAAACATGTGGAGGTGAATCTTGTTAAAGCAAGCGTTTGTTATGCACTTCCGGAATGCATATTTATTGGCAGAATATTATCCTACATAAGTTCTACTTTGGGGTTTGTGTAATCTCTTTGCCATGTACATACGCAAGTGAACGGATTAAAAAACGGATTTAATCCATGTCGGTCTGTACTGAATGAAACGGTGAGCATAAGAAATTCCGATCTAAATAAAATACATATTTTTGTGTGCACATCATGCAACGACGTTAGGTATATACTGATGTTTAGGAAGGATATAAACCCACGTTTGAGTGGAGGCATAAAAGTACACAATATAATGTCAAATATGGATTTGGCTATAAATTCTTTGTATGAAGCATGCTCCAGTGTGTGTGTATGCATACGTGTGTGTATGTATATACTTGCCTACTAATCCCCTTCATAGATAAATAAATATAACATCCACCATCAAAATAGTCGAGCCAACGGATTAAGTATAAATTCATTGGTCGTTAGCTTATTTCTCAGCAATCTTCACTCGACTCAAATCCACATCACTTAAATTGCATCTCCATTTCCATTTATTTCCATTCTCAATCTAAAATTCGTACCCTGACATGCAGCACAGGATTCACAGCCCTGCGGAACTGGTGGAGTTGGAATATCTATCTCGGTATCTGTATATTTGTTATTACGCGGTGTATGCACGAGGATAAGATTCGCTTGGTCTCTGGATAGAGTTGAGCTGGACAAACCACACTCGAAAAAGTTGGAACGACGAGTGGCCAAGTATTGCTAATCCTCTTTTCCTCTCTTTTTGGTTTATATCCACAATAAATCGTCATCATCGTCTAACGTAAACTTGCCTAATCCGACTGCGGAGATGTGGTTAACTTATTATTAGCATTAGGATTTTTCATAAGCCTCCATCCATCTTAGCGGTTGACAGTGCTACAAGGGACGAGGATGACGACGAGCAAAGCAACTTATATAAAACTCCTCTTCTTCTATCTTTTAGAATTTCTCCAACTCGATTGCTGCGTACATCTTGCACTCCACTCACTTACCAACCGAGGTCGTAATGCACGTTGGATTTGGGTTGGACTTGGATTGGGAAATTTTACAGCTCAAGCCGAGAGAAAAATAAATCCTTAATCAAATAAAATTTTTGAACGAGCATTCAGCCGTGGTGATGGTGACACTGTCTCCCTCGATCCAATGCTTACGTACGTACATACATACGTCTACCTCTATCTCATACGATAGATTTCCAGAATTTTAGTGGTGTTGGTATTGGTTAAGAGCAGATACACAGAGAAAATCCCTTCCTAAATCTTGGATACTTATCCACCAAACCACACCAATCATCCACCACACCACCAAACTCACCACACACATTTCTTATTTGAGTAAGGTTTCAAAAGAAAATTTACAAGGTTTCCTGATCAATTTCTGACGAAAGTCCAGATATAGCACCACTACCACCACTACTACTTCTTTGGTAGCTGTGCGTCATAAGACACGACGACGGAACCGATTTTCTCCATCCATTCATCCCGTCCTTCATTCATCTCCGTGGTGAGAAAGACTACTACGCTTTATTCTATCTCTTCATCAGGCGGAGAGGAGAGATCCATTATTTTCATATCTCACCAATCTCCCTTTCATTGCTCTGCAAATCTGAACCATAATGTACTTACTTCCTCTCTCGTGATAATCTGTAATCCCTCCACAGTTTAATGGTTAATCGAGACCAATATCGCGTATATGCACCATTGCGTGCGTGCATGCATACGAAGAATATCTATCATGTGGATGGTGTGATTTCAACAGTGGGCATATATTTATGATGATTTTATGAGTTGAGACGTCTGCATGAAGATGTATTTATTTAAGGGATTGAATTATTATTCTCTCAGCCCAAAGGATGAGGATAATTCAATGCTTTCAAACCCAGAACTCAATGATCTGAAGAGAATATCAAAATCAGTCACAAGAACGACAGGGGATCCGATTATGCTAGCTTAATTTTTCTGAAGCTTTGGCTATACAATTCTACTCTTATCCTGCTCCATATGTATCTAGCTAACGTGCTGTATCTCGCTCCCTGTAGTAGAAAAAATGTACGCCATGAATTGTGAACATAGTTGACTTGACTAATACACGTGCATTATGCTTGGAGAGCAACCCTAAATAATTTGTTGGACTTTTTTTCAAAAGTTTAAGCGTTTGGTCACTTGGTCGCATGATTTAATGGCGCATGATTTTGTGAACCTTTTGTTTGTGCACAAGAAATATAAAATGAGATCAAAGTGAATATTTGGAAATGAATTCGAAGGCAGAGATAACATTAATACTTAAGAGTCGTGAGTCGAGATTTGAGCCCGTTTAGCAAGGATTATGTATCCCTCAGCAGCAGCTTTACTCAACAATGACAACTTTACACTATTTCCACTACACTATGCAAACTCGAAAAGATTTTCTTTTTTCACCACTCATTTGCTTTGTAATACGCACGTTTGCTAATTTCGCATGCACATTTTCTATTCAGTTAGTTCAGTAGTTGAATAATAAGAAGTTATGCAAATAATAATTCCATCACGGATGAATGATAAAATGCGTCCTTTCTCAAGGATTCCATTCAAATTCAATGCTTGCTCAAGTTATGTAACTGTGTAAGAGCATAATCCAATGAAGGAAGACAAAATGTTGAATCAGATCAAGTTTTTTTCAATGATATGACATCACAACAACGTGGTGATCACCTATCCCTTGAAATTTTGTGCTTGAGATTTTCGGTCGAGTTTTGATGCTATACGAAGAAAAGAATGCAGATGCTGAATACATGAACGGGACTTACCCACGAGGACAGCGGCCGCTGCAGCAGCCGATGAGGAGGAGACTGACGCGGCCGAAGGGTGATGTCCACTTGAAGGAAGGAAGAGACCAGCGTGGTCAAACTCCGGAAGATGGTGAAGCCCTTGTGAGATTTTCCTGTTGGAGGAACCAGCCGAGTTGGCAGCGTGTCCCATTGTTCCGATCGTCGCTGGCTGTTGTTGTTGCTGCGAGGACGGTGGAGAAAATCCAGATTTGATCCTCTTGGAAGAGGGAGAAAGGTCCATACCACCTCCACCACCACCAAGCGGTAAAACTGCACTGAGTGGAGTGATGCTCCTCGGGTGGATTTTGGACGGATAATCTAATCCGCCGTTTTCAATGGGTTGATGCTGCTGCTGCTGTGCTGGGTAAAGCCCGGCTCCTTTCCCCTAGAAAAGGAAGCGAGAGGAGCATTAGAGAGAGAAAGTGAATGCCAACGTATCCCTTTCCTCCAACAAACTTGTTCCCGTCCACGTTCTGCTCCTCTCGGGGAGAAAGGAGGAAGGAAACAATCGAGCATTATCCCTCCACTCACACTCCTCCAGCTCGTGAGTGAGCGAGCACACAATTTTAGCACCACATACATCCAATTCACCGGCCAAAGTGTGTGGTTGTTGTTTGTTGTTGTGGATTGGATTGGATGAATGATCATTCCGGATTCTAAAGAGATTCCGGCCGGAGAGAGAGAGTGCATGGATTCGGATGGATAAAGGGAATGGAATGGATAAGGCATTTAATTATACATTACTCAGTCAGACATTACTTTCTATTCCTTTGACTGCATTAGTGCTTCACTTCAGCTCAATTTATGGCCGCACTATAAAACAACAGATTGTGCCGTCTTGGATGTGTGTATACGTATAAATGCTGGCACGGGGTATTGGATTCTGAAACACATTTTATAAATTATGAATCCCCAGCTACTGCTCTAGAGTAGTAAGTAGTACTTCATGAGCGGTTCACGAGAAAATCGGAAATTTGGATTATAATCCACATTCCTGTTACCCAGTGTATCTGTAAATGTATAGTTTGTGCGTTTACGTATGTCGCGACTACCTCCGGGTCCTGGCTACTTTTTAATTGAAGGGGAAAATACACCATGTCAGTCGCATCAACATTTGCAACTTGCAAATTGCAAGGTATCTCTCTCTCTCCCTCTCTTTAAAATAGAGAATTATTAATCTTCTTCGGAACAACGACAACAAGAACGACACGAAGCGCACCTTTATATAAATTCCAAGTTGGATATTTTCCACGACTTGACTTGGATCAGCTCAACATTATTCCAATCTAAATCCAAGCCAGGGTTGGGATTAATCTCTCTCAAAATCCGACGAAATTCATTCAGTCTGAGCTGTATTTTATTCATATGCATGGAATGCAAACTCCTCGCTCCTTGTTATTTGGATGTATTTAGTTAGCTTATGCTCCTGCTCGCTGCTGCTGCTGCTGCTTATTAGAAGCACACACAGTTCCCATTTTCCTACTTACTTTCTATCCAAGTATGAAATGAATAGATTAGTTTTGTGAGTAATGATTCTTCTCACTCATCCCACCATATACCAGTCCATTTGCTGCATGGGATGGGGTACGAACACCACACAAAGCATAATCCTTAAGCTCTCTAAATCCATCAATCCTCCCAACCAACAAACCTCTACCTATGCACCCAGCCAACTAAATTCCATACGATCGGGACATTCACATATGCAGGCGCTGTGGAAGAGAGGAGACAAATAAAATAATGCATCTTTCATTGTTTTGTCGTCCTAGTAGTGTGTGTTCGTTAGTGTGGTTTATTACATTGGCTCTCTTTCTGGCCAGCAGCCTTTCCCCTCTTATTTCCTTGTCTCTCTCCTCGTATGTTGAGGCCTAAACTCGGATTTGACGCAGCATTTTCCTTCTTCCAACAACGACGAGAACGAATTGTTCATAATCTCACAATCCATAATCCGTCCTTTCCAATTTTATCTTTACGTTTGGATGAGACGCAGTTCTCTTAATCCACAGCTCAACTAGACAGGAAAATTCATCAAATGGAGGAGGAATACGTTGGCCGTTTCTCTTTTGGGCACTGCCACGTGTATCCATTAAATACGTGCAAAGTCTCCTCACGAAACAAAAAGGATAATCCATCCGACCCTCCTTCTGAGTAAAAACTAGACTTAATCCCTTCAGATTCTGGGATCAGTGCTAATCCTTTTTCCCCTTGGCTAACTCTACTCATGGCTTAGCGAGTTTGTGGACGGCGCAGTAGTTGCCAATTGTGTAACGAGTTTAATATTACAGACGAGACGACTTTTAGAAATGATGATTACGCTATTGCAGCGCAGCCAGCCAGATGTATTATTTTATATGTTTTTGTATATTGCCCTATGTTCTACTGATGTTCCCTGTTACATAAGCACTACGACCAGCATTATATATGCTGTGCTCTGTAAATTACAAAATCCAAAAGTAAGTAACAAAGAACATCATTTGGAATCAGCGTTATCAAGCAAGAGAGTACAAAAAGTTGTACATGGCACAACTTTCTTGTGGCTGTCTCTGCACTGTTGCCTTATATTTGTAGTGGCTTAAACAAATATGTCACACTACTACATGACCATAATAACGTTCTTGTTGCCCAGCCTAAATATAAATATGTACGTACCCATAAAGCCTGATATAAATCCAAGGATTGTATTTAGTTTGAAAAAATCCGGAGATAAAACTGGGGATTAACATTTTCGACTAAGGATGTGAGTGATGTGTTCCTGTTCCCAAGATTAGGATTTGGTCCTTATATTAGCTCAGGATTCCTTTGAGACTTGCTTCATTCCCGTCGGCCCCACTCACTGCACACTGCACACTTATTCTCTCCAGCTTTAATTGCAAACGGAGCAAAATACACTTGGGCACAGAGATATACGGAGATATACAGAGATTCATCTTGTTGGTGGGGGTTTAAATTAGAGAAGCCTCTAGCAGTGTCACAGCACACTCCTCAATGTCGTCATACGAGGAAGCCCTTCTTGCTCAAATCGTTGGGGATTTTTGATTAAATGAAATGAATGGACCGTGAAGTGAATGGGATCACCATAACCCTTTTTCTTCCTTTCTCCACTACTCTGATCAATGGTTCAGCCAAAATAAGAGCCAGGAGAAGATATGGATCACTCTCCGACTCATCCTTGTCGTAATGAGGACATGAAATGAGAGAAAATGCGATTTTGTATGTGTGCATATGAGCATACGTGGGTGAGTGTCATGGGATTGTTGAAATGCTGTTCCTAATCAGTACGAGAAGAGATGACCCTTGGGGATAATTTGTTACTGATGAAGCCAAACCTGATTTGCTCGTCTCGTGTTTGTCAAATGTACAATTCGAAACTTATCCTTCACTTACCTTGTACAATAGTCTAATTACACTCATCCTGATCAAGAAGTATTATGTACACTAGTATACAACCGATAATAATTTTCACATTTTCAGTAAAAATAAATACAGTATTTTTATATATGCGATTTTGTGTGTGTCGTCGAAATCATAAACCAAACTCACAGGTTGACACTGCATGAACAACTGAATCAACTGGTGTAGCAGTTCCAAAGCTGGATAAGCAAAGCAATTACAAGGGGTACCGGTTGAGCAATGAGAATAATCTGTGATCTGATTACAGGAAAACACGATCCAAAAATTGCCTACAAAGTTTCACCGAGAGGTTAATCAGTGATCGGGAAATCTCAGTTAGCATGTAAATGTCGAGTGGGATATATTGGATATTGATTAGCAACGACGATGCGCAAAATTTGAGCAAATTAAGCTGGATAAATTTCAACATTCACAACTTGCAACGATAGATAGTGCACACGTGGATTGATAATCGATATTAGCACGAAACGTTTGAAACTTTGATTCTAGATTAATATTCATTTCCACGTATCTATATTTCCAGTAATATGCAATATATAATCATAAAATAGGTACTTATGGATTGTTACAAACAATAATTCATTCTTATGACAATTTCATCAGCTTTTGACAAAAATCTCGCACGTCGGGATAACATGTGCCACATTAATAATAGGTTCACATACGTAACAGCCTTATTTTATGCATTAGAAATGATTGAATAATTAATCTGAAATTGGGAAAGTTTGTGTACACGCTGATTTCATTTATGACTTTATCGTTTGTCGGCACCCAAATCAGAAGTCGGTGTGGCTTCTGAACTCTGTTAAATCGCTTGTAGTGTATGACCTTATCAATCACAAGTCAATCAATGATCAGCTCAGATCACTCAATTGATTCTATTTATGCGATTGGCTAGCAAAATTCCAGACAAAAGCTGAGAGCAAAAGGTTGTTCCCTTTGTCGTTTACATGCAGGTTGTCGATAATACGGGTACGATCCAAACAACAATCCCATCCGTGCTACCTACCTGCATGAATACGTAATATATCCCTGCACATTCCAGGATCACCTGAATTAGAGGTGGATGACAATTTCACCACACAGCGATATATATCTGCACATTGGTTTACGGCTATGTACATAAATATGTACATGCATACGTATAATGCATGTGTGAGTATAGCGGATTCCACATGCATACTAATTGATTTAGGTATGTATTCAAACTGAACCTCAAGCCAAAGCTAAACTTTGATTTGATTGATAAGGATTCGTGTTATTTTAATCAGAACTATTATATTGGTCTATTGTGCGACTTATTAAGTATGGTTTAAAATTAGGACATAACAAGGCCACTTGTAATAATGAGAAAATTGCTCAAATTAGAACACAATTAATAACACACACACATAAATACATTGATGGGCTGAAACTTGAAATGAAATTATGTGATTTATAATGAAAGTGAAAGTCTATGACATGTAATTAGGCAGTTATCCGTTGTGGGCTAATTATGTTGAATTATTTCTCAATAAAAAAACTAAAAAACTATTAAATTATTAAAACTAGTAACCATTAAATGCATAGCATCGTGTCTGCATGACAAGACGGCCAGGAGGCTTACCTTAATAAAAATATTTCCATAATATGCATCCACTCATTCCCAATCTCAGGTCTTCTTACAAGATCCCCTTTCAAAATTCAGACAAATCCAGGAATGATGATGACGAAAGGATTTGGTTTCAATGTACACGAGTAGTCAGTCAGATTGGGTTAAGAAGCTTAATTTTGAATTAATTACGATTGCTTTCTTAATAGAGCAATATGACCGAGTGTCTTGAGTTAAATAAATCCAATGTCAACTTCAGCCTTTAAGAAGGATCTACACGGTATACGTACGCACACACACTTTTATTAAGGGCAGCGTAGGGGGAGACGACAACCAATTCTTTTCTAATCAAATACAAATGCCTGCACCTTCACACTTTTTGCCATATCAGAAAAATGACTTAACTGCTTATCCCTTTCCAATTAATAATCTTTTGTGTGCGACTATCGTAGTCATCCACGGCGAAGCCTATGCAAATAATACTTATTGAGGTGACTCGGTGTGATAACTCTATGGGAAAGTTGAGAATGGAGTACAACCACTTACACATGTATAACCTACATAAGTACATGGTGCCGAGGTTGGTATTTTTGTGTGTGTGAGACAATCCCCTAAATCAAAAGTCAAAATTGATGATAATGACGGAGATAATAATTTTAATAATAATACTAAAGATTAAAGAAGCCCACAAGCCTTGAAGCCAGTGACAATATAATGTATGGGATGGATGCAGCATGGACATGAGCCCTAATCCTGTCAACCAACTGGGATGAGATCAGTCAGTGGATTCGCCTTTGTCACTTGACATAAAAGATTAATGATGCAAAGTGCTCATGGTTTGTTGCAAAAGTCAGATCACAAATACAAATATATGAATTACAAAGCAAATCCAAGTATGTAGCGAACGTGTAATTGCTGCTGTTGCCCGATGAGACAAGTTGGCAAAGCTCAGCACCAAGTAAAGCAGAACAGAACAGAACAGGGAAGAAGAGAACAATACGATTGATGAATATATCAGTTTTATTTGGTGAGGTGGATTTGGATTGGAAATTGATGTGACAGATGAGACAAGAGAGTGATAAGACGAACACAAGAGTCAGTTTTTTTATCTGGAGGCTAAACTTGTAAATTTTAATCTAATCCTGCATTCATTTCATCCCATATCTAATTGTCACCTAATTTTCTCTTGTGAGATTAGGATTTGGCTGGATTTCGTTGGGCATGACCACATAATATTAACCTGCACCTACATGCATACACCGAGAGGAGCCCACCACTCAACTGTCACATGAATCATGAATGCATAGAGAGAGAGAGAGATAGAGATAGAGAGAGAGAGGATCAGTAAATATTTAGGAACAAGTAAATCCCATCTGGATGTGCGTGTCCGATTCCTGCCATGAATCAATCAGCCTGATCAATCTTCATTTGTCAAGTTGAACCTTTGCTAAATATTTTAATCTGTTCTCCTCATAGGCTCATGTGGATTTCAATAAACTAAATCCAAGCAAGTAAGTAGGTCTCCATATTACGCGCAGTATTTGCCATGATGCTACTGAATTTTGCATACCAAATATTACAAACGCATAATATGTGTGTATGCATATGGGACACGACATTCTTGCCAATTCTGTGGTATTTACAAAGTAGTTTTGTGGGATAAAAATTTGATTTACCTCATTGCTACTGTCGCAGATTATGGTTTTATCCACTCATGGCAATAATTTAGAGTGCTAATTCTTACATTTCATATCAGAGTGAGTAATTCTCAAACGCACACGAATATTTATTTGATAAGTGATGTCAACTGCTAGAAATCGGGGTGACACATGTGTTTTTTGGGTATGCTGGTGTATGGGAATTACACAAAATAACAAGTTCAAACTTCAATTAATAATTGTTGGACTTGTATCGCTAATCAGTTGATTAGAGGAGTTGAAAGTATATCAAGTTTTATACGCATGCTTTTATGAAGTTGTCATCAAGTAATTGACATGGATTTAATGTGATAAGGTAATTATTCGATGATCATTGATTTAATTTATAGCCTGCATATTTTTATCAATATTTTTAGCCATAATATGTTACATTTCTCGTAATCGATTTCAACTTTAACAAGAAAATAATCTACAACTATAATTTTTTAAATAAATCAAGCTTACCAATTGCTGTTGGATGATTGACTCGGCTGCTTTGTTGAAGTCCAATGGCGACCCAGTTGTGGCCAGCGGGTTGACCACGGCTCCCGAAGAAAACTTTCCCGTGTTGGCTGCCACCCATGCTTCAGCAAATGTTTCCATTGCACCTAAAACATTTCAGGAGTGAATGCCAATCTGACAACATATGAAAATACACACTAGCGATGCGTCCAAGTAGAACAATACATGCAACATAACCAATGTATTTAAAAAGTTGCTTACTTTGAAAATCCATGTTACTTTATTTTGACTGTGTTGATTTAAACTCGACCAATTTAATCAGTCAAACTTTCAAAGTTTCAAGTTTTTTCATTTTGTTAAAACGATTGTCAAGTTTGGCTGCTGGGATTGTGGTAGCTGGAAGTTGAGACCTTTACACCTTTTCTCTAGAAAGATAAACGAATGAGACATGAAAATCAGACAAAGAGACATGAGCGAAAATGTAGTAACGGTGTGGTTTTAAGGAAAGACTGTCTCTTCACAAGGAAAATAAAGTTATCGCAATGTGTGATACATGTATTGCTTTGATTCTCAAAGGAAACTGAGACGCGGTAACAATTCCCCTCTCGATATTTACTGCTGAACCTGACATCGGCTGTTCTGTCCAGACTGGGAGAAAGTCAACTAGTTCTACGTGCTTCGAGACTATATACTGTGAGACAAGATCTGGTTTGATTTGCTAAATTAAATTTCTCATGCTAGTTAATCCAGCCAAATATTTTTCCCCTTTATGCCATGTATGTACGTACATATGTCTCAAGGATGATTTTGGGGAACCAAACTTAACATATTTTGGGAAATTAGAAATTACCTGAGATTGTTGAAAATATCGTAGCCAGAGAAGAGCGGGGTTTAGTACGCTTGCACGAGGATGTGCAAGTATGATACCTCCAGAGAGAAAGTTGAGACGACTGAGGAGCGATTTGAGACGGGCAAGTGGATAAAGTTGAGAAAGGGTTGAAATTGAGACGAGTCTGTGGGTGAAGGGTTCGAGAAGGAGCTGATCTCTTTAGCTGGAGCAGTGATGTGTTCTTCCACGGAGGCTGAATGGCTGAATGAGTGGGAAAGGGTAAGTCGGAGAAAGTTAAGTGGAGATCGAGATGAAGCCACTTTCGTGTTCATCTGGCAGTGGTGGTGGTGGTTGGCTGACGGAGTCTTGTTGTGGATGAACTGAGATTCACTTGACGTACTGTTGCTGCTGGAAGAAAGTAAGGCGAACCAAACCCGGCCATGCCTTTGGATGGCACATGAACTGGGCTGACTTTCTCCCATGAAAAGACGCTCTCACTTCTCCCGTGCCTGCCATGTGCGTGATCTGAGGTTGAGAAAGTGCGGGGGGAGTTCCTTGCCCGGGTTTGCCCGATTCCCGCTAATCCAACATCCACTCTCGTGTGGCTGGGGGTAGGGCGAAGGAAAAGGCCGCATGCTGCCCTCGTCTTGGCTCTGCCTCAGGATTTCCCCAACGCGATCCTCTTTCTCAACTCGCTCTCCCAGACCGAATTACTTTCTTCGTCGCCCTCTTGCCTCCGCGTGGGGTTGGTTCGGAGTTGGTCTGGCATCTTGGGGATGAGATTATTAGGCCAAATCAACCCCTCCGCTAAAGACACGCATATGTCATATAGGTATTTTAATATTCTGACAGCAGTAATTTAAAAACTTCTCCGCTACATAATGTACCTACATACAAATATAGCAATATAAATAATATGCATCTAATAAAACATTTAAGATATAATAATACACTTCATATTTTTTGAAAGCACTGACGAAATGAAGTCAAATTACTTATAAAAGTAAAACGTCTACGATTGGCAGCAGAGATGACAAAATAAATAATATAGAATTGAACAGCGTATTAGTAAAACTGCTGCCTCGTGCCAACCAGATTTTTCGTGTTAATGGGAAGCTCCAAATTCCAATCTAAATTTCTTTATTTACGTCTCTTAGTTTTGTGCGGCGACATATTTCACGGGAAAAATAATTTGAAAGTTTTGCAGGGAGTGAGAGAGAGCCTAAAAGTATTAACAGACGGAGAGAAGACGGAAAGGATTTATGATGAACGTGCTGGTATCAAATATATCTGGTATTAAAATGGGCAACATTATCATCGTCTCCTTTTCCATTGGGGAAGAAAACGTCGGAAAAATACATTTTAATCTCCGGGTTGTTAAAAGCGATTAAACCCTCACTGCCACACTGCTGTCTTTCTTCATTCTCGGATCCACGAACCAGCCACACACTTTCTCTGATGATGCCTTCCTCCAAATTACAAAACTCACACAAGTATTATTATTACAAAGGTCTCATCATATCCATGATCGAAAAACGCATTTGATTCCCTCTCTCTCCTTGTCTCTGCTAACTCAATTCTCTGTTCGGTATGACCCTCCTCGCTGCCACAGAATGTATAAGTGCATAGCAAACTGGCATAATAAGCATCCCATAGACGAGACCACCACCACCGTCCCTTATTCCAAAGAAATGTCATGTCTTTCCTTTCGATGAGAATTCTTAAGTCTTGTCTTACTTGGGAATTTACTTAGCTGGAACAATTTTTAGCCTATTTTAATTAACTAAAAGTATTAAGTTTGTGAAGCCCCATTTATTCTTGGACTCGAGCGACGGACGCTTTCTACATACTTTCTCCCACCACTGGCTCCGACTGCTAGTCAAATTTATGCACGGACTTGTCTCCTCATTTTGTGTCTGTTCCTCGTCTTCACCAAACCCTTGCTTGTTCTTGGAACCGTTTGCGAAATCCCATATTTCACTCTGGCTCAGACTATGACATTTTCATACTTTCTTGATTAGCACGTTCCCCAAATTCTTCTCACCTGAATGGAAAAACTCACTGCTTTATCGCAAGGAGCTTACTTTAATTTACGGCTCTAAATTTCCCAACTTAAAATAAAAGAAACATATGCATTACGTTACGTTACGTTGTACGTTATCTCATTTCAGGTGACCCCTCGTCTTATGTACGTCTTAACCAGGGCTATACATACGTATATTGTGACGTTGAGAATACGTATGCCGTACATTTTGTGAGATTATATCCCTCCAGTTCAGTTACATTCTTGCTACTCTTTTGGGGGCTTTTATTCTTATTGGCTGGATGGTGTACCAAGTTTTACATAGTTTTATATATGTACGTCGCTGGTCGTTATTATTTTTGGTGGGATTTTAGTTTGGAAATTGGAAGTTTGGAGTTGAACCAAACAAATTTCCAGTGGAGGAGAAAGTATATAAAGCAGCAGTAAAAACGCTTTCATATTCTGCTCCTTCTACTCTTAATTCCTTGCTAATACTTTTAATACATAGTTCTCAAACCAAGAAACGTCTTTGTGCTCAGATGCCGTTTTACTTTGCCCTGAGAATAAGAGCAAAAGTGAAGGAAGGAATGAAGTGAGATCTAAACCCAGTAAAACCCGGGTGAATTTCTCCCTCGACTCGAATCATTACCCTCATTGCCCGTTGTCTTGTTTTCCACTTACACCCAAATTATAAGAATTCAAGAATCTCATAAAACTAAATCCCGGGGTCTTGGTGGTAGGCATTTGGTTGGTTCTTGGCCTCTTGTCCTCTAAACTCCGGACGCTCTTCACTTTCTGCCCACTAAATTAGATGAGCAATTAAAAGAACATAAGAAATAGGAAATTGTCAACTGATACGAAACATTTTACGTCCAAATCCACTAGAGCTTATGTGCGGTGGACAATGAACATTTTATGATAAAATCATTCACTTGTCCGCTTAAATGAAAATGAGATAATTAAACTATAGTTCTTTACTATTTTAATTTGTGGTAAGCATAAATAGAAATAAATACAAATTAACAAATTGTGTAAAAAAACAGGACAAAAATATACATTCAAGGAATTGTTGGATGTATGACTAAATAAATGCAATTATCCTTCAAACTTGCTCACTTTCGACTCGAGTAAGTCATTAGTTCATCTGAATCGACAAAGGATTTGCTGACAATCAGAAAACCTAGATTTAGGGCACGGCAAGGATGCCATGTTACTTTCAAGTCAGCAGATTAAGACAATTGATGCTCTGTCCAATAAATCTGGTAGAGTTAGCAAATAGAATGCACCATTTTACGTCATGCTTAACATTTACAAAAGATCCTCCAATCCGTGATTGGGTGATTGGACGAGCATGTGTCACACAGCATCAGCACAAGTGTAATAAAAGTCAGTCTATATGGTTTTAATTCTCATTATATTTGTTTGGCTGGCTTGTTTTTAAATTTTTCTCATACAGATTGTGCATACGTCGTGGTTGATGGAGTCGAAGGAATAACGATGGCCAGGATGATGTCGTTATTATGAGGAAGCAGTATCGCGAGGACTTCATTTCATGTTAACCAGCAAACATCATCGGGCTGAGAAACTGAGACCCATCTTGTTCTAGCAGCACATAATAGATACTAATAATGCAGATAATTTTAATCAAATTTCAATTCTGATCCTTAAATAATGCTTTTACCTCTTCTAAAGTAATAAGTTACTTATCTTCTCCAAACTTATTAGTGATTTCAATCTGTAGTATTGTTACGGTAGAAGGGAAAGCGAGTCTTGAATGCTTTCACTCGTAAAGTTGGTCGACTTGCGCTTCATTTCGAATTTCCGTCAGAGGAAATTTTGCTTACCGAAACTTCCTGTGATTTCCTCCTCCAACGCAGTCACCAGCGTAGTCGACAACGCAGTTAGATTTTGGTTACTTTCATCCTGGCTGATCATAATATCATTAGAGCAGTGGCTATAGTTTAGGAATTATTTATGTATATACACTGCCTTAATTTATTAACCAAAACTATTGACTACCAGCACACTCACAAAGATATCGTGCTCTCCGGATGAAGTGCGCATCATTTGCCATACTTGTACTTTCTCCGAAAGTTAAGCAACACAATAATAATATCATCACTGCCACCACCACACCGCAAACATTGGAAATGGAGAATGCTCTTAAAAAGCGAATGAATTGGGGGAGGGACGGGTGGATGTTGAAAATACACAAGTTTTTAATAGCTGGCTTGCTGGAAAAGTCTCTCATACATACAACATGTGCGAATTTATTATCTCGTCTGATTTCAACTTGAGCTGTTTACTGAGCTACAGCAGCTACATGCAAACGTATGTACGTATCTAATGAATATCAGAGAGCAGCGGTGGCTGATAATTCTTTATAAGTATAAATATCATCTCATCCTACTCAAATTTCGATTCTAGCTCTGGTCAAAATTTACATAAGTAATATTTGGGAAGTGAAGAGTGGAGTTGGAGTACACGTACATATACTTATGTAGGAAGGCTTCTCCATGCTGCTGTTGCTGGGAGGTAGGAAATTCATAATCAGATTAACTGTCAACTTAAAAGCTAGGTTTGATCTAATTACGAAGGGTTTAATTGCACGTCTAAATGCATCTTAATAGTAGTTAACCAGACTCATTTTCCCCAGAGAGAAATCTTCAAAGAGTTTAACAAGATGCTCTCCACGACTCATACGAACATGGGAGGCTTGTAGGTATAAAAGTGATAAGTAGCTGGTGCGAGGACGACGAGATGTGAGTCGGCTTTGCTCTCATTCTAAGCACCCAACCTTAGAACCTGAGGAACGATGAGTAATGGATGAGGAGCCGAAAGTAAAGTGAGTGGTGGTGAGTGAGTGCAGAGAGAGAGAGTTGTTGGGCTGGTGGTGAAAGTGTCAGTTCACTCGCTGGCAATCACGGCAACTGGCAACGTAGAAATGTGGCACTGAACTCAAGGTGAAAATGATCTCTTCGCTATACCTCCACGCTTCATGAGCATCGCATTTATCTCACAAACTGGTGAATCGAGCTCTTCCCCCGACTTTGCTTTCGGTAATTCATGAATAAGAGAAATAATGAGAGCTCGTGTACTCATGTATATACGGAGAAATAATGTGTAACAAGTTAATTCCAGAGATGGATGATTTGCGACTTATTTTATTTCAACATCCAGTGAATTTAATTCAATTTATGTTGAAAGTATATATTTTTAGATAATGGGTGAAAGTATGTACGTGAAAGGTGCATTTTATAATACTTGTTTAGAAGTCAAACTAAATACCAATGCTTACTGGAAATTTGTGCAAGGAGAGTGTTGGATAACGTCACTTGTCATCAAAATTTGCATGTACATGCATATTCCAGGTACTGTGTACACAGTACAGACGTGTTTACCGTTTTACAATTTCTTGACATATAAATATTATAGACAGTCGCAGATGTGACCATGTTACAAAATGTAAAGTTGTCTCGAGTGAAACTCGGTCCGTAAAGGTAAAAGAAAACGAAAGATTTGTGAAAGCTGAGGTAAATACTAAAAAATCAGACGATTGTGCACAGTCAACAAACAAAGTCAAAGCATTTTTATTTCAGATCCATATCCCCTGTGATATTTGTCAGATTGAGGAAAAAGTTAGCTTTAGTAGCCAAGCGCTCGCAACTAAAGAGATCCCAAGTTGGTAATAATATTAATGATTATGATGTGACATCATAAGTGTGTAAAAATGTGCTGAAAGGGAGCTGGTGAAGTAAATAGATCTCTCAAGGGACAGTCAACTTGGAACTAAAGAGGGAAACATCATAGCACAACAACCACATCCTTTTCATCCATTGGTATTACCAACACACACATTTGCTCCCGTTTTCACATAAAGTCAGTGAAATATACAAGTTTTTATTTCGCCGTGTCGTGTCGCACGCGTTTGGTCAACAGAAATTCATAATTCTGTCCGCCGTGAAAACGCAAAGCTTCATTTGGGGTTTGAGATGACCCGATGGGAATACGCATGCACTTATCATTTTCCTACAAACCAAAACTCCTATTTAGATTTGCTATCATGAATCTCACAAAGAAGCGAATGGTGGTGGGGCCGATAAATGAATGAAAAATATCTTTGATCATCCACAAGCCTCTGTGAGTAGTGGCTGTACATATGTATCTGTATGCCTCTGCAGCTTGCTGTACTTCCCCATCTCCCACATTCATCCGCAGTTGCTTCATACGAGAGATCATTTTGTTAATTGGTATTCAATCCACTCATCATTATGATTGACCAAAATAAGGTAGCAGGCAGAAATGGATAGTAGATATTCACAGCATTCTATTTGTTTGTGCTCCCATTGATCAGGAAAGTAAGACATTACTGTAATTAGTTATACCGTTTATGATGATAATAATAATAATAAGGAAAGTCAACACTCGACGATCCCCTACAAATAAATGGAAGAGCTTCAATACCCCCAATGTTACATACGTTTTATACGTAATATCGAAGAGATCTTTATAAATTGATCCAGTTAAATACATACGACATTGAATAATATTTTCATGAATAATTCTGGAAACTCAAGTGGCCATCCACCTGACCACTGACTGAGAGCTAATCAGTTAATTTATTCTCAAGGAGCATCTCAATATTCTCAATTCTACCATCAAAGCATTTATTCCTTCAACAGCTTTCATTTTCACCGCAAAATTAACCATCAATAAAAAGCCTTTTCAATTTCCCATCCAACCATTTGCCTGAAGAAAGGAGAGAGGAGCACACATAATAAAATATACTCTCAAAAAATAAATATTGAAAAAGTAAAATTTCCTTCAAATAAAAACCACAAAGACTCGAGTTGTGAGAGCACCGACTAATTTATTATGCCTGCAGAATAATCAGCTCAGCAGATCATTTTATCATCAAATTATTATCATTGAGTAGCCATTCTTATATGAATTCATAAAGAGGGGATAGCACAAGAAGACAGAGGAACATGGTGCATACATTTATTTAATAGTTTGAATTTTGGAATCTCGGTCCCTCTCTCTCTCTCTCTCAATCCCTAAAGTGAAGTCAGAGAACAATGAAATTTCACATAAAAACGCATTTGTAAAAAATCTCATTTTGATAAGCTCATAGCTTATAAAAAGTTAATAAATCCTTTAAAGAATTAAAGATTAGATGAAAAGGAAATTAGAAAAATGTTGTAATGGGAGAATGAACTAGTCGAAGGAGGGTTACAAACAGCGTCCATCCCATTAACTTCATTTACGTTGCGAGTGAATATAAATGAGACTTTTTATCTCAACAAAAATATTAATTGCGTAATGCGCGTGTTCTTCATCCTATTCTACCCTCGCAGTAAGAAAGGTTAGGTCCTCTGCCACTCTAAATTCTCCAACTTTGCATACTTCAGTAGTCGACACCAATATGTATCATAGCGTTACATAGATTTAGGTACATATACATATGTAGTTGGCAACAAGATTATTTTGCAATCTAGCCTCAGCCTTTTAAAAAACTGAAATAAAAATCCAAATTATTAATTTACTCGAATTTGGTTACGTTGTTGGCCGGACATGATGGGAAATGGAGCAGAGCAGAGAAAGCTTCTTATGCACAGTTGAATTTTAACATTGTATTGGACGAACTCTGTTGTAGGGATCACATTTTATATGTCATCTCTTCCTAGCCCATCCAAATTTAATACGGTAGCAGAGCCGGAGATAAAAGTGAATATTTATGTAATTCAGCATTTAATAATCATGAAATGAACTGAAACTGCTTGGTTCAGAGAAGTTCAAAGGAAGGAAGGATTGAAGAACGGAATTCAAGCGACTACTGTCTGTTTTATCAAAATGATAATAAAATTGAACTTGCTCCCGAGGAAAGAAAAAAGAAAATAAGTAGGGATTTCCTTCTCCAGAAGAACAGACTACATATTTGAACTTTTGGATAAATTCTCATACGCGATCCTCCTCAGGCTTGGTCCATGCTAACATTTTTAGTAAATAGCTTTACAATTTCAGGAGAGTGATGTACAATTTTGTCATTTTCATCACAAAAAACTTTTATTTACTTTATTCAAATGATTAAATCGTGTAGAAAAAAGCATCTCATGTCATGTATGTATTTATATAGACATTCCTTGCGTAAAAGTTTAGGTTTGACAGATCCTTTTGCAAAATGGCACAGTGTAGAAACAACACTGGTTACCCATTACACTTCTACTAAATAATAGAAATATTTCTTTTTAATGATCTCAGGTGAGAACGCCTTGACACCTCTAAAGAGGCGTCAGACAGCTCTCAGTTCCAAAAATTACGGGCTGAATATGTCTTGATTGCCATACTCCACCGGAACCCAGAGGCCAAGCATAGCATTCAATTCACGGTGTTCCCCAAAGGAAAAACCCCCTTTTTCGAAGGAGGCAGCACACCCCAACCTTCCCCTCACATTCGGCATCCCCCATGGACAAACCCAGCCTAAATCATCCTTCTCACTACAGCAATTCCACTCCTTTGCGATAAACTGCGATCAGCCCATCACAAATTTACGAAAAACAGAACAATGGCTATGCATTCGTAATTTGGTATTCGCCATCATGTACGATGATAGTAAATAGCTTCTGAGAATAATAAAATGGGAGTAGTTTTATTACTATTGATCGAGTACGAATAGGGTGGGGTATGTTCAGCATATGCACGAAAACCGCTCAACAACAAAAACTCAATCTCAGCCGTCCGTGATCTACAATCTAGAAGTCAAAATAAATACTAATAATTATGTAACACGTTAATTCTACACTCAACTTAATTCCCCTTTCATTTTGGGGATAAGTTATCCACCCAACCAGCCTCTCAAATTGCAATTGTTTTGTCCCCTGTTCAGTCCAGGATTGACTAGCTAATTTTTTCACTGTTTGTTGTTGGATTTTCATTCCAGTCAAGTACCTTATTTATTCTCGTAGTAGCTGTGAGAATGGAGTTTATCGAATTGATAAAGGTGCCCAAAGTGGACAATGTCACGATGCGACGTAACGCTCTTCCCACGGTGGAAGGGGGGACGCTGTGTATAACCAGTCATCACCTTATCCTCTCGTCCAGAAAGGATGGAGAGGAAGAGTTATGGGTAAGTGCAAAGTATAATAAAGACATAATTGCTTTTTTTTCAGAAGGATTGGCTGAACATGTGTTCTTTGTTGATAGTTGCTGCATCGGAATATTGATTTGGTTGAACGGAAGCCTTTGACATTGGGCGGTGGCTCATTGGTTATTAAGTGCAAAGATTTTTCTGTGATTCATTTGGATATTGTTGGTTCTGAAGACTTCAACAATGCCGCGGATTCGATTGAAGCTCTCAGCAATGTTGGTATGTTACATATAATAATAATTAATGTAGAGAACATGCACTTTAGCTTGAGAAGATAAAATTAATCTAATACTCGTACTTATATATATTTCATCAGATGCACAACACCTCATGTATGCTTTTTTCTACCGTCCAATGTACTCAATAGGTGAGAGATATATAAATTGGTTTTTCATCGCCTCAGACCCAACATAAATTATTTGTTATGTAGTTGAGGATGGCTGGACAGCTTTTTCAACAGAGGCAGAATTCTCCAAATTGATTCTGCAGTCAGAAAATGAGTGGAGGATCAGTCATATTAACCGAGATTATTCTGTATATTAACATATTAATATATTATTTTATTTGTTTTCTTTGATTTATATTACTCTGTTTATTACAATAGGTATGCAAATCCTATCCAAAGACTGTTGTTGTTCCAAAGAGTATTCCTGATGAAGAAATACTCGTTGCAGCTACATTTCGACAAGGAGGTAGATTTCCGGTGCTTTGTTTCCGCCATGAGAATGGAGCCGTACTCTTAAGAGCAGGCGAACCTTTGGTTGGACCATCGGGTCGACGATGTAAAGAAGACGAGCGACTCATTAATGCCATCTTAACCATAGGTATTAATACATCCACTTTACTTCAATCTCTCACGTGAGGATGCACGAAATATGTATGTAGAGAATTCTTTCCATCGACTAAAAAACAGCTTCCACTCGGTTATAAAGTCTTAAACACTTATTTGTCTTGGATTTCCTGACACGTCATGTGGCGAAAATTATTGATTTTTTAAATGTAATCAAATTGATGGATGCCTGCATGAACGCGTCTATTCATTTACTTTTTGCAGAATATTTTGCGTAATTGGCCACTAAGTCAATTATTCTTGGTAATTTATTGAAAAATCTTATCTTGCGAATAGGAAAACGTGGGTATATCATAGATACGAGAAGTCAAACATTAGCTCAAACAGCAAGGGTAAGTACCATAATATCGCTTATTGTAAACCTCTGCTGCCCGTTAGCATGTTTACATGTATAAGCTTAGTTTTTAGTTGTTCAGTTTTCACTACCTTGAATCTCCAATATTAATTTGTTCATTATGTTTTAGCATGGTTGTGTAAAGCAACTGTTGATTCCGTATTGGCAGTTGAAGCTCGACATTGTTGTATGGCTTATTTTATACGTCAGTCATTTTAATTAAATTTCTCTCTCTCTCTCTCTCTCTCTCTCTTTCTCTCTCTCTCTCTATCCTGTTCATATTTCTGTATTCATCACCAATCTTTCAAATCTTCCTGCATTATTTGATACGTTTATGACAATTAAACTCGTCAGACTGTTTGCAATGCGTCATGTGACTTCACAAAGGTAGTGAGTGCTGAACACTAAAGTAGTGGAATTTGGATTGATCATGATCCAGGATATACTATTTTGGCAGACGAAAGGCGGGGGCGTGGAACTGGAAATATATTACCCCCAATGGAGAAGGATACACAAACCAATTGATCGCCACTACACCTTATTAGACTCTCTGTCTAAATTACTAGAAGGTACACTCCATTGGCTAATAATACATTATGCAATTTTGTTAGACAATTTTTACATGCATAACTATTCTCTAGCATGCAGTGATACAAACTGCACTATGGATAAGTGGTTGAGTCGCTTAGATGCATCCGGTTGGTTAACAAATGTTCGAGAGACCTTAAATTGTGCTTGTGTGGTAAATTAATTACAAGTAGATTTTTGGCAGCACAATGCAGTATTTTATTTACATTCTCACTTTGCAGGTTGCCCAATGTCTGGACCAAGTAAGGCAAAATCTTAATATTTTTTTTATTCATTCTTTATTATAATTCTAATGTATTCTTTGAATTATTTGTTTAGGAAAGCAACTCTGTTCTCATTCACGGTGGCGATGGCGTTGACTTAACCCTGGCGGTTACTTCGCTTACGCAGATTATTCTAAATCCTGATTGTAGAAGCATTCGAGGTTTTGAGGTTCCGTTTTGAATTAATTATAATTTTTCGGTTTCTATTTATTTATAAATTAAATAATTTAAACCCAATTTTTATGTATTTCTTCCTTGATAGGCATTAATAGAGAGAGAGTGGTTACAAGGAGGCTATCCGTTCCGCACAAGACACTCGAAATCTGCCTTTGCATATTCTTTGTCGAATGTTAAAAACCAAAGAAAAGCATATGCGCCTTCATTTCTGCTATTTTCTCAGGTAATTTTTTGTCAATTTACTTGTAATGCAATCGGATACTTTGCTCACGATTATATAATAACCTTTAAAGACTTTTCACAAACGCATAACCACGTAAAATATCACAATCTAACCCAAGACATGAAATAAGCACAACGAAGAGGACAATCAATTTTTAGTAACACTGCCCAGTCAATTCCTCTTGCTCCATGTTATTGACATTTAATATTATGAGCATTACGGCATTTGTTGCTTTACGTTTGATTTCATTGAAATCACTTACAATTTCAGAATGGAGATGTACACGCAGACCCCTCCTGCGGCTTCCTTCTATTTATCGACTGTGTCTGGCAGATTTATAATCAGTTTCCTTTCAGTTTTGAATTTTCAGAACAATTCCTTATGACTCTTGTGCAACATTCCTATGCATCCCAGTTCGGTAAGTACATATGCATCTATAACGTGATAGACACAAAAATCATAATCAGTTGAAAACTATTAAGTTATATACATTTATTTTTAAAGGCACATTCTTGTGTGACAATGTGTGTGAAAGAGAGGAACTTCATTTAATGACAAAAACCGTGAGCCTTTGGTCGCATGTAAATCGTCCTGACATAATGCAATCTTACATGAATCCTGTATATGAACCAAATCCATGTGTCATTTGGCCGTCGGTGCATCCTATTAGCTTGGTTAGATACAACTACTATTGAAATATGTCAGCATTACAAACTAGGTGGCTATTATGTTCTTTCACTTTTGTAGCAACTCTGGAATGGAATGTACTTGAAGGGGATTATTGATCAATCGTCAATGAAGAAAACATGGAATACTATTGCAGAACTTAAGGAGAATGAAAAAGAACTGAAAAAGGAAGCCATAAAACTTCGAAAGTATTTACTTGATTTGCATCAATCTCGCCATTCCATACAGCGCAAACTTAGTGAAGCAACAATTGATGATAATCCGACATCGGATGATTGCGTTAATTTTCAACATACCGAAGATTCAAGTTCTGAAAGTCCAGGCGACATTGATCATCCATTAAAATATCAATAACTTTATAATATCGCTTAATTTAATTCAATAAAATTTTTCGCATTACACGAAAAAGATGATTATTTATTATACTCATCTGTACCTCATATGCATACAGTCACTTCGAGTTATTACTTAAATTAGCCAAACTACACTCGCATATACTAACTGAGAAAAATAAAGTTTAATGAACCTGGTTTGTTATTCACCAATCATAATAGCCATCACTAACCATTACATGCAAGAAGATAGATAAAATAACAAAAGTTGTTTGATCTATACGTCCCTATATACATACTCAATGTAGTTGCATTTTAGTTGTACGACGCAATAATTAATTATTAGAGATAGTCTCAAGACTTGGAAGAGTCTTTGTCACATTTCTCTAATCAATTGATCAATTACTGTTTTTTGCTGATCTAACAAAAGCTTTTTAGCGTGGAGCTATTTTGATTTATCGTAGAGTAAGCGTAAAAAAATAAAGTGGCATTAATTTTATAATATTTAATGATTAATATTTTATTGATAAACTTGGCTTGGATTGACTCTTATGAGTATCTACTACATACATATGTATACAAAAATTGTGTTTAGTAATTACCAACGGGCATAAATTTTGCGAACGAAATTGCTTAACACTCATAAATACATGGTTCATATGTGCATCATCTGCTAACCCATAATTATACGAGTTTCCTTTAATTAGTTAATACGAAATTACATGAATTTTTGGAATTTTCCCTACCTGAACCGTTGTTCGTTATTATGAGACGCCTTCAGCCAAATCAAGGCAAATCCTTTGTAGTGAAATCCCAGCCAAATAAATTGAATCGTTCATAATACTTATGCATTAACAAATATGATATTTAGTTTGTTCTTATTGCTATGTACCCTTTTGCAAGAATATATGTACCATGAATTTGAAGAGGCTGCATGAAAACTAAATATCATTGGCTTGCATGTGTGTTTGGAATTTAGGCTTGAAGACACCATTCCCTTGAAATTTACAATAGACCGCAGTCAGGAAACTCCACCGAAATTACATTGCTATTTATTATATTGCTATTTGTCTCAGTTTTCGTTCCAATATATTTTACACTGGACAACATTAATCCAAAGTCATACGTGATAAAATATCACATGTAAAATTGGCAATCGAAGTAAGTTTTAAAATTTGTAACCCGAAAACGAACATTTAGATTTCTAGTCTCTCTTTTTTTGGGTTTAGCTTGTGATATATTTAAGTTAGCCTTCCTTTTATGATTGATAATGGATTACATACAGTGAAATATTCCAGAATTGAGATATCTGCCGATCAGCCTATTGAAAAAGGAGCATGCTTGTGTTATATCATAATCTGTGATGGTTGCTTACTTTAAGGTAAAAATTATTTACCAGTTCAACTATATTCTTAACTATATGCATTCAAGCCATATTATTATTTCTATCTTGCATTTATTATTATTACTTTGCCATGAACCCAAATATTAAGTGAACGCATTCCGTTCGTCGTCGTCGTTTAAATGCACAATAAAGCTATATACCTATCTATATTTAATTCTGTAATCCAAAGTATTCAACTCTGTGAACTAAACCTGAGGAGAAATTCAAAGGCTGATATAACTCATACCAGAATTGGAATTATATTCAACCAAACGTAACAAACGAAGAGCTAACTAAATACGAACATGATGTATCTAATCCAAGAGTCTCGACCAAAATGTGGACAAAAAACTGGCTTGAGTTCCATCCATAATGAAGGAAAGACACAAATCTTACATCAGCAGTTATATCTCTCTAACTAACGTACAACAACTAACTAACTTGAGACAGGGAGGAAAGAAAACCGTGGTGAGGCAGGTAACCAGACGAAGAAGGTAAGAAATATCGGGGAGGTGTGATGATGAAGAAGATTCTTTGTGTCGTCCATATCGTATCGTTGTTGGTTGCGCTATATGCCGTGCATGCATTCCACGTTATTAATGTTGTAATCTGTGTAGTACGAATGTAATGGTTGTACTTTTTGACTGCAGTTAAGTTTAGTTAAAGAAGTTTTTGTTTGAATAGTTTTTGGATGGAAGGAAGGGGAGTGAAATTGTCGAGGGATAATGTGGCATGGCCAAGTATTTTCCAGCTGCGTCTTCTTCTTCTCCCGAATAATATGATGATCCATGATGATGTTGATGCTGGTTGGTCGTTGTTCGTGGTGGTTGAGTCAGGTATTATTTTCCATTAAAGTAAAAAATGTTAAGATAAAGGACGTTAAACTTGTGGCAGCATAAGTTTTTAATGGCGGCGGCGTGGTGGTGATGGGAGGGCGTAGTTTACCAGCATCCGGAGAGGAGACCAAATATTTTTTAATTGAAGGACAAACTCGTCATGTACTCTCGTAAATGTTGTAATAATGTTGGGATAATTTGTACAAACTACCCAAATGGCATTGGTTAGTAGACTATACCATGTCTATATTTTCTACATGCATATGTACAAGCATTTGGATTCAACATAATTAAAATGTAAAAATTACGCGAAATCTATAACAAAAATATTTATCCTTATGTATTACGTACATGTTCCCTTAAATTATAATTTTCCATTAGGAACCAATTCTCATACGTAAATAGGGTTCGACTCGGTGGTTCCTTATACATACATATATTCCAATCCTACAACTAGGATAGCAGTTGTAGGCATGTGTCGATAATGAGAACCCTGCAGTAGATCCTCCGAACAAAGAGACGATGTGAAATAAATTTAGGGCCTTGAAGTTGCTTTGGTTGTACTGTAAGCACAAAGACGACCCAAACTTAACTACAAAATACGTATAAAATTTATAAACCTTCATCAACTAACTGTGCCTTCATTCAACTCTTCGCAGTACCCCAACGACCCAATTCTCAAATCCTATATATTAAGGATTCGTCTAGTGAAATACACAAGAAACAATCTAGCTCACCCACATTCATTCTTGCAGAGTTGTAATGCTATGTATGTAGATCATAAACTTGGAGATGATGAGACTGGAGATTCGTCTTTGTTCGTCATCCTTAACCTCGTTTATCTAACTATTCATTCAAATCTAGACTTAAAATATGCTTTCAAATCTAAATTTGGTACGTTAAAATTAGAAATTGCTAACTTTCTGCCAGAAAAATGAGTTTTGCCAAGTATGATGCTTATATATGGGATATGTTAAATAATTAATTTGACGTGAATACGAGTTCACGAGAATTCTACTATGGTTAGTAAATTCATATTTTTAGTCCAACATACATGTTCGGATGACGATTAAACTTAAATGTGAACCGTGAGGATTAAACGCGTCAGCTTGTTAAGAGCAAAATGCAGCTGCTCCCCAAATCATGATCGAACGGAACAAACAAAGAAACCCCATTTAATTTGTGCTCACAAAAGTATACAAACTCATATAAAGTTTAGTTAATTCAAACAAAACTTATCCTTGGGGTTAGTTACCAGCGAGCAGGTTTATCTATTTTGTAGTTGCATTTGATGCGAGTTAAGTATTTATGCCTTATGCATCATGCAGAGTAAATTATTTTTTGTCCGACTTTTTATCCAACATATGCCGTCTAGTAAAGACTGAATTTGCGTTTTGTGTCCCTTGTTTGGTTCCGGCTGTAACAACGATGGGACGACATCTCATAGAGAGACTTTTACGAGAACTATAATATGCAGAAGGGTTTATTGTAAATAAATTGCAATTGAAAGCGGATTTTAATTTTAAGATTTAAAAACTGCACTCTGCATAAAGTATTAAGCTAAAATTAAAGTCTCCACAAATGGTACATGTATTTGAAGTTGCGATGGAATAATAAAAACCCAACACGTATTTCTAGGGTACTTTATCCCCCTCTCGCTGTGTTTTTTGAGCCACGATTATGGATGATGCGACATGCACAAAGGAACAATTGCAGGTATAATCAAATGGTTCTGCGTCTGTGTTGGCCCTCCCCAACAGATATGAATACAAGAGAGCAAACAAATATGAAATTGATGATAGGAACTCGGTCTCTTTTATCACTATCATTTTGGGGATCTTGATATTTAACTTTTTTGAGTGCCATTCAATCCAATTCAACCGCAGTAAGTACAGTGATCCTAATTTTTAAGGGGGACTGCTGCAGACAAGGAAATAGCCACGGGTTTTAGCATAGTCAGATTAAATATGTAGGGAAAACAAGTTAGTTATCTCCCGAATTTAGACGGAGGAAAGGATGCTGGATTGAAATGAGTTTAAAGCACAGTCAGCAACACTTGCTTTCATTATTGATTAAGCATCACGGTAAATCTAACAACCAAACCAACATCGCTCTCTATAAATCGCGTAAACCCGACTAAAACTGCTCTTGTTGTAAAATATAACAAGTCCATGCAAAAACAATGTGGTGAAAGGAGAGGTGAAGTGGCACGCACCAAAATTGTGCAAATTAAAGTCCGCAGTGGAGCCAATTATCATTTTTCATTTGTAAAACTGCATTGGCATTTTTAAGCGAATAGTAAAGGATTCGATTTGCTCTCTAGCTTGAAAAACGTGGTGACAGAATGTATTGAAGCCACTTATGATTTTCTCCCTGAGGAGTACAGTACATAGTACATAAGCAGATCTGAGTTTTGTTAGCTGCTGCTGCTAGAAACTAGTAGAAACTCGGGATAAATTTGCTTTCACATCCACCAACCAACAACCAACCACCACAGCAAATGCTCAGAGTTTCTCATTTCATTTCAATGCGATTGAGAGTTAGCAGCGATGATGATGACTCGTTTCGTTATTATTATAGTTAGACGGAGACTTTATGTAGTTAAGAGTTAGGGATTACGATTCGTTAGCTTGACGGAGAGTTACGATGAGGGTTCCTAAATAACTATCGTAAAATCAATGAAAAGTTGTATAATGGCGGAAGGCAGGGGTATAGCGGAGTTCAAGTGCAAACAACTGCATCGTGCTGATTTTATTTTATCCGAGAGGGGAATTGTTTAATTCTTTTGATACGGACGATGATGAATCATGATTCTCAAATTCCTCTTTTAATAATGACTAATGAAAATGTTGTACTGGAAATTCTATCTGTCGACGAGAACCAACACGGCGCGAGTAGTTGTCTGTTTCATTAATATAGGAAATGATGCACGATACCATTTCATCAGTTCCATGATGCCATTCACTTTCACAAGCAAAATACTTTTTACTAAACTATTCCTCGACTGATGACGTAAATCTGGTCTGCTATCTATTTCAGTCAGAAGGACTTTTTAAAGCATAATTTAATACTTAATAACCATACTTCTTTTGCTACTGCACTTTTGTTAACGGAGCTTTCATCGCTGGATAACATGTAGGCATTTTTGAATAGATGTGATCCGATTTCGATCTTCTTTCATATTGCAGTGGACCAAACTTTTTGGTGATGTCACTTGCATAATGTTTATTGGTCTTTGACTCATTTCGCAGATCATCTACATATTATTGGGCATATCTACATATATACAAACACGCTACATAGGAGTACTTTAAGCATATGGATATGAACTTTCTCCGAATTTGCTGTTGTCGACAGATTGCAATTTGTACATTTAATAATAATTGGTGATTTAAATTGACATTATCATGTTTGTTACTCCTCCTGCTATATATAAATGGGTTGCGCAACGAGATTATTATGGGAGGAGGAGGGAAGCCTGGGTAAGTAACGGGAGACTTATTATGGCATCCTCCAAGGTTTGCTCCCCAGCTTACAAACTAAGGTTGGGGAGCGTCAGAACTACAGTTTACTTTACTGCTGCATATAACCTAACGGAGAGGGGAAGCCAGCTAGGAGATTCAGTTTGATAACGAGGATTCGGTAGTTCGGAGTGGAGTTAAACCCCGAATGGGACGCCCGAATGGAACACCCGACCGGAGTGTAGTAAAGACATAACTACTACGGGAGCAAAATCCGAATCTCGGGTAACTGGAGTAGAGAACCATTATGTTCCATTACGGAGAACTTTCCCCCTGTACCACCGCCATCAACCTCCTCCCTTAACTTAATAATCAGTTCTGGGTGCACCTTACACCACTCACACTCACACCAGCAACCTTAAGTCCTGACTCCTCATCCGAACTAGACACACTCCATCGTCAACTACTTAATAATTATTATTATTCCTCGCCCAGCTTTAACAAATATTATTTCTACCAAGTCCAACAATCCTTCATCACAAGCAATCGTCATCAGCAGCTAACAAAAAGTGAAAATCACAGCTCAGCAACATTAATAATATTCCATCTCATAGAATCTCTAGTCATTCGTCTCTGGGCTTGCACGCTATTTTTGTGCTCCACGAGTGTCATCGTGACACTGTCACTCATAATCTGTACTCACTTTATCAATATTGTGTCTGTATCAATACCTCAACTTCTCCTCGTTCGCACTTAAACTCATCGCCACTTTCACCTTCCTTTCAGGTAAGAACAAGCAAGAGAGAGATTCGGAATGTCAATATTTATTATTTACTGCATGTGTATGATTAAGTAGTTTGAAGAAATCCATGACGGAGAAAGTCCTGTCTCAAGTAAAGGCTATATGTACACACGTACGTACATACATAAATAAGTGCTGACTTTACTGCGTTATTAGTTAGATCGATAGCTTAGAGGACGCCGTGAAATAATAATGGTGCATGAAACGAGAGAAAGAGGGTGGCTTTGCAGAGGGGACCTGGTCTCACCCAGATTAACATTATTATTATTAATACCATTATTACGTTGTTCTCTTGTCAGACTCGATTTGCTTAGGAAACGACACTAACGCAGAGAGACAAATGGGAGATTAATGAATGTATGTGGTGTAGCGTCGGTGGTGTCGTTCGTACATATTTATGTTGTATATTATAAGGTGGGTCGTATTAATACTTGACATTAAGGTCTACAGACTCAACCAAGGCCGCCATAAGTTTTGATATTACTAAATATAAGCAATAAGCAACCTTCCAAGCAACTAACTATGGTCACTTTTCCCAATAAATTCCCAGCCCTCCCTACAAAACCAAGAGCTAGCAAACCAAAGCTAGGGCGAGCTACAACACAAAAAGCAAGCCAACAACCCTGGCTTTAGTTGTTAGTTAAGTTTACTACGGTAGTTAGTTAGTTAGCTGGTGATATAGAACCCCGGGTACCTGCGGGCGTAAAATGGGTTGCATATCCAGTCCACATTAGAAAATTCTCATTCGGTTGTATGCATTATGTTAAGAGCCAAAGTAGGAGATGATGATGGTGGGGAGAGAGAGAGCGTTAACTTAATGGAACAAAAAGTGCCTTTATGTTACTCTTCTTGCCTGGATCTCACTGAACAAAATTCTTGTTTAACTTTAAAGAGTGCATGAGTAACATAACCACTTTGGTCTTCAGCACTAAACTCCACGGAGCAGCCCTAATCCCTGCATCCTTCCATTACTGCTACTAAAATAATAATGGTGGTTCCCTCCACAGGTAAAGGAGAATCATTCATGGGTCTCTCATCATCTAATAACTGGAATAAAAGAGGAGCATAGTGATATGCACACCTGGCTGGACTGCAGGCCTTCTCTTCCCCGTATAAAAATATACGTGTCCAACTAACTACACTACTACCTCTTTCTCACTCTCTACGACTAATCAGCAAGTGAGAGTGAATTGAACTTAACAGAGGAGAGGTAGACGGCTTATCGAGAACAAATATCAACAACCTTTACTATTATAATACTCAAACTGCCCATTAAACGACTTCTCCTCCACAGTTCACGGCTACAACTCGCTGGAGGAACAAAGACATAGAACCCTCTCTAAATGCGCCGAGAATACCAAAGCTAATGCGCCTAGTTAACTGACGTGTTAAAAAAATATAACCTTTGTGAAAAGGATATCCAGCAGTGGATTTATAGTAGTGTGAGGTTCGTGAGAAACTGAAACCACTCGCTCTTAATATTATTCTCATAAGTGACTGAAAGTGAATTTTATTTATATTTAAAGAGATTATACAATCTTAAACTTGGATTCAAACCACGATTATTACTGGTGGTAAGTTATGCATAACTTTATTGTTTGGTTGTCTGCAAGTTTAAACCAAAATGTATCATGCCATGTATCTAATATTTTTTGCATGCACATCTAAAATTGACATTAGAACTGTAGCTTCTGCTTCTTATACAAATTCTTGACATATAGCACGCTTGATGAAGGAAATAGTGTTTTCTGAAAACGTATATGTATTAAAATAAACATCAAATTTTACATTGATAAACGCAGATAACTTGTTTCATATTTTTCCTGAACATAGGTAAATATGTGCATATAGTTAATTTAAAAAAAACAGTAACGTTCATCTGCTTGAGTCAGAGAATTATTTCAATGCCATCATGAAAGAGTATTAACTCAAGATTGGTGCAAAAATCTTGCTGGGAACGTAGTTAACAAGTTGTTTGATTAGGTTTACCTGGTCAGTACATGAATGTATGTGTACTGCCATCATCGCGTCGTCTCATCGTCAGTCATTGGACTTTACAAAGAACTACCATACGCATCAACCTCGGCTATTATAAGTGACTAACTAATGTTACTGACTCATCAATTAATCCAAGCAGCTAGGGGCCGGCCAACTAGCTACACTACTAGTGTGTGGACATCGACATTAAACGTATTTTGCACATATTGTCCATGTTACAGACAGGAAACACAATCTTGAAGAAGAACCCACCTTTGTTCATCCCCCATACATATAAATATACGTTGCGCATACTTAAATAATTATATGAAATGCCAGGAATTCGTCATTTTCCAACCTTATTCAACATATTTAATTCGCTATCTATATTTCGGCAGTTATCAGTAAGCCCTGTGCAACGAACGTTGAAATAGCTGGCTTACGAATTTATTTAATTGGGTCCGCTGAGGATTGAGACGACCGTGTCAATTAAGATGTGGACTGAGAATTGGCGAGACGAAGGAGATACTGTCCGCCATATTTAATTGCCGGTCAGTGTGAGTTCAGTTCAGTCCGAGGCAAGGTTGGTTGTTGTTTGGACCACGTTGCCACAATTAATTAATTATCGTGCTCTCCCCAATTTCATTCAACTAGTGATAAAAACTACTTCATCATCACATTATCTTTTCTCTATTATTCCTCTTTATTATTAACCTTGTATTGCTGCTGAAAGTTTCCGGAAGGGTGAGAAATTTATTTGTTATTGGTATTTTGGGCTAAAGTTAGATGAGGTATCTCTGAATTAGTGATTATTAATTAGTAATTACAAATGATAGATTTGGATAATTTGCTCGTGGAGAATGTGAGTTGAGTAGTTTATTCACTGGTTCGTGAGAGACGATGAGACGTGGTGAGGTCGTGTACCTCTTGACTATAAATATGAAAATATAATAATGACAAATTACGATTTCAAGAGCCGTTTTTTGAACATGGTGTATTTTTTATATTTTTTATATAATCGGTCTCAATTGTTCACTACTTGAGGTATTGCTGTCAATTGCATCTTATCCGCATTTTGTTGATCGAAATATCATAATATTACAGATCATGTATATTGGTTGAAATATAAGCGCCAAAGATGTAAACATAAATATTACGTGCTGCTGAAATCGCATTCGATGGTGCGGGTGGAGATGGTTGAGGTGTGTGGCATTACTGGCATTTGACTGAAACAGAATTTCAGAGTTGGTGAAAGAAATATAAAAGCTAACTATAATAATTTTATTGATTTGCGCGAGCGAGGAAATATTGCGCACACCACCACCGCCACCATCATCATCATCATATTCCTCCGCTTTCCCTTTGCTTTTACTGCTTATTTGTATGCATGTGGTTATGTGTGCATTATATGTGGATAGTTGCTTGTCTTCCCTTTAACTAGTTTTAAGCTCCTCTCATGTCCTTTCTCCACTTTCACCACCTTTCGCCTGTCAAATCCAAAAACAAAAAGAGAGAAGGAGAGAATATCACATTATGGACTGCATGCGAACTCACGAACTACTGCCAGTAGTCTACTGGTCCATTACTCGTCATGATTTACTAATTATATATCTATTTACTTTTGGCTTTCTCCTTTCATATTATATAGTCTTTGCTGACCCTGGTTTTTTTGAGATTTTTCGTAGATTAGATGTTGATGTTTTTTTATTGGAGGTATATGCCAGCACGTGTAAATGCATGAGATGTTAAAAAACTACATGTTTGATTTTGCATATTTATTTATTTATCTTTTGTTTTGAACACACAGGTCGAGTTGAGCACAGATAAGAGGATAAGCCAGCCACGCGTTCTCTCTCCGACAACTAAGGGCCAGTGAAAGAAATAAGCAAGCTCCCAATTTGACGCACATATTGATTGTCGTTGAATGATGTATGCATTTTGAACCATTATTATTATTATGCTGTATTAATGTCGTGTTAATTAACGTTGTGATGTAATGTTGTCAATGTTTGTAAAAATTATTTGCTTGGTTCTTTCATTTTATTCATGCATATGTTTATTTGTTGCAACTGTCATTATGATTATGAGTAGAGCTTTTAGTATTAATAAATATGTTTATTTGCAGGCCGTTTTTACACGACGGGAACGCTTCGGTTACGATAACCCCCACCAACGGAGGGGGAGCGTCTGATTTACTTCAAAAGTTTATCAAGCAGGAAAACCTGTCAAAGTCATTTTCTGGAAACACATCAGCCAACCTTCAGAAAATTGTCAGAAATTCTGTTCCATCAATTGTAGAATTTCAGCGTAAAGCGGCTCATAAGAAATTGCAAATTGCGAAAATGATGGGAAATGGAGGAATGACTGCTTCTGTTCCGGACTTTCGGAAACATCAAGGTCACCAGAACCATCAATCAATGATGTCAGAATATAACGACCCCATGCAAGTTGCGTCAAGAAGAGCTCGGAGCAATAATTTTACACTAAACGAAACATTCGCCCTGTTGAAAATTTGGGCTTCACCAGAGATGCAATGGCAGGTTAGGACATTTGAATATATATGTATGAAGGTGTTAAAAAAATTGAATATTACCTAAATATTTTATATTACTTACTACAGATGAAACATAACTTTCGGTGAGTTACACAAAAAAATATATGGTAAGGTTTGATAATGAATAAGAAGATGTTTCCTGTCTTTAGAAATTTTCGAGTGTGGGAAGCCATTTCTTTTGCTATGCAAGAATTAGGACATGACAGAACTGCTATACAGTGCAAAAACCGTATTCAGGTATGTGGAATTAGAGAAAGACAAATTCACTTTGCCTCTAATAAAAAACGTTAAGCTTTATATTACCCTCATCCTTGTAGAACTTGACATCCATTTATTACCGGATTAAGAAGACTAAACAAGATTATCGCAGTTTTAACTTTCCGTACTACAAAATTATTGGGGATGTTCTTGATGGAAAGAAAAACGGAAGTAACGCAACGATGCCACCTAATATGGCAGAGTTTATACAACATTTTACGACCAACGCTAGTGGAGTTGTGAGCCCTACACAAGTCAACTCTGGCGTGGGACATGGGTCATCAGGGTAAGCAAATTCGGACTCTTGTATGTGCACTGACAATCATTTGGCGTATATGTATATTTAATTTGGTCTTTTACAGAATGGCTGCTCACATGGCCCTAGTCGAAGGTGGGTGAGATAATTAATGTTTTGAAAATAATCAAAATTTAACTACATACATTTGTATAACATTACTACTTGCTAATTTTGTTAATTGTGAGCAAATATCTTCAAGTTGCATTATTGTATGACACTAATTAGAGTATCAGCACCTAATAAATGGAAACCCTGAAGTGACGATGACTTCTACAGGAGAACGTAGTAGCTCGTCGAATGGGACAAATGGGATGAATGTTCTTTCCCCCGAAGTAAGTATAAGTGAAGGAGACTCCCCCATTCGTATGGATTCCCAGCAAACAATTCGTTCTAATTCGCAATCAGCTTCCACCTCAGCTCAGAAAAATCATACCGGTACATATTTCAAATTTTTTATCTAGAGTGATTTCATGCTACGAAAGCTACGAAAGATTGAACAATATTTACATTATTATATAATTATTATTCGTGTATGAAGTATGCTTTATTTCTATCAACAGGTTCTAACTCAAATAATTCCCCAGTTAACCGCAATTCTAATGCAAATGGGTCATCAAGTTCATCTGGAGTAAAACATGAACAAGAAGACGGTGGTTTGGAGGACGGCTCAATTCCTTCCGAAAATGAAAATCATGAAGTCTCTGACTTTGATGATGGGACAATGTACAATGCTGATGAAGAAACCATGGCCATGCTCGGGTACGACCTCTTTCGTGACATTCGCTTTTAATTACTCTAGGGAAATGCTATTCTTAATTAACTAACTTGTATTTATTTAACAATACACAGTCGAGCTGAAAACTATTCGGGTTGTGGAAGAGGAAAACGTTCCATGTTATATCCTAAAGGAACATACAATAATGGAATTCCCACTAAGAGACCACGAGGATTGTCATCTGCAACGACAGCATCTACCAGTGGAGTAGCCGAGGATCCCATCGGACAATACTTATCGGAAATGGTAGATATTGAACGAGAATGGCTTAATATGGAACGGGAACGAGCAGAGAATGAACGTCAAATGATGTTATACATGATGCAAATCCTACAAGCTTTGATTTGTCCAGACCAAGAGCAGGAGGAAGAAGGAAACGAAGACGGAACTATGGAAGGAAACGACAATGAAGCAGAAGCAACAGAAAACGAATACACTGAAAACGAAAACGAAAACGATGACAGTGAAATACGCGAAATGATTGAACAACAAGAAAACTTGGATACTGAGTAATTATTATTATGATTATTTTCATTTTAGAATTTTATGTATATCTCGTTCAGAATTCATCAACATTTTATACTGTACATAAATACATACCTAGCCATCATCGATCGCGCGGTGGTAATTTTATAGTCTGAGAAGAAATGTGTAGGTCTTTCAGTAATGGAAAACACCCATTCTTTATGTTTCTACCTATTGAATTTATAGATAGCTAGGAAATATCAGTGTATCGCCTAAATGTATTTAAAGCTACCGTAATAATAGTAGTACATCTTATGTAATCAATAATAATAACATTAATAATAATTGATAGACAAAGATTCCAATTAGGGTCGATTGTTTATGCTCAGTTCTTCCAAATAAGCAGTGAAATTATCAGAAATGACATCGGTGTATTAAAAGATTTGATGATTAACAAGTATGTATTTACGATTGGGTGAGATTCGCAGTTAGATAAAAAAAAGTCTGATGGTGCAAGTGAAATAATGCATACACTTGCTTCCTTTCTACTGTTACCAGCATCAGATATGTAATTTATGTATTTTATATCTACTGCAATCTTACCTGCTCAGTTTCCAAGAGTTTCCGACAGTTGTAATTAGTGGCTCAATTATGTACCGTGAGCTAAATTGTTGATATTATGATTTTTCTCTCTACTACTCATTATGATTACCACAATACCGCGATACTTATCGAATATATCTGTCTACTTCAAATGTTCAGTATTTTAGTTTTGTAGAATTTTATTGTTACAAATATTCAAAATGATCTCAGAAACCGGAAATGATGATATGTTTCCTGATTTTGTTAGATAGTATCATTTGTTATATGTTATATGTCATATGTTATTATGGATTTTGTTATTGATTTTTATAATTTTTTTTATCTACACCAAATTAGGTAAACTGTTTTGCACACAAATACGGTGTTGTTATTTGTAGGTTTGTTTTACTTTCATGACATTAATTTTATATTACTCACTCAGCGGCAGTTACTTAATTTTGTAAAATGTTTCAGTATTATTTTTTTGGGACAGCTAATGATACGCGCATACATACTTAAATGTGTAGGTTGGGTTGGGCATCATTCCATTTCCAATTGTTGCAGTGGTAGTTTTCCATATACAAATAAATGTCTGTATGTATATTATTTATATTATGTATGTATGCATGTAAAGACGTCCTTATATATACTTTCATTTGAGGAAACCGGAATATTATTGTGTTAGTTTGTGATAGTGATAATGGTCACAAGAATCGTCCTACATATTTTCATCTCAAAAATATAATCCCGACTTTATAAACGCTTGAAGATCATTTGAATCTCAACCAGTAAAAATTACACTTTGTCTCCTATATCTTATACGCAATGAGTTATTAATCTCCCGTTGAGTGCATGTAACCTATGACCTAACCTGTTATATATACATTCAATGCAATAATCTGTGCCAACGAGTCTCGGCCGTCGACTACTTCTCACCATCATCTCTTTACAAAAAGTAACATAACAATGAGCGCAAATGCTGATTACATAAAATTACCTTTGATTTCCAATATGTATTATTAAATAAACGAATTGCTGATACATACACCATTCAATCCTCTCACGGGCATGCATTTCATCCATTATTACTTTTGCACTGTCAACTGTCCGTAAAAAATAAACCCTTCTAGGTTTAAAGTTTTAATGTGTGTAAAAAAAGCCGATTAGAAATTCATATCCGAGCGAATTTATTTATTACTAGTAGTAATAAAATAGGTACAATAAATAATTAACATTCTAATAAAGTTATAACATGTTAAAATGTTTAATACACAATACACAAATTTATGTTTAGAATTCTACTCCATTATGTATCCCGAGTTTAAATTTTCTAGGAGTGCAATTGAAACCAGAATCTCTGAAAATCACGAGTTTGTTTTTATGCAAAACATGGAATTATAAAATAGATCAATTATGAGTTCAAAAATTTATATTTACATGTTGCGCTCCAAATAATAGTTTCTCAAATTTTCCACCTGCAAATCGTCCAAAATTCCACTGATTGCAACATATTTCTCGAAATCTTCTTTTGAGATTAGTGGAAATCTAACAAACGCAACTAAACGACGGACCTCCCACATTGATACATCTTTAAAATTTTTCCAACTACATTTTCCATAAACACAAAATATGCTTCGATCAGGAGAATTTTAGAAACATGTATAACGTTTACAATAATAATATAAGGTGTACCTTTGAAGGGCCTTAAAAATCACAATCTCTTCCAGATTTAGATAATCATCCATTAGAATTCTCATCCACGTAAGCGAGTTCCATTCCAAATAGTTATTGCATTCAAACTCCTTCCGAATATTCCTGCCACAATAAAACTGTGATAGGAATCTATGTATTTGTAGTTCTGACCAAAATAAATTGTAACAATGTCATAAAAAACAAACCACTTGAGCAGGAAGAATGCATCATCGTCCAAATCATTTTTAAGATCCAACGTTGCAGTGTTGTTGAAAATGAAATTGTAGTGGTCTTGGACTTTTGCAGAAAAAAACTGGCAGCATTTCTTGACAACATCTGAAAAATCCCACATATGCGCTTGGAGAAGAACACTCATCATTTCTTCCATACTTGCAGAAATTTCCGGTGGCTGTTTGTCGCTTAAAATCTTATGTGTCACAATTGATTTTCAAAGCTTAAACCGGGCTACCTCATTTGTAAAATTGGGTTACAATGCTATTTCTAATACCTTCAAAAAAATTTTGAACATGTTGGGGTCCGTTTCTGGAAGATTGAACTTTCCACTGCTCCCTTCATACTTGATCATAGCCTTAGCCCACGGCGACGCGAACGATGCTTCCATCAGGTCCTTCGGACTTACGTAGAAAAGTTCTCTTCCCACTATCACTTGTATTAAATCCATCATCACAAAAATTTTACGGAGAAAAATTGACGATCGAGAGGTAGTCCTTTCTCTCGAGTGTTGAAATTTTAATGCTAAACTGACTTGTTAAAGTTCATGTACATACGTTCAGCACCATTCGGATGGACGCTAAAGTAAATATAATGTTTGTTATCGTCGGCCTTGACACAATAATCACGGATAATCACCAGTATGATATCAAAGCCAGTATTATTTGATACATTATCATTCAGGATTCTTCAATCACTAACGGCTACGCCGGTGTTTCTGGGTTCGGCCGTCACTCATAACAATTAAAATTTTTAATTATTTGAAAAGGTGAGGTAGCCGGGCTACCTCGCTTCGCGCAGCCCGACCTAGAATTTGACCGTGTTTCATTGATAATGCAACAATACTTGTTGAGATTATTAAATATTAGAGGAATATTATTTATTTCAATAAAATGCGCAGTAAATTTGGAATAGATGGATGAACTGTTTGCATCCACTTTCATGACCTCTCCATTTTTAGCCCGAGTCAGGGCTTATGGAACCGTCATATCCATCCGTCCGTCTTACGATAACTCCCGTTAAACTCATCCTATCGACTTGAAATTTGGTAGTTTGGTACACGTGTCAAATAGGTCAAATGAGGAGTTAAGTTCGAAGATGAGCGAAAGGTGGGGGTCATGTAGGTGGGTGGTTATATATGCACCAAAATTTCAAAATCGTTCTGGAAAGCTAAAATTGAGGTGGCTAATAATGGTGTCTTATTGAAGAATATGAAGTGAAATTTGGAAAATTTTCTTCTGGAGGGACCCGAGGGGGTGACAAATACGGATTTTTGAAATTCCTTAAATCAAGCTGAAATTTGATAGAAAAGGTGCTACCACTGATAGCCCTCAATGGAAGAATATGAAGTGAAATTGGTAAAATTGTTATGTAGAGGGACCCTTAGTGGTGGTCCATACCGATTTTATAAATTGTCTTAAAAAGATGAAATTAGGTACGATGATACTTAATAGCTTCTTATGGAAGTATATGAAGTTAAAATCGAGCAAAGTGAAACAAAAGTAACCTTTGAGGAGGGTGACCTACACCGCTTTCTAAAAGTTTCTATTGTAAAAGTTGATAGCTGGTGTTCGGGACTCTGGTCATATTTGTGTACTAAAGTTAAAGTGCAATGTCATAACGAACGAATCACTATTTGAAGGACCCAGTAGGGTCACCCCCACTGGTTTGGAAAACAATTGTAGAAGACTGAAAGATCCTCCAGGGTTAGAGCAGCTTAATAAATGTTAAGATTATTTTTGCCAGGAGGACCTAGTAGGGTGACCCATACTGTTTTTTTTAATTAGTAAGCTGAAATTTTGCATGCTGGATCATGGAAACATTTTTGACGTTTAAACATCAAAAATGTCAAACTACAGTTCGCAATTGCGAATTGTAGTTGGTACGGGTCATTTGACAAAACTTTAGAGTCAGGGACTCGGTCCCTGACTCGGGCTATATAAACACTGCACACTGTAGGTTTTTCATTCCCATCACCACCACCAGTAATTTCTCTCATTTTCTGTAATTATTAAGATAAAATAAGTAGTGATATAATAAGTATAACACTAGAAATATAACATTTTCAACGTATGTAAAATTCCAAGTCGATTGGATCAATTTACGAGAGTTGAGACGGACGGACAACACATGCACATAATCCCTGGGTCGGGCTGAACAGAATTTTCACCGAAAGTAAAAATAATTAAAAATTCTTTTGTTTACCTAGTGACGGCCCCACCCCTAGAGCAAATGCTTTAATTCACCCTGATTATCATTCTATATGGGGCACCGCCAAGATTCCTAAACTTTTTAGCTTGTTTCCGTGGAGGAAATGTATTAGGATTATGTAATGTTACATAATCTTAACACATTCACTCCACGGAAACAAGCTAAAAAGTTTAGGAATCTTGGGGCACCGCGTAGCGGTGTCAATTAATCGCGAAATAAGGCTTTTAAATTCGTTGATATGACCACTGAAACCAAAAGATAAGAATGATATGCTTACACGCAACATGCATTGACAATTAGCTATCATAGTCAAAAATATCATTTACAAGCCTGCAATTTGATCGAAATATGTGTACGGCTAATGTCTAAACTTCATTTCATAATCCATTTACAATATAACAAATGAATCCTTATAGTTAATTTCATTACTGTTGAATAATAATAAAATTAGGCAGGAAACTTTACAAATGAATATTTATTTTTATAAATAGTAAAATACTGAGGGGCACAAAAAATATAATTTAAAAAACAATTATTGTAAAATCATAACATTTCGCAGCACTTCATGTCCACATTGTTTAAGGATGTATCATCAGAGTCTATGCCAAAGTTAAACAAATTGTAAGCAATTCAATAATTAGTGCTTAATTAATGAGGCTGAAATTGACTTACTATGCCCTTGTGGAGACTGGACCTGAAATATCAGTAACGTATAGTATTATAACTATTTATACAATTACAATATGCAATTATTATAATTGCAAATTGCAATTATTATAACTATGCAATACACAAATATCGCATTACTTGAGTCCTCAGTCCACATATAACAGACTTCCATGGGCAGAGCTGAATGTTGCTCCAATTTCCCCATTGCAACCCAGCCCCCTCCAGATAACCTTTCGTACCAGAGCAATAAATTCTAAGATTGTTGGCAGCCGTGTTGTCGTTTCTTTCTTCAAACGCTTCGGATCGAATTTGAAATCCTACGGCGTATCCCCGGGGGCACTCGTACGACGAACCCCAGCTGCCCCATTTCCCAACCAGGCTCTGTATTCGCCTGCTTTGGATTGATCGCGAACTTTCCCCAACTTTTCCACATAAAAGCTGAACGCCGTTTAATCCCGTGTCATCCAATGGACCTGTTTGCATTAAAATAACTTATCTGAATCTTTGATTCCTTATTATGCGTTAAAAAATATGAATAAATTACCTTGAAATGGTTCTGTTTTCAGACGAAATCCCATGACAAATGTCCCATCTGGACACGTCTCCAAGTCTCCCCAATCCCCAAAATTGGTTTGTCTGGGGGATGATAGCACCGTAAGATTGCTTTGACATACATTAGCACAAAATTGAAAGATTATTAATATGGTTAAGCACGCTTTGAATGTTTTTGCTGTTCCGAACATGGTTACTCGCACACCAACCCGTGTGAATATGAAATGAAAACTCATAATGGCCTGACGCAAGGGTATTTATACTCAATTCAGATTGGTTAATTTCAATTGTAAAGATTTGCCTTAAAGATAAAGCGGAAAAGTTTTACAATATTAATAATATTATGCTTACCATGTAATCAATTTACTGCCGCACTGTCAACACGTTAAAATTGTGGTGTGAACTGTGAAGCATTACTCATGCTGTGTTAAGATCGAAGTGATGAAATCCAATGTCAACTTAGTTCTTTGAATGTCTTATCATTTCCAAAAATATATATTAATTTGTGTACATATGTACATATTTTGCGATGAAGTTATACTGGTGAATTCATAAAAAATCCTTAAATATGGTTAAGAATGAATCAATGAGAATTCACAGCCAGCATACCGTCAGCATTACTGCGAAAGCACGCATGTAGCAACCTCGCGTGTTTCATAATGATACACACTCATGTATGTAAAATTACTTATGGAATTTTATGGTCACAATTTTTTATTCAGCGCATTATGGCAAAAAGATTCCAAGCTTTTTAGCACGAATCAGGGCTTATGGAACCGTCATTTCTGTCCGTCTGTCAGGCCAGATAGAGCCACCACGGCTGAACCAGTTGACTTGAAATTTTCACCATAGTATATGAGAAAAAGTTAGAAAACAATTCGAAGAGCGAAATCGGTGCAAGTGAGATCAGATTTACGAATTTGATAGAAATTTTTAGAAATTTGGTAGAGGAGGTCCAACAGGGTGACCACCACTGCTTTTTGAAATTGGTAAAAACTGAGATTTTTCATGCTGGATAAATGTGACAGTTGATACTGATTGACAATATTATGTCAAGTGTATGGCACCTTGTCTTAAAACTATTTATTGTGGCTATAACCTGCATCGTTGAATTTGCATTACAAATTGGTAATAATCGTTGCGTCATTACATAAAAAATTTAAATAGTAGTCTGATTAGGGCTAAATGAAGTCTGCACTGTAGGTTTTATTTATTTATTTACTAACATATGTAAATAAGTGCAGATGTATGCAAGAACTGTACGTTGACAGTTTTCATTGATTATTTATGCCAATAATGCCACTATGAGGGTATTCATTACGAGTTCGCATGTTCGCATCGCAACATAACGTTTTAGAAATTACGAATTTTGCGAAGCAAAGAAGTGAAGACACTTCGCAAATGAAAAAGTTCGTAAAATTTGATTCGAATGTCTTGAATTTTGCAATGGGGAAAAATTCGTAAATCTCCATTAGTTACCGAAGTTTTGTGTCTGAAATTTACCAAATAAAAAATTTCAAAATTTCAAAACGCCAAACTCCGGTAACCAATAGAGATTTATGGACTTTTCCCATTGAAAAATATTTTGCGAACTAAATACTAGCCCTGGAGATGCGCAAGTTCGCAAAATGATTTTCAAGCCAAATTTTGTTGCGAACTTGCGAACTTTATTTTTTTGCGAACGTTGCTAACGATGCGAACTCAAAATGAATACCCTCTATGTATCTGTGGCGCTGGAAGATTTTAAGTGAATGGTAATAATGGTACGTATTTAAGGAAAATCATACATCAACTTATATGTTTATGCTAACAGATCAATTCGAATTTTCATGAATGAATGAAATGTATCACTTGAACAATCTCTTATTACTACGTCTAAAAACAAGGTCCCTAAAAAGGGGAAATCTTAGTGAGGGAGTGCAATCACAACTAATAAATAAAATTAGATTGAAGAATTTTTGCACCACCGCTCTCGGTACCATTTTTACTGGATGCAGTATAAATTTTTCTTTGCATACGCATGAATTCTTAGTTTTATTGAATAAATTGAGGGAGGAATACATTTTTACTGTGTAGTGAACGAGAAGTGGGTTAAATTAACTGAGGTAGATATGTAAGATATGATGGCTAAATAATTATGAGCTACGTATTTGTTTAAAAAAATATACAAATTTCAATTTGATATATTAATTTGGCTACTCTATGCAAAATCATCGAACCTTTTGAGGGAGCAAGTGTTCTATTTAAACGATTAATGCTTCCAGTAAAAATGGTACCGAGAGCGGTGATGCAAAAATTCTCCAATCTAATTTTATTTATTAGTTGTGATTGCACTCCCTCACTAAGATTTCCCCTTTTTAGGGACCTTGTTTATTTATAACTTTTAATTGGGTGATTAGATTCTCCATTGGATGACTGCATTGCACTACCCCTTTTCAGTAGTTTGGCCCGGAATAATTTTATTGAATGCTGGGTGTTTAAAATTGAATAAATCCGTCATTTCTTAACCGATTTATATCATTTTGGTCAAAATGTCCGGCCTAGATTACTAAACACCAAAAGACCTGATCTGGAGGTGCAAAACCAACAACAACAATTTCACGCAGTTTACCAAGCATGTTACAGAAGCAACGATTAGTTGTGCTGTTTACAGTTTTGAATGCAATTTGTTTTCAATTTATTAGTCTTGCGTCGTTGTCAATGACAATGATTCGTAGCACGAGCAGGAATTTCTGAACTTCAAATTGGAATAACTAAGCCAATTCTTAACGGATTTTGATATATTTATACTTAAAATTTTCGGGATAAACTGCTCTACAATTCGTGGGTATCAAACTGTTGATAAAGTTTGCTAGTAACTAGCAATAATTACAAATGTGTTTCTAAGGCTACATTTTTGCCCATAATTCCGGTCAAGATCACGTAATCGCTTAGTCGGATCAGATCCCTTTTCTAGATTATGTAACAATGACCGGTGCAAAATTTCATCAAAATCGGTTGAGAAACGACTGAGATATCGCAGATGGTCACTTTTTTGGGGTGGGTCAAATGCATACTTAGTAATTTTTTAGTTGCTTGGTATTTGCCTCACTAAGAAAAATAAGGTGTCTTATTACTACTAGTAGTAGAATCTCAAGGACAAGATGCTAATAACAAATCTGAAAATATATTTTTCCAAGATCCATCGACTATAATTTTGGTCTTGGCAACTCATATAAAATTAACCTTATAAAAACTAATTAATTTTGACCTGGATACCATTTAAAAACAGAATTAAAAATGGTTTCTATTGCATTTGGGGGCGGATTTACTGGGGGGCAGAATACCATTGAGACCGACTTGTGGGGCGGTGATAAAATCAGTTGGGGACTGAATTAATGCAAACCGATTTTGAATATTCTACTGATGCAGTTATGATTTATTAGAGACCTGGAACTGATTCGACAACAAAAATTATAACATAATACATTTTTAACATGAAATTGCAACTGAACCAAATGAACACACGATATTAATTTTGATAAAAAGATCGGATTTGATTTTGATAGTACTACAAAAATAAACTAAACGAATAAATCGTCATCATTCATGTCATCAATTTGATGACACTGATTTTGGGATGATTTTATATTTTAAACAAGTTATTAGCTATAATTTTGTCCTTCAGTGTTCTGTGACTTGTTCCGATCGGTGGTGACACTATTGCGAATATATTAGCTAAAGAGAACGTTGTGATAATTTAAAAAAAATATGAACTGTATCATATTTACAACATGATACAGGTCAGAGGTCAACGCCGACCAATTTATTAGCGGCGCCAATGTTGGATAATTTTTCGGGGGCGCGGCGTGACCTCTGATGCACTTCCTCCGAGTTCCTCCCCCCACTACAACTACAACTCTAAACTCTAAAAAAATTAGTTCAGGCTTGAAGAAAAACCAACGACAAATAAGGAGGAAAGAATGGAACTGAGAAAATTTTCTCGGTCATTTTATTTTTATTTTTTCCTACACCTTATTGATGTAGCCCGGTCTCAACGGAATTCTGTAACCATACACCTTATTGGTGGAATCCGTCGCCAACGAGAAAAAGTTGGCCTACACCTTATTGGTGTAGTCCGTCGCTAAGGCGAAAAATTTGGCCTACACCTTATTGGTGTAGTCCGTCGCCAAGAGATCGAAATCGCCCTACACCTTATTGCTGGAATCCGTTTTTAAAAGGTTAAACAAAATCCTGAGTCTATCGGAAATTAATGTTTTCTTCTATTCATCAAAATTTCTGATTTGTCAGCCAATCCTACCAGATAGATTATACTCGAGAATCATCAAATTCCCTGTCCTCATTTAATAAATCAAGTTATAAACTCATACAAAATGCCAATCTGTGTCGGAAAATGTCCCGTGCCATGGCCCAACATCATGAACAATCGTCACTGCCTGGACCAGCCAGAAGTTCCCGATGAACTAGTCCAACTCCGATGCAACCCCCACGTTCGGCTTACCTGCATCCCAACAAAGAGTTTCGAAGCGAAAAAATGTGACAACCCCTGTGCCCCCAGGGACCATCTGGACATTGCGTTGTCTGCTTGTGAGACATTATTCAATCTCTATGTTGCATATTCCCATCATTTTCAATGCTTATCTGATTCATGCAATTATTTCAGGTTATGACCATCATCGCCAGTGGTAAATAAATATGCTCCATTTTGACCTTTTAATCAACTTGAGTTTCACCCAGTATGTAATTGTATATATATTTTTTAAATACAAGGTGGGCTCCTAAAGCTCAAACCATCATGCAGTGCCCCACATACCGACTCTTCCCATGGGGAAGGTAACGCCTTTCAAGTTTTGCGACCCATTGATTAATGGAATTTATATATTGGCTTAATTCCTTTGATGCAGAGCTCAAGCTCGAGTTTGCCGACTGAAATGCTTACCGGACGACCCTTGTCTCAATTATTGCAATGCTGCGACGCAAGAGCAAGTGATGGTCAACCACGAACCTTATCGAAATGATGCAAGCCATATGAACTGCAGCATCGGGTACTTTTTTATTTTGACGCTAAATAGATATCGTGTGTTTAGATGTTGATCTCATTCTTGTTGATCTTGTCATTATCTAAGGTCACCCCACATTTCCAACACCAACCGAGGCTTTGCTCGACCTATGCTCGACGGACTTTTCTACAACTCGTAAATTGGGAGTTTGCAAATTTTTTCAGATTTTTTATGCAGCCTGACAATTCAAAATTCTTGTGAAACTTGACTTCTCGCACCTAATAAAATTGATTTGAGGAGATTAAGGTGAAAATTTACTTAATTTTTCATCCTCATTCACGATGATGAACTGTGACGTTCATGGGCTTCAGAGATATGTAAAAGTTGTCCGAGTAGCATGGAAATAGTTGACACGTGCAGTGCACACATAAATATCTCAACTTTTGGTTAAATCTGAAGATTTGTTACATAAGCCAGTGATAGTGAATAGCAGTCATCGCGCATGTATTAATATTTAGCATCGCCTGCATTTATTTTCGTAATCTTTCATCTTCCACATACGCTGAATGAATACTTTATGTACATATTTAAGTGAGCACAAGTAAAACAATTTTTGCTTGTGCAAAATTAAAGCTTATTTCATGGGGCAATTATTATATGTCCATATAACATTTGGAAGAATGAATAAGTACAATTCTACTCTTCTTGTATATCGGCATCTTCATCTTCAGCGCTTTCTTCTCCTGAATTATTTTCCGTCGTCTCTGTTGCCACACTAATGTCTGCTTTCTTTGGTTGTTTTGGGGAAGCAGATTTTGTGGTCACTGAAGTTTTTTTCTGGCTTTCTTTCCGTGCAGGACTATTTGTATCTCTTCTGTGCTGATTTCCATTTGTGACGTCATCCTCATTCAGCACTTCCTTTGGAATACGAGAAGTTATTTGTCTCGCAGGTTTTGACTCTTCCACGGTGAATTTCTCTGTATGCTTCCCACTCAGAGATGACGAGGAGGGGGACGAAGAAGAGTCTGGATAAGCCACGTTGTGTTGACCAGGAGATTGCTGCTGATACTTTCTCATTGGGATCAAAAACGATTGGACAGTGTTAGCCAACGCAGTTTGCTGATGTCCGTAAACTTGACCAATGGAAGAAGTCACGGCCGACTGTGCTGACCACAAGGCTATGTTCTGAACATAAAGAACTGCGCAATTAGTAAAATGAGCTTATTCTTTCAGTAATAAAATCCTAACTTGGTTGTCTTCCATTTGGTCCATGGCAGCTTGTCTTGAATCTCCAAAGGTTTCATACATTCCTGCAAAACCACGCTTGAATCGTCCGTACTTTGTCTCAATATTAGTCGATGATACTGAAATAATAAGGCAGATAAAAATATGACTATTGATTATCATGTAATAAATGTTAATCAATTTTACCTTGTCCAATTATCATTGCAGTTATTAAAACTTTGAACATCTTGTCGAGAAATATTGTTAATTATAAGTTGGGAATTGGTGACTACTTTAATACTGATATCTACCAACAACTGTCGAGTCTAATACTGATCTAGTTCGACTTATCGACTTGATATGATTTTTTGGGCGAATGAAATTAAGGTGGTTTCAACTACTTGCCAAAGAAAACGTTGTTTAAAATCATGGTGAATGACTTGAAGCTCATTGTAGAAAAGTCTCTGCAAGATTTTCACATTTCTTGATTCAACAAAAGTGAACACAAGATTGGTGAAGAAGAGTTGCATAAATTTACTTTAGAGACAAAAGTAATGCGACGATAATGAACCAATCTTGGTATTATTATCTTATGTAATTAACATGCGACTTTTGTACTGCATCTTATGACTTGTTACTCTAGTCAAGCTTTTCCTATTTCCTTTCTATCACAATAAATCGCATACAATTATCTTAAACCCATCCTGATCATTGAAACGATATTGCCAAAGTAAAACACCAAATACAGCAACAATGTGTCAGCAACCAAATTCAATGCAAGTAAAGTGAATGAATCATTGTCCACAAATGTGGAACCGAATTACATCACCGTAATCAATCCCTGCATTTCTGATCATTCACCTCTCGACTGCTTTTGGATATCTTGATGGCATTATTCCCTCGCATCTAGGAAATGGGTTCAACTAAAATTCGTCGGATTAGAATCGTTGGAAAATATCTTAATGCGTCTAAAATTAAAATGAAATGAAATTTTTTTTCTTGTGGAATCGGGAATTATTAATTTAGTGTGGATTCGTCAGAAAAGTGTATGTACACAGAACTTCATGACGTACATACATATATTATATAGAGGTACCACAAAACCCGTCATCATTCATTGTCATATGAATGGTTCTATTTAGAGCAATGTTGCTATCATCTCATCGTCATTAACTATGCACATGGCCGGCATTGTAATTTCGCAAAATCATACTCAGCATGAGCCCGATGAGCTATGATGTCATCAACCCACACAAAAAACGCACAACTCTGAAATGCACACTTTTATTCAAGTTGTAATGTTGAGCATAAAAGGAGAACTTATTGACATCAATTATTACTGGTATTGGTATGCAGGCCTTTTCTCTTGCGTAAATATACTACTCTTGATCCTTAATCTTTGTCAAGCACGCATTTACACTCACGTGGGTGTAAATAAAAGGCACCTTAAGTGATAGAGTAAATTCCGTTATGCTGCATTTTATTTATATACAAGCTAATATGCTGATAATTAGCCCACCAACTGTCCAACAACGCCTACAGTCTTATTATCAACTGGTTCAGTCAGTTGCGATATAAAAAAGAAGGTGCATCGGGTACAAGAGTTTTGAATCTCATAAGAAAAAGGAAACGGTGAAGTCATCATTCAGCAAAGAGTCATATATGAGCGATCTTGTAGGATCACTATTCCATGGCAAAGAGTGACATGAGATTGGAACGCATGCTGTCACAAAATAAATAATGAGGAAAATGTATACGCGACTGATGATGCTTTGTGTGAGAATGCATCCCATAAAACCACTCGAGGAATTGGATTAGTCATCGTGTCCGCGATTATTGCAACTCGTATGCCTTCTTCTTGTTCATCAATCCTATGCAGCCCCCAGATTACTCGAATATCTCCCCACGTGTTGGTGTGAAAAGTGGTAGTCAGAAGTCCGGAAAGGTATGCCAACCACGGCGAATGTTGAACTTGGTCAAGAAGTGACGAGGGTGTAGCACGTATGCAATGCAGGGCCGCAGGTGGGTTGGACGGTAGAAAAAATGTTGTCATATAAAAGAATGGAGCCATCTTCCTGATTTCATTCATTGATGCAGAGCTGCCAGGAAACAACGACGGAGACTTATTACATATTCTCAACCGATCAATTAGCCCTGCATTTCAATATCGTTCGTATTAATAGCTCAATACTCAAGTAAGTCTAACTCTAATTTAAATCTAGCACAACTTCATAATTTGCACTTGTGACCGTTAATAGTCTAATATACCACTTGATTATTTCAGAAATGGCAGTTTACTTCAAGTCCTGTGCATTGCTTTTCTGCTTGATTTTTGCCATGTCAATTGTGTTTGAAAACTTTGGAGGAGCAGAAGCGAAGCGAGTTCCAAACTACATCAAACCCAGGAGAAAGTGCCCCAAAGGGGAAAGACGAGGCTTTGACGGGATCTGCAGAACCTTTGAACAGCACCGCAGAATGAATCAACGATTCAAGTACATTTTGACCTCCTCAACATAGTTCTCGTGTGATGAAAGTAGAACAAATACGTACTTTCCGGCATCTCGTTCTGTACTTTTAGTACTGTGTATTTATCAATATGATTTTCGCTTATTTATGGCATATTTCTGCCATGTTTTGTATTTTTTATATCGGAATGTACTGGTGTGACAAAATATTTAGCAATACATAATCACACCATTTCTGTTTCCAATGTTGGGACGTGCCATAATAATTGCGGTGAAAAGTTACCCATGTACTAATTGAATGATGTATGTATGCAGTTGAAGGGATGTATTTTTTGGTTGTGAAAGCCCTCAATGTTTTCTGATACTGTAAAATATTTCACTTAAGAGTCAGTGACTGAATAATGGTAGTGATTCATAATTGTTATTTATAGTTGCGTAATTGAGGTTTTGTGGTATTTTATATTTTTGTAATTTCCATGTTTTGATTAGATATCATATTCGGATGCAGCAATAAATCATGCGATTCCTTAATTTTTTTAACTTGCTCAACAGTTTAAAACAACAAAAATCGGATGTGGCAAAGTTAACCAATATTTTAAAGCATGTCACAATTCTTCCTGCCTAGTACAAATTGTCATATAAAAGCGTTTAAACTCACAATTTCTTACTCCATTGACGTTTCCGTTTTCCCTGGAGAGCTTTGAATACTACAACCACACATACAGCACAACGAGTAACACCATTATTTACCTTATTATTGAAATTTTTTAGTACGCTATAATTTCTATATTGAATCCTATTTGGCCCCACAGACTTAGACCTCACACAATGATTTCTCCAGTTCGACTTATAATTTTAATCTGCTGGGTCGTGTGCCTTCTCGGACTTTTTGGAGTTGGAAGCATTGAGGGAAAGAGACATTCCAATATTCAGGCAAGATATCGACATCGCAACTGTCCCAGTGGTCACATTAGATCCCCGGATGGGGTATGCAGAAGATGGGCATAATTTATTACCGAAGTATTTGATGACTCAATAATTGTGAAATAATAATTTTGCTTTCTGTAATAAATTGTCTGTACAAAGTATTTTATTGAGTATATGTATGTAGCAGCATGAGATCAGTCATAAAACAGCGTTAGAAATAAATAAATTTTTGTAGATATCAAACTAATTTTTCTATACACTATGGCTCATACGGAGGACAATAAACCTTATCGGGAGACCCACACACTTTGGAGAAGTCGTCAAATATGTAGTCTTCTGGGCACACAAACCTAAATAAACGTTTGTACAATAAATGATTAAGTATATAACTAATTAATCATTATAATTATTCGCAGATTAATAGTTTTTAGCAGCTTACGGCATAATTGTACCGTCCGGTTTACAATAGTAAAATACTTTGCACCCACGATAGTAATCCGCGTAGTACCCTTCCTCACGACCAAAACAGTCAAAGTACACTGGAAACGGCCATAATCTGTTTTCTTTTCCTCCTTCAGATTGTGTCATTTTGTGTTCCAAGCCTATGAGTAATCGTAAGTTTGAGAACATGACGAGATTTGAAATGTATTTATTGTCTCAATTTAAATAATAACCTTACCAGTTGTGGTTTGTAGACTAGAGAAATATGATACAATAATAAAACCGACACAAATTGACGCTCTCATGATGTCTATTTTGGAATATGGTTTATTGGCAAGTAAATATCTACCGTAAGTTACAAATCACTTTGGGAGCAGGTTTGCAATGTTATGATGTCAATGTTGATACTGAATTATTGTCCAAATTCTGCTTCTTTTATATGGTTTATAAACTCCTAAGTTAACGTGTAAGGTAAATGTCGCTTGAGTTCAGTTGCATCAAAAATTCACCGTAATGCGTCACAAATGATAATCCCATGCACGTAAATAATCCTGGAAATAAATATATCTATATTTTTTGTTAATTTACATTATTGCTAAACGGATTTTACACAAAGTCAACGTCATGCGAAATTTTCAATCAATCAATGATAAAGTCAACTTTGTGTGACCACGAGCTGATTGCATACCTTGGCTTACGCATGGCAATGGAAATTTAAATTGCAAACTCTTATATTTTGCTATTATTAGAAGGAAAGATTATACAGTCTATTTTAGGATTGACATATTTGCAAATTTGATAATGTTCGACTAGAAATTTGGATTAATCTTTTCAAGTGTGTTTTTTAGAGATTGATGACAATGTCAGGATCTTTCTTTTCCATCCGCATTTTGCCAGTTTGAATGTATTCTTTTCGGGCTTCATCCTGAAATCATATGCATCACAATTGATATCCCATCTCAATTGCTAAAATTATCACAAACTAAAAAAAGTGAATAGGTGTACTTTGCTCATGTTCCCGAGTTGCTTCCATGCGGTCCAATAACTGTGTTCGTAATGGTCATCTTTGGGGGGATCCGGGTTCGTATTTGGTCCTATCGTGGCTTGAGAGTAGAGTGCCGCCAATTTCAGTCTGTAACCAAGATTGTTGATACGAATGAAGTGAAGTTTGTAGCAAACAACTTCAAAGTCGTCGGGCGTTTCCCCAGGTTTCAAAAACACGGGAGGCTCATGAGGGTTCAATTTACTGTGATCTCGGTTTGGGTCAATCCCAAATCGTCTAGGCTTTGAGCGTGGTCCAAACTCTGCACTATAAAAGGATTTTCCTATTTGATCCCATTTGGAGTTGGAGTTCAGAAGTTCAGAAGATCGTATTGATGGACCGCAACTGAGAGAAAACGAAAAATTGCAACAACAATTATGAGAGGACCAATGAATCACTATTAATAACTTACATTGCGACATTGCGTCGGAGTAGTGCTGCAAGACGGTTCATTTAACGGTCGGTCGTTGTATATGTACCAACGATGTGTGATTTGGTAGGGAAGTTTATGTATCAACTTTCACCGCACAAAAACCAAAGATTATTGTGAATTACACAATCGTCGAGGGAAAGTAGTAGCAGTGTAAATGATGGTTTTGTAATAATCCACCTCAAGTTGTCAAGGTTTATATTAAACCGAGCTGTACTGGAAGATATGGTAGATGTTCAGAAACATGCACATATCATGTATTTACAAACTAGAGGACAGGAAAATAATTGGCCTGGTAGAAACTAGAAACACAACTGGGATGAGCTAGTGAGTACAAGCTGTAAAGCACATGGGTTTGGTAGACTCGGAATTGAATCGATGATCTGGGAAGAATATGTAAGGACAAGCACGTTGTTGGTTCGGAACAGTTACACGTTCTCTACTCTAATAACTTGCTCAGCCCTTTTATAAATGGCTAAATGGTCGATTGAAATAAATCCAAATTGTTCACACTTGATCAAATCCCACTCATTTGTGGGGAGTTCGTTAAAATTCTCAGCCAATTCTTTAGGTCCTGGAGAACAAAATTGTTCAGATGAGATTGGTCCAATTAAAACAACAAATTTACCCCGAAAACTTGCTAAATACTCTGAAAACATTTTGAGATTGTTGAAGTAACAGAAAATGGTCATGTCATTTGACTGTCCAAATTTATTTTCTATTTGAAATGTTTCTGGATAAAACTGGAGTGGAATGAATTTAGGAGGCGAATAGATTGAGTTCCACCAATTGCTGTCCACCTCGACACCGATTAGTTTCACATTATCGTTCTTTGACATTTTTTGCTTATCCCGTTCAACAGTGATGAATTTGAGCATGAGCCACTCCAATAAACCGGAACCACATCCTATGCTGTAAATCGTGAACACTTTTTTCGAAATGACAAATTGAGCAAACTCAATTAAATTCTTCTCCATTGGCAAAGGCCATGTAACCAAATGCAACTTTCTGAGAGAGTCTGATCGACAAGACTTATCCGTCGTAAACACACAATCTCTGAACACGTTAACAATGCCCAGTTCATTATCCTCTTGGTGAAAGGTAACAATTTTCTCGATCAATTGATCACCCTGTCCACTCATTATTATTTACCTTACCTACAGAATAAACCTATTATCTATCGGGCTACGTAAAAATATGTCATGCGACCAGAATGTGTCTATGATTTTAGTGAATATGGAATGGGTTTCCGATCCGACTCAAATAAAGTAATGACCTTAACCGACAGACGACAAAAATCCTTTCATTATATTCGATTCACTTGTGCTTTAATCTTTGCATTCATTTGGCTCATTGTGGAAACATCAGAGAAAATAATTGGCAATTCTCCAGTGCACATGTTATTGCTCTTTCGAACAAAGACCTCACAATACAGTAAGCCTAAACTCTAGCTATACTATTACATATACCGCACCGTAAGCTATAACTGAAAAGAGACTCATTATATTTACAACTGTTTATTTAACTAACTTTTAACTATTATCATCACGTCATATTATACATATATCGAATCATTAAAAATCAACAAATACAATAATATTAAAGCTTGACTACTTACAATTTCAGATGAGACGGGTACAAAGGAGTATCTCATGATTTTAAGCTTTGAGATTGAACGGTGAAGCGCAAGTTTTGGGTTTGTCATGGGTAAAAATATTGCGTAAAGGTGAACCTGGTGAAAGTTTGTTGGATTATCGGCACTTAAATTACTAGGATGAACGGAATAACTGAGCCAAAGGACTGCAAAGTTGTCGGATTCTTAAGTAATTTTGAGGTAAAATTGATAATAAATATTCCTCGAATTATTTAGTTACTTTATCTATTTTTTAATAGCACACGAGAGTTTTTTTACTTTCGTATTGCTTTCTATAGGTGTTTACCTATTTCAAGGAGAAGAAGGAGGAGAGCTACAAGAATTACAAGCAGGCTCAGAAACTGAAGAGGAACACGCACATGAACACAGTCACGTACGAAACCCTGCAGTACTTGCAAACCACTCCCTGCGCCGTCCAGACCAAGGATGCCGTCGAAATGTACATGAATCTAATTCAACCCTTTGGACTTACCAAAGCAGAAAAGCTCACCATTTTGAACACGGTACGTTATGTCATTATGCGGTTTTGAATTCTAGTTTAAGATAATTCATCTTATGACTATGTTGATTTTTTAGAGACCAACTCAACCTGTCGATATTCAAGCCATTGTTGAAGAAAGTGAAGAAAGGCTCAGCGAAGACCAGATTAACGATTTAATTGATGTTATTCAAAAAACATTACCTCCCATTCCCTCAGGCGATGAGGAGAAGTCAGACCAGGGCGAATTATCGTCGTGATATTCTTCAAAGAACTGATGTATACTATAATTCATGCATAATAAATATAGATAATTTTTCATGCCGTTAGTATAAGCCAAAGTCCAGACAATAAAACGAAAAACGCATGCTATAGTTGATATACTGAATAATGTCAAGTTTTTATGATAATGTTGCAATTTTATTTAAACATCCGACCTTGTTGGTCAACACGGGACCAATCGTCTTTGAACTAGTCAAAGCCATTGTCGACAGCATCGCAGCCACAAGAATTGCATAATGATGAGCCGCATATTTTCCCAAACTGTCATTTGATTATTAATTTAATATGCTCTATTACAATGGGGCTTGATTCCAGGCCAGTTCAGATTATTATAACTCGTGGGTTTGTGGTGATGATAAAGAGGAGGATTCTGTTATGTCTTGCACTTGTTTCCTTTCGATAAATATAAAAGCATTCTTTGTTCATGACTGTTACACTGTTAGTGTCAGTACAAGAAAATAATACGACATGAAAATATCAATGGTACCAGACCAAAACTGTATTCTCCAAATTAAGAATAGTTACATTACATTTTATAATGCGAGGATAATCACAAGTTTAAAGATTGATGAGTTTCATCCACAACTTACATTACACTTATATTTCATGTAAGTTTAATGAGTCAGTCAAATAAATAATCCTGCTTCAGCAGAGTCAGGACTTTACATACGAATAACACGAAAAATTTTGTAACTTGATACTTGACTTTCTCATGTGCAGCATTTTGTGAGACTTGACAAGACCTCGGTACATATTTATTAAGTATTTGATTAGTTAGTTGTTACTTGTTATTTCGTGCCTCAAGGTGAGAGTTGAAAGTTGAGAAACCAATTTCTGGTTATACTTTTAATACTAGATTACCCTAGATCGCGTCTACTTCAGTCATCCATTCTTATTTTTACATCTCAAATTCAATTGCACTCTTAATTCCAAATCAATCTCAATCAATCTCAATCAATCTCCTCAATCTCAATATTTCATAGACGTACCTCTGGGGGAATTTGATATCATGGAGGCGTTCAGGTCGTTCCCCTTATTTGTTGCAATATTGACGGCAACAATGGTGACGAGGGTTAATTGTGACCTTACACACATGATTGAGTCGCCCAAGATTACAAACTGGGGAGCTTGGGGTTCGTTGGAAAGTTGTCCAGTGGGGGCATTTGTGGTTGGGATGCAACTCAAGGTGGAGAAAGCAGATGGATGGAAGGACGATTCGGGACTCAATGGGATCCGCCTATTTTGCTCTCGCCTGGGATCATCTATCGACATTTACGAAGAGTCCCCAGTCGTAATTTCCAGCTCGGTAGGCCCTTATGGCGAATGGAAACAGATTTTCCGTTGCGGGGACAAGGACCTTAATCCCAAAACATCAGCTGTGGTCGGATTCTCAATTAAGGTCGAAGATCCGAGAGGAGTTCACGACGACACGTCCGCAAATAACTTTCGAATATTTTGCAAAGACCTTGAGGATGATACAGGAGACAATAACAACAATAAGAGTGACACCGAGGAGGAGGCTCGCCCACAGCAACATTTGACGGTAGAAGGGGATGGGACTTCTTGGGGAAAGTGGACTGATTCTCAGCTCTGCAGAAACGGATATGCCATTTGTGGAATCGCAACACAAGTGGACCATGGGCATGGAGAGGGAAAAGGATGTAAGTTGCTGACCATCTAAGTAGTTGTAGTTTAATTTAACTTTACATACGTATATGATAAGTGCATACTTAACCATCAGTTGATTTGTGTGCTAGATGATGATACAGCTCTAAACAATGTAAGAGCCGAATGCTGCAGAATCCGCTTTCATTCTTTATACGAAGAATTGGACCTACCGAGAAAAAATGACGACGTTATATTTCCCGACCCAATAGAGTCAGCAAGAGAACTGCAGAAGTCAATTATTGAAATGCAACAAATTACTCCAAGAAACCAGAAAACGGACCTTCATCAAAATCCCCATGCAACTCCAGATGGTAATGATGCCTCACATAACGATCGACTTATCATAACGGTCCCACAAGTTCTCACGGTGGACCATTCAACTACAACGGAGGTACCAATTTCTCCTTTGGATGAAGCAGAATTAATGTCAAGGACCAAGTCTGAGAATTCTAACCAACTTTCGCAGGAATTATCGCATCTAGCAAATCTGGATTTTAGTCATCCCGAACTGACAACGCATTTCAAGATTGCTTCAGATCCTGACGGGACATTTCCAGAACATAACGATGGTGTGACAACGATTGATGAGATTGCTGCGAAACCAATCGTTCCCCCTGAAGTCGTTCACTATATTGAGTCCGACATTAAGGACGAGGATGCCGACCCGGATCTAATTCATATCAAAGTTATCGCAGGTTCCATCAATACGACGACCACCAAGTCGCCTCAACCACCACCCACAGGAAATAGAAATGCAATTGATACTGAAAATGACGATGGCGACACCATTCACAACCCGCTACTTGTTGCCTCCAACGCCAATAAGCCCCTGTACTCGACTTGCTTTATTATCATACTGTGCACATTTCTTGTTTGACGACATGCTAATTTAAAAACAATACTATTTTAGTACCTACCCGACTTGACAGATGACTAATGTTTAATATAATTGCAATGTTTTGTATATTTATTATTAGTAGACTGAATAATATAATGTTACAATAAATTTATCATGATCGTGAATTCATCCTTCACATTGGCATTTTCATGACTTTCATGACCGTTTGGGGCAGATTGATCTCAGCCACGGGGAAGGAATGGCAAATTCTCATCGTGAGCCACTCCACGTGCAGTTTGTTTAACTTGTCTTGCACTTTGCTTTGTTCGTCAAAGTAAGTTTTTGATTTTTTTTAAACAACTAATTCATAATTGTGCTACTGTAAAACCTCTGGCAGAGTAAGTACTTTGGGGAGTTCAGCAGTTTTATATCAATCTCAGGTGGAAATTTCAGCTTTAAACTTGTGCATTATTCTAAATTATTATTACGAGCCGGTGTGTAACTTTACACTTTGCAAGCTTGGATGTTAGTATTATATTTATATACAATAACATATTCTTAATTTCCAATTTAGATTAACAATGGGTGTCACAAAAAAACCAGGAAAACCATCTAAAAACCCAGACGCCATATCACCCAGCAAGGAAGCCAAAACATTTGACGACTTTCTGGAAACTCTCGATGACTCTGATGACGACTCGGAAATAGAAAATAGTGATGACGAAGAAGAAGTCGAATTAGATGAAAATGGAAAAAATGGATTCCAGCAACAGAATGGTAAAAGAAGCAACGGAGTTTCAAAAGCTGGCGTTGACGGTGACGACGACAAGGATGAAAGAGAATCAGATGAAAGTGAAGAGGACGATGATGATGACGAACAGTTAGAAGGAGATGAAAGTGATGTAGAAGAGGATATTGAGGAGGAGGAGGAAGATGGTGACGAATGTGAGATAACTGAAGAACCAAGTCGTAAAGGGATACAGGCAGGAGATGATAGTAACAGCGATAGTGACAATGACGATCGTGACCCGGAACAAACAGCCCAGGAACACAAGAAGGCTTTACAGCGACTTGTGGAAACAGATCCGGATTTCTTTGAGTATTTAAAAGAAAATGATGCAGATTTACTCAATTTCGAAGATTCGGGGGATGATAGCGCCTCGGAAGATGAAGAAGGTCCTTTGCATATACCTCCAGAAGAATTAGAGGTTTGACAAATCTTATTTCTCAGTTCTCATGTTTTACTTTTGTTTGTTTATTGATTTTACTTACAATTTTTGTGTATGCATTATTTAGGAAGCATCAGACTCGGAGGCAGAGGAGGAACGTATGGATGTAGAGTCAGTAGAATATAAGAGAAAGGTGGACAAATTGGTCGCAAAGGGGGTTGTAAGCCTTGAAGTTATTAAAGACTGGGAAACAAAATTATCTACCACCAGGTATATTTAGTCAAAAATGAATTATTATTTCATAATTAAGATTTAGTATTTAGTTAATTCAAACTCAGGCTAACGATGTGTAAATTCGGATGTCTTATAGGGATATTGGTGTGCTGGTTAATGTAATTGACGCATTTGAATGTGCCGTGCATCAAATTCTTGAAGATGAAGACTCTGACAAACAAAAATGGAAAGTAGATGGATCCGCTAATTTCAATGCCTTGGTTCGTTTATGCATCAAACATATTAAAGGCTTTTGCGTCCGGTATCTCTGTGGAAGCAACAATTTGGCAGTATCAGAGCAAAAATTCGACCAACGACCGATGGAATTCAAAGACAAATCTTCTCAGAAATGGAGCAAATTGAGAACAAAACTAAAAAAATACATGACCACATTGGTTAAGGTAAATAATTTGGATACTGCTAGGAAGGAATATTATTAAGGTGAATAGACTGAAGTACAACTAATTGGCATGCATCTTTTTGTAGTTTTTGAAATCAATGGGAAATTCGGACGCTGTTGCCTCGATTCTTCGTCATTGCCAAAAAATGAGTGGGTTTTGGGCAATTTTGTCTTCCAAAAGTAACAAACTTTTACGAACCCTGATTAATATTTGGTCATCAGGAGAAGACTCTTGTAGAATCCTTGCTTTTATGACAATAATCAGAATGACCAATTATAACCGTGACGCATTCTTGCAAAGGATTTATAAGGTAACTTTGCATTATATAAAACTTTGATGCAATTTATAATTTGGCATAAATAGGTTTATAAGATAAAACTTAATTAATTAACATATTGTTATATTTTTCAGCAAATGTATTTATCATATGTTGCAAATAGCAAATTCACATCTGCCAATACTTGGCCTGCACTGAACTTGATGAGAAGCAGTCTTACGGAAGTGTACTTGCTAGATTCTTCATTGGCGTACTCGATTGCGTTTCCATTTATCAGACAATTGGCAATTCATTTGAGGAACGCGTTAACAGCCGGAACAACAAATGCCCCATCTCAAACAAAACAAACCAAGAAAGAAGCATCCAGAATTGTTTATTCATGGCAATTTGTGCATTCCTTGAACTTGTGGGTTGACTTGTTGGCACATTCAAACTCTTCTCAAGATGAAAATCTTGCATTGTTGGTTTATCCTATAGTGCAGGTATTAAGCACATTAAATCATAAATAAGCTGTTGAATATAATCATGATTAAATATTAACTGAAACTCATGCACTTTGTCTACATAGATATGTCTGGGGACCATTCAACTGATACCAACTAAAAAGTACATTCCATTACGATTTTTCATGATCCGGATGCTAATTAAATTACAAGAAAAAACGGGAGTATTCATCCCCATACTTCCTTTAATTACAGAGGTACTTTTGCTCTATTTGCTTACAAGCAAAATATATAATCCCTCCTATTAACCAGAACATTCGTTGGGTATTTTTTGCAGGTTCTTCTCATGACAGATTTCAGTTTAAAATCCGTGTCCAAATTTTCTGCTAGACCTTTGGACATGAAATGTTGCCTGAAAGCTGATGCCACTGAGAGTGGTCATGGGAAAGCTATATCTGAGAATGTGTTTGAACTTATTCTTAGAACCTGTAAGGCTATAGCGACGGACTTGTCTTTCCCTGAAATTTTGACACCAACCTTAATGCAATTGAGGTCATTCTTAAAAAAGAAATGTAAAAATCCGGAAGTGTGTCGTAAATACAAATCTCTCATGGAAAAGGTGGGTTCAACAAAACAATGCAATTATTAATTTTTATGTATTATAGCCATATCAATATATTGTTGTAACATTAACCTACATTATTATTGTAGATTGATGCGAATTCCAAGTACATTTCTGACAAACGTAGTAAAGGATTGGATGCAGGAACTGTCTCGTTGTCAGATATGGAATCACAGAAGATATTGAGAGTACAAATGGAAACGACAAAACCTCATCCCCCAATTCTCGAATTCGCCAACGAATATCTAAAAGCCAATGCGAGAGTTCAAGCCAAATTGAGGAGAATCAATGTTGAAACTCGAGAAGAGAAACTAATTCCGAAACCGTCTGTCGTGAATGCTCAGAAACCAAAGTCAAAGAGATCGAATGACCAATTACTGGACTCTGATGATGATGACAGTGACACTGAATTTAAAACCAAACTTGACCCAGAACCGGAGGACATAGATAACGACGACGAGGATGATGTAAACCAACCTGCAAAATCTAAAAAGAACCCCAAACTGAAAAGGAAACTTGAGGTTGACGAGAAAGTTACACCGGGCAAAGGTAAAGCAAAGGGGAAGAATAAAAAATCAAAGAAACAGAGATTATGTAACGAAACGGAAGCCCAGGACGAACTCGTGGATTTAGAGTTATCAGACTAAAATTCATTTTGTTATCAGACAGTTTATTAGTTATAAAATTCATATATTTCATTTTATTGAATATTGTCATTTATGTATGTAGTTAGTTTATCCCAATAATACTGTTTATATTATGTCAATATTACTGTTTAAAAAAATATATAAAACATTTGGATGGCAGTTAGTTATTTCCGTTCGGAATATAGTAATTGTAGCCTTAAGTTATTCATATCGTTAACAGTCACATCCACCACAATCACAGTCTCCACAGTCGCAGTCCCCACAACAGTCACAGTCACAGTCCCCACAACAGTCACAGTCCCCACAACAGTCGCAGTCACAGTCCTCGGACTCGCAGCAACAACAGGAACAATCCCCATTTCCGGAATTGCGATCATGGTGGTGGTGATGGTGATGATGATGATGATCACAAGATAGCCATAGACAGCAAGTCCAGTCGTTCGTGTTTCCACTGCTGGTGTGGGGCAATATTGGGGGCGTGTATGAAGTATCACCATTAATAGATTTAACTTGAGCTTGATTGGTTATTACATTTTCTTGGCGTTTCTTGTCTTCTTCCTTTTCTATTCCCTCATCTGAAATTGTACGACTCTAGCAATATTTGTAAGAATATTAAATCTTCAGTAACACAAAATACCTGGAGATTCTACGGGGGGATTGTCCATGGTGTTCTTTTGCCTTCAGTTATTTATTAGGAATGACACAAACAATAATTATTTTTAGCACACTATGTATTTGAGTACAGTTTTTATTCATATGAGGAGGAGAGATGCTGTTTCAGGGATTATAAGCCTGAAAATGCACGCTGCTGTTCATCTTAGCTGCACATTTATTCAAAAGCAAACATAGGACGAGTGGTAGGTAACTATATAGTGTATCTTGCCACCTAATATTATCTGCATGATTCAGAGAACAACCAGTTTCATTTACGTTAATACATATAACAATACCAACGACTCTGATGATTCGCTTTCCGTTTACAAGTTTGCACGCAGACTGCAGAGTATACTTGGAAATCGGTGACGTGCAATTACAAAGGTTAGGCAGTATTAATTAATATAATAGATTGCCTCGTGTCTGAGTTTAATGTGTGTCTATTTCGTACATTTTGAATAGCGAGAATATTTTGCAGAAAGAACCCTGTGACAAATGCATGCAATACATATTCATCTCGTTTTCAGCATACCTGATTGCATATGTGCACCACTTACTACAACTTTACAAGCATTTCTTAATAAGAAGTACAATACACATAATAAGTTCTTATGTGCAGTGTATTTAATGTTTGAAATTGCTTTGCACATATTGCATACGCATAATTATGCTATACATATATGCGGATAAGTCGATATCAGCATATGATAAGCAAGATGATTAGAGTGCCAGTGCTGTTCGCCGATTTATCCTGAATTTAATATGAATAACCTGTACATCTCGATGCAAAACCCCGTTATTATACAACTTTAGAATATTTCTAAAGCTCAACTATATCAAATTTCCAGCCTACAAAATATATACTGGGAACATGCACGTACAAAGCATCCACATTCCATCAGTTTGCATGATAAATCGGTAATTTAAATTATGTGATTAATGGAGAAATAAGGTTCACACAACGTCGTTCATACAAATCTCATAAGACAGCTCGAGGTATTTAGAACAGAGGTATGCAACGGATAAGATGCATGCATGTTACTGAATGCTTATTTTTGATGCATTGTACAGAAGTTTGGATAAGGGAGGGTGAGCAAAGGGTGGATTTGTGATAAGCATATTAAGATGATAAAACTGCTCCTACCTTCCATCATCACTTGCATGCACTGAATGGAATAACAAGAACTTGATGAGATTCAGATAGCAAATAGAAGATGCAAATGGGACGAAGCCAGACAGTGCTTCCCGCTTTTGGTAAGAATTGCCGACCCAAGCCAGAGGAGCAGATTATTCGCTTTGGCGAAAAAATTGCACAAAATATTTATTGTGTCGATGTTCCAACGTCGATTCAGTTGTGTGATTGTGTGGGGATAAGCGAATTTCCTTGGTTCACTGCCACCCCTAATAAATCATCAGTTGAATTAAGATCATTGGAGTGAACGAATAACACTCAAAGAACAGAGGGAGGGAGAGAGCGAGCTTTATTTATTAATATTTATTATGCAGAAATAATTAGTTCTTCTTAGCTGGTATAGGGTCACTCGAATATTTGGCTTTAACCTTAGGCTTTATTTCAGTCGATAAAATCATTTCTTCGGTCAAACCAACCGAAACATAAGTTCTTTCAATACAACACGAATAATTCGGCCGAATAAAAAATGAATCCAAATAATTCCACGGTATATACATAAAACATAAATTATATGCATACCAATTTATTAAATTGGGGGTAGTAAAAGGTAAAAAAAGAAAACTCAAGCAAGCTCTCTTACTGTTTTATAGCCCAATGCTGACCTATTTTCCCAACAACCTCCATCGTCTTCCCAGCAACAAATGGGACCTTCGCAAATCCCCCAAGCTGTGGACAGAGATAAGGTATACATGTGGATCAAGGAGTTGACGCACCCACAGAGCAGGGAGAATGCACTCTTGGAACTCTCGTAAGATACAATCGATCCAAGTTTTTAATCTAGCTATAAAAGTAAAGTAGCCAGATTCTATTTGAATAGAATTAAAGTTTGTAAAGTTTGCATATAATATTTCAGAAAAAAACGAGAAGTTGTCCTCGATCTGGCACCAATGTTGTGGTTTTCGGGCGGAACAATGGCGAGTCTTTTACAAGAAATCGTGGCTATTTATCCTTACATAAATCCACCAACCCTAAATGCTCATCAATCCAACAGAGTAAGTTATAAATTAATTGTACTCATGCATTAGCAGGGAAGCCTACGATAAGTAACTCATTTAATTCATTTTAAAGGTGTGCAATGCACTGGCTTTAATGCAATGTGTGGCTTCTCATCAGGAAACTCGAGGAATGTTCCTTCAAGGTATGGTGACAAAGGGGATGCTATAGATTTTATTTAGCAATATCAAATAGCAATCTATTACTTATTTCGTAATGTGATTAATTTATAAATTAATCACCCAGAATCAATTAATCATTTAATATTTGTTTTCACCCTTCAAGCTCATATCCCTCTTTTTTTGTACCCGTTTCTCCACACCACTTCAAAGACAAGACCTTTCGAGTACCTTAGGTAAATACTTAAACATTAAAATCTTTACAATGGTTGACTTGGGTTTACCTTCTCTTATTTTTCTCTTTATCTCTACTTAAGGTTGACAAGTTTGGGAGTCATTGGTGCTCTTGTAAAGGTATTTACAAATATCATAAGCATGTCCCCTAATGACTTGTGTCATTATTACCATTACGATTTTGGTACTTCTTTTTTTAGAACGACGAAGCAGAAGTCATCAACTTTCTGTTGACGACTGAAATAATTCCCCTCTGTCTTCGTATAATGGAGACTGGAAATGAACTTTCAAAAACAGTGGCTACATTTATACTTCAAAAAATTTTGATCGATGACCAAGGACTGGTTTACATTTGTCAAACGTATGACCGATTTTCTCATGTTGCAATGATACTTGGAAAAATGGTATTGAGCTTGGCAAAAGAACCAAGTGCAAGATTGCTTAAGCATGTTGTACGGTGCTATTTGCGATTGTCCGATAATTCAAGGTAATTATTAGTATTATCGCTCAATTCCGCCACTGCATTCAATTCTAATACATATTTATACATCTTATTTATTATTATTGAACATACAGAGCGAGGGAAGCTTTGCGTCAATGTCTTCCGGACCAACTAAAGGACAACACATTCGCCAAGTGTTTGAAGGACGATAAATCAACAAAGTATTGGCTTTCTCAGCTACTTAAAAACGTCGAAGCATCGCCTCCAGCTTCGGCACAATCTTCTGGACCAGACCTTTCAAGATCTACTCCTGTTAATTAATCAATCGATGTAATAATTGCTACAAATCTTTTATATTTAATAACCTCGTTGCTGCTGAAGATATACCCATATGGCGTGACGCGGGTAATGTATTTTCAATTTGAAGTATGTATCCAAGTTTCCAAAAGTCATTTTTGTAAAGATGATGACTAGATAGTTAATCAAAGGCAATGTCCGCCTGCAATTGCATTGATATTAATTACGCATAATAATGAAATGCAAATATTGAAATTTCTATATATTAAGGATAAACAACATGAACGTGCACTGGACTACACTTTGTAGTACTAGTAGTTTTCCTGACCTTATACCGCTTTGAATTTAAAGTGTACAACTGATTTTGCCCGATTTAGTATTTTAGCTGGTGACAATATTTATTTTATTGATGATAAAATAAATTCCCGTCAAAAATATTTAAACTCATAATCATTTTCATGCTCCAATTGGGAAAATTAGCTTCAATTTAACCAATAGACTCAAACTATTAGTAAATATTATACATATATTTTCGTAATCGTAATTAACTCACTCCCAATAAGAACTTCCTAAACCCATTATACAACACACCATATATACTGTATTTGTGGAAGAGGACTGTCGCATCACTTTCTTGCGAATTAAAATTAATAAATATTTTCTGACTTAAAGCCATGTAAAAATCGTCTATAATAATATTATTACAGTAACTTAATACATTGTATTTTATATATTGCGTCACAAAACTAGTTCTTCATGTTAAAGCTAATCGTCATGTAAAGCGATACCACAGGCATTAGATCGATAAAATTATTTATGCGGATCCAACATTGGCAGACACAGGAGAATTAGGAATTTGTGCCTGTTTGCTTTGCGATTGAAGTTTTAGCAAATCATTTTTCCATCCAAGTGCCTCTGCCAGACGCAGAACACCATCATCACAATCTCCTAAAATGGCAACGTCCCTGTTTCTTTCTGACTTGAAATCCAATCCTTTTGAAAAGATTGAGCCAGCTCCTGCATCAAAGTCCGAATGAGTGTTAAACTTTTGAAGCAAATCAAGGAATTCATATTGATCGGCGGTACCAACTATCTCCCGATTAATCAGGACCCTCGGCGTATCGGCTGAGACCCTATAATTGAGTGCATAGTTATGCATTGCAAATTCACAATATTGATCATCACCTTAAGACAATATATTAAATGACAACTTACTGGTTAACCAAATAGGCAAAAGGCTGTACAACCAAAGACGTTCCCATTATGATCAACAAGTCGCATTGGGGAAAGTCGGTCATCGCACACGAAAAAAATCTGGGTGGAAGGGATTCACCTAAATTTAACTTAAATTAAAAAAACTTAACAACAAATAAAAAATAAATAAATAATTACCAAAAAACACTACATCCGGTTTCACTGTAGAATTACAGTCTGAGCACTTGGGGACCGCCCCTTTTGTGATTTGTTCTATAGCAATGTGATCCAAGTAAAATAAGTAAAATTTCATACGTTCAACTAACAATGATTACGATAAATTATTAAATTGTTTCTACCTTTCATCCACTCAAAAGTATATTCCTTGTGACACGAAGATTTGATGCAATGGGAAGTGTGAAATGACCCGTGAGCCTCGACTATTTTCCCACTCGGGACCCCCGCAATCCTTTCCAACCCATCAATATTCTGCAATATTTTTTAAGATAAACAATTATCATTTATTATGCACAACTTTTTGTATTTGTAGTGCTTTAGAGTTGTGCTAGTGGTAACAAACCTGTGTGTAATGTCTCAAAAGATATCCCTTATTATGCAACAACTGAACAAAATTATGAGACAGTGTTGGTATCAGTTCTTTTGGAAACAAATCCTTTGCTAGTGTAAAAAACGGTGCAGGATTTTGACGGAAAAACCCAATTTCAAACATACATTGAGGATCGGGAAGGTGATAAATGCGTTGAATGTTGTCGTACAGTCCGCAACCAGGACTTCGAAAATCTGGAATTCCAGCAGAAGTAGAAATGCCTGCTCCTGCAAATTCAAGCATTTTGTGTTATGGGTAGAGCCACGCAGATTTCGTCACATGACTGCTAGGTAAGCAGTTCCGAGCCATGAATTTTGGGCCCGTACCAGTCCCAAAAATTGAAACCTTGAAAATTGAATGTTCGATTCGAACGGTAACCAACTATATTTTATGGTGACAGACCATTATGCAAACAAAAAACATTCAATTTTTGGGACCGGTAAAAATTTACAGCTCGGAACTGATTACCTAGCAGTCATGTGACTAAATCTATTTTGATGTATTTTTGCCTTGCCTGCCATCACAATCACATGTTTGCATTTTTCAGATTTCATGTAGCTCGCCACGCCCTCAATTGTGGATTCTTCGAAGATCTATTGAGGAGGAAATTAATATTTCATTTTAAATCGAAGTAAATTCCCGAGGAAAAGCTTATAAATGACACCTTTGATTTGGAGGACCCAAAGCTCAATTTGTTAAACGCACTGGTGACAAAATTTTGAATTTTCTCGAGTTGACTTCCTCTGCGAGATCCCGAAGAACTTCCTGCGGCTGGCCCTGCTTCGTCCTCCTCCGCAGGGGACCTGCCTTGCTGCCCTTCTTCCTTGGGCCAGTTTTCTCCTTTTCTGTCTGAAAAAATACAGCAAACATTGTAACTTCAAACACATAACCTTCCAGCACCGATTGAAAAACATGACTGTGTTGTACAATTACCACTCATTCTGACTAATAATTACAGAAATTTAATTTACGGTAAATTTTACATGGGTAATTCAATCTTTAGTTTTAACTTTTAAGAAATAGTAGCACAGTATAACTAGTCATAACTAAACGTTCTTCAATCTTTTAAAATCCGCAAACTGTGAAAGGGAAACTGTTCCCAGTTCCCATGATTTCATCGCATAAGCATATATAGCATATAATCTGACAGATTTTTTCGCATCATTGCTAGATTCAAGTGAGAGTATGGGCTTTATGCATGAAGTTGGTTTAAATATTCAAGCCGATCAATAATTATAAATCAATGCATCCAACCTGGGAAATGAACACAAGCAAATTATGGTAGCACCTGCTGACCCTTGTCATTTGCACGCATATTGAGTCTGAGTTCAAATAAAGATAACTCCGACTGTCCCTCATTCATTAGATATGAAATGAATAACAATCTACAAGTATAACGAGGGTATAATAATCACGCAACTGTTTCATGTAGATGAAAGTATTTGCATTCGATAATCACTTTCGTATACTCATCGAACTGAAGTATTCGACCACCTGCCATTTGGCAGGATAGATGAGAATACTATTAGTGATGACGCCTAATCTTTCCGCGGAGTGAAACCACAGGTCAACGCAATAATTAGCATGGAATTGTGCCGTAAAGTAAAAGCAAAATAACAGCACAGACAATGAAACCTTGTGATTCAACAGTGCATGGACACATATTTGGCACCTGAAATGATGATAAAATCCACCTGTTGTTTAATCGTTATTGATTTCAACCGATAAGTTGAATATGCCGATTAATATTAATTGTGCCCACCTGCACCTGTACCTCATTCAAGATAAGCTACTATTTTTTTGCATAACTTGCAAAAGTAGTTCTAACTTTGCTTTAAAATTCTCGTATGACGAACTGCGTGACTTTAGTTGTACTGACTGATTGCATCTACTTAACATCTAGTCAGTATTCTACAGTGGTCCCTTGGAAAATTTCTTTAAACATACTTGTTGAAATTTTTAATGCACGAACATTAATTCAATTGCAATAGGCAGAAATTCTGTTAATTCAAGTAAACATGAAAGTGATACTTTTGATTTTATTCTATATTCTGAACATCTTAGTCCAGATAAATGGTCAACAAGGAATATGGCCTGATATCGTAAAAGACAAAGAACCCAGGTGTACAATGTACGGGAGATGCAAAGAACTGCCGGATGGACGAGTTTTAACATGTTACACCGAAGATCCTCCTCAAAAAATTGACGACTCAGCTCTAAAGAATCTCACTGCTTTTTGTTCAGAAATGCTTGAAATGTACGCAGGTCTTGGAATGACGGATTTGTGCTGCAGAGCTGATCAAATTGCAGACTTGACAGAACAATTAAAAATGCCAGAAGGTATCATTTCTCGCTGTCCGTCTTGCTGGCACAACTTTCGTCAATCGCTTTGTGAATTCACGTGCTCGCCATTTCAGGCTCATTTTGTTAAAGTAGCAAAATTTTGGAATGGAACTGTTGATAATAAACTAGTTGTCGAAGACACAAATTTCTACGTGACAGAAAGACATGCTAATGCGTCGTTCGACAGTTGTCGCAACGTCATGATGGGTACTGCAAATTCTCTGGGTAGGTTTTTACGTTTGCTTTTACTTTTATAACTACAAACATTTTTAACAGCTGAAGACCATTCTATGACAAAGATTTATTTTGGAACACATCATATTTTTTGCTGATGGCTTTCTTTCAGCTATGGACTTTCTCTGTGGCCCATGGGGATCTCACAGATGTACACCTCAGCGGTACTTGCTGTTGTAATACCAATAATAGTATAGGGATAATTTGAGGTGACGATTTGTGTGTCCCTTATGCAGGTGGTACGATTACATGGGTTCAGTTCGAAACACATACGCTCCCTTCAACATATTCTACAGACTCACAAATGACACTTTTGACGGCTCACCAACAACTTCAGAACCCAATACCAAAACCTCAAAAGCCGGAGAACCTTTGGATGATCTAGGAATCACACCTTACGATGGCGACACTTATCTTTGTAACACGTCCCCACCAGTAAGAAGCATTTATAACTTCAACATAACTTTTAAATATATTTTTAATTAAAACTATACTTATAATTTATTACTTAGAAATCGACTAAAAATTGTTCCTGCGTGGATTGTACTATAAGTTGTCCTGCGGGTGCTGGAATAATAACTCTCCCCCAAAAGAAAAGCATTGATGATTGGGAGATTGCCTCCATTTTTGGAATGTACTTTATTATGGGAATCGTGTTCTTGGTGGGGTCAATTCTAATAATCCTAGGAGCATGTTTTGCCTTATATAGAGAGAGGCGTGGTACGTTGTTAAATATTAGTTATCTCCTTACTGCGATGTACTTTACTTGTGTCGTAAAGAGCCTTGGCATGCACAAATTTGCAGAACAACCCTCAAGACTAGCCGAAAAGGCTCCAGGAACATTGCATAGATGGGGAATGAGGTCAGAGAAAATGATAAATCGGTTCTTCTCTTCACTTGGACAAGGTATACCATGATGTGCACATAATTGTTGATGGTTATTGATGGCACAGGATGCCATCATTTAATATAGCATAACTTACCGGACACTATTTGCAATGTTTTAGTGTGTGCTGAAAATCCTTGGCCAGTGCTAATCCCAGGTAAGGGCAGACGACTTGAGACTAAATGCACAGATATTCGATTATAAATATTAAACTCCCCAAAAAATAAGTTGTATCTGAATATGCTCAGGATTCTGCTTACTTATTATTCCAGGAATTCTAATAACAGGAGCATTATCCTGTGGGATTGTGTACTTAGACATCACTACAGATCCGGTGGAATTGTGGGCATCACCCAATTCACGCTCACGCCAGGAGAAGGAATATTATGACAAAAATTTCTCTCCGTTCTATAGAACTGAACAAATTATTGCCACTGCGAAAGGGCTTCCTTCAATTATGTACTACCCCTCAAACAACACAAGAGAAGAACCAGAGCACTTTGGGCCCATTTTTAACAAGGAATTTATGTATGCATTGCTAGATCTACAAGAACGGATTGTTAATGATGTAAGAACATCTTTAACCACACCAAACAAGCTACCAACCTAATAAAAGATTTATGACCGTGGCTTGGAAGCAATATAAATTAGTCACTGATAAAATTTAGTACATATAAAAATACCTTGTTCAGGTTCGTGGAGAAAATGGCGAACAGCTAAGTGATGTCTGTTTCAGCCCGCTTTCCCCAGAGAATACCAACTGCACAATTTTCAGCTATCTTGAATTTTGGCACAGTAACCCCAAGAATTTCGAAAAAGTCGCGTCCTACGATGCCATTATTGGTGAGGAGGTGGTGACCCTCACCGATTCCTACCTAGACCATTTCCTCTTCTGCTCCAGAAATCCAGGCGCTCCGAAAGATTCGACAGAGTTGAGACAGACTTGTATGGGGAGATATGGAGGAATTATTGATCCCACAGTCGGCAAGTCTCTTTTTAATTGCTTTTAAAATTGCTATTCGTGCTTGGTTTGCTCGTGTACAGGATGTGTTCGCATTATACTACCTACGCACCAAGGTCGTGAATTTTACTTAGTTACATGTCTATGTAGACACGTAACTAAGTAAAATTCAGGACCTTGCTACGCACCTATTAATTCGTTTAATATATTTCTCAATCTAGTGCTCGGAGGATTTTTAGAAGATGGTGCGTCATTATTCTACAATTACATACTAGATGTTAGTATTATTGGTACTATTGTTGTTATTATTTATAGGTCAGAACTTGATTGATCCGCCATATCAAAATGCTACCACGGTACATATGTAGCACTAATTAATTGAGTCGAGTTGACTCGCGCCCTCTGCTTTCGTGTGCTATACCGATTCTGATTTATTTCTTTCTAGGCCGTGATTACTTTCATAGTGAACAACAAGTACAGTAAGGACGACACTCGTCCTGCAAGAGAATGGGAAAAAGCCTATGTCGAATTTATGAAAAAGTATCTCGAGATTGAAAAACCTTCGTTTATGGACATTGCATTCAGCTCAGAGAGAAGTATTGAAGGTAAGGTATCGAGGATATCGAAGGTATGAAAATACACGCCCATACAACTTCAAGCTTATTTCTCACTTCCTTTTTTATTTCATTTATCCACTTATAAACTCATACCATTCGTTTTAGTTAACTAAGTACAATAGCACCAAACAAGTTCATTGGCTAGTATAAAAATATCTTTAACAATTAATCACCTAACTTAACTACAAATACTTTTCCACTAAATTCAGTCTGTTTGTTCTCGTCAGTCTCTTGAGTAATATTATCACCTTTACGACTAGTTACTGTTTCGGTATCGGAGCGGTCGAGTACCCGTGTGACGACGTTAATGAGATCACTCACCTTTAACACCCTTGCATATTGCAACGCTTCGTCATCATCGTCACTACTCGATTCGTCGTCGTCTGCCGACTGATCCCTAAATATGTCGAAATTGGGTAGAGATCCTTGCACCAAGTTATCGTCTGCACCAAGATTGAAAGTCACGGGGATGAAACTGGGAACGTCAGTATTTCCCCTGAAAAATATGCATATTTAAGTAACATATTAATAGTGCACTCAAATTATAAAATTTAAATTACTAACCCCTTTCTACGTCTCTCAACCAGCAGTAAACGATTCACCTTCCGGGAATCCTTTCTCTTCCTCTTCAGGCCTTTCAGACGGAGTGAAAGTTTTGAATTCTCGGCCGTCAGGGTTGAATTCTCGGCCGTTAGGTTCTCAATCTTCTTTTCAAACCTTATAATTTAAATAATTAGCAAAGTGAGCATGATTATTACTACAAGTGGTATATTGTACATACATGCATTAAGTGTCAAATTACTAACCCAAATACAATGTCAGCCCGGTCACCTCTTTCTTTCTCCAACAATCCTCTCGCCAGAATAAGCTCCTCTTTGTCGACAAGCTGGACAGTTTGGTTATGGTCGAGCCAAAGTTCATTTATTGACAGCAGAGAGAGTCGGAGTTGTTCCAAGTAGTCACCAAGCCAGGTGTAGCATTCTTCCGGCTTGACGGAGCAGATTGACCCTGTTTCGTTCCGGGTTAACCATTTTAGTTGTCCAGCAACCCATTTTGATGTACCAACCATCCCTGGTACCTCAAATGCCTCCTCATGGTCGAAAAAATATCCAGCCCGAAACATCTTCCTACATACAAAATGTAGAGATAGTACATTATGCTTTAATTAATTTGGGTTGAATGTAATACAAATTAATATTTATGAGAAAGTTACATATCTGTACATCCCTTCTTGGCTGAGCGTAGAGTTTGTTGCCATTTCAGTTTTGCTGCCTCCTTGCTATCCTCCTCGTGTAAGCCAAAATACACGTCTACAACCTCAAAACTAGCTGGATCTCGCCAAATGTAACCATATATTTTCTTTGATGAAACTGCAAATTTATATAAGTAGATGTATATATTTGAAAAGAGAGCATTATATCACATCACATAATATCATCTCATCATTGCATTTGTTATACATCTTTTTTTTTCTAATCTAATGTTGCTTTTATTTACAGAGTCTTTTGTTAACAATGATTAATAAGTACGCATGGAAAACTCATAAATAAAAAATTTCGCTGAGTTTCTTTCCGGTAGGAAGGGTACCCAGAATTGAGGCGACGTTTCCTCGTTGTAGAGTAATGCTTAAACGTTGTAATAAATAACTTGTGGCTCGTATTTCTCCTGTAATTGTTGTGATTCGTTGTCCAATATGTTGAATTAGTTTAATTCCATCTTCACCCCAAACTCCAATTGTTTCAGCAGCCACCGGGATGAAAATGAAACGATCCTCTAAGAAAGAGTATAGTGTCTTCTTCTTTTTCTCAGCTAACACGGCCGCAGCCCCAGGATGACCGGACGTGGAGGAGAGGTACGATGGGGCAAAGGTATCGACGCACGTGAAGTCCCAGACTAAAGCTTTTCCCCTTGACCATGGAATAAGTGTCATCCCATCAGCTCGTTTTCCGTCAGTTCGGCAGCATCCCACTGGCTCTCTTATTGAGGGGACTTCTGCGGTACGAAGGGCACGGGAAATGACATCATTTGCGGCACTGTGTCTTGACCACCGCCCAGCGCTCTTTCTGCACGATAGACCATGATAACCACTTGAGGATACTTCGGCTCCACAGATACATTTATGTGGTTGGCAAATTGCACAGCCGAGTCTGAGTGCGATGGCCACACGAAATTCTTCGTTAGAGAGGTGGTTTCCAAGTTGTGGTGCAGGGATTGCGTTCAGCCAGGCTCCGACGTATGGTCTGTCTAGAGCAAGTAGACGAGCTTTATCTTGCGGTGTGCTGGTGTTATCAAGAAGTGTCTTCTGGCGATGTTCGATTAAAGGAGCCTCCCAAATAGCTTGTTTTCCTCGCAATTCGGGTAGTGGTAGTTGGCGATAATCTGCGGACCAGAGCTCTTCACCTTCTGATATGGCGTCATCTTGGTCACGTATGTAGTCCGGAAGGAGGGACTCAAGATGTGGCAAACAGCTATGAGCGGACGCAAGAAAGCACGGAATCGCCGTGCTCACAGCATGTCTGGTTCCCAAACCTCCCTTACTGACTGGAAGAGACGACTGTATCCAAGACTCTGGGGATAGAAAACAGTTAGTGATTCCTTCCAAGACCAACTTGAGGGTGTTATCGTAAGCCAAAAGAGAGGCATGATTTCGCCAAGACGGTGCACATCGTAGGAAGTAAATTAGTCGCGGAATTGATATGGAGGCTCGTAACAAGAAGAAAGCACTATGGGCGGAAAGTTGAAGGAGGCGGTTCCCAAATGCTGCTAGCTGGGAAATCTTCGACTCCATGACTCTCTCTATCGCTTCGTCGGTGAGAGGGGCACCCAGCAATGTAGCTACTTCTGGGGAAATAATTTTGATGCCAGGGGATGCTTTGTGGAATTCGTCATATATGGCGTCGTGGGTATCGGGATTGCCTCCAAAAACTCCAACTTCACATTTCTCATAGTTGAGATGGAGTCCCACGTCTTCGCCCATTGTTCTTATGGTGTCAAATGCATGTAGAACTTTCTCCGGGATGTCGGCGATTGTCGCGTCATCCAGATACCAGATATTGAATTCTGTCGTCACGGCTTCGATTATGGGTTGGATTACGAGGGAATATAGACCTGGACCAAGTGGGTCACCTTGTTGGACGCCGAGAAGGGAGGGGATGAGTATGTTCCCATAAAAAAGACTTGATGGATGTGCGTAAGCTTGATTGACAAAGGAGTAGATGGATGGAATTCTTTGCTTGATAATATGAAGAAGGGAATCGCGTCGTATTTCATTAAACGCGTTCCGGAAGTCTAATTTCAAAAAGGCTTTTGCAGTGTCGTGGGCGTGGCTCCAGTATCGACGTGCTGCATGAGCTCCAATTTCGGCTCCTCCTTTTATGCCGACACCAAGTTGATGGGGAGAAAAGTAGTCTACCAATTGCGGTGTAATGCGAGTGACCACGATTTTCGAAACAAGTCGACGCCATGTATTCCCAACAGCGATCGGTCTAATTCCTCCAGATTTCTTGTTGAGGGCGGTGAGCGAGGCTCCAAACAGTGTGGGGCAAACAACATCTGGGACCTTACCACAGAGGACGACATCTGCAAAGCTACAAATTGTTTTCACTAGCTTCATCCCTGTGTCACCCGTAGATATCCCCACGAGGTCTTTTAAAATTTGAGGACGAAGTCCGTCTAAACCTCCGAAACGATGAAATTGTGGCTAGAATTTCCTCTTCGGTTGCTTCTGCTGGGTGTTCATCCACGTCAGGCATAACTGGAAAATTCAATGGTTCGGGATGTGGAGGATGTTTGTCGAGTAAGGAGTCAATCGTGCTTTGATTATATGGAGCGACTGTGTCATCTGAGCATAAGAGACGGATGGCCCCTCGGATATCTCCGTCAGAAAGTTTTGCTTCCACTTTCTTTGAAATCATTTGTTGGGATTGCTGAGGTTTATGTATTGATGGACTTGGTTGTCGACCAGTGGGGATGGTGGTTGTGGGGTCGGTCTTCCATTTTGAAACTCTCATTTTGACCCACGATGTCAAGTTTGTCACTTTCTCAGATTTAGCTGGAACGGTGAGGACAGCATAAGGGAAGGTGAAGAGTTTGTTCCAACTTTCTGCATCATTTTTATTAATAACTTCTTCTAAAATGTTGGTAAGAGCTTCTGCGACAGATATTCGTGCCCCCTTTGGTACTCGCCGTAATGTTGGTACGGTCCCCTTGAGCTTTGATAACACGAAGCCCAAATCTTCATGATTTTGACGGGGTGGTTGTGAAGCGTCTGTCCAGCGAATCCCCTTATATGCGCTGTTTGTGGTTCCCCGAGCTCCTGGGCGACATGTAGTCGTCTGAGGAAAGAGTTTGAAAATATACTTCCCAAGAGTGGAAATGGCGACTCGTCCGTCTCCTTTTATTTCTACATGTTGAGTGTAGCGGAGTGAGACCTCGGCCTTGGCGATTTTGGATTCTGGATCCTCGACTAAATTTTCTTGGAGCCAAAGGCGTGCGGCGATAATGATGTCCTTTTTACTTATTCGGGTAGGATTGCTTGTTTCCGCTTGAACCGGATGATTAGTGGGGTCATCATTAGCTGTAGATGAAAGTTGTGAAGAGGTTGAGTTGAGAGAGATGCAAACTAGACAAATCCATTCTTCTTCAGGAATGACAACAACGCCTACACATTTTGAGTGAAACCATGATGTGCATTGTTCACAGAATATCCAGTTATCATCTTCAGTATCACTCGGTCCAGGGCAGGTAGGAATGGGACAGTGGAGGTCATTTGCCATTTTCATTTGTTATATGTTTAGAGAATATGGATTATTATCTTCCGCGTTCAAATCATCTTCCGCGGCCACTGACCTTCGAGATGCTTAAATTAAATTATACATCTTACTTTGTTCATCCTCTGTCAATTGCTCATAGCGAATGGGTTGGTCGTTTCCATCAGATTTATAACCCCATCCTTGTTTGTGGCGTTGTCCACTCACTTCATCAAGTCTAACTGGGGTCGTAAGTCTTTTAGGCTCGAGATTCCGATACTGTTGCTTCAGCAACTTCAAGTAGTATCCACTTTTTATTATGGTAGAAATTATATTTTTATCACTTGGATTTTTCTTAAATTCACGATACTTTTCAAGTGCTAACTCTGCTGGTGAAACTTTTAACTTCTTTAGTTCTGATTTTATGATAGATTTCTCTGAATGATTAATGAGAATGTGTCGATCAAGGTTAGAGGGTTTGTTGGAAGTATATGGACATGATGGACATGCATATGTTTTTGGGATTATGAACACTTGTTATATGAGTGCATCTTCCAATCTGATTCTTAAATTTCTTGTCACATTTCGGACACTTGTATATATACGCCGCTTCGTAATGTTCATTTTTAATATGCAGGCTCAGAGCATTTTGTGTTTCAAAATATTGGGCACAATATCCACACTTGATTCTTTTCTTGGTTTTGGACTTTCCATTTTGACTAGAGGTACAATTTTTCCGGTTCTTGTGCTTCAATAATGAAGTTTTGGAGTTGAATTTATTCTTGCATAAGGTACAGACGTGTTGTCCAAAATTTGTATGTATTTCTTTTACATGTTTCTTCAGTGTTTTTATGGTTTTGAACTTTTTATTGCATATACTGCAGTTTAGTTTTTTTTAACAGACTTTTTATCTTGTGAATTGATATCCATTTTCTCCCCTTTAATAAACACTTTACTTACACACTTACTTGAAAAGTTATACACTGAGTAATGTTCCTCAACTATTTGCACCAACTTGACATCAAAACACTCTGTACATTAAACCGGAAGTTGACATAAGTTATAGTTTTATTTGTTTACATGTAACAACTAATTTTTAGTAAAATGTAAGAACGCATAAAAAATAGACAGGACAGTAGGGAAGAAAGGACGCGAGTGAGTTCTGCCGCGTATCCTTTTCTTCTTTCAATGTCACAGACATAGACTACGAAAATACGAGAATTAATATATTTTTTTTTTCATTGAAGACGAACTGGAGCGTCAAAGTTCTGGGGAAGTAGTTACCGTCGTGGTTTCATATTTGATTATGTTTGTCTACATTTCCATCGCTTTGGGAGAAGTCAATAGTTTATCTAGGCTTTTGGTGAGCTGAATTTCATTTATTCATGCACATATTTCATGCATTAGTTTAAAGTTGTACATAAATTGCAACTTATTAATTGCTAGATTGACAGTAAGATTTCTGCTGGGATCGTTGGCGTTATAATCGTTCTTGGGTCCGTGGGTGCATCCGTTGGTTTATTTGGATTCGCCGGAGTCAGCGCTACACTGGTAATAACTTTAATTTATTGTTATTAGTCCCCGTATCAACATACATATTTACATATAATGGCTGCCAGCCTCATAGCATTTAGTTCAGTAGTATAGCTGATAGAAAAGTACGAATAATTATATAACGCACATCAATCTTCGCACAAGTTGTCTCATCTGAATCAATCTTCCTCAGCGATTCCTTAGCTATCTATTAAAACTTGCATTCGCGAGAGTGTTGTTTGATGGTTATATGACATTAATGTATCAGATTCTTGACAGATCATCATTGAAGTCATTCCCTTCTTGGTGTTGGCTGTTGGGGTGGACAATATTTTTATTATGGTTCAAACCTATCAAAGGACTCCACGCCTCAAAGGGGAAACTCAATCAGAACACATTGGACGAGTGTATATATTTTTATATTTGTCTTTAATAAGTATTGATCAAAAACATTCTTATTTTATGAATTTATTTATTCCAGAATTGGCGACGTGGCGCCATCAATGTTGCTAAATTCTTTTACCGACTCTGCTTCGTTTTTCTTGGGTAAGCAAATTTTAATGTTAAATTCATGATTATACAATACCTTATTTTAGTTTATCCAGAAGATCAATCCATATTATCATTACACAATCATATCCCATAACATTAGTAGCAGAAGGATCAGGAGAGAATAAAATAAGAAACAGGGTTCTAATGAATATAATTATTAAATGTATACACTAATCTGTAACGAATAATAGTACTATATGTATCAGCAAAAATATTTAAAAGATGTCAATCGAATTCATCAAAAAATAAAATAACTTAAATAAACTTTTATTTTTTTACAGGAGGCTTATCGGGAATGGTAAGTAGCAATATGTGAATACATTGTGGTTCGAGATATAAGATATGAACAGAAAAACTAAGCGTTGAAATTTTTGACAGCCGGCTGTCAAGGCGTTTGCATTTTACGCAGCAGTTGCGCTTTTGATCAACTTTACTCTACAGTTTACATGTTTTGTTGCATTTCTGTCCTTGGACATTTCGAGACAAGAAAGTAACAGATATGACATCATATGCTGGTAAGGTTTTCATTTTACAAAAATGATGGTGTGTGTATTTGTACAGTGAAAATATGTTCACATGTGCATAATTACGTTACTTTATGATGGGTTTATTTTGTGACAGTGTTAAAGGAAAAGATGAAGATAAATCACAAGTCAAGGAGAAAGGAATTTTACACAAGTTCATCGAGTCCATCTACGCTCCATTCTTGTTCACATTTCCAGTGAGACTGACAGTTCTTCTCGTTTTCTTTGCCTGGATGTGCACTTCGATAGCAGTTGCACCGAAGCTTGAAGTCGGGCTGGAACAAGACCTTTCTGTCCCCGAAGATTCTCATGTGCTGGACTATTTTCATGCAATGTACGAGTATTTGTCAGTAGGTCCGCCGGTGTACTTTGTGGTTAGAGATTCGGGATTAGACTATTCGGACCAAAAGGTTCAAAACCAACTTCGAGCCGGTGACTTCCCTTGGAGTTTAGTATCACAAATTTATGCCGCAAGTCGATTGTCGAATAGGACATATATTGCAAAATCATCCCAGTCCTGGTTGGATGACTACGTTGATTGGAGTTCTGTTGCAGATTGTTGTAAATATGACAATTACACGTCATATTTCTGTCCCAGTCAGAGAGTTGACCCGTAAGACCTCCTGTTTAGTATATTGTGCATTAAATACAAGTTGAAATCAGTCAGTCACAGTAAACTTTATTTGATTTAGAAACTGTATTACATGTGGCATATCAGACATTGTTCAGGATGATCCAATCAGTGGAGAACTCTTCAATCAGTATTTGACATGGTTTTTGATGGACAATCCACATGAAAAATGCGCTAAAGGTATTTATTTTATTTATGAAACACGCAATATAAGTTATGTAAACATGAATTGAATATTATGTCATGAATTAATTAAATAGGTGGCCACGCAGCATATTCCTTGGGTGTTGGCTATGACATTAATTCAACAAATGGCTTAGCTCGAGTTAAAACAAGCAACTTTATGACTTACCACACAATTTTACGAACCTCAAAAGATTTTACAGAAGGTAATTGTAATTTATTGTGCAGATTATTGTGTAATCTATAAGCGCCAAATGAAATTGATGCTCAAAATTATTCACGTTACAATCTTTTGGCAAAAATTTATTAATTCTTTATTATTTTTTGTATCAAAGCGATGAGGGAAGCTCGAGCTCTTGCAGACAATATGACAGCAACGTTGAGAAGAGGTGCTTTATTTTCATAAATATCTTCTTTTTCCATTAATGGTTATTATTAACCTATTTTATCCTGTTGCATTAGAGCTGGGTTCGGACAAACATGAGGTTTTCCCGTACTCGATATTTTATGTGTACTACGAACAATACCTCACAATCTGGAGGGACACCATTGTTTCGCTGTCAATAAGTTTTGCGACTATTTTTGTCATTTCTTTTTTCCTCATGGGATTCAACATTGGATCCGCACTGGTCATAATATTGACAATCTTCATGATTGTTATCAATCTGATTGGAATGCTTTACTTTTGGAGTGTTTCATTAAACGCAATCACTTTGGTAAGCAAAATAATCTTGCTCTTCAGAATCCTCATTATCACATTTCTTACTGTTTTATCTCATCACGCAGGTAAACTTGGTCATGGTAAGCATAACACTTTGAATGAAGTACATGTAGATATAATACAGCAGAAATATTTTATTTGAAATTCCACTGGTTTAATTATGCACGACAGGCCGTCGGAATTGCTACCGAATTCTGTACCCACTTAATCCATCACTTTGTAATGTCGCAAGAGTTGGCAAAAAAGGAAAGGGCACGGGATAGCTTAGTCAACATTGGAGTGGCGGTGCTTTCCGGCATTACTCTAACCAAATTCGGAGGCATAATTGTGCTTGGATTTGCCAAATCTCAGATCTTCAGAGTATTTTATTTTAGAATGTACTTATCCATCGTATGCATTGGAGCATTGCATGGTCTAGTGTTTCTCCCAGTCCTGCTGTCCTTCGTTGGACCACCTTCTCGAAGAATTACGATAAAGAAGGATAATAGCACTGAAGAATTGTGTAAATAAGATTTAAAGAAATTATATTTTCATTATGACCAATGCATATTTTTTACAAATAATTAAATGTAATTCATTGACTCGATAAATAAATATTAAGCAAAGTTGGCAGTGTTAGCCCAAATCTAAGTATGTACAACAATACGTCGTTTGGAGGTGATGCTTTAATCTGCATGCGTGTGGGATCCTTTTCATACAATGATCATTAGTCTATTCCCAAGTCAAAGGATATTCAGGGGAACACTGATACGTAATGAGCCCCCGGACTGCTTTGCACATGCTTATCCAGGAAGAAACTTTTTGTTGTTAATTATTGGAGATTTCTGTACTAGTGTTGACCTTCCATCACCATTATAGTCGCTTAACTGCGGTATTGTGCTTCACGAGAATTATTGCTTCAACTCACGATAAAACAAGTTTATTCTCACAATATGCCAGAATGTGGTCGTCTGTCTGTCTACCTGACCGGTTGTTCAAGCTACATGTTTGTGCTTGTATGTGGTACGTAGAAGCTAAGGCAAGTCAAGAACTTGCTGACCTAGGATTCTTCGCAGCCCTTTTTTGCACATTTATGTGTACCAAACAGGAACTTTTTTATGCACGGTGCAGGAAGGAACTCTTATGATTTTGGCACTTGCATTTTTTAGTGCCTACTGTCTCTCGCTCAGTTATTTCCAGCATTTCATCGCTGAATAAAGTTAAACTTTGGTTTTGTGCTCGCCTACAGATAATTATTAGTGTTTAGAGAACAAGCTAAAATGCAGACACCAGTGTTTTCATACGTTATTTCGCCCCTAATATATTTTATGATCTCCATTATTTCTGAGAATACAAGGTTGTACCAAAATGCCGACATAATGGCAGACAGGTTTCGTGCCGCTTTTTACGAAAATGCCGATACTTTCGATTTTATTGTGGGTATGTTGTTAATAAATTTTAATTTGTAACATGAAAACTAATTATTTCGTTTGCGGGGGACGATGACTTTGTAGTTGGAGCTGGTTCAGCAGGTTTTACTCAAAAATATCCAATTTCAGTGAACCTTATTTACTTAACACGATTTCAAATTTTTAAGGTGCCGTAGTCGCGAACCGTCTAGCCACAAATAATTTTACAGTTCTCCTGTTGGAGGCTGGGGGAGAAATGCAACCAGGTAGGGTCAATCGGTCAAGAGAAAAAATAAGAAAAGTGAAATATAATTCAGCTAAGAACAAATGGCAATTTATTGTAAAAAAATAAGCAAGTGACTTGTCTGAAAAAAATAATAACCGCGGATCATAGGTCAATACATCCCCTCAACCTCTCTCCTTCTCCTCAATAAGCCAGAATTGGACTGGACGCACTTGACGGTCCCACAGGAAAAGGCTTGCCTCGCCTCCACAAACAAGGCACTATTTCCCCTGATAAAACTGATGCTTACAAAATTTTAAAAAAATATTTATTCACTCCATTTGTCAATATTACAGCAAAGCTCATGGTCTGCAGGGAAGGGATTGGGGGGAACGTCGTTGCTGAACTTTCTGCAAGTAATATCATTGCAGTATCTGAACTTTTTTTGGTTTAGGTTACTTAATTTCAGTACTTAGGAGGAGAGCTTCACCACCTGCCCTTCACAGATCTCGATGCCCTTTGGATATGTGATAGGGTCCTATGAGTGTACGATAACCCTGAAGTGGTTTGACTCCATGGCCACATTTGCGCCCGCCATACCCACTCAAGGGATGAAAACCACAAAAGTTACCAACTTCAAAAATCCACCAAAAATCCAATTTTGATCGGATTTTGATAAAATTTACATTTTTGTAATCCCAGATACTTGTTTAATCATATCCAGTAGCAATCTCAACTTTTTTGAAATTTTCGAAATTTTCGGGCTGATGAATTATTCGAAAAAGTTCAAAATTTCAAAAAAATTGAGATTGCTACTGGATATAATCAAGCAAGTATCTGGGATTACAAAAATGTAAATTTTACCAAAATCCGAGCAAAATTGGATTTTTGGCGAGGGTTTGACCAAGTGAAAACAGGGCTTTTTTCGTGTTTTTGGCGCCTTTGAGTGGGTGTGGCGGGCGTAACTGTGGTCATGGAGTCAAATCACTGCAGGGTTTTAGTACACTCATGGGACACTACCACATATCCAAAGCACATCAAGATCTGAGAGGGGCAGGTGGTGAAGCTCCCCTCCTTAGTTAATTATTAGTTTTATCTTTTACTGATATCAGTATTTACGTGGAGACCCCCACGATTTTGAATTATGGGCCAATTTAACCGGTGACCCAAGTTGGAGTTATGATGGCGTTCTACCTCACTTCAAAGCAATTGAAGATTTTCGTGGGGAATTTGAGAATGGTGTGTTTTTCAGTAACAGATCATAAATGCAAATGTGCGTAATATGTACATGACCTAAGCAACTATGCCAATCTGGTTAAATGCAGAAGATGTTCACGGACATGGAGGGGAAGTAACCGTTCAACCACCGCCGTTTGTTGGGATGGCCGAACACTTTATCAAAGCTGGCGAAGAGCAGGGTTTTAAAAGACGGGATTTGAATGGACGCTCTGGCGAAGGTAGCGTTTGATATAGTAAAAACGCTTATATTTGTACATAATATTGTATTAATTATAATTAAATATTAATTATGCTAGTTATTAGTTATAAGATTATGTTTTGTGGAAATACAGGATTTTCTGTCATGTACAATAATATTCGGAATGGACGAAGGCTTAGTTCCTTTAATGCGTTCTTACAGCCCATACGTGACAACCCAAATTTAACCATTTACAAATTTTCGGAAGTGACCAAGGTACGTATAATTCATTTTTATAATACTGCATGTGGATGATAGATTTTTATAAATACTGCAGTTGGGTATGACCATGACCAAAGGCTCCTGAACTAATTTATGGTTGATTTGTATCGTGACTATAAATATATGTATTCACATGCAGGTATTGCTAAGAGGTGAACGTAATGAGGCTTTTGGAGTTGAATACGTTCGACATGGTGTTCGAAAAAGGGCGTTTGCAACAAAGGAAGTAATTCTTTCAGCGGGATTGGTTAACTCTGCAAAATTGCTCATGCTATCGGGAATCGGTAAATATTGCAATATTAGTAATTAATTTGTGTTCAGTTTGATAGTTTAATGCTTTAAGGTCCTAAGAACCATTTGGATTCATTGGGGGTAATATAACATTTTGCATCTCAATACAGCAGATTTAGCAAAGCGTTGCATATGTAACTGTACAATTACAATTTAATTTGTTACAAACACAGATCAAAACAAAGTGCGATCTGCCTGCTGTCGGGAAAAATGTACAGGACCATGTATCTGTTTTTTTGGGTCCGTTCCATGTCGATAAACCTGTGACCATGCTGTTTGAAAGGGATATCAACTCTGAAGCTTTTACGGAATTCATAGACCACGGTACTGGGACCCTGAGCAGTGCTGGGACAATGGCCACAGCCCTCATTTCTTCAAGCTACGCGAAACGATCTGGGGAAGGAAATTGGCCGGATCTTCAATTAATTTTACTTGGAACTGCAGTGTATTCAAGATTTGATGTAGACTTTGCAAGTGCCTTCCACGTTCGAGAAGATATCCTTAAAAAGTACCTCAAAATTTCAAAAGGGAGGGATTCCTTCCAAATTATTGTGTCAGGCAACCGTCCTGTCCAACGAGGAGAAATTCTTCTGAGGAGCAGTGACCCAAAAGATGAACCCCTCATTGATCCCAAATACTTACATAACGACCAAGATTTAGAAGTTCTTCTTGAAGGTGCGTATGACATCAAATCTCAAATTCATTAAATTAGAAACTAAAAGTATTTCCAAATAATACTAATTGATTTATTTTGTAGGTGTTAAGCTAGCGTTGGATTTGGTGGAAAACACCACGACATTTCGAGCCATCGGTGCCCAACTTACCACAGCAGTCTTTCCAGGTTGTGAGGAAATGGAATTTCGAAGTGATGATTATTGGCGTTGCTTTATCAGACAATACACTGTGTCCATGCACCACCTCGCATCATCTTGCAGCATGGGGCGCCATGATTCAAGGGACGCCGTTGTAGACTCAAAGCTTCGTGTTATTGGTGCGGAAAATCTTCGGGTGATCGATGCTTCGGTCATGCCAAGTGTGCCAAACGTGAACACAAACTCTCCCGCTATGATGATTGGACAAAAGGGAGCTTCAGAAATTCTAAAACGATGGGCGTCCAATGCAGAAAATGAAGTGAAATAGTGCCAATTGGTTTTCGTGAAATTCGTAGCCTGCTTCAAAACGATACCAAAGAATAACTTTAATTTTCTGCAGTTACTCAATGCAAAGTGCAAACATAAAATGCTTAGATAATTGTGCTTTAAATTAATTATTAGTTATTTATTTCGACAAATGTTACAATATCAATAGGTTATATATTCATAGTCCCTGAAGAAATAAATAATTATTCTCCTATAATATATCATTTTCTGCTCATTTAGTAGTACAACAAGAAAATGATATCCAAAATACAAACTTATTATCACAATATAAGCAAAAAAAATTGCTCATTTATAATCAATTATTTATTTATTGACAAAGTGTAACTGACTTGGATTCCTTCCTCCTTTGAATCTATGTATCTTTCTGGCCACAGTGTTACATTTTGCATAGTATTAAAAGCGTTTAAGCAACTTGTATCAAAATGTGAATTAAGTAGTATCATTATTTGTCAGTCACAAGTATCGTCGAAAATGAAAACGGTACTTGTCTAGAAGAGGGCATGATATATAATTGGTCATCATGGGTGGGAAAGTCAATACTAAAAATCACTATCAAATTATTGACTACAAGGATCGTGAAGTATTGTGTTTGTGGGTGCATTGTTTTGCTACAGCATTTCTGTACATAGGAACCATTTTGACTTTAAATACTAGCCTTCAGTTTGCGGTAACTGTTGTTTGGCAAACCACGGACGACTGAACACGCAAACATTAAGGATAAATTCAATTTCATAAATAGTTGTTAAAACTGCGATGTCCTCTTTGTCGAATGTAACTGTCCCATGTGTCGAGGACAAATTGAGCACCACGTTCACCTATATCAGACATATCAGATAACTCATAGGTACCATATGTGTCACATAAATGTACATATGGCGTCACAAATATAAGTACCTATCATGATGACCGGACCATTAGTATTGACGGTAACCTATTAAAAAGTGTTGTTAACGATTTGCTTGTCTAAAGTAACAGATATTTTCTTTTTACTCACCACTGTGGGCATGATACCTGCGTCAATCACACGAAGACGCTTTGTACCTGTAAAAACGTTATTAGAATGTGTATAAATAAATCTCTCATTAGTTTTTGACATAAACTTGGATTTTGTGACCAATGTCACTTGTACCAACATACCAATGACTCGAAGTTCGGAATCTACAACCGAATGAGGAGAGTCTCTAGGTCCCATGGCGGTAGTGCCAGAGTAGTGGTAAATCGAAACACTGCAGAGTTATATATATTCATTTAAGCCAAATAATTATGAGCAGGTGAACATATTAATAAAGGAAACATCAATATTCACCTGTAATGCCTCACAAAGCATTCCCAGTATGGATCTGATCTGAAAGGAAGATGTCGACATGGGGGGAACGGCACTGGAGAAAGTCTACTTCCAACTCTAACAAAAGAAATGGAAAATGAAGAGTCAAATGAGATGTGTGTGTATTCATTTGCATGAAATTGTGAAAGATTGGGAAGCATGGAAAACTTTTGAATAAGGATTTGTGTTTCGTTCAGAGTTTGTACATTTAAATTTTAAAGCATTCTTTATAAATAGATGATGGATTGCTATTTATGCTAAGGCTAAGACTAATGAATAACTACTAACAAATTGGTAATATTCTTAATATTTTCATGCGAATCTTCAACGAGTCTGAAATAAGTTGTATCTTTTTCGTGTCTATAAGTTCTGTATTGATTACTTACCTCCGAAAAGCAGGAGAATTCTCTGACATGAATACGGCCCTCTTGACACCTACACATAATAACACACATCAAATTAAGAAAGATTTATAGCGTGTGACCATTTCATTTCACTTTTTGAAGTAAACTGTCACGCAATGTTTCGTCAAGTGTGTGAACTAACGCGTAAAGTGTGAAGTTGAATCGTGTACATGAAACGCAACACCAATTTAAATACGTATCATATAGACCCACCTTCCACCATGACTTTAATGTCTGATCCGTCGAGATCTTCAAAGTATTTTGGGTTAAATAAGGGTGTGTCTCTGAAATTTGCAGAGCGCAGATGCATCTCACCACGTGCTAAATAAGTAAAATAACATTTCTCACTATATTTACTTGGTTGCGTGTTAATATATTTGCTGAAAATCTTTAAAATGGCGTATATGCAATAACTATCCATAAATTATCAAGTTACCTCGTGGTCGACTTAGCATCACTGTTATTTGAAACGCGTCTTTGCCCTTGACTAGATCGAAACATATGAATAGGTTGGGTACGATATAAATACAATGAAATAAAAATATACAAAAATTAGTTGGTTTGGGGAGCAAAGGGATGTTAGTAGATGGAGAAAGAAACCAATTGCTTGAACTGGAACATCGATGTAAATTATAATGTCTGGGTGAAAAATTACCTGGATCGAAGAATTCTTTCAACACATCACTTCGAACGTTAAAGGCCTAATGAAAAATGCATTAATTTATTGGATTTATTGGATAGCGAGCAATAGTGGTTAAGTAATTGTATGGCTACATCAATGCAGTAGCAATGGGTATTAAGTGGGTATGTCCACATTTCTGATTCAATCGTACGAAATGATTATGTAACGAGAAAAAAAAATTGATGCATGCTTTTAACGTATTTTCTCTTTAAACTCCACTTTGTCTATTTGAATCAGAAATGCTGAAATTATAAATTATGTTACCACCTAAGGCACATATTAAACGTATAAAATATTGATTCTTACATGTGCAAACGTCTCATCAATAACTCCCCAGTTTCCCAATCCTGCAATTTTTGGTTTAAAACATCAGTCAGTATTTTAGTACGCAATAAACGAATTTAGATGATTAGTAGAAGATGCTAATTATTAAAAGATGGAATCTTAATAATAGACTAATAATAGAAAGAATAAGGAAACAGTAGTAAGGAGACAGGGGGGGGGGTACTGACCTAAAAACATCCATTGCGTGTCCGGCCATTCTGGATTCCCTTCTTCATGAGCTCTGAACGATGAAAAAAATGCATTTGCATGAATCCCCGAAGTCGTCAATGAGCCGCTACCGTTGTTCACAAATCGTAATGCATTTATTGCGTTTGCATCGCGATCCAAGTTAAACGATTTTGGAGCCTCTACTAAAAACGGCCCAGGAAATGTTCCTAGAAAGAAAATTTTGTCAAAATTATTCATGCGACATCGCAAGGTTTCCATTATCCCATGTCTCACCTATATGATCTTGAATATTTTGTCCTACCGGCGCATTTATCCTCACTTTAAGCTGGTCATAACATAATTTGTATAAATAATATAATTGAGCAATTAGAAACCGTAGTGGCAGTGTGGTCTAAAAAAACCCTACCCCTAAGGAATGAAGATGTTCTTGTGGGCCTATCCCTGAGAGCATCAAGAGTTTGGCGGAATCCAAGGATCCAGCGCTTAGAATGACTTCTTTAGTAGCAAACGCCACTCGTTTTCTCCCATGCCTTTCATACTCGATTCCATATGCTTCATTGTTGGGACCTCGAAACAGGACCTAATTAACAGATCGATCAAGAGTTATCGTGCCATTATGTGTTTTTGGCTAATATTCGCTAAATTGTGAGAAGAGACAAAACTCTCTTCTTGTATTCATATTCATACCTTGTAGGCATACGCATACTTTTCAATCGTTAGCGTTTTTCTGTGCAAAATTGGTTGAAGAAATGCGTGATACGTACTCAACCGACGGCCATTCCGTTGCGTGTAGGTAACCGTTGCGGCACCTGATAAGACATGACACTCATCAAGTTGTCTTCCTAGATCATAATAATAAATAATGGTCACCACCAAAAGTCATCACCTTCTTTGTAAGGACCGTTCAAGTCCACTCTTGGAATTCCATTCCACTCGCATCCTTGCAGAAACTGAACAAAAATAAAGTGTGTAACGTCTAAATCGTGTTTGCTGCAAATGAATTGTAGGCTCATATTACCTGTTCCACAAGTGGCTGATACGGGGGCTTTCCCACGGTTAAAAATCCATTCTTATGATGAAATTGAGCTGCATTGTAACAAATACATACGTCATAAATAATGTGACTAATGTAAACTTGGTTCGAAATACTGTAAGGTGTGGTTTCACATGATTTGTATTAATTGGACCATATGCATAGTACAGGCTTACGTTCAAATACATCATTAGGGTTATTTTCGCATTGTACACAATAATCTTCTGATTTCTTAAAGAATGGAAGAACACCGTCATAACTCCATCGAGAATCGCCAGTAATGTTAGCCCAGTTGTCTATAAAATAATGAATTTGCCGGTTTAGTGCAAATTACAAACAAACAAGGAAAAGTTATGATATGGCCACTAAATTACCGTAATCGAGCTTGTGGCCTCTTAGATATACCATTAAATTGAGCGTGCTTGACCCCCCAAGACCACGACCTCGAGACCAGGAACTTTGCTGGAAAAATTACAAACGAATTTTGGTTGAACTTGTTTACATAAATTATTCATGAACAATTTGGGGAATGTAATATGCATATTTAAGTTATGATACAAAGAGACTTCAGCTTTCTAAAACCATAAAAAATAATCCAGTGGCTTCATTATAAGCGTCAATTTTACTTCAAGTTAGAAGACACGTAAAGATTTATTAATGATACATAAAATATACCACAATCATCACTTTACTTCCACCTAAAATGGATACATTTTTTATCCTTCTGACACTTTTTATTATGATTTCATGTGTGAAAATTAGTATTGACGATGAAGCAGATGTTGTTGATGATGGGGATGATGATACATCCTAATTTATTTCCTTCTGCCTACTTGAAGTTTGTTCAGAATTTAATTTTCCGAATGGGCCATTAACTCCTCAAGATGTAACAACATGGTCTGCTCATCCCAACAAAGAAAACTTTTAAGTTGGAGTGTTGTAGATTGGAGTTAGTAATACATCATTTCTCATTGACAGCATTCTTTGAATAGTATTTATCATTCACTGGGAGAAATTAAAACCACGGTTGAGTGGTCGAGTTAAATTTGAATGGGTTTGTGAAATTAAATTTGCTACCAACACTAGTTATGCAGTGTGTATGCAAGCTTATTGGGATTATGTGGTCAAGTCCGGTTTATTCTTGTACTAAACAGGGAATACCGCACAATGTGGCTATTTTAGTATTGTACAGGAAAAAATGACTCTTGGCATACCAAACTTCCGCATACATTTTACATGACTAAATAAACAACAAAATCTCTCTATGGAATGACAGGTTAGAGAAACTATAACAGAATATTATAAATAAGTGTGTGTGGACTAAATCAGCTCTCGTCAACATAGGATGACATCAAATGTGCATATTCTGTTACAATTTTAACCAGAGCTTATGGAATCGTCATGCCAGTCTGTCCGTCTGTCCTTGACACGTTAGCGGATGAACTACTGAACCGATTTTCATCCCCACTGACGGGGGTGAACATATGGCACCAAATTGCAAATTGTTGCAGAAACCTGACGTTTGATATGTATCTACATATGAGTCTGAAAGATTTACAAATATAGAATAAGTTTCTAGAAACTTTGAAACCATTTTTAACTATTTGTCGGAATTTGGTTTTTCAATTTGGTTTGAGCAAGCCGAATTTTGTATACCGGATATAAAAAGAATTCTGCAGAGTTCGATACCAGTTTGTAAAATATTTGTCAAGAGGTTTAGAAAAGGGTGCTCATCGAGACGAGAAAAACGAGGGCTATATCAAGTCCATATTGTAGGTTTCTGAAAATGAGACGAGACATAATTTCTGTAAGATGGAAATTTGTTGATCAAAATCACGATTTGCATGGTTCCTGACATCACACCATTGTATAAAATGATTTATGGCTGACAAGCACACAGTCGCAGGATTATTAATTCGACTTCTGATTTGACATGATTGTGCTACAGTAAGTGATGAGCCTCGTAAATAAATAAATATCATTTGCATACAAAAGTATTGTCGCTTAAGGATGTTTAAGTAATTTACGGAACTAGGTGCATATTAAATTAGCTAATGTACACAAATACATGGTCACAAAGCATAAGGTTCCTTCATATATGTATATTCTTACCCGATTATTGAGTGAAAGGCAGGAGGACCTCTGAGGAATGGATCGGTACATGTAGTCATTTTCCGGATGGTTAAGCAAAATGGTTGCGAGGGCTGGGACCAAGGCCAAGGGATTCGGATCGCCTCCACGTTCCAAAAGCAGAACGTTAAAATGCTCCGACAACCGGTTTGCCACCACAGAACCAGCCGACCCTGCTCCCACTGCAATATTTTGTGCACATGGTTTTGTAAATGTGTTCGATTATATTAAATAAATCTAATAAATGGTGTGCATTTATTTAACTATTTGCTACATACATCAATCCAATCATCGAATTAATAATTAAATTTGCTGAAAGCCGATAATGACACAAATACCGGCGACGACGATGCATTAGAAATTGAACTGCTTTATTTTCAATGGCAGAAAAAGACAGCAGAATGTACAGAGCACTTTTATTAATCGTGTTTGTTGGAAGCAAATACTCGACTCGTGTATTTTAGCTTTTTAGCAGTGAAAGATGACTCAACAGAAATTTCGAGTACTCGGTTTCCCTTTCGTTTCATGTTTTGTGTGTGCAGAATGGATGGGTAGCGCTGGGAAAATGAGATGCGTCTACACCTTCTCATCTAATAATCTAATCCGACTCTTGATCGCTGAATATTCACAAATCAAACAAAAGTGCACGTATAGCTGCCAAAGTATCCAATCGGCAAAGGAATTATTTATTTACAGCTCTCTAATTAAACTTTTCACTAGAAATCTTCCGCATGGTCTAGACGTCATTGCAGTTTCAATTATGCATTCAATGAAATTAATTAGTTTCGTAAAAGTGCATCGTATAAGTGCCAAATGCCAATTAATGTATGCATTTACACGTTGAAACAATATCCCAATTTATGCTGATCATAATAAATAATTGCATGAGAATTTAATCCGGTCACTGACCGATCTAAGTATCTATTCAACTTTTTTACCAAATACGTACCTAAGTAGTAGTGATGATTTAAACTAGCACTAATCCTAAGTTTTAAAACTTTTTATCACAATTATTGGAATTAATCTAGCAAATCCCTAACCACTCGAGGTATTACATAACAATGCTTCCTACGTGTGAATGTACATACAAGTCATTTTGTATATGTGGTATTATAACCTAAATATATATATATGTATCAGGATCATTTGATCTCATTGAATAAAGTGTAAAGTGACTTACCAATAATGAAGTCGTAGACATTTCTTCTGGGGTCTTGTCCAGCAGATCTAAGCGAGTCTGCAGTTTGATCAAAATCGAAGAACAGGGAAAGCAGGGCTGGAATAGCTCCGAGAGATCCGTAAACAATGGGCAAAAACCAGCTAACAGTGGGATAGCCGAACGTGGCTTGTGACATCAAATCCATTTTCCAACGATTATTTTTTTATTGAGTGCATTCACAAATAATAATCCCACACTCCCAACCACGAAAAAATCACTTTCTGTGCTTGGACGCCGCCAATAATTTACAAAACCAAGCTTGCTTAAAGTTTGAAGTGCTCCAATAAAATAAAAGTCGCTTTGTTAAGTTGCGTTATTTTATGGAAATGGAGGTTTGTATAAAAAAAATCTAGGAATTCGACGTGATTAAATTACTTCGCACTCAAACTGATTTGCACAAAACATTATTATCTGTTTCATTTCCATTTTCGCAAAATCCATTTGCAATAAATAATCACGTTTTAGTTAACTAAATAATCTATTAAAGAGTTAAGTGACCATCCGACGCGACCATCAGATTACAAGTCAGGCTCAACCATCCGCAACCGCACTTTTATCCGTTTAAACATTTATAAATGTTGTGTAACCTATTTTCACGATTTTTCATAAAATTGACTGACTCTTCCCTCCCACTCTGAAGCCAGTTGGTGTGGAGCTGCTGCTATTTTCCTTTGTGGTCGCTCTTTTGTTGTATCCTGCAAAACTTGGTCAATGTTGACTTTTTGAATGGTACTTTTCGCTTCTGCTGGCTGATGAGGAGGTTATGTGACAAGTTATTATGGTTTCCCAACGCAGCAGCCGACGTTAATTGTCACGATCACGTGGAATCAACAGTACGCTACAATTTGTAAATGGCTATTGTAACGTGTGTACACTACAACTACGCTGTCATTGCTATTGTCAAGTGTTATCTGAGTCTGATTATATTTCAAGTTTTCCACTACAACTCGTCGTCAAGTTCACCTGCTCAGATAAAGAAATGCTTGTCGCACGTCTTAATCGTCACTGAATTTGAAGCAATTTCACACCGGTGGCTGAGTTTATAACGTGTACCTAACTCCACCACGTGCAATTTCTTCATGATCATGATCGACACTTGGTGGACACTGTTGGACAGTCTTCCTTTGTCAGTGAGCATGATGCGATGAGAAGATTACGCAAACAATTAAGGGACCAATTAAGTTATCACGTACAAAATATTCTCATGTTGCCTCACTTCAGTTTGTAATTGTCACAAGTCACTAAACACTGCTTGCTTAGCTTTGCTGCACTCCTCCGTTTAATGAGAGTAGTAAGACGGTAAATTAATCAAGTTATGTTGAGTAGAGACCAAAAGTAAGTGACTTAATTGGCCACTCGGATGACTGCTCGTCTTTCTGTACGATGATAAAATTGCATCAACTGTTGCAAGGGATTCACAATTATCAGAGAAGTCTTCAACACCTCTTGATGTTGATGATTGCTGACAGCTTGGCAGGCTGAGAATCTAAGCATAATAGACAAAGTATTAAGCTTGTGATTAAGCTAAAAAGATGGAAATTGATATTGCAAAATGGAGATTTGCACGACTTTTTTTGCACCGTTTCTTTAAACCCAGGTCTGCCTGGTAAGTAGGTAGGTGTAGCTTATACGCAGAGTCTGATTGAATTGAATTTCTCTTGCAGATGATTAGGTTTTTGTTCTCAAACTTTTTCATTAACTGTCGTAGAAAAGCTGATTGTCATAGATTATCACATGCTTGACTCGGATCAGTTTCTAATTTAATACTTTCTGCGGTGGTTTAAATTTTTGTACAGTTCTTGATAATCAGAAAAGCACATTTTGAGAGGCATGATGAAATATGTATATCCTCTTTTTATAAGGTGAAGAAGTAGTTTAATTTTTTTAATGGTTTTTCTAATGGTCAATTTGCAACCCTTGAAAAAAGGTGACACCGTGTAAGGTATACAGATGTGAGTACTTTATTTTGGGAACAATTGGAATGGAAATTCAATGATATCAGCATATCCGCAATTTTTTATGCTGTGCCTCTAAAAAGCAACAGCTTACATATTCTTATGTATTTACAATGTGTTACATATAGGAAAATAAGGCAGGAAAATGAGATTTGGTATACGACTACATATTAATTACTTCTCCTTCCGTTCCTCCTTCACTCCATTTATTCTTATCACAACACCTGATTTTAATCAAGTAAAAAGAAAATTAATGTAAACCAGCATGAATGAAACTCAAGTAGCTAAAAACTCAGACTGTATGACGCCATACATATTTTGCGGAAGGATGGAATGATAATGATGATGCGGTTGAACAAAACTGCTGCTGCTGCTGGCTGAGTGCTAAAATGTGGGTGAACCGTGTCTCCGTATTATTGTATCATTCATTCCCTTTCTTGAAAATAAATCACAGATTTGCAAATTGGTCAGTCAGCTAAATTGCTCCACTGTAGTTAGCAACGCAGATTTCTCTGTACGACTTTTCATTGTGTTTGTATATGAATATTATTGTAACGTTAATCAAGAAGGACGAAGCAGGGAAAAAGGTATCACATTGTGTTGGCACATTTTGAGACAATCTGCAAATGTCCATCCTCACAGTTCTTATGGATTATAGTCCATATTGTGTCATGAGTAGTCGCAATGATTTATGAGCACGACTTACGTGTTTTTCATCAAATCTTTTACGGATGACTAAAACTTTCCGTTTCATTCAGTAAATTGTTTCTTTAAGGTACATATTACTGTAAAAGAGAAGATGAGCAATTTTTTAGCTAAATAGTTGCAGCAACTATTGTTAACCTATTACTTAGGACACGTTAAAAGTACTTATGTGCATATGGTCGTCCACCCGTATGCACATGAATTTAATGTGTGAATGATGTTTACTTGGTGGAGATGAGATTATTTTAGAGGAGTGCCACTGCTATTTGCTACTACACACACACCAATATATTACTCCTTGCTCATTGACTCATCGCAGGTACTCCATTAAAATGTGGCCTTAATAATGGGTTTTGCATACGTTATATTATTAACCTACCACTCGCTTGTTTTATCTAGAATGACAGCTGCACAACCAACTTTCATTCTCATTCGCTAATGAAATGCAGACATACGTGTATCGCAGAATATCGTGCTTGAGTACTTGAGTATTATGTTCTCCACCGGTACACGTATCTGTGTCTAATTGTCGTAAAAAATGCCGGTAATATTGTTGCAACAAAATAAACCCAAATTTAAAGACCTCGCGTATTTGGCATTATCAGCGTTATTTGGCATTACCAACTATAAGTATTTACTATACACAATTGTGAAATACTGTTTATTTCAGTTCCAATGAGATTATTAACCTCTCTGAACTCGTGTTTTGTTGCCTGGATAAACCACCTTTTATTCTGCCATGCCACAAATTGCCGTGTGTCTATTTGCAATTAGTCACACAAAAAATAATAATGCATAATAACTTACCTTTTGAATATCCTGACCTAAACTCGCACGCACAACAACACAAATTTGAATGCCCACTTTGGTATTGTTTTTCAGATTCCGAGTAGTCGATTTATTATCCAACCTATACCACAGTTAATCGCTTATTGCACAAAGAGAAACTCCTTAATCAGCGACCGAGTTTCAGCCTCTTGATTATCTGGAAGTTGTTAATGCTATTCTCAACCAAGAAGTTCACTGTGCTGCTTGGCTCTATGAATCCATTATGCAGGAATAGGTGGAGGAACGTGGATAAACGCCACTGACCAAGAGAACCACTTCATCTCAACCTTTGCACTGAACTGATCTTACTCTTTCCTGCAAAGTGCATGAGACTGCTAGCCTGCTAGCTGTACTCTTGTTGCCTTCATTGTTAAAGATTTTGCAACAGGGCTATGGCTTTGACTTAGAAAACGTAATACTGCAAGTCGCCAAGAGCTGCAGTAACAACAATGCAATAACAATAATAGAATGCGTCTGCCTTCGCTCACTCTTTGATTATCACAAATATTTGTACACTGTAAATCATGTCCTATAATGATAAAGTGCTTTAGTGGGATAGATAGCTGGCTGGCTGGCTGGGCCTGGCTGAGGGAAGAGATGAAATGAAATCCGCGTCACAATTTACACATTCATACTTCCCTTGTCAGGACTTGAAGAAAGTGTTGAACGTTTAATATTCAGACGGAGAGGTGAGACATATCTAGAATAGAAATGTCTCTGGGGAATGGTTGGGATAAGTTTAGTCAGAGTTTAAATGTCTGTCAAATGTAAATTGCAGTGGCATTGTCGCTTCTTTGTTGGACGACGAGGGCTCACAACTACTACTCTTACAAAATGAATGCATTTAGATTCTTCGGGAGCACCAGTAACCCAAGATGGACATAGGTTAGAAACAATAATGCTGAGTGTGTATTGCATACATAGACATACAGCGTATTATTATTATTATTATGCATATTCATCCTGCCAACAGTAGTAGTGTGGGTTTATACATGCATAAATGTTTGGTAATAATAGTGCAAGTTGTGAACATGTCACAGATAGAAGACGGAGATAGAAGAAGAAGGGTAATCAGACCAAGTAAACAACAGAAATATGTAGGAAGGAAGGGTCGTCGTCGTATTGTTGAGGAGATAACGGTGTGAATTCATTCAGATTTATTATTACTTGTGCCAAAGTAGCGGAATAACGACCGAAAACTACGCGCATATTTATTTTGTTGATTATTCTTCCACAAATCACAAAACAAAAATTGTTGATGCAACCGATTGTGTATTCTTGCAAGAATTTCCGTTTTTTGTTCAATGTAGAATATGGAAGATGTTTCACGATGGACTTAAATGAGCTTTTAGGAAGTACGTTTTAGCTACCACAATAAATCATCGCTTCACTCTTTCGTTCGTCACTTACTACAGATTAGTATCTTTCTTGGGTAAAAATGCAGATTTTTTGGTATGCAGTGCTATATACAAGCAAGCATATTAGTAAACAAAAAACGCGAAAAGATGACAAAATACTTGACGATTTGAGTTTCACTCTCACTTGTCTTCAATTAAATTGGAATGCTTTTATGAATTTCATATATTCATGTAGCTAAATAGGTTGAGAGCAGGTGACTTATATGTAAAGCTGATGATGTCAAGTCTCGATTCTAGGTAGGGCTTTCTCAAATAGAATTAGTCAACTTTGGGCTGAACTTGTTAATTGTAAGGGGTTGACTATTAATTAAAGTTGAAATCAGTGGATGGTTTGACTTATTGCCCATCGCTGTGGCGTTGGATTTGCTATTCGCGACGGGTGTAAACAGTCGTATTGCATTCATCGGATTCTTAAATGTACGTATATACAAATGTACCTCTTGCTGTGGTTTTCATAAATGCCTGCTGATCCATCCGAATGCAATTACCTCCACGCTGTATAATAAATGATCGATAGAAAGATGAGCCAGAATCCAAAGGGTCAGCCCAAGAGGAAAAGTTTAATTATCACGCAGGCTAATATTCTCTCTCGTGAGACCACTCATTCTTCTATAATCAATTACAATAATCCGCAGTGGCGCATGGCGTTCGACATGACTAATAGCTGAAGGGAATTTTGAAGAGATTGGCGAAAATTACGACACTGTGATGGTTCAGCTTAGTCACAGAGATCAGTTGATATGTATAGTACATACATATATGAGTCCCCTCAAGTATAAAACGTTGATGCTGTCCATCACATAACCACCACGTCAAGCCAATGAATATTGATTTGCTTGTTAATTTCATATTCCACTGATTTTATAAAGCTTAAATCCCCATCCGTTTCAACTTGCAAATCTCCTGCATCCTGACCGCACTCAATTTACCAAGTAGATATTATATGCCAATAATAAAAATCAGCGTGTGCGGCATCCTCAGACCGACTAGAAGGCATGTATGAATGAAAAGTGCTGTTATGTTAATGACAATGATAATTAAAATTTTGCTTCGCTGGGGAAAACACTGCACACTTTTGAGCATACACAGATGGTTTTTGCGATGTGTCGTCGTTGTCGTCGCATGCACAAGTCGAACGAATAAGCATAAGATCCGTAAACAATGCGCGACCGATAATTAGCTCCTGCCTAGTAAATACTTGAAGCCATGCAAGCGAATCTATTACCACCTCCACATGCAGGCATGTAGGAAGGAGGTAGATAGATGATGGTTTCTGGTGTTAGCAATTTTTGGCAATCATCTAATAGTGAAACTCGTTTAAATCAGTGTTCAGCTGCCTTGTTGCTTTGCCTAGCAGTCGTCAAAATAAAACAGAAATTTGTTCCACTGCCAAGATACCTGACGCATTTTACCTCTGGGCAGTCATTCTTATTCTCAACAAATGGAGACATTATTATTCGCAAGTGTCGACAGGCGCTAATGGACAGAACTAAGTCACATATTTCACAAAGTTTTTTCTCGAAATTCATCCCTTGTTCACATGAATTTTAACTAATGCAGCAGAACAAAGTGTGCTTACAAATTAATCCAATTTGTATAAATCTAGAGTAATCCTAAGTGACGGCGAGTTATGCAAATTTCTTAATTAAGCCTAATTATGATCGTCACTCATTTGCAGCTTTCTCATCTATTAATTGAACACAAGCAGAGAATGCAATTCTGTATTTCAATTTGAGATTCCAAAATCCAAAATAGCAAGCTTCTCTGGTGTCACTTTAAGTACTTAAGTAAGCTCTCTATAGTACGTGTACATATGCATAATAAATACGTGACAAGTCTCAGGTTGGCATACATATTTCCTCGCTGCATGTTGACTTATTGTTGTGGTATATTTGCGTTGGACCACAAACGTCTTCTTCTGTGCATCTGCTTTTATTATTAGTCCCACCAGGCAGTCTATTTTGTTACTGTATTAGAATGATTATAGGTTATCGCTATTTTACCTTTGTAATTTTGTAACGAAAAAAGAAACTCTGAATTATAATCGCAAAGTTTATAGTTGTATCTTCAAAGTGAAACATGGTAATTTACTCCCCAAGTCCCTGCATGCAGAATGATCTTTAAATAGATACATGTATAACTCAATCAAATCAAAATCTGTCAGTGTAAAATTGATCTAAAGGAAAAACAGTAATTACGTAAGTAGTGTAGAGGAAATTATCAATATTATTGATCAAAAACCCTAAAGAAGTGAGTGCAAACTATGTGTATGTACAACTATGGTGGATAGCATACCATTTAGGTTATTGAGACCAAAATGTGGTCACTGCATATGTAAAAAATGGCAAGGAACCAATTGGATGATTTTGAACTATTTAATTTTACTTATCATCGAGTAAAGCAAATAAATACTGTGATTAACCGCACACGGAAGTTGTGTGACTACTATAAACACTGGTTCATTCTGTAATATGTTGCAATTTACAAGATAGACACGCACGATAAGCTTCGTACTAGATATTCTGAATTGTTAACTATTTACAACTATTTAGGAGTAGCTCACTATAACATACACAATCAGTTAATATTGTAAATGGACATCATAATTGAAGTTTATCTCAACAGTGGTGCGTGCCCATATATTGTTCTTACTTAGCTTCTATGTACCTATTGATGTGCTCAATCAAATTAAATCAAGCATTTATAGTTTATGATGTAATAATTGGAATTTCTTCAAACTTTTCTGTAACCACAATTTTCATAGCATTATCAGAAAAATTATTATTCCACTTAAAGTCAGTATCTGTATAAATATTTATATGTAAAATAAATATAATACTGCTGAACAATTTAATTTTCCTTGCCGATCATTTATATTCAGTCTTTATTCAATATTTACTGGACAGTTTATATCCGTCCATCTTACATGAAAAACATTTGAGAAAATTGTGCTCGAGTTGAGTATTAGATTATGTTAGGATTATGTACACACACCTAAATATGTTACATATATGTACCTACCCTACGTATATTTAGATTGGATTTTGTACAACATGTACTACACATAATTATTTGGCTGGTTAATCTAACACATATGCGTAACACAACCCGTTCGACGTATCAATTATAGTACCGTTGCATATTCTGTTCTCAATCACAGAGTGATCATTTTACAGATTTCCACGAGACGATGCAAATCAATTGCGCATGTCTAATGATTGCAATATTAATTGATACCATAAGTCCTAGATAGATATACAGTGTGTGCTTATGTATTAGTTTTGGGTTCTTGGCAAATTCGATCCTTTCGCTTTACCAAAACTTTAAAAGAGTTGTCAAAGACCAGTTACAACTATATTCGTCATGAATCATGACTCATGATCAATGTACGATTGTACGATTCTTCTCTGTATTGCCTCATGCGGTTTCCAAATTCAGAAGAAAGACATTCACAGCCTAATTTATGCCTTATAGCGTAGTAATCTTTAGTCTCGTGTATGAATCGTAAAACGTTATCAAAAGAGCAAGGTCGCAATTCGCCTAGAATCAAAACAATTCAATTGTCAGAAAATTCTGTAAAATAAAGAATGAAATGTTATCGGAAAGGAATTACAAAGCAGAATAAATAAATACGCACATCTCTGCATGGGAGGAGTCTGCTAAGCCAAGCTAATATATGCAGATATGCTTATGAACTTAATTTACATTTTCACATCACATTATGTAGTTAAGTTGGATCCTTTTATTCTAAAAATTACATCATTAACACATTTTGCGCACATTATTGCAAAGGGTTTGACTAATCAAGGTAAAGGGCTAGCCATTTGTCCTTCCCCACTTTGGCACATGTTTTGGTGAATGTAATGAATATGTATATATGTAGTGTGTACGTTGCCTATAATAAGTCCAATGAATTTACGAAACTCTTTATAAATTGCTACTTTGAACTTTGCTCATTGTTTTCCTCCCACCTTGTTTTTTGTAATGGATTCAAGGTACCCTAAATGCAACTTTGAAAAAATTCATTATACGTTGGGTGCAACACATTTTATGAATAAATTCACATTTCGTTAAATTATGCAATAATGTGCTATGTACATAAATACTTTATTGTAAAAGGTGTTTGATTTAAATATACTTATTGCTCAAACTATTTTTCGTCCCAAAGGTCACTTTTCCCCCTAAAGCCTTATGCAACAAGTATCTTCCTATCTGTGATGTTGATCATACAATTACATATATAATACAAATACCCAAAAGTGATACGAGTAATCAAAAAAATATTTATGGCTATACTTAGGACAACAACTGTATTAAAGTGTTAACCCTATTAAATACCATTAGATGGATGAAACATGCACAAGATCAAGGTATATTCGCAGGTCAAATTAACGCTGATATTCAATGCCCAAAATACTTCTGAAAACATCAAACTCTGTATTTTAATTCTCATCATGAGATTAAAGGTATAAAAAAGGTATGGCCCATATGATGAGTCATCATATGGGCCAAAGTTTCGCCGAAATTGCATACGCGTTAGAAATATTTAATATTAATTTTACACGCCACATGATGTCATTGTTATTTTAAAAAACTGTCACAGCGCCAAGTCACTTGTGTCCTGGCTTCTGGACCACCTACGAGGCCAGATACAGAATTTAACCGCCGCCCTAATCGTTTTATGTCGATTGAAGGAGAAACGGAATTAAAAATTATTTGACGTTGCGAAAATAAAAAAAAGTCGACAAACAAAAGTCAATTCATATTATGCAAAGGGGTTTCTTCACAATATGACATTTCTACATGTAAATAATGTTGAGCTGATATCAGAATCCTTATAAATTAAGTAGGGTCATGAGACGGCGCAAAATTTCCATACACATAAATGCGTGCCCGTCACAATAGCATATGCGATCCAAATACTGAAATCCATGCGCATGAATACGAATGTAATGGAGGTTTTGAAATAAATACATACGTAGAAAAACCAATACTTCAGAAAATTTAAGAAACTTTATTTCTGATGAAAAATATGTGTATCGGGTTAGATAAGTGGGTAAATAAATATCTAGGCTTTTGCATAATGAAATGAAAACTAAGCCTGGAAAACATGAATCGAGTTGACCCTCTTACGAACAATGGATTAGTGCTAAATTGCCATAAAATAAGAGCTACAAAATATGCAGCCGCATACCAGTGTCAGTAAAATCGAGGATAATGCAATTCATATTATTAAATGAATTATTTCAAAACAACAGTATAAAAAGAAGAATTTGGAAATTTATTCGTGCATTCATATATTTGATTTTCATATCACTCGTCAAAATGACTTTTCTTGCCTCTAGTTTTGCTGTGTTCCTACTCTCGGTTATGGTTGGGATCCGAGCTGACGATGGTAACTCTTCAAACATTACTAAATTTAAGAAGATAATTCACATTTACGTTTTCTAAAAATTATCGTTTCATTGGTAGGAATGAGAATAGTGGGAGGGGAAGGTATTGTACTTTTCATAATTAAGTATGTTAGCATTCGGGTCATTATTAGTGTGTTTTCGCAGCTGCCTCACCGGGGGAATTTCCATACCAAGTTTTTATTGAAAATGTGTTCAACTCCACCGAAATTTTAAAATGTGGTGGTGCTTTGTACAACCAAGAATACGTCGTTACAGCTGCCCACTGTATGTACTTCAAGGTATTAAAGTAATACGATGCACATTTGTTAGCATCCTAGACTAAAATAAATAAACAAAATAATTTGAAGAATTTTCGGACGACAAAATAAGATTTCTGACATTTTTAAAGGATCTGGGAACTTACGCCAACCCAAAACGCATCTGGATCACCGCAGGAACAACGGTAATCAAACATATTTTATGTAATAGCTTTTTCATGAAAACCTAGAAAGTAAGTTGAATGTATTATTCACAGGACTTGGAAGAAGGTGCCAACGCTCCACAAGGCGACATTAATCGAGACAAGCAAATCACACGAGTTGTTGAAATTATTCCTCATCCCAAATTCGAATATAAGAAATATGAAGGAGATCTTGGAACCATTCCAACCTATGACATTGCTTTGTTGAGAATGAACCCTCCTCTTAAACTGAATGAAAGAACACAACCAATTTCCCTGGCTCCAGCCGATTACGTAGTTCAAGGAAATGGAACTGTCACTGGGTGGGGTCGTCCTGACCCTTACGGAAAGTGGACGAAACAAATGCGAAAAGTGGACATTCCTTTAGTAGATTGGCAACAATGTGCCAAAATGTTCAAGGGGTATGCCACGGTCACTCAAGACATGTTCTGCTCGGGCACGTTGGAAGGTGGAGTGACGCCATGTGAGTTAATTTACAGCATTCTTAATGTTGACGCATGGATCATGGATTTTTCTTGGGGGGTGGGCGATTATTAATATTCTTTCACGATTTTAATGTGATAGGCAACGGAGATAGTGGTGGTCCTGTGGCTTGTCGATATGACAATGACCCTTCTGGTCGGTCTTTCCTCTGTGGGATTGCCTCCTTCGGTCCAAACAGGTGAGTGTGCTTAAACATTCAAAGAGAAATGCTTTGTCATATTATTCCATATGATGTATCGTATCAAATTATTCCAGATGTCCAAACTATTCCGTGTACACTCGAGTTTCAGCCTACGTCTCGTGGGTCGAAGAACAAGTACAGAAGCGTCAGACAGCCTAAGTCAAAACTGATGGATGAAGAGGAATCAATTGTAAATGAATATTTTTATTGATTCTTGATTAATTTCTATAAATGAGTTAGATAGTTCTGTCAATAATTAAGGGGGTGAAATATTCTGTTTGAAATATGTTTTTCTTAAGTTAATCAATAAAATTAATGTTTAGTTTATAAACTGTGTTTCATTTACGGCAAGTATAGTCCATCCGCATACGGATAACACAATATGGTTTGACGAGATCAATTTACATACTTTGTTTACTTCAGCCAACTTTTTCAAATTGCAATATTTTATGACCACACAATGCACAAACTGGAGAAAGTCATTCTTTTGTGCTGAAATTTATCAAGTCTCACAGTGTTTTTCTGGCTGGAGCTGAGTAGATGCTCGCCCTACATTTCGTCTTCGTCGTTCGTCAAATTTACCGAAGCGAAGTCCACCAACCAGCTGCTTTATGAAATAGCGAAAATATTACGTTAATTTGATGAAATTTTTCCTAATTAATTGAAATTTGAGTGGCATGCAATAGGTGTTTGACTGGACGGATCAAAAAAACGTCCTCAGCAGATTTAGTAAAAGTAACTCAAAACTCAACGAATTAATTAACATCTGATTAATTTAATTAATTAAACTAACAGTTTATCTAAAAAGTTCAATGTCAAATTATTCTATTTCTAGCTGCAGATTATTATAAATTCCAGGTTTCTTTTAGATATCACAATTTTAATGCCATAAGATAATAATGGACAAAAATCCGGACAGCGTTGAGGAATTGTAAATTTATTACTATTTTTTAACTACATTATTATTATTTTCTTGTGGCACAGGTTTGTTAGAAATTTAATTTTAGGGATGAAGTAATGAAAAAGAAATGTGAAATTTCGCCACAGACAGATTACACTCATGTAAAGAAAAAAGGAAAACGAGGAAAAAAGTAAGCGAAACACTTGTTTCAATTTAATAACGATCACTTTTCAATCAACCTTTTGGAAAAAAACTAACCATTGTTTTTTAAGGATCCGATTGATAACTAATTATGTTCGAGTGTTTGTGGACAACAAAGATGGCATTTTTGGATACACGGCAACTTTCTCTCCTCCACTAAAGAATGTTGACATTCAAAAGAAATTCCTGGCACAATTCGAGGATATTTTGAAAGAACAAAGGATCTTTGACGGAACCCATCTCTTTCTTCCCTTCCAGTTACCTGAGGAGGTGTGCAAATATTTACTATCATCTCAATGCATTATTATATGTATGCATTGTTGCTTATTTATTCTATTTTTCTACATATACTTTACTATTTTAGGTAATGGTTTTCGAAGGAGTTCACCCGAATCATGCTAATGTTGTAATGAGAGCAACGCTAAAAGCTAATCAGAGACCATACCGTGAATCGGTACAATTCTTTAATGTCCTCTTTCGAAGAATAATGACTGTTCTGGGGAAATTTGAATATAGAAAAAACTTTTTTGACGAGGATGTAAAATTTAAATTACCTCAGTACAAGTATGTAACGTTTATAATTAATGAATATACTAATGAATAAGTCCAACTTACATTACATGACATTTTAAACTGATCCTGAGTGTAGGCTAGAAATATGGCCTGGAATTTGCACCAGTGTCGAAGAGCAAGAAGACGGGCTAATGCTATGTTTGGACACCTCGTATAGAGTTTTCAAAACCGATACTGTTTATGATTATATGTAAGTAACCACAAATCATATAGATCGTCCAAGTAGAAGGATAATTTATATATAATTTTAACATGTATATTAGTTGTGCTCTCAACGATTCTATAAATTGGGAACAAAAATTCAAAGACTATATTTTGGGAAAGGTCGTGGTCACTCAGTACAATCATTTTACTTACAAAATTGATGACATCGACTGGTGTGGGTCGCCTTTATCAACATTTGAGTACTGCGGGAAACAGGTCAGCTAATATTTGAGTTAAGAATTTTGCAAACATTTCACACGTTGTGGTGTCTATATTTTTAAACTTTGAAATATGCAGATTACATATGTTGAATACTACAAGAAGCAATATAATATTGAAATTCGAGATTTGAATCAACCATTACTGCTTAGCAGGGTACATGTTAAGAACAAATACAAAGAAACTGAGCAAGTCAAAGCAATTTCAATTGTTCCGGAAATTTGCTACGTTTGTGGAATGAATGATGAAGACCGAAATGACAAAAATGTCGTAAAGGAAGTCAGACGCTACACATACACCACTCCGGCCCAAAAATTCAAAGCCTTAAGTGCATTTATCAGTCGCACAACAGGTATGGATTCAATTGATATATACATATATATTCTTGGGTGCATAATTGTTATCTGCTGTAAATATTTTAGAGATAGTGGAAGCTAAAAATATTTTAGAAACATGGAAGATTCGCATGGACAATAAGCTTCTAAGCGTAGATGGCAGAGAGCTTCCAGCACCTATTCTTCATTTTAAGGATAGGACCAGTATTCAACAAAGCGAACCTACATTTGAAATATTACCAAAGAATGGAATCTATGATGCTGTACTTCAACTTAAATTATTACTGTTTATATACATGTACATGCATCTAATTTATTAAATGCTTAGGTTCCACTTGGGCGTTGGCTGATAATCTGCTCAGAACGCGATGCTAAAATTGTCCACATATTTATGGAGTACTACGCCCGCTTTTGCAATAGCACTGGAATCAAATCCTCAAATTCAGTTCAAGTTGTAACGCTGAAAAGTGTGAACCCCAGGGATTTCCAAGAAGCATTAGAGGACTATGCTGATCCAAGGAAAGTACGAGAAATGAATTTTTATTTGTAAAATTTATCTTATAAATATTGAATGAATACTTACTCAGATTTGACTTTTACACTAGTTTCAGTTCGTTGTCGTTGTGATGCCATTCTTTAGACGGGAAATTTATTCCTTAATTAAAAGAGTGTGTTGTTCCGAAAAATTTATTCCGTCACAAGTGATTATGGCGAAGACGTTGGCTGACAAAGGGAACTTTGATTCCTCGGTGAAAAACATTGCTATTCAAATTAACTGCAAACTTGGAGGATCACCTTGGGGGCTATATATTCCGTTGGTTAGAACATTTTATTATTTTACATAAATGAGTAATAACATAAGTTGCATGTATACATACCTGAATACAAATGGAATATTTATTTGCAGGCAGAGAGAATAATGTTCATTGGTATTGATGTCAATCATGATGTTCGAAAAGTTCTTCCATCTGCGGTTGCATTGATTGCATCATTAAATAATTCGTGCACAAAGTTTTTCTCTAGGGTGCACGTTCAACGAATTCACCAAGAGATAACTGATAACATGCAACCACTGTTCTCTGAAGCTTTAGAATGTTATGCCGAGGTCAGGAAATATCAACCATTCGTTTATGTGGGTACCGCTTATGACATATTGCAAACTACTAATTTACTAATTTTTTGTAGACCAATGGAACATATCCTGATCGGGTGATTGTATTCCGAGACGGTGGCTCGTTATCATACATGCATGTTCTTATTGAGCACGAAGTCAAGCCAATGCTTGCATCAATCAAGATATTGTGCCCAGACTTGAAAAATTTCACATACACTGTGGTATCTAAGAGAGTTCCTCAGCGATTTTTCGTCGAAAAAACGGTAGTTTACGAAATACATTTGTGTTAAGATTTATAAGTATTTAGAAATTTTAATTCAAGTTGAGATTGACTTTTTTCCTTTCTTTGTACTAGAGAGGTATGTTTGGTAATCCTAATCCTGGAACAGTAGTCGACAATTCAATAACGTATCCAAATATGTTCGATTTCTACATTGTGTCGCAACAAAAGAGTCAAGTAAGTATGATTTATCATTATAACTGATGTTTGAATTATACTTGATTACACTAATAATAAAATATTCTTCCCAGGGAGCAGTGAATCCTACCCACTACATGGTTATTTACGACAGAGGAGGAATTAAGGCTGATCTGCTCCAGCAATTAGCCTACTCGACGACATTTATGTACTTTAACTGGTGTGGAGCAATTCGTGTCCCTGCAATGATTCAAGTATGTTCTCTAAAATTGAAATTTTATAATTTCCTAGATTTCGGTGTATTATTAAATGTACTAAATTCTTATCGTTTGTGCTTGTATGTAGTATGCTCACAAGCTATCTGCACTTGTTGGACAACATCTTCGAGGAATCCCATCAAGCCGCATGGACAAACAGCTGTATTATCTGTAGCAAGATTATTCATATTAAATAATTAATGAACTAATTTTGATTTATTAGTCTTAAATTTGTATAAGATTGTTTCTGACATTTTGTATAGAGAATAAAAGATTGCATCTATCATTCCTCTAATTAATTATTATAAGAATTAAAATTCAGCAGCTTTACCTGTAACATTTTTAACTTTGAGGTAACTTATGCATGTTCGTTCCATTTTCTTGAGTTAAGATTATAGCAATGATGCAACTATATATTGTGGTTAATATTGGAACAATAATACACATACATATATATAGTGATTGATCTTACTTATTATTAAGGAAGCTTTGCACATTGGATGAGCTACAAACTAGAAAAACACCAAGGAATAGTTGTTATTTAATAATTCGAAGATAATTACAGCTTTTGTCACGCAAGATCAAGCGCTTACACTTGGTATGTTGAAGGGTCTCATAATGCATGGCAAACTTAATAATTGAAGCCTCCCAAAATTTCATTAAAGATTTGATATTCAAAAGACTTGATCCAAAAGATTCATTCGCAAACTTTACTTTCGCTGGTCGTGGTCACCTTGTTCAGCGATTTGAGTGTCCCATGATATTTTCGGAGTTTAAAGTGCTGTTGAACTTGAAGGAGCATATTTACCTGGAGCACGTACATTGTCAACGCAATTGGCAACTCTGGACCTTTTGTGTCCCACTAACAAATTTGGAAGTTTCATAAAGTATAAAAATCAAGTAAGAAATTACCCATTATCATTTCATACATACTTTAGCATTTTTCCTGGGACAAAATATCCAAATATTTATGTGAACATTGTTACACGCATCGTTATATGTATGGTGATGGATCTCGAACGACATACATACATAAAACTTATTTTTAAAACAAATTAAAATATATTGGTTCAAGTTCACAGATAGAAACGTGTTATACTTTATTGACATATGTATGTATGCATAATATGTAAATAGTTCAAAGGGCCTCATCGTACTAAAAAGAAACTTGTTGGTCAGGAAGCGATTTAATCCAACACCGTATCATCAAATGATTGGTGATGATGGAGTAATAAATCAAATTATTTTGCATGCTGATTATTCAAGCGCATCTATGTATGACTTTTCAACTCCTAATCATTTTTACTTCACTTGATGTGTTTAATATCACATATAGATGCGAAACCAAATAATTAAATTATTACCACTGACCCAAAAGATCAGTGCGCTTCCCGTTGACTATGACAGAGCGTATCTTTCGTAATGCAACATGAAGTAATTTAGTTTTTATTTCAGGACATTACAATGGCACCCATGCTCCCAATGGAAATGATTCGTAAAAGTTTCCAGAGTTGGTACTATTGGTTTCCAATGTTGATGTATGGGTTTTTGGGAGCACTTTCAACGTACAACACAGCATGGTATGAGATGGATAAGATGGCCGATAAATTCAAAGCCACTTATTTAGATGCTCGAGACAGATTCGACTTTATTATTGGTAAACGTTTGAAATCACAAAAAATACGTAACACAATTGTATTTATAATTTATGTTTGGCACGTTCCCTTAAGTTGGGGGCGGCTCAGCCGGTTCTGTTGTTGCGAATCGTTTATCGAAGCACTTTGACGTACTTCTCCTGGAAGGTAAACAGGAATTGCTAAGAAGTTGATATGTTACGATTCAGAAATCAAAATTGAGAATCCATACAAGTATAAGCACATATTTTCAAAATTTGTAGCTGGAGGTGAACCCAATCCTTGGTTTTCAGTACCGGCAATGTCCTTCATGTTATTAAATCACCCTGGGCTTGACTGGATGTATAAAACTGTTCCGCAGAAATGGAGTGGTGGTGCCTTGATTGATCGAGTGAGTTCATTCTCCGATAAAGTCATCCTAAATTTTTGAATTTAAATGAGGGCGGACATTACATATTTTTTAAATCAGGTAAGTGGCTGGTCAGCAGGAAAAGCTTTAGGTGGAACCAGCAATACCAATTTTCTGATCCACCTTCGGGGTCATCCAAAGGACTTTGATTTTATTGCAAACCTCACTGGAGATCAAGAGTGGAGTTACGATGGAGTTTTACCACATTTTAAAAGTGTGGAGGATTATAATGGAGAGTGGAAAACTGGTACACATACAATACTGGAATTTCATATTTTTTGTTAAAGGAAATATGTACGTACATTTCTTAAATAAGAGACATTTCTTTTGTAGATGAGTTTCATGGAACCGGTGGAGAAATTCCGCTCCAAGTACCGCCGTTTGTTGGGATGGCCGAATACTTTATCAAAGCTGGCGAAGAACTGGGTTATTCCAATGTCGATCTCAACGCCAGATTCAGTGAAGGTTATTTGTTGCACTATTTAGCACAATTTCCTACAGCTTATGTACTTTTAGTAATTATGTAGAAATAATTTATTTGTTGAATTTATAGGATTTTCATACGTTTATTATCCCACAAAAGACGGCAGACGCTACAGCACTTACAAGTCGTTTCTGGAGCCTATACGAAATCGTAATTCCCTGACAATCTACAAATTCTCTCTCGTTTCTAAAGTAAGGAATCTGTTTGATAGTTATTGTAGTTGATTTACTGCTTCTGATCTAACTGTTTCTCTAAATTTCTCCTGAAGGTTTTGTTAAATAAAAAAAATCAGGCTGTGGGGGTGGAGTATGTTCGACATGGAGTGACAAAAACTGCTCGAGCCACGAAGGAAGTCATTTTGTGCGCAGGATCAATTGGCACACCCAAAATACTGCTCAGATCTGGTATAGGTCCAAAAAGTGAACTCGAGGACCTTCATGTATTAAATTGCCAATAGCATAATTATAGTTTATTTAATCCTGATTTCCATTTCGCCAAAGCGTTTCCTCTCTTACAGATTAAAGTCAGGTCAGATTTGCCAGTTGGGAAGAATGTGCAAGGCAGGTTCCATTTTATCAAGATTAATTTATTTTATTGGGATTTATAAATATATTTAGAATGAAATTAATCTATTTCTAAATACCTCCCAAAGATCATATTTCTGTATATCTTGGGATGTTCCTCATCAACTCTACCGTGTCAATGGTTTTTGATCGCGATGTGACTGCGAAATCGTTTATGGATTTTGTCCATAAAGGGACAGGCGAGTTGACCTCGTCAGGATGCTCAGCCTCCGCATTTGTGTCCACCTCTTATGCCAAATCGTCGGGTGAAGCTGACTGGCCGGATGTACAATTTATTTTTCTGGGGAACGGTGTTTATGCCAAAATGCACACGGACATGTCGCATGGATTTCACGTGGATCCCACAATTATGAAGAAATATTTGTCTAGTGATCTAGTCGGAAAAGATGCATTCCAAATTATCGTGTCCTTAGCCAGACCTCGAGCTAGAGGGGTAATGCGATTGAGTGGAAAATCGCTCACAGATGATCTAATTATTGATCCCAGGTATTTGGATAACGAGTATGACAACTCTGTGCTGTTGGAGGGTAAACTCACATCAAATCAACAAAATAAAATGTTGCGCTACCGGTATCACTCGGTTAAATAACCATTTTGCTGACAATAGGCGTGAAAATGGCTGTTCATCTTGTTGAAAACACAACTGTGTTTAGAAAAATTGACGCAAAATTTACCAGCAACGTGTTCCCTGGTTGTGAAGATGTGCCATTCAAATCAGACGAGTATTGGAGGTGTTTCATTAGGCAGTACAGCATAACTTTGCACCACATCGTTGGTCCTTGTTCTATGGGTCGAAATGATTCTAAAGACGCCGTGGTGGATACCAGGCTTCGTGTTTTAGGTGTCACAGGACTTCGAGTGATTGATGCATCAATTTTTCCAAAGGTATTGTCCAAAAAAACTTTAAATTTTCCGATTGAAAAGTACTATAAGCTGGTCATTATTTTATTTATTTATTTATGTTCATATTTTGCACTCTCACAAAAAAAGGTTCCAATCAGCAATACAAATTCAGCGACGGTGATGGTCGGAGAAAAAGGGTCTCATTTTATCTTGCAAGTTTGGGGAGTGAACTCGACTCGGACACAATAATGAAATTTAAAATATTTAATAACCTACAAAACCTAATGTTCCTAAATCGTGGCTACTTAACGGTATTATGATTGTTTATGTGTGTATTTATCGTGTGTCCTATGTGCAAGGGAAAGAAAAAAGACTGAGATTTTGATAACACGTACGATAAGCTACACTGCAAAAGAAGAGTGTCAAGGATCCTTTTGACATTATTGCGATATTAAAATTTAATAAAAAAGATAACATGCGAGTCTAATTTTAAAATGTTAACTATTATTTCATCAGCTTTAAAATTAATTACTGAATTTCGTTACAGCCAAGTCGAATTAAAAGTACGTAAGTTAATCTCACTAAAACACTGAATGCGTGTCTACGAAGCTGACCAACACATTAATCTCTATGAAAATTATTGAATGCTGAACGTCGAGATTACCATTTTTACGCCAAGATGCACAGCGTTAGAGATCATGTTTTGTGTGATATTTGTGTTAAATCACTCACATTACATACACTACATATATGTAACACATGCATCACGTTATGCACATGCACACATGTATACGAGCAAGTCAAGTCGTAGCCTAGGTAAGGACATATGTATACATTTATTTACTAATCAAACCTTTTTCGAATCCACTCTCTGGGTGCATCAAATCATCAACCGCATTATCTGGTATACGTATTGTATGTACTTATCCTTAATTTACATGAAAAGACGTTGGCTATACAAGTCAAGTGGTTGTGACGAAGGTCCGCGTATACGTTGGCTAAGAGATGCAACAGGATAATCAGCTAATGATTTTTTTTGTTGGAATTGCGTGAGATAATGAGTCAAAAAAATAAAATATTAAAGTAGCATATTGCACAATGCAAATTTATTTAAAGTTATTTTAACAGATTGCTCAATTTAATTCAAGAATGTAACGTCCCTAATAAAGATTTTCAGATTAGTGTGGCCATCTTTTTTATAAGTGTGAAATAATTTTTATATAATTTCTTTTAGAATTTTGTAGGGAATTGGTTCATACATATGTGCGTACGCATGGTTCAGTAATTGACCACGAACGAAGCACGCTGTTTTTCTAATGCCTCGTTGGGCTCTAGAATATTAAATATCTAACTTTGCCCATTTTTATCAGTCTAATTCTCGCTTGTCAAATATGTAATAATAATAGCACCCTAAAAATTCTTCATGTTTGTGGTCCCCTGAATTGGTCTACTAAGGCTGACGAATGTAGATATCTGTCAATCTGTGCAGATAATCAAGTAAACTTTGTGCACGCGTAACATGGAATAAATGAAGGGAGTGAAACAGGAAGCTGAATCAGGTCTCACTCCTCAGACAGAGAGATACACATGCATAATCATATCTGCGAGATATAGGACGCGTAGGGTGGAGAGCACTTGGCCACCATTATTCGCACAAGATTTGTTTTCATTACATTTGCCATCTTTGCTGTGCTGGGAAGTGCATAAAATTTGCACATGAACGTAGATATGAATTGGCTTGGATAGATTTCACTCAAGTATGTAATGCACCATACGAGAAGAGAATGCATTTTTACTTTCATTCGAGCATTGCGACTGTTTTTTAAAGTTACTACATGTGCTGTAATAAATACATTAGTACGTTGTTTAGTTAATTACATGATATACGAAAGATTTTGGCTTCTTCTCATATGTATCCCGGCCCCAGTAAATATTTTCAAGTCAGTCGCAGGTTGATGGTACAACCATTCAAACAATATGGAAATTTGTAGTCTCTAAAGTTTATGTTTCTGAATTAAACACGTAAATTATTCCTTGTGACCAACGCAATGATCAAGTAACGTGTGTGTTAACTATATTTAAATCGTATTGTGAACACTTACAACTTCAAGAGTCAAAATGGAAAATTTTCCGCAAGTTGCGGCGTTACAAAACATGTTCAATCTAATCCTTTATGGGACGATAGGATTTCTGGGACCTTCGATTATGATGTTTCATAATTTGGACGCCTTGCAAGATCAGTTCACGGCTACCGTTGATTCAGTAGACACGTATGATTTCATTGTTGGTAAGTACAAATTCGCACCATGAAAATGGTCAAGTATCTCGAAGGTAAATGCATATGTAGCTCAGAAATACGAAATAGAGACGGCATTATATGTAGTCTTAAAATAGTATTCTTTTGATTTCAAAAATCATGAAATCATGCCAAGTAAAATTGTGTTTATTATGAAGTTTTAATCGCAGCCAATTTGTTTGAATAATTTTACAGTGGGGGCAGGTTCAGCCGGCGCTGTGGTGGCGCATCGCTTGTCAGAAGATTTCAATGTTCTTCTCTTGGAAGCTGGAGGCGTACGTAAGTGCCATGAAAATGAGTATTTCTACAAATATGTGCATTCATATGTTGCTGCATTTCCACGTGTTGGATTTATCTGACAAAATTAATGAATTATAGCGTTCCCACTAACCGAAATACCAGGTATTAATTTTAAGCCTGGACCTTGATTCTTTCATATCTTGAATATTTACGTATGAAATAGCAATGGCATTCCTACTCCTAAATCGCGAAGGTATGGATTGGAATTATAAAACTGTGCCACAGAAGAAAGCATGCTTCGCAATGCCTCAGCAAGTAAATTAATAGTTCATCAAACCAGATTAATATTTTGCGTAAACTGTGTAACATTTTCAAATATTCGAATATTGTTGTTAGCAATGTGTTTGGCCTCGTGGAAAAGCTTTGGGAGGAAGCAGCAAGTAATACAAAATTAGAATAATCATTCGTAAATTATTAATATTGCCATTGCAAAACACAACGTTACTTGCTTTAAATTTCAGTCTGAATTTCATGGCCTATGCGAGAGGATCAGTATACGACTACGATAACTGGTGAGCTACAAGTGTGCTTTATTATTGAATTGAATTGTAACTTTGAACAACGCGTGTGATGAAACAGGGCGAATTACACGGGAGAACCAAAGTGGAGATACAACAGTGTCATCAAATATTTTAAAAAGTCGGAAAACTATTTATTTCCTGGAAAGTGGGACGACTTTACTTCAAAGTATCATGGAAAAGATGGCCCACTGGACATCTCCATACCATCATATACTGGTAGCACATAATTTCATTGCTCCAAGTATTTACATAATTTCAGCATGTTAAAAATACACGTAAATGTATATTTGTACTTCCCAGGCATGGCAGAACCCTTCGTAAAAGGTATGCGCCACATGTAAAAGCCTAACACGTGTCATCAAATTAAAAAATTTTCTTTTAAGCTGGAAAAGAGCTAGGTTATCCCACGATTGACTACAATGCGCCATTCCACACAGGTACAAAAGTCGTGCATAAAGTCGGAATTACAAATTAAAAGTCTCATTCACAATAAGCACTAAATATTTGATTACTTTATAAATGAGAAATTAGGCTTCGGCACATTTGCATACACACAAAAACGTGGTAGGAGAATGGGGACGTATCAAGCTTTCCTAAATCCTATTAGAGACAGACGAAGTTTGACTGTCCGGAAATTTTCTACCGTTAATAAGGTTTTGTCATATATGTTTATAATATTTTTGAATATGGCAATCATCTGGATGACTTAATTATAATTTGCATGCAGCTCATGATTAAAGACGACACGGATGAAGTCTATGGAGTCGAATATAGTCGTCACGGACAAAAGAGATACGCTAGAGCTACCAAAGAGGTAACTAATTTCTATTAATAGAATTATTTGGAGTTCCTGGGAGTAAAAGTTGGCGTCTGTTTATCAAGGTAATCTTATCCGCTGGTAGTTTAAATACACCCAAGATACTCATGCTCTCAGGTAATAAGTGTTTTTGAATCTTTGGCTTGTATAATTTATTTTTTAGTCGCTCGATATCAAGCGCTTAGATATTTTTCAGTGCTACATACTATCATGTACCACATACTAGCTTAACTTGTGTTTTAAATCTTTAGGCATTGGTCCGAAGGATCACCTAAAATCTTTAGGGGTATGAAACACACATATGAAACATCCGCTCATTCAAAGTGTTGAATTACATGAGTGTATATATTTTCGTTAGATCAAAGTACGGAAAGATTTGCCAGTTGGGAAAAACTTACAAGATCACGTGTCCACATTTCTTGGTAAGTAATGTAAATTTCCAATCGCGTGAAGCATACATCATAAAAGAGTTTTTGTGTCCAATGTGCATTTCGCTAGGTCCGTTTTTGATTGACAAGCCAATTTCATTCAATATGGACCGTGACGTCAACACCAACACAATTGCTGATTTTGTCCTTGAAGGAAAGGGGCCTCTGACTACAACAGGGGTTCAAGCAACGGCATTTATTCCATCATCAAGAGTAAAACGTTTAGGCGAAGAAAAGTGGCCGGATATCCAGTGGGTAATGCTAAAAAATGAAAATAGTCCATACTATTTTCTATGTGTACACTATTAAATGGTGATACTTTAAGGTAATGCTGGGTACCTCCGTGTACAACAATTACGGGAAAGACAGCGAACACTCCTTTAATGTCAAACCGGGACTGTTGCAAAAATTTTACGAGTTCGGCAAAGGAACAGATTCTTTCCAGATTATCAACATTTTGAATCGGCCTCTCACGAGGGGAGAAGTTCGCTTAAATAGTTCTAATCCAGCAGATCCTCCACTGCTTGATCCGAAATATTTGGACAACTACGAGGATGTCAAGGTCATGGTCGAGAGTAAGATTATTTTCTTCATATTAGTCTTTCTCATATAATACATATCTGAAAAGTCTTTTATTCGCCAATTAAAATTCTTCAGGTCAAAAATTGAGCGTCCAGCTAGTGGAGAACACCACCACATTCCAGTCAATGGGGGCACGACTTATGCCACATTCCTTGCCAGGATGTGAAAGTTTCAAATTCAAAAGCGATGCCTACTACGAGTGCTTTGTGCGCTCCATGTCACTTACCATGTACCCACAGCCTTCTCATTTATGAGGATTACATAATTTACAAAATAAGGGGACAAACCTAATTTAAATTTTCTAAATGTGTCATAAGGTATCATCCAGTGGGAACCTGTCACATGGGGAGAAACGATTCGAGTGTTGCAGTCGTCGACCCCCGCTTGAAAGTTATTGGGGTTAAAGGCGTCAGAGTGATTGATGGTAAATTGTCAGTTATATATCAAAGTGTGAAACTTGTCCTAATTTGAATTCTAAATATTCTTAGCAAGTATCATGCCTTTCATCGTGGCTTCAAACACGAATGCAGCATCAATCATGATTGGTATTTACATATTTGAGATATATTTTATACGATATTATTATATGAATTAATTAAAAAATATAAATCTTTTTAGGTGAGATAGGATCAGATTTCATCAAATGGGACTATTTAACCTGAACCTTCTTATATATTTACCATCGAATTTTATACAAATATGAAAGTATTATTGTGTTATGAAATGATATATGTAAAGAGTTTTACATGAGTGCCATTGGTTTAAAATTGTGATATCAAGATATTTTATGCCTTATTTTTTATAATATTTTTGTATAATTTTGTCAAGCAAACCATTATATGATTATGCAACTTGTACCCCACATCTTTAATTAAATGCAATGATTAAATTAAATGATTTATCGATCATGGAATGAAGGCCAGTTGATAAGCCCATGACTGGTAATAAATTCTTAGAACAATGAGGGAACTCACGTCAACGTTTGTAACCTTCGTAACTGCGTAAGGTTTGTAAGCTTACAAACTTTTACGAACTTTTACACACATTTCTAAGGAAAATTGACTTACGAACTTTTACGAATCTTACGCACTTCAAACGCATGTTTTTGGTTCGTAAATAATTCGAGTTTGATATTTACATTTCCTATTGAAATTGTCTTAGAGACGAATTGTCAATTGTAAATTTTTTGTGATCTCGTCCCATCAACATGCAAATTAATTTAATTATTTTACAAAAGATTGCTGCCAGCCGAAAATATTTGTCGCTATCCGACCAGCCCCCAAATGTCAAATCTGGGCTAAATTGACACACTTCATCCAGAGGGGTATCAATCGATCGGTCTTGATCATACGATCATTTTGGTATATTATAGAATTTTGTGACATAAGAAATAGCTATGTAATTCCTGAAAACCTGATATTTTAGGCAAAAAAATTCAAAAATAATTACATTTCATTTGGTGTACGCTAGAATAAAGTTGGCTAGCAACATTTTGATGATGTTTTATATACGATATTTTGATTTTACTAAAAAATGTTTACGAAAATGTTTACAAAGTCAACTCACGTCAAGAGTGTGTAAGCTTACAAACCTAACGCAGTTACGTAGGTTACGAACTTGACGTGAAATCCCTCAATATTTTTGCACGTTAATATTTTTATTTTCCATCGATTTTCATCTTATACTCCGCATGGTCATACATTTATTAGTCCAGTTTAACTATGTATGCCTATATCACATTAATGTTCGGAAGAAACGAAGCACAAAAATTATGTTGCATTGCATTAGTTATCACTAAAAACTCATTGGCGTGTTGCATATAAAAAATACAAACTAATTTGTTTCAGCTAGTATATAAATTAATCGCGTTATTAAAGTAATAGAAATACTGAGCAATATCGGGAACAGTAGTGTCTAAATTGTCAACATTTACAAGTTCAATATAAAAAAAACAGTTAATTCATTCGTTTTCTTAACGAATAATCTCATTTGACTTTGTTGTCGCCCAGGCCTCTTTAATGAAATTGGATCCCATCTCGCCTATAAATACGTATACAAATGTAATTTTTCATACATCATACTAAATATATTATCCTATGTATAAATATGCATACGTACCAATCATTATGGTCGGGGCGTTGGTGTTACCATTGCTGATAATTGGCATCACACTAGCTATAATTTGAAGAGTACAAAATTAGCAAGTCTCAAAGCCGTGTAAATTTTGAAAACTTATTCTATATTTTTTACCATCGATTACGCGTAAGTTTTTAGTGCCGAAAACTTTAAGCTCAGAGTCAACGACAGCATTTTTGTCGTCTTTCTTTCCCATTGCGCAAGTCCCAACCTGTAATTATTGGGATTGTATTTATTTTTTATCTAAACTAATAACGTAACGATCAGCCACATTGTGCCAAATGGATATGAGTTAGTACGTGATGGTACACAGTCAAGGAACAATGACGATGGAAACATTCCCAATAAATATCACTGCCAAACGCGTGTTGTTCACAGCCGGGGAAATGCGTTGGGGGTAATTTAATGTCCATGTCTTTGAAAGTTTTGGAATTCATCACCAAATCCGTAGTTCGTTTGGCACCTGTGTACGCAAAGGTCACCATTAGATATTCATAATCATTTAAATAGCGCATGCATTCTATTTTCCATGCAAAATAAATTTATTATGTATGTACATATGTATTATGTATTAACCTTCAATCAACACTTTGACATCATCTGGGTGCTTAAGGTAGCCAGCATGGATCAATGGATAAGCACTTGGATCAGGGCCGCCCAAAACAATTTTTCCTCTCGACTTTGGTCTGCTCGACATAAATAAATACTCTTTATAAAAATTTCTCGGACATAAATCCGCACATAAATTTTCCAACAAGCAGACGTACCTGCTAAGCATGTTAATGACAAAGAAGGCATCTTTTCCTTTGTGATCTCCCATCCACTTTCTCATCGTTTCTTTGGGAAAGTTGAACGAATGGGCAAAGTCATCGTCCATTCTTGCATAAATCCCTGTTCCTATTTTTTGGTTCAAAACATCAGTCAGTATTTTCAAGAATTATTAATTAATTAATTAATTATTGATAAAAATACTCAATCAGACGGTAAGCAATTGAATAGAAACCTAATAGTGGTGAGGCAAAATGAGACGGATTTAGCTGGACAAGTACCCCTAACTTATTCAACAAGCACATAAACTGTTTCGTATTCCGTCAAGTCTCATCGTGTATGTATTTAGCTCCACACTCGAGCAACTACACAACGACCACACAAGCTGACCGGACAATATTTTCTATTTTACTCTTGACCGTCTTGCTTGTAACTTTGAACCATTTCGAACTTTATATATATTTTTTGTCAAATGAATTTAGATGATTATTAGAAGATGCTAATTATTAAAAGATGGAATCTTAATAATAGACTAATAATAGAAAGAATAAGGAAATAGTAGTAAGGAGACATGGGGGGGAAGGGGGGGGGGTACCGACCTAAAAGGATCCATTGTATGTCCGGCCAATGTGACTCATTTTTCGTGGCTTTGGCATAGGAGGAGACTAGGAAAGCTGACGCCTGCGTTCCAGTCGAAGACAAGGCTCCTGTTCCAGACTGGACAAACTCCATCACAGACTGAGCGTTGATATCTCGATCAAATAACATGGTTCTTGGGCTATCCAGGATAAAGGGGCCGACGAAACCACTAATATGATCTTGCAAATTTTCTCCAACTCCAGGACTGTCAACTAATACTTTTATCTACGTTGCACACATACACAAATGTTAAATTTAACCCCTTGTTGTTTTATATGTAAATACATGACTTCTTTTACCTGATTCTCTTCCAACTGTTTTCGTGGCCCAATTCCAGAATGCATCAAAAGGTGCGGAGACATAACAGTGCCAGCAGAAACGATAACTTCCTTCTTAGCAAAGGCACGCTTTCTAACCCCATGACGAACATATTCGACCCCATAAGCTTCCAAGTCGGGTGATTTCCCACGGAATAAAACCTGACAAGAATTCACGAATATCATCAGTTTGGTCATCATTCTTTATACTTTAGACACAGATACTTTAGGTACCCTATTTAAAAAAATAGTATACCTTTTGTACATCCGAGTATTTGTAAATAAACAAATTCTTTCGACTTCTCGCTGGTTCGAGGAAAGCTCTATACGTTCCGTAACGACGTCCATGTTTTTGAGTATAGTAAATTGGAGAAAACCCTACAAAATCATAGTTGGCGTTGCATTTCTCTACCACGGTAAGCTGATTGTGTGGATACAAAATTTTTATAATATGCAAACCCTCGGTATATCTGGCATTGAGATCTGTTGCGTTGTATCCGTGTTCTTTGGCGGCCTTAATCCAATACTCAGCAAGTCCTTGATAGGGAGCTTTGGTGACGGACAAGAGACCACCGTGACCGTGATATTTAGCTAATGTTCATAAACGATTCAATCAAAATACTTTCAAAAATTATACTTTTAAATCGTTGAGATTCTTACGATCGTCCCATTGACCCACGTAGTCTTCAGACTTCTTAAAAAATTCCAACACGCTTTCCTAAATATAAATTAAACGTAATAAAAATAATAGCCTGGAATAAATACAATTCTAATCCTGGTAAAAGTATATCAGTTACTAAAAATATGCAGCACAAATCTGACATATGAAGTGCATGGACATTTTATCAGTAGATATACGATGATCAGGAAACAAGATTCGATTTGAAAAAGAGTACAAAAAATACAACTACTGATATTTCTTGATACCACTACAGTAATGCTAGTTATATTATCTTATCAAAGTATTATCTTACATATCCCCATCTTGGATCCCCAGTGATTCTAGAACAACAATATTAAACATATAGCATATTTATTATGTTACATACTTTGTGTTATTTGTCATCCATACCTTGCCCATTGTTTAAAATCTTCTGGATGGCCCCTTAAATCAAATAAAATACCTTTTATGTCAGTCACTTTGGAATATAATGCCGCAGCACAAATTATGTATTTACCTCATATAAATTAAGAAGTTAAGGCTGAAATTACATAAAATGGACAAAACAAAATTATTTACTGATTTTGCCTCGTGTGTGTCTACCATTAATTTTAACTTGAATTATGAATTATCTTGAATTATGTAATAAATTACTTGCTACTTCCACCCAGTGCCTTTCCACGTGGCCAGAAACAACCCTAAATCATAATGTCATGAAATTCTTTATTAGTACTTGTGTAATGTAATCTAAGTAACTATTTTTGACAATAATTGAAAGTTTACCCCATTATTCATTCCAAGACATGCTTCTGGTTGCGGTTGAGTGACTAAGATAAGGAAAAATACATACAGATTACATGATTGTAAAATTAATATATACACATGTATTTAATTTGGTTTATGTTATAAGAGTTCTTACAAAATCTCCAATCAATGTGCGGGTAATTAAGAACGAGAAGAGCTAAGGCTGGAATATTCGTCAAGGGGTTTGGCTCACCCCCAGATTCAAGGACTAGAACTTTATAATTTTCGGATAACCTAAAATTAAAAGTATCATCATAAAACTCCTGAAGAACAAGTCGTTGCTTATGGCTCATACCTATTGGCGACCACCGCACCCGCGCTGCCAGCCCCGACTATAATAAAAAAATGAATTCATTTATTGAATTACATTTTTAATAGGTTAAGTAGTTCCCGCAGGGGGATACGAATTGTGTATGTATATTATTGTGAACCGCATTTTATTGAGAAATGCATGGCATGTTCTTGGCCATTTAATTTGCAAAAAAGTGCATTTCATATGAAGATAGTTGATTACTAAAATTTCACAAATGTCATCACCCTCTGCTTTTGTGCTCTAATAGTCTTGTTGCATGTTGGAATATTAAGGCATTATCAGCGTTATGCAACAATATCACTATTACTATTTAACTGTCCACCTTGGACTCCACTTGGCTTCGGGCACACTGCTGCAAAAGTACTGTAGCTGTACCTCACTTTTAAATTGACACCTAAACAATATTTAAGGTGTCCTTGACTTTAGACATTAGAATGTATTTTATTTTTCGTTTTTCTCATAATTCAGTTTTCACAATGAAGATTGAATTAAGTAAACCGTGCGTTGAGTAAAATGATTACACGACAATGCAAGTTTGTTATTTAATTCTAATACGTATACGCTAGACGCGATAGAAACCCTACGCAAAAAATTATCATACATAGAAACATATACTATTTTACATAAGCTCAAATATGTACATACATATGCATAACTTTCATGCCGTCGCATGAAATGTTACCCGTTGAAATAATAGCGGAATGTCGTTTGAAATGCATACCCTGTGTTTTATTTTATGGTTCTGGAGTGCGTTTTATTTTAATTGATTTATATTAACAGATTTGTATGCTAAATATAATATTGATTTGTGAAGAAATTCAAAATTTTGGTCGGGGTTTTCATGAGAAATGCGATTATGCGTAAACAAATATCCCTAATATTGTATTGCGAGTGTGAACAAATGTGAATGACAAATTCGTCGTATCAATTAGCAATGAAACCTGAATAGGATTCAGAGAAACATGTCTTTTAGCTAGCAAGTAAAGTGGTGTTTATGCTTCACGTCATCGTCACGTCCTCCTTCAAATCCGATTTTTTGATTGGCTGAACTAAATTATCACTACGACAATTAAAAATTTTAACCAATCAAAAAATCGGATTTGGAGGAGGACGTGACGGTGACGTGAAGCATAAACGCACCTTAAGACATAATTAATTCAAGATTATTGCGAGCTCTTACTAAGTACTTGGTTATTACTTATATCAATCAGGTTGGTCGTGTTTGGGTTAAATCAGCCGAGTTACGTTACATAACTTCATAGTTGTATATGCATCTATAAACTATGTATGTACAATTAACCACCTCGGCAATGAAACCTTTCATATGAAACTGACGTCAGTTGACTCTCGTGAACAATCAACTTGGTTCAATTGCCTAATCAATCATGTCCTTATTGATTGAGGGGCTGCATCGCTGGGCTTATTATGCTGTACTAGGAAGTTACCTATTCATAGGTCTGTCCGTCTACAGGCAAAATGTCTGGTCAGAATAACGCATGTCACTATATTTGAACATGATATTTGGTTTATTAAATGAACGAGACCAGACATGTAGTTAATTTTAAATAATGGAACAAAAAAATCAATTAATATGTACCTCAATGAAGTATTAACAACTGCATTGTTTGGTTATTGAGTAAAAAAACGTTTTTTGTTGAGGGAATCTTTTAGATTTCCTCAAGTTGTAATGAAGTTAATATCAGTTTTCCAGATGATATTTTTTACTGAAAACACCAAACTAGGAATGGGTAATCCGATCCGAGTTTAAATGGTCGGATCGGATCGGATCGGATTGTTCAATGCTTTAGTAAATACTCGGATCAATCCGTCGGATCGGATTACCCATTCCTACACCAAACCCAATGCTTATTGAGCACCTTAACAATGCGCTCATTCTCAGGAAGTTTTGTGAATGACAGTTTTGCATATTAAATTCGTTGAGCAACAATAAGTGCTGTAACTAATTCAATAGACTAGGTTTTGCATGCATCATGCTGCTTACGTGCGTTTAAATGCGAGTTTAAATTCAGCACAGGACAAATCTTGGAGCAGTAAGTTAATTAGTTCAAGTAAGAAATATGTGAGCAATTTGAATGTGTGTGTTAACTTGATTGTTTCAAATTAGTAGAAAATATCTTGTATGCCTTTAATAGACAATGTCCATGTTCCCACATAATTATCCCACTATTATTTAATTCATGGATGACGAATAAATGACACGAAAGAATTCTGCAAAAACTAGGAACACGTTTCTACTCTTATTATTACGAAATCTGTAATAATGCAACATGCGTTTGTCTAGCACAAATCTCAACCGGTTATGTTTTTTGACACAATACACACAATTGCAGCATAAGATTTTGCATTTTTGCATCATCTCATTTCTTGGGATGATCGTGAGGAGGATACTAATTTTTTAGGATTTTTTATATTTTTATGTGCATGCATTTGCACTGATTTCAGCCATACAAATAAAATAAAAATTCTATTGGTGACACATTCAATGAACTTGCCGATTCAAAAATAAATTCAAATTATAAGATGCAAACTTCCAAATCTTACCAACGATAAAATCAAAAGTGTCCTCCGTGTCATAAAATTCTGCTTGAAATCTATCCCGCATGGAGTCCAGACCATGATAAGTCATTATGACGCTAGAGATGGTCCCCAGAATTCCAAATACGAGTACGGAATACCAATTATTGAGGGGGTCTGGAATTTATATAATAAAATTTCATCTATAGAAATTTCAAAATTTGCGAAAGAACAAAGTAAAATGGCAACATACGGATTGCCCTTTGGAATGCATTTAGCATAATATCTGGTTGGAGTTGTGGAGCCATTGTTGTCGCAGTTTGTCTCAATTCAATGTAGTTTATGTATTACTGACTGCTAAGCCAAAATCCGATCGAGTGCATTTATTATTCACCTCTCACTCAAAGGTGAATTTATTAGAATATCAATATGCCACTTTACAACTATTGCACTTATTGCATCTGAGGAGTCACTGGTCCAGTCAATTGTGTTCACAGAAGTCCATTTCCCTTAGAGGTTCAGCACTTTAGGAACGAATTGCACAAAGTATTAGTAAAACACGTTGTCACCACGTCCAATATGAGAAATTCGGCAGAAATGAAACCTGGCAATATAAGGAACAAGTTGATGAATGGTGTGTTTGTGAGCGTCCTGTTCAATAGGTGACCAAATCTTCAGTGCCTCACTTAAATATATGTTCTTCAGGGCATGTGCGAAAATACAACTGCATGTGGATACAATGAGGATCGTACCTATGTGCGGCTTAGTACATGCAAAAGTAAATACGCATAGGTTACCCAGTGATTGGACGACGACGTTCCTTTTCTTCTTATTATCATTAAGTGCAAAAACAAAAGTGAATGAGAATGGACGGGAATGCCGATGGTTAGTTAGTACACATGAATATGAGCCGTGCAACGTACGTATGCACATATACACAGCGCAAACAACAACTATGACCACTTTAAGTGCATGACTTTCATGAAGCAACATGGTATCATCATAAAACAAAACAGTGCTAAAGATGTTGAATTGATTTGAGCTGAATTATGAAATAATTTTGAGGATAAGTCAGTCAGTCAGTCCATAAGATCTGCTTCATTCATTGGATCTGTATAACATCTGCATTGTTTTGTGTACATACGTCTGGCTGTAGGCGGCTTGAAAGTGCAAGTTATAAACATGTGTAAAGGTACAATTAAGCGTGGTGTGGTCAGCAGTGGTATTGTATTCTGTGCTGCTCATGTTGCGTAATTATATTATTAAGGTTGCGCTTGATTTGAGGGCAATATGACGGCAGTGCACCTGAATTATGCTTAACTCATGCATGGATATTATAAGAGCAATCTGTTTTTTTGCTCTTTAAGCGATTCCAATGTTAGTGAACTACATCAAATGTGCGTGAATTGCACAGTTAATCTAATTCAACAATTCTCACTTACGTCTTTCGCAACTTTAATTTTTTTACAGCAAAGATCAGTAATCCAAGTTCAATTTCAATCGTGCTCACCAATCTTTTTGCATGCAATTTAAGGTCAATAGGTCTCTTGCTGTTGTGGTTTTGGTGCAGCTCTAATTGTTCACCAGTATTTTTTTTACATTTACATAGATTTCCCATACGTACACATGGGAGGTGGAGTAAATGCATAATTACTTATTAGCTGACTCAAAATATTAGTGTTAAAATGATGCAGTCGTATCAAATACATTGTTATAAAATCATTATTTCTATTTGTGCATAATTTAATGGCAGTGCTATTTTTTTAAATACTCAAAATGTAGAAACATAGAATAAATATGATGTGAAAATCACTCGTTACGATCTTCCATTCGGATCACTAAATGATACGTATTAGAATTACTTTTTCACATAATCTATAAAGACTATACTTTATTCTTACTTTACAATAATCCTGGGATTTCCTCCCTTCGTTCATACATAGCTTCTTCTTGGAAGAGGTGGGTATTCCAACTTTTAGATATTTCAGTAAAACCCAGCCAGATTGGCAAAAAAATATACGGATGAAATGAAGGCGATGGCCTTGCTTTGTATTACTTTGTATACTTAGTAAGTTAGTAAATACATATTTATACAAGTAGCACTTTGAATATGAAAGAAATGTGTATTATTACCACATACATTTATATTTAAGTTCTGGTATCCTCAACATAGCAAAAAAATTTTTTGCTTGTTCACCAGCAATCACGTATCTAGATAATAATGCAAAATGGTGTAAAACTGGCTTACGCATATTACATTATATTTAGCCCGTTCCCCGTATGCTCCGAATTATTATAGACGCAGATACTTAAATTCTAAGGAATAAGTGCTACGACATATTGAAAGATGAGTCGTAGTAATCAATTGTAGATCATTGATCTGGAGACACATTCCTATGCGGTTCCTGAAACCTGCTGCTTCTACGAAAATGCATAGTCTTCGAACACTAAACCCTGAGAGCTTGCGTAACAACATTGCTCCGCTAAATTTGCATCCATCACATCATCATCTGGTAAAATCACGTACTGCACAAATGATGATCTCCAGCAGATCCGTCTTCCATATTTCATACAAATGACCTATACTCATCTAACTGCTTTTCAAATTTGAAAATTAATTACTACTATTACTATTGAAGTTCATACTACACACAATAATATACAACTATGTATACGTTTGTCAGAATTTAATCCCATCTGACAAATTTCAGCTCTATAATTCATTGTGTTGTTCTTCATCGTTTCGTCCTCCCACTACTAGTCCCACTGCCTGTGTCATGAAGATGTTGAATTTCGTCACCACTACTGTGCCATTTATTTAAGGTTAAGGTAAGCCTCATTTCTGTATTATAATCATTATTTCTATCCGAGGGTAAGGTTGAGTGAGAACATAGAACGTGCGCACGTTCTTTAAGTAATTATTGCTAGATGAACTTAAAATGCACATCAATCGCCAGAGTGTGAAATGCAAAATCTGGGCGACATCAAACAAAACAACAGAAAACTTACTATATGCTTGCCGTCATTTGCGAAATTGCGTATTGCGAAAACAATATTTTTCAGCCTCCTCGCATAAACCAACTAGCTCATCAACAATCAAACTTATTAAGGCTCCTGCACGCATGCATTTTTTAGTCCCATTCGTATCATATCGTATGCAGTTGAACAATGGCTTTTGTGCAAAAGTGGTATGATAATGCCAAAAAACGTAAACTCGTGAGTTTTCCAGGTTTAATTTTTTCAGTTTCTTTGTGAATGCATGAAGATGAGACTTTATTTCATGGTCTCATATTTACAGATAGTAAATGAACAATGAGACTTACTGCTAAAACAATGAAATATTTAACAAATGTAAATTACACAGCTAATTGTAAAACTTATTTGCCTAAACAAGCCGGAAGATATGAACGCGTTCCCTTCGAGTCGTTATATCAGACTTCTAATAACAATAAAAACAATAATAATATTATCAGGGGGAGTAATAATTCACAGTGGTGAATCGTAATAGCAAATAAAATCCTATGAGCCATGAGAACTTGTAGAACTTTACATATGCCTTTACCTTGAGCTTAATAATAAGGATGAGTATCTTTGAATGGATGTCATCAAACTGAAATATGTACGTGGTGTGGGTCACACACTACTATTTACTACACTCTTTAAGCCAACGGTCAAAATACCCTTAGATACATAGCGTTGAACAAATTGCTAATTTTATTTTGCGTACACGTATTTGTACGTACACGTAAAAAAAGCCTGCATTTCCTTCCTAGATTGGTATGAAACGAATTATTTTTAGGATGGGAATGCAGTGAAGGTACTTAAGGCTGTAAGCGAAATGAATGAAGTGGGACAAGATCATTCAGGAAATATCGTCATTCACATAACCTGTGAGCTGCGGTCTGACTACATTAAGGAAAATTTATGCATGCGTTCGCATCTTCAAAGATTTTCAATCTTTGAGTTTTACTCTGGCATGCAACGTGATATAATATGCGTTTTCTAATAAACTAGCTGCAGTCGCTGTCATTTGTAAAGCATGTCGGGTTCTTACATTCGTCTACATTATGCACATTAGTCGTCCTGGTGTTCCAAAAAATACAATAAAATTTTATTTCAGTTTCAGACCCAATTCAACAGCCGTCTCATGACTTCATGCGTTGTTATTAGTTCTGTCGCATCATTGCCAAGACCGTCAATAGAGTTGTCGTCACCAATCCTTATTACCAGGCCGTCTACTCCGATGTATCATGGCCAGCCTAGTTGATCAAGTGTATCGAAGTTTTGTAATCTCCAAATTTTTCTCACGAGGATGGGGAAGTCCGGAACAATTAAAGAGATTATTCGATTTTCGGAAAAATATAGCAAATCGAGACACTTGCATGAAACTAGTTGACCCCAACCACAGGATAATTATAGGTCATCATTATATAATAATTATAGTAATATAGACAATAAGCACATGTATGTAATATAATGAATAATATAAATATAGACAAGGTACAGTTGGATGAGTCTGGGGAATGCAAACTGATAGACGGGCATTTTCGCAGGTTGGATTAAAATGTTAAGCTAAAAAAATTACCAAAACTCCAGAAACCTAATCTAAGCCTGTAATGTAGTCCTTTCAGTGACCACTTACCCGGCCTTCTTCCCCCTTGTGCAGAAGACGCGTATTTCCAGCTGGTTGTCCCTGCAGATGGCTGGAAGTCAGGTCAGGATCGACCACTATGCGTCCAAATGGCTGGCACAGGCATTTAAAGATATTAAAAATGTTATTAAGCAGATCACAAAGACTTGTCTGTGAATAATATACTCATTATAAAATATTTTGTAGGTGATCATCATTTTTGGAGAAGACGGAACTTGATAGCAAGGCCTCTGCTTAAGGACCATGGAATTTCTTCTCTCATCTTGGAAAATCCATTTTATGGCGTGAGGAAACCTCCTGAACAATTTCGCTCTAGTCTTCTCAACGTGTCAGATATATTTGTCATGGGTGGTTCCCTTATATTGGAAGGCATTGCCATACTAAATTGGTGCGAGAGGGAAGGGTTTGGACCTAACGTGATGCATGGTAATTTTAACTTAAATACCAAGGATGAACGGCATCTTACACAGTAGCAAAACCTAGAATTATAATTTTATCTGGCGTTGTGAATTTGTTTTGTTTGTTCGACATTATATCTTCACGACTAAACTTGTTTGACTCATCTTTTGGAAGTTTCCAAACCCCGTCAAAAGTGGTTGTCTACCGAAATGTTGTTTTTATTGTTAGATGGTCGGTTATCTACTCCGTAATATAGAACCGTTCATCCTGTAACATATGTACATAGCTAATAACCGTGTATAGCTTTAGAGTCAAGGATTAATAATTTTTTCTATTGATGCTAAAAATTGCTTAGGAATATCTATGGGGGGGCATATGGCCAGTCTGGCAGCTGTCACTTACAATAAACCTGTATGTTTGGTCCCGTGCCTCTCTTGGTCCACTGCTTCTGGTGTATTTACCCAAGGTAAGATATCTCTGATTTAATTTTGTATATTATTACTGTATAATACACTAATTTTTATAATATATTATAATTTTTGGTCATGTATGTGGGTAGGAGTAATGAGTGGAGCAATTGGTATGTCATCAACATAAAATTATAAATCAATATGTTGTATGTACATTCATTAATTTTCTCATTTTCTCATTTTCTCATTTTCTCCTAACTTTGTGAAGATTGGAAGTCACTTGAAACACAATTCTTCTCCAACAGTTTTTTCAAAGATGAGCTGTACAAAATTGTTTGGAGTAATAGTGATGAAGCGTACCTGGCCGGGAAAGAGTTTGTGAGCCAATTTGACCCCAAATCAAGCAATTCTGATAATCAAGCATTTTCATCTCTGACGATGGGACAATCTGCTCGGGACCAAGAGAAAAACCTATTCTATACACTTACAAAGTTCTTAAAAGAACGAGGACTGTTGAAAATTTTACCAGACTTAAGTACAATGACTACCAGTAGAACTTCCGAAGTTATGACTGAAACCACCAGTATGCATGCACATCTAAAAAGTGCAATTATGATTTCGGTTTAATTCTTTTGGGTTACATCTTTTCAGCTGTCTCAGGTCGAGAGCACAAGATTATAGACTTTAGCAGCATGATTACTGGGAACAGCAAGGCCAAGGTGCAGAAAGAAGCAATCCAATTCATGCGAGGGGTCATGGATGAATTCACGCATCTTAAAAATTTTTCAAAGCCCGTTGATCCTTCGTTAATTATTGTTATTGCTGCGAGGTAATATATTACACGGACAATCCGTAAATGACACTTGTTCATTATTAAAGTATAATAAACTACACGATTCCATTTACATTTTCAGGGATGATGCGTACGTACCTCGTGATGGATATCAACCACTGGACCACATGTAAATTTTTACTTTTTAATTGGGCATTATTTTAAATAGTGTAAATATTAGTGTAAATATATTAAATATTATTTTAAGTAGTGTTTTAAATATGTAAATCATAATCGTATTAATGTAGATGGCCTGGGTGTCACGTTCGTTTCCTTGATGGTGGTCATGTCTCTGCTTATGTCTTACACCAAAAATTGTTTAAGCAAACAATTGCAGAATCAGTGGCCAGATATAGGGAAAAGTACAATACAGACGGTACGCTCAAGGCTGGATCCGTGAAATCAGTCAATTTCCCTTCCGAAACTGATAAAAAGGTCATTGAAGTTCTTGGATTTCAAAATGCAAAATCCGTAAACGATTCGTCTCAGCGTATGTGACAATGATTGAGGCAGCTTTAATTTAAAAATTCTAAAATCATCTTTAGGGCTAATTTCTCAAGTTATTAAACAACTGTCCCTTAACTGACATTAAACTTGTAACGCTATTTTCCAATTCATACTTTTGCAAATTAATCGGTCTTTCATAAGTAAGCTGGTGCTTATTCACAGATTGAGATTGTATAACACTTTATCTATTATAATGCTTTTCCTTAATGACTTGACTTTTAGTTTTTTAGCGCAAAAGTTGTAGTTAGCATAAAACTACTACCAAATATTACATCTTACTTATACCGGTATTACCAAATAGAGAGATTAATATATATGATATATTTAAACAGCTAAATGTTCGGAGATTAGTATGACCAAAAATATATATGTAAAAGTGTCAAATTAATTTTGGAAATAAAATTTATACATACATAATGAAAATTAAATCATTATTATCATAGCAAGTTTTATTTCATCAATATTTACATTATGCAAATGAAAAACTTGTCAAACAGCGATTAAATACAATTTAAACTACTACGATAAGTTTTTCACTTGATAGTCAGTAAAATATATTAGGTCATAAGGTAAAATACAAAAGCATTATGTTTACAGAATTACAAGGCAGTGCGATAAATTATGGCTTCTAACGATAAGTACATATCTATGCAATACACTAAATAGTCGCCATTCTCTTATGCGTGAAAATTTACTTTTAACCGGGAGTAAAATAAGATTACAATCATTTACACTCAAGCCAATAAATATATTTAGCTTGCACTTTTAGTAATAATATTCATAATATGTAATAAATACGATTGATTATTTAAGTGACTAATGGTATAATTGCCAGGCTGATTATTGTGATTAAAATATTGCACCCGTCCAGATCGCTGGTCGCCTACGCACTCGCAGTTAATACGATTTCCTACATAATCGGCAGCTCTAACTACAATCAACTCTGCTTCTGAGATTCTTTGTTTTGGGATGCTAATTCGTGACAAATCCTTATTTGTCATATGTTTACGTACCTAAAGTTAATGGGTAACTGTTAAGTACAATCTAATTTCGCTGTCGAAATAATTCTATTCACAGACCTCGTCTTCTGAAATAAGTACGTCCTAATAACGTCAAGGATCACAAATACTCACAAAATAACACAAAGTCTTAATCTACATTCATGCAAGATTTATACAACTTGTTGTACTAAAAAAACGAGGGATCGCAAAATAAATAAGATGAATAAATACACGACAGATTACATTTTAATTTGTTATCCATTGTTGCTGGAACTATGGATGTGGAGCTGATGGTGATGAGTGTTATGTGGAGATTGGAGGTGGTGGTGCGACAGATGGTTATTGTTCAAATTGTTGTTGTTTGTGTGATTGTTGTTATTGTTTAGTCCATTCGACTGATGAAGTAGCGCTTTGGTCGCCGAGACCTGTTGTTGTTGCGCCGCCGCCGCCGCCTGCTGTTGTTGCTGCTGATGGTGATGCAGCGCAAGGGCCGAGGCTTTCGATTTTGGCTTCCGCTTTCGAGTTTGTATTCCGTCCTTACGCATTGCCAGGGGCCCTACAATTGCACAAACAATTATCACACAAATTTCTCTGAGCAATTGACAAATTTTTAATTTCCAACTTACGATTCACACCGTGAAGTTTAAAGTATAAGCCACATCTGGAAATAGATTAGTATTATTTTTATCCAAAGTCGTTCAGCTCATCAATAGGCATTTTGGTAAATAAATAGTAAAATACTTACGCGTTGCAAACTGGTTCCCCCTGAAAAAAGATAGAACCGTTTATTCAAAGGATTTAATATTATATACGTTTATAGCTTATTATATTTATATTTATGGTTATCTTCCCCGAATCGGAGATCAAGCATTGGACAAGACTTTCATTAACGCATACCTCGTTATTCCTCCTCCACAGCGTTGTAGTTGTCGTGCCACAGTTTTGGCAACATAAGCCCAGTCGTCTGGAGGTGGCCTGTAAAAATATGTTATATTAAATATCAACATTATCATTATTATAACATTTTGTTATGATAATAGGGATTAAATTCGTAATAGCGAGAGTACACTGGGTTCGGTCAACTGCATATGGAACTACGGAACAGGGGAGGCAAGTTGAGACATTCTCCAGGAGACCCATTATCCTGCATTCAATAACAATGTCTCAACTTTCCCACTACTCGGAATGGATCGCTCTGTTATTGCTCAGAAAAAAATACAGAAATATTCCAATCTACTTTACCCTTTAATCATGCTTGTGTTTTAGAACATTATTCTGACTATTAAAAGGCTATCGTTGAATTCCGAAATTCCAGCCGTGATACATAAATTCTTGGAATGGGCTGAACCAAAACAAGCAGTTGACAATGAATCAGGGGAGTTTCCTGCCTTGATCTTTAATGCAAACCAAGTACTTATGTGGAAATGTGTGTACAGTGAATGAAAGGTATCTCATATCTTCTTCCCTGACTCGACTTATTCGACTTTTTTTTTTAGGTATTTAGCTCACAGGTATTTTTCTATTTTTTCTATCCACGTTCACTTGCTGGATGTGTATATGAAAGGTATAGTATGTCAGCAGACACTCCAATGTTAAATAAAAATGCTCGTGTGGCGAAACCTTACAAGATAGAAAGATAAGGTAAAAGAACTTTATGACCGTCTCCCAAATCTAGGTATAGGGCACGCATACCGTTTTTCGAAATTTTGAAACGTTTTTGAAATATGCACCAAAACGTTTTGTTTTACAAAATAACACTAAATACCACCGTAAATGATTTAGGCCAAAGATTAAAAAAAACCAGCGACAGGGTTATATCCACAGGTGGAATAGCTACAAATTTTAGTCGGAAATTTTTTTCATATCATGCCTCCTTTTGGCGCGAAAATTCAAAATGTCGATTTTCGGGTCGTGTCATTCTGACAAGGGTAGCATGAACAAGATTGACTTTTTGAAGATATTGCAACTAGATAATTATTCCTCAGAGCTATGTGGTATTTCCTCTCATAAACCATTTTTCGAAATGCAGCTTGTGTCTGGCGCTAAGTTCAAAGCTTTGAAAATTTTCGCAATTTCGGCTGCAAATTTCTTACCAATACTACAGCCAAGATGTTACATTCTAGCGACCGAAGCAAAGTGGGACCGTCTTTGGAATGGCCCACCTTAGATTTCTCCTATTTACAACTTATTCGAAATCGACCTGGTTTTTGAGCTATGGCGGGATATCCAAAATTCGACTTTTAATGGGCATAATCGTGGGATATAACGTACTTAGTGTTAAAAAATAGTTCTTTTCCGCGGTTTTACCGCATAACTTGTCTGAGCTGTCTTTTTTCATACTCTCCTCTCCCCATGTTCCCTCGTAAATACACAGTTGACAATATACTGCGTCTAGTGCAACTGTGCAAAAAGTATTCAATTGGAAAGAAGAGGAGGATGGCAAATTGCAAAAATTGGTGTGATCTAATCTTTCTACTACAGAATAGGCTTAAATGCAAGAAAAGCAACAACATACCATTCGCCTAGATGGTTTTATCAGTGGTCTGTTCATGCCGTTCATTTTATGGTATAATCCGCAAGCATTACACAAGTAGTGCCCTGTTCCGTCCCTGCGCCAAAGGGGCTATAAAATTGAATAGAGAAACCCCTTTATGCGCCTGCTGTTATAAATCAATTTCATTTTTTAGAACCATTTTTTACCGTTGATATCGAACCACAGTTTACCTGAGAAAGTATATAAATATATTTTTTATATGTAGATATTTTTTAGTAAAATTATTATTATAATGTATGACTTTAGGGTAAAGCAAAAATAGTTACGTACACATTCTCGAGCTTCATTGAGTCCTGCTGGGGTCCCTGTAAAAAATAATTACAAAATAGTTAAAAGTTGCAATATCGTCCGCTTATTTACAAATCAAGCTGAATCGCTGCAAAGAACAGTCTTATTCAACTTGTGTTTTATTAATTACTAATTTTTATACCCTAACAGCAAAGACTTGTTTACTTACATCCCTGACCCAAAAAGCAAGTCGTGTCCAAGACAGCAGCAGCCGTGAGCGCCACAGCTGGATTTGTCGCCGAGCCTCCCAAATTCGCCATCCCCATGTGACCGTGAGACCCTCCACCTGCTCCATGCTGGTGGTGGTGAAGGGATGGGGGATGATGGGCAGCGTGTGCGACAGCGGCCGCATGATGATTGAGGGCGGTGGCTGAGAAATTGGGTGTGCCACAAAATCCCGAAGTCATGTCTGAAAAAGTAAAACAAAAAATTCACAATGACGTGAAGCATGTCACATTTCGGGTAATTCGTTCAAAAAAGTTATGCTTCTGAAATGAGGATGAGCATCGAGAATCCTGCATTTCGAGGAATGTACGAGGCGGTGGTATGGTGACTAACGTACAAGATCTCAACTCACTCATGCAGTGCTATTAAACTATCTCTGACTGAGAGGGCTGATAAGACGGAGACTTGTGGTGGCTGAGTGGTAGTGACGGTAGGGTTGCTTTTAAAACACTCGGAATCTAAACGGCGTCGCATATACGTAATAATGCCATACGGGCATCTCCTCCACATTGCCACATTGCCTCTTATTTTACGAATGCAAAAGTCAACTCATCTTGTTCAACATTTAGTGCTAAATAGTTAGACGTCATAGAAAGTTGGAGTTGTGTTCCACTGTCATTTCAGCCTGAATTAAGCAGTCTTATAAGCAGAAAATGTATCTGTAATGCGTGTGCTACGAGGACTGGAATGGCCATGTATTTGTCTTCACCCTTATCTTATTTCTAGTGAGCTGATGCTTACGGTATCTTGGTATTCCGAAACGCTCTGACTTAACTTCTTCAAAAAAGTATGTTCAAGTTAACAATCGACAATCAAAGATGAATGATGATGACGATGGCCTTTTGCAGTGAAATGGTGACTGTAATTTGCATAATAAATTTGCAAAAAATAAGATTTAACTCGTTACGAATGTGCTCATTACATATGTATAACTGCTTCTACTTTTCCCAGTATGTTATTTGAGGCCTTATACATTGTTATGCCACCCACCGCATTGTATGTGACACTTGACTATTATGTGCTTGCCTCTGCCTATCTGTTGGTATGTATTATGGACTCATCATAAACAAGTAGTAAGAAAATACGCAGTTAACAAGAGAAATCCATCTCAGCACTTTTACCTAATCTTGTCCCCAACTTACAGCTTTAATGGGTTCAATTAAAATGAGACAGGAACTATATACTGCAACTGAATGTATATGTACACATGCGGCTGGTTGTACATGTAGTCAACTTTTTCTTAATTGTTCAGCAATTACCACTCTGACTACGTTATCACCAAGATTTTCCTCTGTGCAGGAGTTGAGGGTGAAAGGGGTAAATGGATTTTTAAGTGTTATCATGCACATACCGTAATGATGGCTGCGGGTGAGCGTGGTGTCATAATGATGTCTCCACATTGCCCCGTACGGGTACAAGTAGGAGGGTGAGTAGCAGCCTGCGTTCCCCCCACCACCTCCGGCCGAGGATGCTGACGACCCCCCTGATCCTGTGCTATTTGTACTATTGGCTGGACTCGTAGTCATCGTCGTGGCTGAGGAAATTGGGGAGTTGGAGGAACCAAAGTGATGATGAGTGTTTGAATGGTGAGATTGTAAAACGGCTGCCGCGGCGGCTGCGGCGGAGGGGGCGGTTGACCAGAGTTCATTGCTTTGACAGGAATTGTTGCTAGCTCCAGAGTTGTGGTTATTATTGTTGGAGGTTCCCAGCGTCATGTCGGATGGTGTTGGATTTTGGTGAAGATGTGAGTGTGCTGGGTGATGAGAGAAAGCAAACCGTGAATTCATTTTCGAGGATGATGAGTTGGCGTAGTAGTCCGTTGCACTGGCCGTGGGGCTTATCTGGGAAGATGAGGAGGAAGAGGAAAAGTGTCCAGCAGCAGAGGATTTAAATCTGTCCGAATTGAAATTCCGAAAGTTGGGTGAGCACATTGAGGGAGGGGATGACAGGTCGAAGGTTAGCATTAAGTCCGACGTCAGAGGAACCACTAAAATGGGGCAAAATGAGATTTGAGATTTGAAATAGAGCAACAGAGATTATTTACTATACACAAACACATTCATAAAATATAAAATATGATTGGGGCGTAAAGGAAAACCCAATGTTGAGGGGTTAAGTTTGGAAAGCCTCTACTTGATTCGGATAGACGTCCGAGATTAAGCCCTTTACAAGATTTTCGTACATAAATTGGTCTATCATGCATAAAAATATAAGTAGAGGCAAAAATACAAATTGCTAATGGGAATACCGTTGATTATATTTTGTTGTTTTGTTGAATAAAGATTTACTTTCTTTCTACACCATTTTAACAAAGCCTATTTATTAAAATTGTGTTTTAGGCCTTTTAAGATGGCCTTATAGATTTGTCAGGATGTCTGTCTGTCCGTCCGTCTGTCCGTCCGTCTGTAGGCACGATAACTCTCTTTAAACACATTCTATCGACTTGAAATTGTGTACACATGATCTTCGGGTAAAAAGAAAGGATGAGTTCGAAGATGGGCATGATCGGTCAAGTGGTTTGCCGGTGGGGGTAATTTCTATCCAAATGTGTTGCCCTTAACTACCAAGAACCTTCAGAGCAGGTTAAATTATGTAAAAGTGCAAGTAAAATATTTGCAGCTTGAGAAATATCTATAATAATAATTTTCAGTAATTTTAGTATGAAAATTTCGACTGACCTCAAAGCGTTTAAATTGGAGTGGAGTTTCAGAAATTTTCAAACTCGGAGACCCGATAGGGTGACCCCACGGATTTCTAAAATTTGTCGTAGGAAGTTGAAATTTGGTACTAAGGTTGCTAGTGGATTGTAACAGAAAAAAATGAATTTAGGTTGGAAAAATTTTAATCTTGAGGGACCCTGTGGGGTGACCCATACTGAATTTTAGAAATCGTCATATCGAACTGAAATTAGGTAGAGAGGTTGCAAATGAGTCTTAATGGAACAATATGAAATGAAATTGGTAAAACTTTTATCTGGAGCGACCCTACGGGGTGATCCATGCCGATTTTTAGAAATTGCATTAAAAACATGAAACCCAGCACGGTAATACTTACAATTAGTGGCTTCTCATTAAAGAATTTGAAATTAAAAGTTAGCTAAGTGCAATCAGAAATCAGAATGACCCTGCAGGGTGACCCATACCGTTTTTAGGCCTTTTAAGATGGCCTTATAGATTTTTCAGGATGTATGCCCGTCTGTAGGCACGATTAACTCTCTTTAAGCAAAAGCTGTCGACTTGCATAATTCATCTACGGGCAAAAAGTAAGGATGAGTTCGAAGATGAGCCTGATCGGTCAAGTGGTTGACCGGTGGGGGTCATTTAAGTGGTTAGGATTGACTGAAAAAATTAAATTTCATAGAAACTTCCAAAATTTGTCGCAGGAAGTCGAAATTTGGCATGTGGATTGCCAATGTCTTAAGCTTGGGTATAGTTTCAACATTTTTCAATCTGAACGACCCCATAGGATAACCCACACCGATTTGACAAATTTGCCGTAGGAAGCTGAAGATTCAGCGAATCAGTATCTTGCGAAAATACTTGTCGCAAGCAGCTAAATTTGGCCCGAGGATTGATAAGTTTAGAATTTTGTATGTGCAATTATGTGCATTTTGCATTAATTCTTACAGTAACTAAAAAAACACTACTAACCAATAGCGTCAATTCTTCGTATTACTTCTACCAATTTTTAAAAATATTTACTTACTCCTTGATTACTTACAAGATGACCTTACTACCTCTGGTTACTTTTAGTTCATATCACGAGAAGCCATTAAGTATCACCGTGCCGAAATTTAGCTTCTTACGGCAATTTCTGAAAATCGGTATGGGTCACCTCTCGGGTCCCTCCCGGTTGAAAAATTTTCCAATTTCACTTCAGATTTTTTCATTATGAGCCATTAGCACGCTACATGCCAAATTTCAGCTATCACAATTTTGAAATTTTGGTGCATAATACCCCACCCACTCCGATGACCCACACTGGTCTAAATCTTTTCTGATCGAACCCATCTTCGAACTCGGTCGTTGCATTGCCCAGATGCATGTCTGTATCAAATTTGGTAAAAATCGGCACTAAACTCCTTCGAGAGTTATGGAAAGACAGCCAGACCAACAGGTCGATTACATAAGCCCTGGTTCGGGCTAAAAATTATGTGTCAATCGTTCTTTAGAGTCTGGCTTTTAGTTTAGGTAATAATGCCGTCTTAAAAGGCCCCGCAAAGTTGCTTGAAGTAGGTTTTTAATTTTATTTATCTTTTTGTATTACCCAATAATTATAAGATGTACAATAATTATTTGCAACATTTCTAAATTTTCATTTCCCTGCTCATTTTCATGTTAGACTTCGTTTCCGTTTTATCTACGACACCTATGCGTATGTATAATTGTGTAAAGTGTATATATTTATGTATACAAGTTATTATTGTCAGTAATTTCAAATTTTATAATTATTCGGTTTACTTTATTATATTTTACACTTTTATCGATAGACATCCAACATGCATTGACAGCGATCATAATCTAGCAACATTGATAGACATCAATATCATTGCACGATTAATTGACACCGTTTCTATGGCGCCGTGTCCCATAGAATAATATAGTGTCTAATAATATTGGCATTATATAATGTCCAATTGATACCATCATTTTTTTGTTGCAGTATAATTTAGTCAACAAGTTAAGCCTCAACATGTCTGAATCTGACGAATCGGTGATTCCATCCGCAATGAATTCATACGATTTGTTAGAAATGGCACCTTCCAGCAGCCCAGACGATGTCCCATCTGCTACAAAATTGAGAGTAACAGACGCAAAAGCATCAGTGCCCAATCCTATATCTGACTTGAGTTATGATCTCAAAATAAATTACAACGAAAGCCTGGTGCAGCGCATTGGTACTACTTTCTTTGCTACCAGCCAACTAATGGGCTTCTTCTTGTACCATTTAACCATTTTGCTAAAAGTACAATTTTCTTTAGGTGCTCTTGCAAACACGGAAATGCTGAGTGATGTGAAGTTTTTAATCGGCGAGGAAAAAGCAGAAGTTGTTGCTCATACGCTAATCCTCGCACTTTCCAGTCCCGTCTTTACATCCATGTTTTACAGCCCCATGCTCGAGAGAAGAAGTGTCATTGAAATACCCGATTGCAGACCTGATGCTTTCCAGGCACTTATTCAAGTGAGCCAAGGAACTGCTTAACTTGTAGTAAATAGTTGCTTTTACATGGCAGTCAGACCTCGACGGACCGACTGACTGTGCCTTTTACTCATTTAAATCCATCCGTCCGACCGTCCGGTCATCGCATAATAATTTATGGCGACTGCGATCCGAGTGAATTTACATTCACTTAAGTCTGATTTTATCCAAGTGCTATTAACCGGCTACTGTTACATGTTCTCACTTTTTTCAACGACTGGTTGGATGGTTTGGTTGGCTAGCTGGCTGGCTGGATATCGAGTCAAAATTTACTCATCCTCAGAGTTGAAATGATCTAGATTCGAGACACGTATGTATTTGTCTCTCAACTCTGTTGAACCTGAAACTCAGTTTCTTGTCAACTCTGATTTTATCTCAGAGTTAATAACATATATTTTACATTGACCGAGACAACGTTTGAATTGTCAACCTCATCTTAATGAAGTTACATCAATTAGAAAACTTTGACGAGTGCAATGTTGAAAACTTTTATTGGATTCAGATCGCTTTTTTTACAACTTGCAGTTCTTGTACAAAGGGGGCTTCGACAAATCCAGCCGACTTGTGTCAACCTGTGATGTCGCATTCACTCTGACCCTCTTGTATGCGGCGAGGAAATATGCGGTCAAAGGGCTCGAAGATTTGTGTGCCGTGTCGCTGAGCTCAGCGCTAAGTGCTGAAACTGTTTTTGATATTCTTAATGCTTCAAACCTCCACTCGATGCACGTATTGGACGCAGAGTGTTGGGAATTCATAGAGTTGAACACGGACGCTGTTCTGGAATTAAACCTTGAAAACATGGACCTGGACGTACTAACCCTCATTCTTAAAAATGAGTCTTTAAATACGAAGGAAGTCAAACTCTTTGAATTTGTGATGAGGTAAAAACATCTAAATAATACTAGCAATTCAATTCGTTAAATAATTCATTGATCAATATTATTATCCACTCAACTGATTTCTGTATTATTTATGTAGATGGTGTGAAAATGAATGCCTAGAGCGTAATTTAGTTCCCACAACAGAAAACAAGTGGGCTGTAGGAGGAAAGTTGTTGGAACTTGTTCGCTTTCCAGCCATGACTGCCACCGAGTTTGCAGACCACGTCGTCCCCACAGGAATTCTAGCGGTGGAACAAGTAGCAAAAATATTGACCTACATAAGCACCTCTCCTGAAAACAAAGCGCTCTACACAATGGATTTCTGTGCAACTGAAAGAGAACCAAAATCTGGCTTCCAATCGTTCCAGTCGAAAGCTAGCTTGGCTGGTCCTCCATTCGTAACCTTTGAACTTGGACGAAATGAAAATGACAACGTTTTGGGGGAAGAACGACCGAGGTCGAGGAGGTACATAAATTCATAGATATGTACATATGCGAAAACGAATAATTGTTCCCTAGTTTCCAACCCAAGTTACATACTACATCTGCATGTTTAGGTAATTTTTCATATTTTCACTTTTGTAACAGGAGTCGGAGATCACGGAGGAGGAGTTCTCGAAATGCATTGTAGGAACTAAGAAAACGAACAAATTTTCAAATGAAATTTCCAAAAGTTGTACAACAAATACGTGTCTATAATACTGCTATTAATATCTTCGTGGCCCTACTTTGAAATTAAGCAGCTAAATAATTGATTTGATCAACTCATAATCGGCCTTCTTAATTAAATTGCTCAGGAGCAGTAAATAGCAACCAGGGTAAAGTGGTAGTGTGGTAAGGTTAACCAGCAAACTAACTATTCGGTCTTGGCGTATTATTGCTTTGTTTGTACTATGGCGTGGAGGAAAAGTCATTTGGCAGTGCCAAGAAAATTTATGCGAATTCCTCATTTACTCATTTATTACTACGACACGTCTCCTCACCACCGTTTCTGGTAACCCGTTCCATGCCCTTCGAGCGTACAATGTAAAACTTCCTCTCTTTTCCTCTAATAATGTTTAAATTGCTGGCAAGCTGATTTCAAAAGGAGAGCTGCTACTAGAAAGCCACAAAAAGTTGGAACATGTGGGTGCCAGCTACATACGTTATGTACGTACATACATTATTACATATGTGCATAAGCCAACGCATCGACCAAACTTCTTATTTTCATTAAGCCGGCTTATTGAGTGGTTAGTTTGTCATTATGAGGTTGTTGCTGGAGGTGGAATAATTCATTTACTTTCAACACATGGAACACCAGGCGTATGCGGTAAAACTAAAACTAGTTTGCTTGCGTATGAATAAGATGAAAATAAAATGACGCATAATATTTCAATCGAAATAGTCGACTTTCACAAGCGTGGAAAATTATCCAGTCCAATTACTGACAAGTGCCAAATTCATTTTTTGCCTTCACATTCACGGTCAAACAGCACAAGTTCTTCACAAATTTTGGTTATTTATTGAGCTCATGGGAGGTTTCTGGATGATTTACGTGATACGAATACTGCTCTTAATTTCCATGTAGTTTGCAATCACGCTTTACCAATATGCAGTTTTGGTAAAGACATCCCTGCACAGACTACAAGGATCATGCATTATATGCGAAGGATGCAACAGCCAAGTCGAAAAAGATGAGAAAAAACAAATGTGCGAATGACAAGGAAAAATACATACGTCTCATTGTACAAGTAGTTACATTTCTTTTGTAGAAGCAATATATTCTCGCGACAAAAAGGAAAAGTTGTGTACGAGGAACCGGATTTAAAAAAGTTGACTTTTGAGAAGAAATAAATGGGCCAGAAGAAGAAATCAACCCCAACGAAGCTAGAGACGAAATAGGATTCACAAATTATGGAAAAATAAGAATAACTGTGCGGAAGGATTGCTTTGTAATTTACGACGAAGCCTCATTAAGCACCCACACTGCATACTCACACCACCACGAGCCCAACACATTTCCCAACCCAACAAAGTTGGTCCGACACAGATGAGAATTTGAGATTTATCTGCGAACTAGCAACAAACAAGGTGAAAAGGCAAAGTGAAGAATTCCTTTCTTGGATAATTGAAGGCAAAGTTTGAGAGATTTGTCCATTGGGGTCTGATGAAAGGTCGTTAGTGCAAAGAACGAGATTTTTCGAATTCTGGAACTCTTAAATCCAAGAAAATTTCATTCAATTCTTTTTTCATCGTCATTTTACCGGTCTCGCTTTTCTTTGTGTGTATGAGATGTGATCTTGTGGATTGTATGTATAGGTGGAAGAGCAGCTACGTAAATATACATATGTACATAAAGGGTTGCTCCCTGTCTTGGTTGAGCCTTGTCGCGTGCCCAAAAGTAACTAAAATACTTTACACACCCAAAACAGACAGCTAATGTGAATTGAGGGGGAATTTCTCACAGGACACCGTCCGACAAAAAAAGTGCCACTCATTCATTCTCATAATTGCTCCTTTAAAATGTGTATAGCAACCAATCCCATCCACCATGTGCCTACGTGGTCTGAGTGTACATACGTAATTCAGGTTTTAATTAAGTTCCTACTCTTCTTTATATAATTTTTATACATGCTCAATAAGTAAAAATAGTAAAATAGTTTAATTACATGTTTGCCTGTAGAAGCTTTATTATGTGGAAATGCACAAGGATGGAACACCCATCAAGAAATTGCCCTTGTATCTATATTGAAAATGATTATTTTCAAAAATGAGAAACGGTGATAAATCCTTCGAGCTGTCATCAACTGAAAATTATGACTTGTAGTTTTACTACCCAACAGTCACACAACCGAGCGTAAAAGTAGGTAGGAAATTGAACGGATAAATTAAGTCGATGAATCCAATATATCCAATTGCAAGACAACAGACTACCGTACTAATAAATTATTTCATAGTCGGATGAAACGCACCCCAACAGAATTGTCAACCCAACGCAGCGATTGTTTATAGCGGTTGTACTTAAGTAGTTCCAATTGAAAGTGAGCACTTACCACCATGCACAGCACATATAGCTCCAAAATATAAAAATTCCAACCTCTATAACGCACCACCTCCACCAGGCAGAGAAATGCCCCTTCTTATTACTTAATTCCTGTTGTGTGGCATTGTCACTCCAAAAGAAAACTTTGTTTGATGGCAACCGTTTCCATTTTCACTTTTGCCTTTTCCCTTGCCCACAACCGTCCCAAGGCCAAAAAGAAGGTGGTTTGTTGGTAGTTGTGCGCTCTTTCAAGCACTAAATGATTTGCTATTGATTGTCCATTAAACGTTGACACCACTGTCAACTTTCTGACAATTTACGAGTTTCCCTTCTACACTAAATTAAAGATGATGCGGATGCCACCATTGGGACTGCTTGTTTTGTTCACTTTAATCACAAGATTAAGTGGTAAAACCCAGGATTGCTCAGTTGCATGGTTCCAATGCTACTTACTGTGCTCTAATAAATTCAGCTTTCCGCCCAGTCAAATACGAAATCCTGAGGAATTAGTATAAACGGACGAGAGTTGAAAAGTTACGTGGTAGGTCAACGAAAGAGATGTTGTAAATCAAGAATACAGTGACGAGGGGCATCATTGGTGGAAACAACAAATACATTGCAGTGCAATTATGAAATTACTTTAGAATAAAGGACTGTGAACGTGGTGAGCATATGACGGAGCAAATGTTTTGGTCGTAGATTGACCAAGTGGTTCTCAGTTGGAGCGACGACGACGACGATTGACAACTGGTTGACAAAATATGAGGTGGCTTAGGCTGTAAATTCACATCAAGAGATTGTCGTCTGACTCTAATGTACTAAAAGTTCTCTCCTCTAGCGGCCTGCAGAGTCCATTTTTGCACCTCACCTTTCCTTGAGCTGAGGTAGAAGAGAACTTGTCATGACTTCACTTCAACTCTGCAATGATATGTGTATTCGTATGTAATGTGCTTAAGACGTGCTGGGCCAAATTGCAACCAAAAAGTGTTATTGGGACTCATTACAAAAATCTTGAATTGAGTTCTGATGTTTCAGAGACATGTTAATGCAGTAAATGGTAATTGATATTCTATTGATTGACTTTAGCCCAGCCACTTTATGCCACTCCTCACTTTGACATTTTTATCATCCACCGCAAATCTATTGGCTCGTGCAACCCTCATGTTTCACTATCGCTTTTCCGCGAATAAATGGCGTATTAAGTATTAGAGTGTACGAGCAGAGGATCATTTAACCAACAGGAAAATTGTTGATCAAGTCCTTAGCAGTAGTAAAAGTAATGATGATGATGATGATGAATAAATAAACGAATCCGCCATGCCAATCTTATTATAATAAATGTTTGGTGATATGATAAATGGAGAGCTACTAGCATTATCAATTTTTCTTATCGTAATGCTGTCACAGGTTTTACAGAAGTGGCCGCACAAAAGGGATTCCTTGTCGTATACATGGATAATCTAAATTGAAAAACTGAAGGATTTGTCAGCAATAGAAATAAAACACAACGTGGTAAAGTCAAAGAAAACTCTGCTACTTGTTCTTAATCTTGTTTCTAGTTATCTTTAACACACCATAAAACTGCAATTCGAGACGAGATAATTTTGTTCATGTGCAAATAGTTTTTTGCCAATTGGCCAAATCGCTTATCGTAAAGTAACGGTACAATTGAACCACTGCTGCTGATTTGTTGAACGCATTCAACTTTTGCCAACTTTCGCGTAGGTTATACCCATACAGTATATTTGCGCATATGCAGTATGCACCTAAACGCACGCGCCTACACACACTCCTTTATCAATGTTCCTTTGATACTCAAATTACGTGGACATTAATTAATATTTAATTACGCGTACTTGAATTTAGGCAACTTTAGCCCATGACCAGATTGACGCATTACAGCTAAATTGTCACGTTTGACTCAAACTGATCTTATCTAATCGCCCCAACCAACTCAATCTTGTCTCACTCGTGCCATGGTTATAATAACAGCCAGAAAAAAGAGAAGAATTAACAACTGAAGGCGGTTTGGATATCATTAGCATATACACACTGCAAGTCAAGAACCCAAGATTTGATTACATTATGTAAGACTTATTATTACTATGATTATCTGTAATTCATGTGAATAATAATTGAAATTTAATCTAATCTTATGCGTTTGTTATTTAATGATGTGGTTGAAAAAACCCACGTCAACCTAGTTATTATGTGAGAATTATTAAATTACAGCTAAAGTAGTGGTCGCATATTAAATATGTAAGTATGCAGCAGAGGGGTGAGTGAGCGAGTGGAATCGGACAGAAATTGTTTAAAAAGAAGCCTAATAAGCCTGAGCCGCATCTATGCAATAAAAGTTGATGGTAAGCAGAAGCAAGTGACACCACCACGCAAGGAGATTTCAGAACCAGTCAAATCGTAGCCAGCCAAAGTATATGTACACAAAGGTTCCATAAATTCATCGCTTTTGATAAAAACGTCGGATCGGATGTGTTGGCTCAAAGGAAGTGAAAATATGTAAGTACGCAAGTTATAACCGAGAAGGGAAACATTAAATAAAACATGGTTTTTTCCGGTGTTTACTGTATAATGTAATGTAATGGAGTTGTAATTCTTCCAATGAGTTTGCTGCTGATGCATGCAATGCCCACGTAAAAGGGCAGTAAAGAATGCATGGCATACATAAGTGCCCAAAATTGATGATGGAGAAAAAGAAGGGTGAATTTCATAACCAAAGTGTCGATTTCACCCCCTTCTTTCGGCCGTTTAAGTGCAGAATGCAGCGGATGATGATGATGCAGATTATTTATGGCTATTAATTCTCACTGGTACATGTGTATAACGAGACAGCACGAATTGCAACATACGATCCACCTCCGTGAATGCGTTTTGCCAAATGGTACGAGATGATAATAAGGAACAGGAAGGAACTAGTGAGTAAAGAGGAGAACAAACTCGAGAAGTCCATTAAAAAACGTCCCAATGATCAACACGACTCGAATTTTATCCACGAGTAGGAAGATCAATCGAGTGGTGGTTCAGTTTGGCTATACTTTGAGTTAGTTACTACTGCTGCTGATTGAAAAAAACTGTGGCGCCTAGGATAATGGAAAATGTTGGTATACGTTGACTCGACTCTGTGGAGGAGACTGCACTGGACGACTTGGAACAGGTAAGTCGTCTCCTAATTGCCCCCTCTCTCACTCTCATCGTCTCCTCATCATCATCATCATCGTCATTGCTTGACTGTCCCAACATCGAAATACCATTTGGCTAATTGCTCTACAATTCTTGACTGCTTTTGGTCTGCTCGATTTCTGCTGAATTGACTTTTTACCCATTATTACTTACGTATGCAACAATACCAAAGTCCATACTCATGGTCTGTGGTGTAAGGGATACGCAAAGGTGTTTTTCCCGTACAAATTGTATATGACAAATTTGCAAAGCAAAGAGAATGCTACAAATACACATGTAAATATGCAAAGATTGACAAACTACAAACAAATACGACTTTCTTCTATGATTCCATTGATTGAGATGGGGGCCGATTCTGATCCGTCCTACTAAATACAATTGAGTGTTTTACAACATTTCACTCAAATCATGTCTCCAACGTTGAGATGAGAAGAAGGCTCCCTTTCCGTCTTCTTCCTGTTAATGTCCCTGTCTGAAAATGTATTGTGTCTCGAGTAGAAAACGCCAGCCACATGCAATCGTCGTGTTCTGTTCAAGGGGAAGATCTCTGTTTAATCCCCACAGCCAGAGATCATCCCGTCCCGTCTCCATTTGAATGAATGGGAGACAGGCCAGACAAAAATATTTACACAACAAATGCTTTCAAATTCCTAACATTGGTCCGTCCTTTGAATTTACTTTGTAGTTATTGCTACACCCATTTAACGGTGTCCAGTGACGGTATAAATTATTAGCGTCGTTTCATTTCTACATACAAAAGTTAAGAATTGAGGCTTTTTATTCTTCTATATGCATATCGGCTTATCTTTTTTATTGCTACAATCAATTACTTAAATATTCCGGAACTACTCGAATTTGCATATTTGCATTAAAGATTTGTACCAGAACAGATTAAATGAAATAATCAATTGAATTTTGGTTGATATTGGTTGGATTGTGCATATGATCAAACTCGTCGGATCTTAAAATCTTCAGTAGATTATAACTTAGGAACATTCAAAAACATTAGTGAATTCATTGTGAGGAAATTTAGTGCGAAAAAACTGCAAACCAATTGGCTAATTATTTTTTAAACCGACTTGTTTGTAGTACCAAAAATTAGCTCTCGATTAAAATATCAAAAGTTGCATTTATCTCAAAACTCATGGAGTTGATTCAATTTTAGAAATTGCATTTGAAGACATTGGATAGGGGTAGAGTATTATACAGAAATCAATTTTTGCAATTTTTTTTCTAATTGTGCTTTAGTTGAAATAAAAATTCTAGTCCTTACCTCACCTTTGAATCTTTATTATCAGTAGGATACAATGATGGTATGTTTTGCTAATGTAGATTAACAGATCCATAAAATCTAGAATTATCAATTTTCCCAATTTTCATTCTAATAAGCATTTTATATTGAATCACCGTTATGAATCGGTCCTTTTTATTTACAAAACTATAGCTCTTTACTACAAGATCAATAGTACTAGATTTAAGTAATTGTAGTAATATGTAGATTAAGTGCAAAATTCATAAAATTGTCTCACCTGAAATCTTTAACTTCTGATGTCGCCTTGTCAAGCTTCTAACTTGATGTTTTGTTGTACATTTCAGCTTCAATCGTTATTGCTCCATAAAATTTTACAAAACACAATTACAGCTCATAAATAGCGTGTTTGTGAAGATTCACACAGTTTAAAAAAGTGAGTAATAGTAATTGTTTGGCAAAAAAGGTAATAATTCATTCCTTGCTGATTTTCCACCTGAATTGATTAACTCAGCTAAGACAAAGGGTTGAAATGCAAATTAGGAAGAGTTTAATCTCGTTTATCATTTCACGGTCCGTGGTTTAACTGCACTGGGATTTTTTTCACACGCTTTTATTGCCTCTTTACTCTTATCAATGTCTCATCACTCCTGTGTCTCACTCGCCAGGAGCAGGTGCTCTCAATTCGCCAAATTCAGTCGCTCCAGTTTTCAGGGAAAACCGTGTTTGTCACAAAACTTGCTGTTACTATTTCAGTTTCCTTCTAATGACGTAGTCAAATGTCTCAAGGCCTCTTATCGGGACGACAATTACGACTCCTTAAACCGTGATAATCGGGCAAAAGGTTCAGGAAAAAGTTATAATAATCCGCTTACACACGCTTTTGATTGATGTAGGTGTCAATCGGCTTATTGTCGTTGCTTGTTTGTGATTATGTTCCAAAAAAGTGGTCACTGAGATTGTCACTCGAATTTCAAGTTACTATTGCACAAAGATGTTAATATTAGCGCTAACGATTTCGTGTACAGATCTTAACTTGTATAATTATTTTGTATAATAAGCTGGAGAAAACTCTAACTTTGACAATAAAATTATTACAAATATTTTTTATTCCTAAAAGTTTAGCCGATTTTAAGTCAGTTTTATAATTTTGTATAACTTATAAGCTTGTAAGAGTACGTATGAGGATTGGAGAAACGCTGAATCGGTGCACACGACGAGTTCTTTCTCCCACCAAGAATTGATCAGGATTAGCTCTTTGTAAAGTTTTGTTGTACTCGTGCGAGAGGAAAAGAAAGGCTGCGGAAGAAGAAGGTGGTGGAAAAGTCTACTCGCAATGAGAGAGCCAAGTGAGCGTGAATTCAGACTCGCAATTCGTGTAACGCCAAGCCAAACCCCTTCTTCTTCATATGCATATACGGTCACTGGTATTGTTTCAAGGTGTACGTCCAAGGCGAGCATAACTCGTTCTCTCTCTTTAAAAACCGTAATATAACCACACATGAGATCAACCATTCGGAGTTGCCGTTCAACCGGGTAGGATGCGATCAGCAATATGTTGGTCGCATAGCTGAATTTGTAGTCGTGGGCGTTTTAGCTCCGGAATCGGGGTTTAAAGTGGTTCTGGGATAGAATCTGGGCGGACTGAACACGCCTTCATCTCTCCCTGCTCATCCAACCGTGAAGCACATCTTTACAACGTACCATCATCATCTCCTTCAATCAATAATGCTCTTCGCTTTTACCTGGCCGTCCACCTGAGCTCAGCTACCTGAGCGAGTGGGCAGACGAACGAATGCGAGGCAGGTTGAAATTCATCAAGCTAAATGTTGGCTCAACTTTGCTCTCGGATTCCTTGCATACATACATATTTCAAAATTTCTTGAATTAATATAAGATTTTATTGGTTTATTGAAAGTTAATTTAATACAATATGAGCTGGTCTCTTACTATTTAGTATCTGGAAGAAATTCCAATGACAACGCATTCTTTTGTATCATGTGCATCGGTCATTCATTCATTTTACTTTTGTATGAACGTTTCAATTTTACCATTATTTTGTACATATATAAGGAGAGAAGAATTGAATGTGAATTTGACGGTTGTTTGACTGAGCTGGCTGGATCATGGCGTTACTTGCTTATTACTCTTTTTGGACTGAAATCTATCCGACTTATTAAAGGAAGTAGACAATCGTGTCGTGGTAACCCTGCTTATTTCCTGAGCCTTTTCAACCTCCAACAAAATTGTCTATCTAAATAACTGGCAGATAAGCCACGTTCCATCTGGAAGTTCGTCTGCATGGCTGGGCAATGTGTCTGTGGGTCGTTTAGTCCGGTTGTAGTAAATTGGGGGAAAGATAGCCCACTTTTACCTCCATTCCGTATTACACAAAATGATAAAAATGTCATCAAACTGAAACTTGTTGTTCGTCCCCACAACCGACGGACGAATCTTTCCTTCATTTCTCTGTCTCTCCATTCTTGTTGAAGGCTGGATTAGGTTGAGCTTAGGCATATTTTAACGACGAGCTAATTACGAGGAGAAGTAGAGTAGAGCATGTAATATGTGGTCTAAGTTTCAGTGTCTCTGAATTTTATGGAGTCTGCGATATGAGTTGATTAAAAAAGAATTAATGATACCTCTCATTTTGTTTTTCTTCTTTTATTAGTAAAGCCTTTTTGTGACATAGCTACCCAGCTAGATGAGGCGTCTGTCGTGCTAACTAAAAGCTCCATTCTCATGATGGCACAGAAACATTTACATACATACCTCAAGGCTGAAATTAAATTATTAAACTGGCAGTGTAAAATTTACACTGTAAATATGAATTCGACATATTTGTTTTTATGAAATTATTTAAATGCCAGGTATGAGATCCGGTAGCAAGTAGTGCATTTGCCATTTAATCTCAAAACCAGACAGCGACAGGGAACAATAATAATAAGCTGTAGCAATATAAATAAAGCATAAATCTACGACGCAACTTGACAAAGATATTCACAATCTCGTACTAAATTAAATTAGATATTGCATGGAAATCTCTCACTGATCTCTAACCCACAGGTAGCCAGGATGTCCTAATTGGTCTAATTAAATTATTATACGGCTTTTTTATTCAATAAAATAAATGAACTCTGCTTACTCTGTGCTTTTGCAGCTCAATTATAATTAAGAATTTAACTGTTGCAACGAACCCACGAGTCGTTATTATTTTCCCATATTCTCCTCATTTAAAAGTTGAGTTGAGAGATAAACTCTGGTGCATACTCCGAGTAAGATAAGACTGCACAACTTGAGATGGGAGATAGTTAATTAATTAATTAAATTCGATGAGATCTAAACCGTACTGCTAAATTATCTCGGAGGTATTGAAGAAATATAATGCCAGGTAAAATTGCTAGGTAAAAACCTCGTGTTTCTTACTTACTTTGTGTTTTCCTTCAATGAAAGGAACGACCTGAAGATATACCAGACAAAGAAAGTCATTTTGATAACAGCACCTTGTTCAGAAGATGCAAAGTGAGATTAAATGACCATTAACTTTAAATTGATTAATTTTACATGGTAGACTTTTGCTTGCCTCTCATCCAACTTATATATGATTTCCTTTGGTTGGTTTCCCTCATTCTTGGTTTATCTTGGAAATTCACTGTTTATGCAGAGTTTTCATGGGCTGAAAGTATAACGAACTCCCTCCCGTCTCGTTCAAGTAATAACTTTAACCCTCAGCATGCATGGTAGAAATCTTGGCAATAAATCACAAAATTCAAAGTTCAAAACATCCGTGGTGGCTGCGTTAATAAATAAATGGTGGCAATGCATACTAACGAACAAGGTTTGATTGCCAGGCAAAGTTTGGTGGAAGAAACAGCGTGTAATCGAAATGGGATCAATCTGAGAAATTTTGCCTGCTCCTCTGCGCACTTTTTGGGTGTATATTTCTTCAATTTATCACATCAGTCGGAGGCTTAAATTTTACACAAGCATCTTCTGGACTCTCTTATCATTACGGCTTTATTACTTTCCTGATTGCAATCAACAAGACCCTAAAACGGACAGAGTAATTTGACTGTAAAGCTGTAAGCCACAAATATTATATGTACATGCATACATACAACTACGATGCTTCTACATGCATACAATGGACTATGGACATTAATAAGGTGAGCAATTGTTGGTGGGAGCGCAGGTGGGTAATAAAGAATATGTGTACATTTTTGGAATCCCCAGCCTTGTCTTGCGATTTTCACTAATGTTGCGTTGTGTTGAAGGCATTCCAATGTCAATCTTGGTGTCGGTATCTGCAGCTATTCAATTACTTCTGAGGAAGATATGATTAAAGTATTTTACAGCATCACACCTTCATAAACCTCGTCTCCAAATTACCAAGTTTTGTCTTAACTAATCTTTGCAATATCAAACTGTGATTTGATAACTTTTAGTTTTCATAATTTGTGAACCATTTTTTATTTATTTAAAAGTGTGAAAAGCAGGATAAGATGATACAAATTGGGTTGCATTGTATAAACAAAGTAAAGAGAATAGGACGAATTGTGTACCTATTTATATTAGGCACCCTCATTTATATTGCAAAACTTCTAGACTAGGCATTTCGGTACTGTGCCTCGCCGTAGTCATGCACCGTCACAATTAATTAATGCACCGTCAACTGTTACTCACAATCAATGGACCGTAAACCGTATCAGTTTCGGCAGTTAAATATTTTCAGTAAATATCAGTTTTTTTGCTAATGGCTGAAACAAATTATGAATTATGCATAAATTGGGTGACCCTTTTTGTTAGATTCTTACAATGATGCAAAATGGGAAGCAAATATTTGTGGGTTGCAAGTACATGCGTATTATGCATAATGTCTGCAGAGGAATGAAATTGGGGATGCAAGACCAAACACAATCAAACCAGATACCAACAAAATGTTTATTACAAACTGAGTCCCTGGAGTGTGAAGCACGTATCATGTTTACAAATGCATAAACGACCCTTCCATTAACATTTGAATGTAATTTAGTGACCACATAGAGCATCACACAAAGGGAAAAGTCACAACAGCCATAAACGACGATGACGACCCACCCACCAGCCAGTGAGTCAGTATGGGAACCACATCTCGTTAACCATGAGAAATACACTTATCCGACACATCAGCTATTATAAGTTTAGCATGTTGGTGGTTAATAATTACATGGGAATGAAGGCACTGGCGAATAACGACCCATTACCTCTAATAGGAGGCAACTGTCTATTTGACTCTATTTGTACTCTTTTACAAATGTGTAATTATTATCATTACCAATATTTCAACAAAATCGAACATACTTCTACATGCATGCTTACACATCGTCATAATATTTATGATACTCTACTTGATACAATTTAACTATAGATTTATATAGTAGTCTGGTACACGGGATAAAATATATCATTCTTCTTTCTTGCTGTGTCCGACAAGTTAATTAATTTTTTAAAGTTTGATTACATGTTCCTGCAACACTGTTGAGTTTTCGTCGGTTGTTGATGAGGTGTCAAAAACTTTGAATTATTACTCATAACATAATTTTGCACATCAGCAGAAAAGAAACACACTGCTGAGCTGCCAAGATTTCAATAAATTATTATTTTTTACAACTATCTACAAGCTGCTCGCTGTACATATTTGGACACCACTCTTGGTTGTTCCATGCATACTTTTTATTTATTGTTATTACTTGACTGATAAGAAAATAACGACGGCTTGTAAACATCTTTAAAATATTCTACTTTCCTATTAAATAATTTTCTCCCATTCATCTCCTTTAACATACTCACGTTCTTTTGTGAACCACAAAAGAACGACACTTATTATATTAGCAATAAGGACTATGAAGAATAAGTTGTACATTTTGGATCATTATGCTAAGTGAAATAGAGAAAATACACAAATAATTAAAAATTTGTCGTCCCACTATTGCAAGAGAGCAATCTGATTAGTCATTGTTCTGGTGGCCAGACTCGTGTTGGACAGAAACGGAGATCAAGTCAGAATTTGCTTGAATTCTGCTCATCAGTCCACCCTCGTCGCCCTCAGGAATTCTCAAGGCTGTGGGTCCATGTCCTTCAATTCCTACCATACTGGAATCAGACGAGGAAAGAGTGAAATCAGCATAACAATTTATTGGATGGTAGCCAAACTTGTTTGGTAAGATGGGCTTAATAACTATACATATTTTGTGGTGAGTGGGCACATACTGTGGATTACTTACTTTTGGATATGGCGAACAAACATGGCGTTTTGAATGTTTTGGGAGTCATTGTGAGAGTGAGGATGAGATTGGGGGTGATGATTCCCATGATTGCTTGGAGCTCCGTAGTAAGATCCGTTTGGCATACTTGGTAGCGGTGAGTGGCCCATGATGGATTGACCACCGCCACCACTTCGCAAATTCTGCTCAATTAATGCCCCTCCACCGGAAGACCCCATGTGATTTGTCAATTTGAGTGCTCCAGATTCTGAGTACACAGCAATGGTGTAATTTTAAAAATAAAATGCACGTGAGGCAGTGATTTAGCATGGGATATGAATGTACACATGGGTCACTTACTGGTGTGGTGGGGCGGAGGAGATTGTTGGTGATGGTGTGTTAAAGCAGAGTGGAGCATGTGGTTGATTCCATTGGCGGAAGTGATGACTGGAAAAGGTTTCTTATCTGAGGGACTTGATACTTGATGTTGTTGAATTGACGGGGCCATAGATGCAGGACCTGTAATTTACTTTAATTTTAGGCTAGTTTTTGCATTATTATTTTTGCCAACAGCGTTGAATTCTCCTGAAACTACGTTTTGGTTATATATATTAAATTTCTCGAATCTTGAGAAACAATGCAAGTTTTTACCTAATTTCATTACTTTTATCGTGCATATTTATAAGAACAACTTCCGAATTATGACTATTTTCCCATTCTGAACTCAATTTTGAAAATTCTCTAACCTTCGGTTCATCTTCTTACATTGACCGAGTTGTTCGCTTGGTATCTAATTTTTTAACTATTGATTTCCTAAACAGTCATCAAATCAACATGACCGTCCACAAGCACAATTTACACAATTTAATGTTAATGCAACTTAGGATTAGATACGTGTGCTTAAATGTCTCAATCTGCCTCAATTATTTCATCTCGGATCCAAGATTTACCTTGAAAAGAGCGTCATGAATAAGGTATGAACAGTGGGGAGAAGGAGATTTCGGACAACACACAAAAACCATATTTATTCATTATTTCAAATTTAAGAAGCGTGCTTATGGCCTATGGGACACCTCAAAGAAGTTTAATCCAATTGGGCTAAGCTTGTACAAGTGATCGCATCAAACGAAACATCATCATCAGCATCCTCAGGGCAGCCCAAAGTAATAAATCATATGCAATAGTCAGATGACGAGCGATTTATATTTATATGTTCCTAACGTATAAAAATTCTACCTTTCTTTTGTATAAGCAAAACACTTACCCATAGACGCAGGACTCTTTGGTTTACGCTTTCTGGTCTGAATTCCATCTTTTTTCATTGTCTTTGGACGAGAGACCTGTTTCATTAAAAACATAATTGAGTAACCACATGCATTAATCGAGCACATGGAGTGTACAGTTTATGTGTTTAAAGCATGTGGAATGTCAATACATATTTTGCAGAAGATCGCACAAAGAAAATTGAATCCATCAAATAATTGGCTTGCGACTACTTGGGGTCTGGTCTAATAGACGGAAAAAAATTGGGAATTGCTAAGTGCACCCGGCCGTTAAGATAAGGACATGGGGAAAGAAATAGAAACTTTTTCCAGAGCAACTTATTTGTAGCCAGAAAGTCTGCAGACTAAACATTAATAATAACTCTGAGAGCTGGGCGCTCCATAAAGGAAACGAACAGAATGGTAAAAAACGGAGGGGTTTGATTGGGAAACGTGTAATAAAGTATCTCAATTTCTCAACATGGAACGCAGTCATGCAACCTCAGAGGAAGGTCTGAGCTATGAAAATGGAAACTTCGAAATGTTTTTTTCTTTGAGTTTTCTTTGCTTTTTGGCTGTAACTTTTTAGAAAGGTAGCGTATGTATGTAGAATCATGTGAATCTTACCCCGTGCAGCTTAAAGTACAATCCACATGCATTACAAACAGGGTCGCCTTGATTATTTCTTCTCCATAGCGTAGTCGTGGTCGTGTCGCAATTGCTGTTTCACGTACAAATAAATTTATTAGGTTGTTCATTGTAGTCTGACTACATTTGACTACATTGTCCAGTTCCACGTCCCTTTTAGGTAATCAATTATTTAGAAACATACCTGCAACTCATCCCTTGTCTCCTGCTTGTGCCCTGTGCGCATGAAATTAATTTTTTGTAAAGATTTGAAATGCCCCTTGACAAATTAGTATTTACGCCATGTGGGTAAGCAACCAATTTGTTTGGGACTCACCGCAGCAGACACCCGTTTAGCCTGATTTCTATTAAGAGGTCGATTGACACCATTTGTCCGTGTGTATAATCCGCAAGCGTTGCACAGGTAGTGTCCTGAAAATAAAATTTGTAACATGTATAAATATTCGGTGAAATTCGCAAGAAGATTACGACATACCTGATTCATCTCTCCTCCAAAGGGGTGTGGCATGCGAGCCGCTATAAGTAATCATTTTATGAGATTAAACCTTTGACTGACTCGTATTGCAAGTTAATTAATTGCTTAAATGCGAATTGTTAAATCAATTTTTTAAAAAGCTTAGCATATTTCCCTTCGAACTCACCAGTTGCAGCATTCTTTAGGATCAAAATCATCGGCCCACTGTCCACCACCCCCACCGCCTAAATGTCCAAGTTGGGCGTTGTACCCTTCAAAGTGAGCATACTGACTTGCTGCAAGGAGTTGCTCCGTGGTTTGGTGAACCTGTTGAGGCCCTGGTAGCATTTGACCTCCGTTATGATGTGCTGGGGGTGATACGTTTCCATAATGTTCTGAAGAATGGTGATTCCATCCCTAATTTTTCAAATCATTAATTGTCGCTTATTTTTAAGTTGTAGTTTTAATATTAAATATTTCTCAAGTTGTCAAAAGTGAGGACAAAACTAAGGACTGCATATAATAAATAGGATAGATAACCCAAGTATGATATTCAGGTAATACTTATATTACAACCTAACGTAGATCCAAACCAAGAGAAATGTTTTAATTTTTAGTTCAAGCGCAAAAATAAATATACTTAAGAAATAAGTTCCATGTGCAAACAAGTTAAGATCATCGCATGCCGAAGAAACGGTACAAATACATACGCGGTCCATAGTGTGATGATGTTACAAACGTCATAAAAAGCTTATCGGTCAAATTCACACCAGTGAATATTTACCACAATTCCAATCTTTGTACTCTCAGTTATCATCCAACAACAAACTCATCCTATCCCAAAGCAAGACGATTTTTATGCAGGAATGATAAGACATTCCGTTAGTTTTGTCTTTGCAAATTAGGGTTTTTTTTACTAGCACACTAGCGGAGAAAATGATTGGTTATCCGGTACTTTAGATAAGCTGTTGTGTCGCTAGTTTGCAAATAAGCGGAATTACATAGTTTTATTATTAATAATGAAGTACAATTTGAAAACTAGCAATATTAATTATGAGAAATAAATTGAGATATTCCTCCCTCTTGTCAAGATTCAAGACACCTTGAATTACACATTTATCATGTAGCTTATTATCTATTTCACCGTATTCCAGGATATTTGAGATTCTAATTCTATGCATAGATGAATCCCACAATATCCCAGCCAAGGTTTGGTGATATGTAGTTGTGTAAGAGGCGTCATCTTAGGAGAGGCTTATTCAGGGTGTGGAGTGAGTAACTTGAGACAAAATGTTGACATACGTAGTTATATGTGTGGTAGAGCATACTACTGAATCGACGACGACGATGAGCACATGTATGTAACTACCAAGAAGGAGCACCAGATTACACATCCGATAACATATTACGACAAGTAATTAGTTGATTATCTCGAAATGAACAGACAGACGCAATGTGGAGGACATTGCATGGGTGACTTGCGTCTGGAAACTTAAGGGAACAGGGACTTAAGTGGTGTTCTGTATTATTTACCTCAGCCCGACCATTTGAGGCGGATGAATTATTATAGTATCCACTGGGTCCATTCAACTGTTGGTGTTGCTGTTGATGCTGATGTTGGTTGAAATTTCCACTTCCTTGAGATGGAGAACTCACGTAGCCGTAGTATCCCTTGCTGTTATCTTTATCGCTTATCCCTACATCCACAACACACAAAAAATAAAATCCAAAAAGTTACTCCAACTTATTATTGACATAATATCCGGATCGAGCAATGTCAACTTTAGGCAGGCATGAGAGGGAAATGGAATTGAGCATAACATGACCATAAAAGTCGGTGCTTCCACGTCTTTTCTGCAATTCAAATACACACATAATGCGTGTGTACATATATTTACTGTGCAGTAGTTGGGAATTAGGAATATGTTGCGTATACTCAGAACAGTTTAATGACGGAATAATTATGTTTTACTCAAATTACTTGGAAAATATTGCATACGGCACTCCGAACTTTTATAATCTCAGCCTAGCCAGAGTCGTAAGCTAATGAGAAATTCAGGAGAAAAGGGAAAATGCTTTCACGCAACATCATAGTCTCCATAAATTTCTTCTCTCAAAGTGATGTATAAGTTATGCTAAAAGCTTGAGCCTATTGCTGATAGTGGGTCTACGCAGCCAAGTGAGCCACTTAAAACCTCACATTAATTTGATCCATTGATTGAGTCCTGTGAATATAAGTGCACATCACAAAAGTCTCGCACTTGCGGCTCAAAAACAATGCCATTGTCAATTATGTACTAGGCTTCTATTGGTTGTGGCTCATGGCCAAGCTCATGAGTGAATATATAAGTGAGGATTCTTGATGATAAAGTTACAGTCTGCTGTCTGATGTCTAATGGCACATTGGTTCATTTTAGTTGGCAGATATCGGGAGCAATAAATGAGAGAAAGGCTGAGATTTAATGAGTGGGGTAAAAAAAACCTTCTTGGCCTTCTGCTTACCTAATGGGGCATAGTTCTGGTCCGAGTCTCCTCCGGCACCTGGGCGGCTGGCGTAGTAGATAGCGGACGAAGGAACGCCACCACTTTTATACGGCGATGGCTCCAGCCCTGAGTGTCCTCCTCCCTCACTCCCCACATACTCCTGCCAATAGAAAAGATAACTTTGATCCCAAATTTAGATCACCTATGTCTCCCTCAAACTCTACGCAACGTGGACCAAATTGAGGAAATTGGATATGTATGTGGTCATGTACAGACGCACATATGCCCGCACTCAACACGTCCTCCAACAAAAATTTGACAGAGATTTAAGGTACGTCGCACAACTTGTAACCAATAATGATGAATTGAAACTCGTTAGTTCACGTACCGATTTGATCAATATTATTTTGTCAAGATGATCTATCATCACTATCACGCGTCGAACTAGACAATTCACTGTTTATTATCCAGTTTGCAGCATACTTATTCAAGTAGTGCAAATGCAGATTCCAATTTTTATTAACTTTGTACTTTTATTAACTATTGTTTCACGAGTCTTGTTCAACGAATAAATTATTGTGGATGGATTTGAACGGAATTTGTAAAAAAGTTGTTATCAGTCCTTTTGACACTGACATGGAATGAAATTTGTAATTTAAGTTGAGCAAAAAGCCATCACAAAACCAAGGATATTTTTTTGTCAATTGGCTTAATATGGAAACTCAAGAGTCCGATAATACGCTGGGCACCGCATCCGATGATGCGATACAAATCATAACCGTCATCATAACTGCATAATATTATAATATGCCTATTTTAGCTTTATATTTACTGAATCGCATCTGTTGTTAAGTTTTCAGGCGATTGCTGGCCAGCATAAACAAACATTCGCATTAGTTGTGAAAGTTGAGAGATAAAGGAAACGTTGTAAAATAAAATTGATGAAAAATATAATTTTGACATGTAATCCCATGATGCATAATAAATAAACGTATGTGTTGATAACTGAGGATGAGTGGGAGAGATACTCGAATGGAGTGTGAAAAGCAAACAGATTCATATTAACTCTGATTGATAACGGAATTTTTGAGCCCGGACGGGGGGACGAGGGGGGATCAGATTGACGTAATTGAGTTCTTACCTGTTGTTGTCTCCCAGTTTGGTATGGATAGCGAATTGGGGGTGGAGGCGACGAATTGTTGTAATTGTTGCCACCGTTGGAGGAAGAATTTCCACCACTCGACTGGTGTTCCCCATTAGCCTGGTTCTGGTTTGAATTGCCATTTGCATACGGCGGAGGGGAGTGGTTGAGGTAATTTCCCCCCACGGCCGCAATGGCTTGAGCAATCGGAATGGCTTTATCGGTCAAGGAAGAATGCATCAATGTTCCCCGATTTTGCTCATTGGGGTGAGGTGGTGGTGTACCATAAGATAGGTGTTGTAGACTGTGGTTATTGTTGCTATTGTGATGATGAGAGCTACTACTCTGATGGGCTAAAGAGGCAAGAACACTCAAGTTGCTTTGTTCACGGGATTGTGAATGTCCTCCGATGGAAGTCGGAGCCACGCCAACTTCGTGAATTGAGACGGAAGCAGTTTGGTAAATTTGACGAGAAGAAGAATTTCCGTTGTTGATATTTTGGCCTATGGGATCCTCGTACTCTTTTTTGATAAAGCTGGACGTAGGAACATCATCTGGGTTTGAATCTAGTAAAATTAGGAAATTTTGAACTCAGACTTATTATGTACGTTACCCATTCGACATACAATTTGACGCAAAAATACAGAATAGTACAGACAAATACGTACGTATACTGATTGACAGGATTAAAAGTAAGCAGTAATAGTATCTACAAGTAGGAAGCCCAAAAAGTTTGACATGATAGGCGTGGTAGCAACATCCATAACACAAATGACCACAATTTAAACAAGACAGGTTATGTACGAAAGTGTGTGTGGGCGCTAACCAACCAACAATAACAACTGTTTTTTGAAACATGACGGCAGAATTAGTCCCGCAGACTGCTACTAAATACTACCAACGCCACTTCTTCCTACTCTCATCTCTCACCTGCATTCTTTTCTCCATCACGACCAAAGAAGTTGGCCCAAGAATTTCATGTTCCACATTCATCGCGAAAGGGGACATGGGATTGGAATTGACCAGACGACGTCTTTGCATTCCCAATGCCCAAGATGGAATTCTAATGTTAGCTGACGATCTCGGAGTGAAAAAAGTCATCAACTACTCACCTCCTCCAACTGAACAGGTGAGTTTTTTTTCAAGAACTTGATCATTCATGTGACTCTTTCTTGCTGAGACTGTCTCCATTTCATCCGTCAGTCTCGTCGTCTCTCTCTATTCGCCTCCTAACCATGTCGTCGTCTCAAAGTCCAGTCAGGAAAAGTGCTGTACACTGCTACACGCACAATAAAGTGCTCTCATCAAATACTGCCAACATATTGTGTAAAGTTAGCCATCCCAACAAACAGCTCTCTCTTCTCTCTCATAAGAAAAGAAACAAAGGTTACGACTTGAAGTACATCAAACGATTAACCCTCCATATACACCAAGTATACATTCAATGGAATCTCGGGAATTCAAATGTGGAATTTCGTCAATTAGTTGGATGCATACTGTTGATGCATCAGTATGGCTTGAAGTAAGACTTCTTCTTCTGCTGAGTAATCAGAGAGATTTGAATGAGAAATGATGATGTTGATCTATGTACGTCGGAGAATATGGGAACACCTAACGTATACATAGCTGTAGAATTGTCCAACAAAAAGTATTACTGAAATGGACTTCGTTTCGCATTTAAACTAGTGAACTACGTGCATTCACGAGGTAATACAAAAAGTGACCACTGAGGTTAAGATCCCGAATGCATAATGTAAATACCTGAACCATTAAAATGAATACATAACGCATAAAATTACTCCTAAATTGGCAAAAATCTCATAAAGCCAATTACTCAAATATTGTTTATTGAGCCATTAAAAAGGGCTATGAATTCTGAGAGTTTTGAACCCCGAGAGTCGACACGTATGTAAACAGAAGACTTTCGAGTTGACGATGTGAACAAACATTTCAATATTTCAATGCCAAACCAAGCTCCAAACTCGAGCTGTCACACACACAACGCTTTTATCACCAAATTAACAAATGGCTTCTTCAAAAAGTTGCGTTCACTCATGACGATAGAAGAAAACCAAGAAAACGCGTGGAGCGAGGGAACCGTGCATTCGCCATGAGAAATTATTATTGATCTGTTTTATTCACTCCCCTCCCAACTTTGGCATCCATTTTATCCTCCATACCTATTTACGTACGTATGTCCCAGCACGGCACACGACCAACCTCTTCCTATCAAATTGCGTGCTGAAAAAGCTGTCCAGCTCCAGCCAGCAGCGTTGAAGAAAATAATTGGAAAATGGGAATGAACGCTATTTTGTGTGATGGTGGTGGAGATAAAAAGTAAAAGTATAATAATAATGCAACAGCAAACAAAAATTTGAACTAAAAGGCTCGCCCTTTACTATACACACACATGAATATGCACGTCGTCGTTGGAGTTATTCTCGTCTCATGTTACTCGTCGTCACCAATTTTACTTTTAGCTGCACTTGTGACGGAGATGGTTAATGGCAGATGAAAATGAAATGTTTAATAACTAACACAACAGACCTTGACTAAGTTTACTGGGACGGTATTTTAGAATGTTTGACTTCCTCGAGGTTCCGGCTCGTCAGAGAGAATGAATCTCCAAATTTATTTGGAAAACTAACAAATGACGAATTATTCACTGTACACATGGATGGCTTTCAGTTAGAAATGAAAAATTATGTCAAGTTGTAATGAAAGTAGCATTTTACCCCACTCTTGAGAAATCTTAAAACGGTCCAATTTTATAGAAAATACGGCATAGTACAGAACTTGTATGACGATTTAAAAAAATCTAAGCAGATTTTCAAAAGTAGACGACTATGCATGTGTAGTAAAATGTAATAATAAATATAATAGTGATACTACGGTTCGTATCACCAAAACAATTTTATCTTCCCATGTGTCTCACCATGCACCATTTTTTCGAGCTGCATTGATAATGATAAAAAGCATTTATCGTTCATAATCATGCCTTCCCATGCAAAACATACAAACTAATCTGCTCAACAAAAAGCAAGACCACTTATCGTCTTTTGCACAAACACAACAAACAAAAACATGGACTATCTCTAGCACCCGAATTCCTTACGTTTGTCTTGATTAGGTCCCATGTGCTGCTGTTGGTGTTGGGCCGTAGTGTAATGAATGACCCCCCTGGGTTGCTGCTGCTGCTGATGGTGCTGCAACGTGGACAAATTGACGGTTGGGAGGCTGTCAGGATGATGCGCTCCGCCAACCAGCTTTCCCGTCTTATTGATATGATTGTAATTCAGATTAATCACGTTGTTGTTATTGTTGACCGTTGGCGAAGTTCTCACTCCTTCAACAGGACTTTGTTGTCGCAGATTGGTGCTGTTGGCTTCGAGAATGTGTGACGGATCTTGAGCCTTGGATAATTGCTGCTGAATTGTATTGATTTCTTGATGTTGCTCAGATTCTGTGTGATTAGGATGATGATAGTGAGCCACCTCTGACGAATGGTCTGATGCAGGTGTTGCAATTGAGATGTTGGAAATTGGCACTTTATGTGGAGCCATGTTCGCGACGTTGTAACTGGGATCGGAATTGGAATGATTTTCACCACCTTCAGTGTCACCACTATTACTACCAGAATGTGTTTCTGTATCATCATCTTCATTATCGTTGTCATCATCATCATCGCCATCCTGAGGTGGTGGCCGGAGCGGTGGGGGTACGTCACTTCCATTTCCTCCCACCAACGAAGATTCTGAAGCTTCCGGTTCCGCTTCCCTTCGTGGATTGTTCGTGGTGGCGACGTTCACTTCTGCAGCATCTTTGAGCTGAATCAACGGCTTTGGTTGCGAAGCGGAATTCATATCAGCATCCTCAGAAAGAGAGGTGGCTTTGTCACCTTGTTCATTACCAAATCTTTGGGAGCTAAGATCGGTTTGTTCAATATCAGACATTTCGCAATCTTCTTGCTGTTTACTTATCGTGGAATCGCCCATCTGTTTGTTGAATTTGTTGTAATCCTGTTGTAGGGTGGAGTCGGTGATGTTTTGCTGGTCGAAATGCGGTGGCAGGGACGGTGAAGTTCGGTTTTCTAGAGGAGTTTCGTCTTGAGACGACATTTCAACGTCACTTGCTGCCTCCTCGCAGATTCGAATGTGAGCCAAATCCTCGTTACGGGATTCTTTCATTTTCCTAAGAATTTCGGATTTTTGTTGCACTTGTGGGGCTTCCATCACCATTATGAATACGATTAACCTAAATTGATTTTAATGTTCAAACGTTGAAAATGATATGAACGAGTACTCCAGATTAGTATCGCCTGTCGTGAAATTTTGGAAAAATCAAACTTAAAAAAACTAGGTAATTTTATTTTATTAAAATTTGCCACTTTTCACCAGCTAAAAAATAACACAATGTGCATCTGATTGATACTAAACTGATAATATGTCATATCTCTTCAACCAAACTGGACCAAAATGGCCAACCCAGGCTGAGAATGAACCAATGCTTTACACAATACCCTGAATGCAGAGATGTTCCATTGAGCTGAGCAAATACAAACTGTTTTTATGAAAGATTTACCTGTGATGGAGCTTATCGGCGGAGAGCGAGAACTCATTTCTCATCTCCACCTATGTATTTCTGCTTTGTGGACTTGTGAATTGGATTGCACAAGATAACAAGACAAGTTTTGATAAGCTCAGCGAGGAAAACAGGGGAAACAAATAACGTTCCAGTTAGCCAATGTCTATATGCAAATGCGTAATTCTGTGGCGAACCTAACTGTTTTGTCATGGGTGTGTGTCGCCGAGCATTATCTGGAATACACATAAATGTCACGCTCGAGCTATGGTTTTGAGAGACTAGACTTTTCAATTATATTATTTCTGACAAGTAATTACTTTCTTTATAAGTGAGATGAAAAGAGGACTGACTACCTGTGCAACATATATTTTAGCAGAAAGCAATTTGGCATTCTTTTTGGTTTTGTTTAACTTGAAACGCATACTCATATTCCACATACCATTATTACAATAATCCACATATATTTAATTCATTCGTATATGAATGACTGCCAAAATTATGCCAAGACTTTTATGCTCTTGGATTAAGCATTTAAAGTACAGAGAGCCGGATTCATCTATTTGCTCAGCGGGTCGGGTCAGCCTAGCACGGATGCTGCATTATGTGAACGACGATGTAATTTCCATGCAAAGAAATAAAACAGCAGAGCCGACGACTGAAGAAGAAGACTCATGAATCTGAGGTGAGGTTGGAGGTGAGAGTGAGTGAGAGTACTATTTGTCTATCCCCAACAAGAGTTTCCTCCAGTACTTTTTAATATCTAATAACCAACTAAACCAGAGGCTCCAAGGTCGTCAACAAATATATTAATTTTGTATAAATGTGTAATCAACAATCACAGCGGAAGATGATTTTTTGGCTGGTGGTTTAAAAATTGCATGCAGTAAAAAGAACTTGTATCCACAGCAGATTTGCATAATATGCGATTGTCGACTGGGCCAAGATTAGAAGGTTAAGAGGGGTCGAACTGTCCTACCACAACGAACCACTGCAGAATACAATCTGTATTACTACTGCACGTCACATCGGTTTGTCTCGATGATGCATAAAGACAAAACTCATAAACAAAGATAATTTTGTACAGCTATCTGGCTCTGATTAAAGTCGATAAGAAAATCCGAAATTTGTAGAAAAGCATTCTACACATGGGATTTTATGAATGAACGTAAGCATGAGATACGATACGAAGATACGACAAGAATGATACGATTCATTTCTGATTAATATTTTATCTTAACACATTTATGTGCTTATTAATAATAACATTGCCGACACTAGCCGCCACTGTCAACGAGTGCATTACTACAACTACAACCTTGTGCGACTCTTTATGAAAAACAAGGATACGAGTATGCAAAATTTGAGCTGACTGCTTTCACCTTACGAGGCTTGATGAAATTATAAGCAGTTTAATATGTGTGAAATGAGAATATGGATGGAAGGATGAAAGTATGAAAACTATAGGCACCAATAAATTTGCAATAAAATTATAGACATTATGGAGAACAAGCTGCGAATCTAGAGCGGTGAAAGTTGAGTGAAAGTAATAATAAATAGCAGTTTGTTTGTTCCAGTTTTGGACAAGTAAGAGGAGTGTATGGGTGAATGATAATGATGGATGATACTCTGAGATAAGCTAGTAATCTTTAGTGCCCAAGAAATCCTAAATTTATCCAAAATTGAATGAGAGATAAAATAATTACCTCGACACAGAGAGTTGATTATTCTGGTTGCTGATGAGATACTTTTGTCTATCAGTTGATGATATGTAGGTGGATTGGTGTTGCCTGGATTTTGGACAGCACAAAGATATACGTAACACTAATAGCACTCGGAGCGCTATCAATATGAAATTATAAAGCAGGTCGTCACAAGCAGAAAGGACTGGGCAAACACAACCGACAACGGCAGAGCAGATATTGGAGAAATATGGAAACCGACTGATATCAGCTCCAGATTGCTTTTATCTTCCTCCCTCAAAGCGGAGCAGAATTTTTGTCACTGTCAAATTAAGGACGGACCACCGTTTTCCCAGAGATCGAACCCCAATACTTGCATATACACACGTATGGACATAAGCAATATGACATCAATCTGTTCTGAAGGGGCATAACGTTATTTTTTAAATAAGAATCTGGTATACAAATAATTAACCCCCTGTCATTTGTACGGTGTTTAGTACTGCACATACTAAATATATTCTTATTGAATGGGTATACATACATAATAATATGTGGAGATGATGGGATGCTTGATGAAGAAAACAATAGTACCATCATGCCGCATACTATACTTCAGCATACATAAGTCAAGTACAGGCCCGTTGATGTGAAGGTGTAAAGTTTGCCTCGTATTAGAACAAGTTTTATTATATTCTGTTTGATTAATGATAAGCCTGAGCGATATGAACATTGGGATCAGTTCTTAAAGCTTTATGACGACGATGCTAAATTAAACTCAATATACCAGGCTCGAGGTAAGGTGACACACCAATGAACGCATCCCATAAAAAACGGAAAATGGAGTGCATGAAAATATTATAACACAAATTTGGCCCGAGTAATAATTCAATGTTCTCAACAATATGCATGTTTTTATTGTGTCGTAATAACGTCGATCGGCCTCAGTCAAATCCAGTTGTTGAAAAACGTCTTCCTGCCGATTAATATAGCCCGAACCAGGATTTATTAATTAATCAGTCACCGTTGGATTGGTTAACACAATTTCAAGCTCAATCAACATAACTTCCGCTGGACCTAAACAAAATTTGAAAACAACATGAGCAGATTCAGAAAAAATATGATTTCAACTGCAGGGGTAGCCTGATCCCTATTTCGCCCTCTTTCCCCACAGGGGAATTTGTGAGATATAAGCAAGGATAACGTTATTTTTATAGCGACGGTGAGATAAGAGGGGTAGAAAAGCATCCCAAATATTCTCAAAAACTTTAAAATTCTATCATAAATTTTTAATCTACGTGAATCAACCCCATGAGGCTCCTCGCCTATTTTGGAACGGAAGTTTTGTGCAAAAACCCCACACCTCTAACTGTAAGTAATTTGGACGTTTTGCTAATCTTCATATAGACTTAAACATTTCATCAAATCCATTTTTGTATTATTCAGAGGGAGACAGAGTCCGTGTGACGGACAGACAGACAGAGTAGGCACATAAGCCCTCGTTCAGGCTAAAAATTGACACGTCCTCCATCCTCCAATAACTTAAAAGAGGACTATGCTCACTCAGAACTCGTGAATGTTTGCCCGTGAATCCATTGAGCTCGGATTTGACTTTGCTTTGTTGTTGGAAATTTTGAAGAATAAACATCGGATGATAAGGCGAGAAACGAGGTCCAACTGTAATATGTACATATGCATATAAGCATTCCTACTCAGCCCGTGTTAATTATTACGACAAGTATCATGCCATGATAGCGAGAGGAGCAAATAGTGAAACAAATCCTTTTGTGTTGGCTTAAGGACTTTTTCAACGAATTTGTTATCTCTGTGCCGAGGTAAAACTGAAATGATTGATCAATTTCCTTTCGACACGACACGACACCTTTCAGCATTTCAATTTTATTGACGGATTGATAGCAGACTCCTGAATTTATTTAATAATAACTCTGATGACTGACGTGAATTGTATATATGCTTCATTAAACTACTGGTTTATATAATTTGGAATAATAAGCAGTAAATAAGTGGAATCTTGTGGAATGTGAGCATCATTCACGGGAATGATAAAATATGGAGATGTAAAAGTATTAAATAAGCTCAGCAGTGACGCGGTGGTGGGCAAATGCATTATTAGTCGGTTGTAATTAATAAACATCAATCATCATGCTAAACCTACATAATATAATATCATCAAAATGTAAGTGTGTGTAATGCGCAATTCAAATGTGGACTTTATACATGGATTCTGTCGTGTTATATTGTTTTGTGTATTATAAAACTTGGCATTATCATGTTAAGCTTACACATAGGAATTCCACAGGCGAGCAAAGTAAGGCAAAGGCCAAGCTCATCGGTGATGCTTCGTCATTTGATGATGAATTAAGTGATTTCGTTGGGGTATCATGCGACTGAAGAAAGTAATAACTTTCTCCCATTTCATGCACAGAGATAACTGGTCAATATTTTGTCAACAAACGTTATAATCGTTTTGCTCTATTCAAACTCCATATAGATTTATATGATAATAAAAAACGATTAGATTAACGCTTGTAGTAGGACCCTCGCCTTTTGGTCCCTCCATTGAATGATAGTAACCACAATGGTCGAATTTATAAGGTATCTAATCACAAGCTGTGATACAAGTGTATCGTACAAATGAGACTCAAAAATAAAATTTAGTGATTAACTAATGAGTTCAGGCTGATTTGCATTATTTGAAGAAGTTATCATTAAGTTTTATCTTCTCAGATTTGGGTCACCTAAAGTCATGTTGGTATGATTATTTTAGTCTTGTTTGTTTATATCCGTTCATCAACGCAACAAAGTGAATTTATGGAGTGCCTCTTGTTATTTTAAAAAGAAATGGAATTAGGCATTAACCTCAACTTCTCATCAATGATTTTTTTGGCGTCATAAAAGTCTATTGCAATTTGTGATGTGCTAATATGAAATTAAATAATTTGATACAAGTTTCCTCAGTTTTATTATTATGTTATAGACATTGATTTAATTCATCTTGCAGCGACTGTAACTTTCTTTCGAAACAATAAGTTGATAAAAAATTAAAACTTTTCTAAATGCATCAGTTGAGACTTCAATTTGAAATAAAACTACGATGAGATATGCTAGGGGTCAACTGGCGACATAGCCAGTTTACAATATGTAAGACTTTTTAAACTTAGCATTTATAGACAAAAATTAAGCTGTGTATGACTAAATTATACATAAAATTAGGTTTGTTTGTCAAAACAATAAAGTCTATAAATATTAATAATATGTATTATATATGTAGCTGCGACTTTTTTGTAAGTATGTGCGTGTCCTAGCAAGACATTAGAATAATCCGATTTTATAATTTTATATTCTGATTTTTCAACTTTTATCTCATTATATCTAATACGATTGAAGTACAACGAGACTACGCTAATTTTGCATGTGTCGTCGTCGACATGAGTGAATGATCTAATGGCAGTTACTCCTTTCTTAGTACACTCTGAGATTTAATAGCTACTGACTTTTCCATTTATCACGATGTTCTAGATTCTGCCATCCGACTTGAGATTATGGTGTTATAATGAGTGAGTAAATGAGTTACTTAATTTTAATTTTATATAGCTTCAATTTGAAACCCAGCATTTCCGAGAGTACTCCACTGAAGGCGGAAAGAATGACAAGCCTCGTCACGTTGTACAAGTATCTGCAAAGATAACACAGATTTATTTAGTCTTCAGGCCAGGTCATAAGTCAGCCATTTACTGCACACGTTGCGATGAAATGGAATAATAAAAGTAAAACTACACATTTGGGTATACGCATGGATAAGCACACAGATACAACAATGGTTCACACGAAAATTTGTACAATTGCAAAAATATGGACACCCTTGTTCTAGTTTTCTACACTGCTTATGCATAATAAATACTTGTTATGAACTTACGGGTTGCTGGCAAAACTTGATATCTTGAACGGATCTTCCAGTTCCTGTCACAATGAGAATAGATGAGAATTAGTATGATAAAAATGTCTACGTAACGGTAGTGTCGTGTTCCAGTTGTTTTCATACACTAACAGATAAGAGCTAACGGGCTTCAGTCAGTTATTACTAATCTTTATTGTGGGAACCAAAGATAAGATTTGAGTTTCCTGCTGGTCTAGCTGTTTGATGCTCATTATTTTTGGTCTATATGTCACAAACCGTGGTTTTGGAATTGCTTTGACCAAAAAAGGCATCTATGCGCATCAAAGGCATACCCCATTTAAAAAACTACTTACCTTAAGAAGCTCCGATGCCAATTTTAAGACATTGTTGGCGACTAGAAGTTCGTCTTTTTTATGAGGTTTCTGCTCCATTTTCAGGTAGAGATTCAACTTTAAAAATAATGAAAATTATTATACATACACATGTAAACATGCATTGTGTAATGTGTGTAAAATTATTGTTAAGAAATGATGTGAAAGTTCATACTTGCTCCGTGAGTATCACAGATAAATTCCGATATTTTTGACTAATTCTTGATCCTGCGTAAAGACTCAAATCTTAAAAATATGTTCATCATTATTATCCCAACACACTACAAGTATAGAAGTTACCAAGTGTCATAAATCGCATCAAGTAGAAGCACAAACACAAAGACCAACAAATGACCTCAATATTGTATAGGTAATACTATAATTAAAACACATACTATAATTAAAAGTTGCTAGAATGTAGTTTAATGCTTTTATAGATAATAATGGCAATGAGCGAACCATCCTATTCGAGTCCTATCAAATAAAAAAAACATTTTATAGTATCCTCCTTTTGCGGATAAAATTTAGCAATAATTAATTACCTTCAGCAGTTCAACTGAGAGAAAAAATATCAGGAAAAGGGTGGTGATAAATGTTCCAGAAACAATCGTGTCGACCGATCGCTGAGGGCCTCGACGCTAAAATATAAGGCATACATATGCAGTAGTATAAAATGATGAATAATATATAGGACCGTATAACTATGTTTACAAATTAATACATATTAATTATACCTGCAAGTAAGATCGAATGGATAACCATATCTTAATATTGCGCACTTTGTTCCTGAAATATTAGAATACAACAATTATTTAAACATGTATACATTCATGGTATTCGAATAAAATAATATTAATTAATAAATTGCTGGATTAATCTTACAGTCTAAAATGTGGTATTCCAGACTTTCTTGCTTTTCGCGTGCTTGTTAAACGAGAGAATAATTTTGCATAGAGGAATCTTTGCTTGTAGGTTTTCTCGGCAACTGCCAGCAAGAAGAAAACGAACAATGAAAGACACAATCGTTCAGCGATTGATATCAGGGTCACCAATCTAAACCTATTGTAAATAAAATAATATAGCATAATATAATAATTATTAAAACATGCTAAACAATCGTTCACACTATACATCAATGATTGCGCAATTACTTTATTATAGTTATTTATAAATTAATGTTAATTTCCCGTTAACTTCCATTCGCATGGAAGTTAATGACAATAATGGGACGAGGATTGGTCTAAACTAAAACGCTCAAGTGAGGCTTACCTAAAACTGTGCAAAAATGCACAGTTGAATGCGTCGTTCAAGTATGTACCAAGTTTTTCAATATGAAATTCATCAATTTCAAGACCATTGTTAAGTCTCCAGAAGCATGGCAAAAATGCGATCATTACACTGAAAAATATTCCTAAATAGAAATATCCATAGTTCGTTATATACAAAATGTAAAATTTACGCTATATGTTGAACAACCGATTAATAATTAATGTACCCAGGTAAATGTAATCAGAGTTTTCCTTTGCTCTTTCAACTTTTGCAATAATTGATGAACTGATGTCGAGGACTGTTAAGTCTGCCTTCATGGGACAGGGCCCATCCCATATTGTTACGCTAATTTTATCGGCAGCTACACAACTTGGGCTTATCGTCTTCATCGAGTGCTACAAATATAAAATTCAAATTATATTTCTACATGGTATTAGTCACAATTATCCAAATAATTTATATTTACTTTATACATAATTAATTTAAAATGGTAAAACACAGAAGGATTACAAAGTCAAACCTTTTGAAACTCCCATGCAAATGGATGATCGTGAAGTTGAGCTTCCGTCATTTCATCGTCGTCCTCGGAATTGATATTTTCCTCATCGTAGTCGTCGTCTTCACTGTTTGTGGTAACTGCTGTCCACTCGGATTTTGATCTCATTTCTTCATCTTCCTCCATTGTAGCTTCCCGATACTCGTCCTCTGTCGAAGACTCATTGTTATTGCTACTACAATCTGCGCAACTTGTCGTACTGATTTCTGATACTTTGCTGACGTTTCGTTTTCTTAAATTTGATCTTAAACCAAACGTGGAATCAATTGGAAATGGGTTCTTGGCTGCAGCAGAATTCCCTATCGAACAGTTTTCCAGATCATCTTTGGTTGGTCTTAAGCATTCACTTTGTTTTTGCTGATGAACCGCAATTGCTTCCTCTTCAGCAAATTTTCTAATTGTGGCATTCAAGTTTGCTTCAATAATGTTTTTCTCAACAATAGTCTGTACTTCCCCAGATAGCCGCCTTCCACACTTCTTCATAGCCTCTGGTTCTGTTTCTCCGCTTTCCTGATTTTCATGACTAACCATCTCGTCCACAATTCCTTCATCCTTATCAGAATTAGAGCTTGTCCAAGATTTTGACTCAAAATTTGACTCATCCTGGAAAAATACTCTTCGACTGGCGGATGACTGATAACATCCTCTTTCTTGAGACCCTTCCCTATGAAAAGGTGTCATGTTATTAACTGCCACTTTAGTAGTGGATCGACGTCGAGAGATCCGTCGTTTACTTCTGGATTTTCCACTATTTCGTCTATTCTTTAAACTTTTGTCTCGAAGCCCTCCTGAATCTTCACTTTTAGACCCATATGTGGCAACAATCTGTGAATGCAGGATTGTCAACACGATCATGAGAAATAATGGTGATAGAATTTCACTAATTTGAATTTCTGAGATGAGAATTTCCCCATGATCAGCAGTCGGGCTAGGTCCAAAAGGTCGAATTGTTGTCGTTGGATGAGGCAAAGTAGCATCTTGCTGAGTACCCGCAGCAGTACCGAGAGGCGTGCTGTTAAAGTTTCCATCGCTGAACGTCCCATTGTTGAAGACGTTGAGCAGCCAATAACAGGGGAACAAGTTAAGATGAATGACAAGGACTGCTATTTGGGCAAAGTAGAGGGTCAGAAAAACTGAAAAAAGTTTGGAGGATGTTTGCTCTGTCCACCATTCATGATAGAAAGGGAGGAACAGGAATCGCAAAATGGCCTGTCTTGTGACCTTGAACAACCCATGCTTCGGCTTGGCTTTAGGAAATGATGACCCTGTAGCAAAGATAAGCAAATAATTTATATAAACGAAACTTGAACCAATAGTTAAAAAATGAAACAAAAGTTTACTCATTTGTATTAGATTTTGTTCCTCTTTCTTCCTCACAGAAAGTGGTTAGAAAAGAAGAGTTTTGCTTTTGTTATGTCAAACACAATAGCTTGTCTGTCCCTTAAAATGGTGTAAAAAGAACGCAAAAGATGTTAACGCTCCACACGTACGTTAGTTGGGCTGCTTGATGATAAAGTCGACCAATGAAACTCAATATCAAATCAAATAATACAAAACACTGATAAAACAATTAATGCTAGATTCACATGATGATGATGAAGAAGATTGAGTAGTTGCAATAATGTCAAAAAATGGGTAAAAGTTGGAGAAGAAAAGAGAAAGACACAGAATGTGTGGTGACGGATCTAACCTACCTCGGACTAAATCCAAGTCAATCAATTGAAGCTCGGATGACTGCAATTTCGCAGATTTTGTTGGGATATGATTAATCCCGTGTAAAATACGCCGTTCCATACAAACTTCCCATTTCTGCTTGTCATAGTCTGCCACATGATGTTGGTATCTAGAGCAATAACAATACTGATAAGCTGATTTTCCACCGTACGTCACAAGCAGTTACCGTTGATCATGCTGTGTATTATTATTAGCAAATCATGAACAAACAAACCTCGTAAGAATGGAGTTCAACTCTTCAGAATATGAATATGAAGGCATGAAGTCTGCTTGACATTAGAGGAGAATTGAAGCGCTTCGTAGATACTTGTCAAATTTTTAGTCTGCTAGAGATCTTATATTCGCAATCGGTGAGCTTGTAAGTGGTCACACTGGTCAGTAGGTAATAAATTGACAGAATTCGTGTGGAGGCGTAGTGACGAGGGGATGGCCGCGTCCAACTGGGTTTGCCCCACAGAAATCTTGAACAAAAATTCAGACATCAATGCATATTAATTCATACCCTCCCACAATCTACATGCAAATGTCACATCACATTATGAATTGGAAAAGAATGAATACCATACACGCATAAATTATAATTTATATAAGATAAAACGCTGTTCAGTGTCCAGTGCATGACCAACTTGCATCATGCGATACTTGTTGCCTATCGATATAGCAAAACCCGACAGGAAGCGATTGCCAAAATTAACTATACATATGTATAACGAATACTGTGATTACAATTGCGGCGCATTGAGATTGAGAGGTTAATGGACCTATTGTTTACTTTTATTATAAAATAATCTCCATTTTGCACTCTCCAAAAACGTTCCGCAATCGTTAATTTATCTTGAAATAGACGAGTTTATTTTTTAAAATTTGGAACAATAATATTGCTACAATGTTTTTCAGATCTTATAAAGGACTGAAAGTCGAACTATTTATTCTACTGAGATTTTGAAACATGAGATTGTATTTATATGTTTATTATGTTTTGAAAACGTCATAAATATTATTACTATATAGTACACTACATAACATTACTTGTAACTTTAGTTTATATATAAACAATATTTAATATACAACTATACATAGACCAATATGTAGATTTTATTTACTTACTGTTTGCAGTATGAATTTCGGATGACGATATAATAATTTCCCTATATTCTTTCCTGGGTTTGTGGTTAGCAGAATATTTGTAAAACACAAAGTTTAATAGCAGGAAGACTTTTATTTTATAACTGTAATCAGATTTTATCGATTGAGCGAGTAGCTGAAAATAAGGTGAGGTTGGCTGAGAGGTGACTTCCTGGATTCAAGCAAAAGAGAGAGAGAGGACCTGCTTTTCCTTTATCGTTGTAAATATCACAAAAAATTTGACTATGACGAGTTCTTATCTGCTGTTGACCAAAAATAAATGTGCAGATTAAATTATTTTCACTTCTCACTGGATTGCCGTATCAAGTTTTATTTTTACAAGGAACAAAATGAACTCTGAACTTTTCACTGCGCCAACAACCCAACTCTCGCCTATTTCGTGCTGCACTGCTCCACGAGAGTCAAAAACCATTCGTGAGAAGTGAGAAATCTCTCGGTTGGAAGAAACGCTTCTCATTCCTTGGTGACGATGATATTGCAACTACATTGCGTTTTCGAATTTGCATAATGTCTTTACGATTATGACGTGCATACGTCGTCGTCGTCGTCCTATTCCATTGTACTAATTTTATGCACTTCACAGCTTAACACTAATTAAGTCAGCTTGCTCTGAATTATATTTATGTTTAACATTAGCGTACACGACAGTTTCCTGCAGTGAATGAAATATAATAATTGTTTTATTTTTTATTACTGCGTATTAAATAATACAGTCCGGTGGTCCGATATGATAAATCAATTCATCATATCATTGCAAAATCCATGCTAGTAAACAAGACTATCGATGAGAAAATACATAAACAAGATGGTGGAATGTTTTTGTCGTTTTGTCCAAGAGATGATACACTTATTTTTGTGCGTCATAGTATGGTTGCCCAATAAATCATTAGATATTAATAAATTTCTACATGACGTAGCAATTCAACCTGAATCATTCACGACTCATATGTACAAGTTGCGGGGGATAAATTTCTTTACTTATTATGGTATAATTCAGTTAATTCATGACATATTATTGTTAATTTCAATGTACGTTAGGTACAAACCCATGTCCATGTATTTCGACTGCAGTAAAAGGCGTTTACGAACAGCGTCTTTCGGGTTTCGGTTGCCTGAAATACGCATCATTTCCGTTTCATAGAGGAAGCAGAGAACATGGTGAAGGACATCTTTTTATAGTTATCTCGTTCTAATGCCAAGGAGCAATCGGTGCATTTCGTTCTCAAACGCCGCAATCTGCTTTTTCTGGCAGGAAGTGCAAAACATCTCCGTGGCCGGTCCGTCGGCATTTCATTAATGATAATGTCTTCATTGAAATTGCGTAATAATAGTACAACAAATGTCCATCATTTACAGTTTATGCATGACATTTATTTATTCCATGATAAACATGAAATTCATTCATTGCTCATGAAATTCATTTCATGAAATGCCCATTTTCATGAAGAAACACATCTCGCCTCGTCGGCTTCAATCATCAAGTCGCAATTTTATTTAACTAACTGGACTTATTCAGTATCACTCACTGCTACGAACTCTCTCTATGAGACTTTCTGAGCAGTTTTAGTTTGCTCTCGTTTTATGTAAAGTTGGGTCAGCCAGGCAGCTGTTTTGTATAATAGGAATTTGACTCTCGTCATTCATTCGCAGAGTTAATTTCGCAATATCTCAGCCTGTCTGCAACATAACAGAGAGTGCAAATTTCAAGTGCAACCTCGTTAATTTCCTTCATCCACCACTCTCCTCTCTTGCTGATGATGACGTGAATTGTAAAAAGAGCAGCGAGACATTTAAAAAAGTGTTCCAATTTATTTTTCCTTCTGCTGCCTCCTTCTCCATAATCCGCTCTTTTAAGAAATTATTCCACCTTATCAGTGTCAGCGAGGAGTGTGTCGTAGAAATATAACTCAGGGGCTGGAAGTACTTATTAAAGGAGAAGGAAAGGCAAAATAGAAAGTTGGCTCTATAATCCTTCTTCATATTTATATTTGCGTATCAAGATATGTCCTCTTGACCTTCATTGTTAGGACTGACTGAGGAGGAATTTTAAGGTCCGGTTCACTTAATTACATTGAAAATTCAGTTATTCACTTATTTTTCCAAGTTTTAATTTATGTGTATTTTTGCAACAGCACTCTGTGCTCGTGATATAAAACTGGTGGAGAGAGATAAGGACAATAAGCACTTTGGGCGACAGGAGGCGTAATTTTTTTTTAAAATAGCAAAGAGTAACATAAGGAAAAGGATGCCTAGCGTGAATGATGTCATCGTCCACTGTCAAAAGCAAATTAAAAAGGAACCTCCTGCAGAAAAGGTAATTCATAATTAATTACCTACGTGTAAGCATATGGATGCAATGAAAATTAATGTATAAATGTATTGAATACTAAACAGGATATTGTAGGTCTGGCTTACTTAACTAATCATATTGTTCTAATTGGATGTTATTTATTCCCCAGCTCATACACTACCTCAATAGACTGGACCGATTGCGGGTGACTGTTCAAGGTATTTATATGACACTTCTTTCGTTTATCTTTCGTTTATTGTTATATACTTATTATTTGTCGTCTATACGTTAACAACCTCAATCAATCAACTGTAAAATCGAATAATAATTACGTATTTCCGCAGACTTGATGGACACAGGGGTCGGGTAAGTGAAACTACCATCGTACACGGGTTTGTAATTGAAACTTAATTTAAATTGATTATTAATTATATGTATTTACAGAAGGACTGTAAATCAATTGAGTAGACATGATGGGAAAGTGGGGAAATTTGCATCCAATCTGGTCAAAAAATGGAAAACAATGGTTTCTGATGAAAATTCAGAAGACTCGGAAGACTCACAAAGCTCGAGCTCATCATCACAGGAATCCGATGCTGATGGTGGTGGTGACAGTGATGATGCTCGTCCTCTGAACCAGGAAAATGTTCAAAATGTCAATGGGTATTCGAATAAGTACGAAAATGATGAATCGGGAGATGAGTTCAATCACGAAGGTGAGTAAATTAGATTAGGTGATTTTTTTGTTTGAATCATTCTTTATCTAATTTAGAAATATATGTCTCCCTTGCTTTTTATCAGGTCTAGACTCTGATGATGATCGTTTGTGCATCGCAGATGAGGATGCAAATACTTTAAAGGGAGACAAGTTTAGAAATACTGATGGCTCAATGATCAAGCAAGAACGACCTTACTCATCTGGAGAAGAGACCGACGTCTGCGAAGACATGGACCAAGATAATAATAACCGCGATGAACCAGTTATTCCTGAACAACACTCTTCCAAGTACAATTCTCAAAAAATCAAAACAGAAAGGCTATCCGAGTCCGATAATTCAGATGATCAGGCAGATTCTGATACTTACCATCAAAAAACTCAAATTGTTCCAGTTCCTCACAAAAGTTCCTCGCATAATAATCTAAATCATACTAACAAAATTAATACCAAAATTGGCGAAGCTCGTAAGGATGTTCCCACTAGCCATTTTGAAGATGCTGTAGGACAACGCACGTCCCACAAAAAATATGAGGATGGCAAATCATCTTTAGAAAATAAAAGTTCTTCTCATCATCGTTCTGATAAGGATAAGCATAAAAGGGACAGACATCATTCTAGCGAGAGAAATCACAAAAGGAAGGACAAGGAAATTTATAATTCATCAAAAGTAAAAGTTGAGCCACAAAGCGAAGAAAGTGAAGACCAGGAAGATCCTTATCAAAATAAGCACGACAAAGGAAATAAGCATGACAAAGAAAAGAAAAAACACGCGGAAGAACCAAGAGAAAATAGCAGGCACCATAAAGATAAGAAGGAAAGGCATGGACATTCTCACAAAACCAAACAGAGTCATAAGGATAAAGATAAAAGCGATAATAATCATCATAGAAGTAGAAGCAGTAACAATCGTGAAAGTAGCAGCAGTAATAAACGAAAAAATGCGGAAGGTTCTGGAACATCTTCATCACGCAGTCCTGACCGAAAAAAAATTAAACTGGAACAAGAATTTAAAAAAGGCAAAGAACATGCACTTGAAAAGAAAACTAGCATTCACATTGACGAAGAAATTAATTCTACATCAGGGGTAAAATTTGAAGAATTATTGGGATGTTTAGACAAAAATTTAAACAAAAGCAAGGACAAGCACAAAGACAAAGATAAATCCAAGAAACAACATTCGTCTTCCTCGTCGGGTAACAAGGACAAGGAAGAAGTTACAACACTTGTAAGAAGAAATGACTTGAAGAAAAAACCGCATGATAAGAAACGCAAGTCACACATCGAGTCAGTTATAGCGCCGCCGTTTAATATTAGCCCAAATTATAAGCCACTGCCCTCAACGTCGACAAAGTTATTGCGCCCAGCCCCTATGAAAATACTCCCTGTAAATTTAAACCTCCTGGAGACATGTGATCCTGGAAATTATTGGGAAGATAATCACGTCTTAAATAATTATTCTAAAGATGCCAATACAGACGATGCACTATCCACTAGGAATTTTGTTCCGTCCAGCCGAAACCAAAGGTGTTACAATACCCAAATTCCTTATTTCTATTAAAATCATATCTTTCATTCTAGTTCTAGCTCTTTCTTTGCTGTCGTCTTCATTAAACATTACTGACTCATTAAATATACTTTATCCTAATGTATTATTCTCTCCTTTCACAGAACAAAGGTTTTCTCCGGAAGAGCCATTGGAGCCACTGGAATAGTTCCAAGACTGTTTGACCTTTGCATGCAAGTTATTCAAGATAATATTGGGGATCTTGGCTACGTACGTAAAAAAAATAATTGCTGTTTCCCATTTGATGTACTACCCGCATGAGTCTTGCTGTGTCTCACTGTTTTGATTAACTTTTACAGACTGGTGGAGTTCCGTATGAAATTTTAAAACCAGCTATAGAACGAGCCACTGCGCAGCAACTGCTTCAAATCGAAGAGTATAACCCGTATCTGATTGGTAAATTTGATTTTATATTCTTCAATTTGAGCATTACCTAAATTTATGCGTGTACTTATTTAAATATGTGTTTTGTAGGTTCCACTGATGATTTATGGAGATTTCATTGTAATCGAGAGTTTAGAGGAAGGGAACGTCAAGAAATGGAATCGTGGAGAGAGCTTTATGAAGTAAGATCAATTAACTAATTAACACCAACATATTTTGATGCGATACAATGATACGACATTTGTTTGTTTGTTGGTGATGTAGCGCTGTATCTTTGAACGGAATGAAAAGTTTGCCATTGTCCGAAAGAAAATGTTGAAGAAAGGTGAAGTGGCGGTACCGGTTCGAAAAGCAAAGTTGGCTTACGTTGAACCCGTCGGTGGACCACGCTTCAGTCGGCAAAAAGCTGCGACGGTAATTAAATAGTTGGCATAATCTGAAATTATATTCAACAAACAAACCTCTGCAAAATGAACATTTATTTGATGCAGATAAAAAATGGGATGAAATCGTTAAAACTAAAAGAAGAAAAAGGTCCAAGAAAAGGAGTTGGATCTAGTGCGAGTGTCGGATTTAATAATCCAACCGACAGCTCAAGAATTGTGGAAGAACAGGCTGTACTTATCAACCCAGAATCACGAGCTGGGCATGCCCCAGCCCCATCGGTATCCAGAGGTGAACCAGCAGCTAGGGTCAAGCCACGAAAAGCTCCATTAATGGCAAAAACTATGAAGTTCATCAGAACTCTACAACGGAGATAGTTTTGCTATAGCCCCAAATTAAATTATCATATCATGGTCGCAGACAAATTTTTATTAAACGCACGCCGAAACGAATGGCAGAAATATACGACTACGAATTTTTTAAATCGAAATCCATAAGTATTTTTATATGATTCATTTTTAAATTATCCCGACTTTTTCTCTTTCTCGTTCACTTCAACTCTCGCACTTTGTTGATTAAGTCATTCTGAATTTTAAAATGTCTAGTATACATAAAATATACCGAACAGATGGCTAAAATTATTATAAACTTGTTACTAGAATTACATTCTCCGCAACATAATAAGATATAGATATATATACATATTCGTACTTGTATTGCATTCCCGTATGGTTTGAAGTTTGTTCCTGGGACCTCTTAACAGTCATATATTTGTAACTTGTAACTGCAACCTGCAGCTATCTTTTTATTAAGAAAGAATACCATACCAAGTAAGTACCCTTTCATTTTAATGTCGCAATTGTTTTATTCGGATCAAATGATTTTCTGTAAGATAATCATTTTCGAAATACCTGTATTTACAAGATATATAATACGAGATTTTGGAGCTCTTGAGTATATTGACTGATTTGAGTATATATTTTAGTTATAAATCTAATACGATTTGAAAGTGATCATAGAAATAAATTAGGCCGAAATGTGACTGCTCAATAAAAGAAAACATTCCAGCTTCATCTTGTAGTGGCTTAAGAATCATTGATGAATCCATGAAAATAAGAAGTTCCATGTCTGGAGTCAGGGTTTATTTGGGATTGTGATTTCAACACATGCATGCATACTGCATACACATTAAAATACATAGATCTATATATAACTACATATGTAACCACGTAATTTTTTTCTAAAGTCTCAAGTCCTTGAGGACAATGGCTCATTATTTAGTTAAATATTCCGTAGTGACTAGGGCCTAGTCTAATCTGTGATATTCTACTGTAGCATTTAAATTATGTCAAGATGCACAGCCGTACTAAATATATTTATACAATTATTTTGTCTGCACGTATATGTACATACATAAAGTATGCGTACAAGTAACCCAACTCGATCTCGGGTTTACTTTCCCCATATTTTTCATTAAGAATTCAGCAATCACTCGATTTTCGCATTAATTTGATACTGAAAATATCTAATGAAATGTAAGATTGTGATAATTCGCTTGCATAGTATGCGCGTGTAGCATGTAACATTTTCCCCGTCAAATCACATAATAAATAATATTAGTACTATTGAAGAGTATAGCCAATTCGCCATGCAAGAATGTCAACGGTACTCGTGCATGTCATCAAGTTCTAATTTCAAATAAGATTCAGTAAGTGTACATTTCAGTGGGAAATTAAATCACAATGTAAGTAATGCGATGCCAGTTTAAGAAAAAGGCAGACCAGACTGTCGTCTGGCTCTCAAAATGCAGCTATTGTTTTAAGATCTAATCAAAAGAAGTCAACAAGTCGTAGTGACTAATTTACTCCAAGTCAGTCATATATATATTTAAAGAACTTTCTTATTACCAGTGGGATAACAGTTAGTAGTGAAATATCTGCTTACCACAGCACGACGTACGTATTTAACCAAAACTAGTTCGCACTTTTGCAACCTCATCTGATCTCCAATAATGTCTGCAAGACAATAAAAATGCTTTCGTGTTATTTACTTTATGTACTCGTCTGCTAAACAACTACTGAAACAACCTTCTCCAGAATCAAGGCGAAGGTCATAATGAGTCGAGTCGCTAAGATGGCTCGAGGAGCCTGAGTTTAACTCGCAGGCGTTCCCAAAAAGATATTTTTCTTGATAAGAATGCAATAGTTTTAGGTAAATATTATAAATATATTTTATAGATAAATCTTATATGGTACGCCACATGAGCCACTTGACAATGCATACAAAAGACCTAAGAACATTACGTTTGGCTCATCTCATTCCCAGATGTACACTTGTATGCAGTCCGTAGTAGCATTAATATGACTTTTTTCCACAATGCAATTTCCACAATGAAAGGGTTCCTTTATTCAAATCTGCGCTAAATACATAATTTTATGCATCCCTATAATTTTAACCCTTTCACGGACAACGGAGAGAGAGAGAGAGAACGGACACCCACAAGTAGTTGTTATTGTGGGTTTAAATAATAGTCAAACCAATGATCACTACTTTTAGGAGCACTAAATTGCAGAATTCTAAACGGGCCATTTTGAACCGCATGGATAATGAGACGATGTCAGCTAAGACGCTGCTGGAATGTTGCACTGGACAAAGACGACAACAGTCCTCTCGTTCATGGATGACTTTCTTATCCAAACATTGCCCTGGAAGAAGAAGAAGAACACTTAGGGACCACACTATTTGTTTATCAATTCACTCCACATACCCTAAATTTTAACAATATTTAGGCATGTTTGTTTGTTATTGGCTCATATTTTTGAAACAATGGGAGAGACAGAGGGAGATGAGACAACTTCAGAAGATGATCTGCTTACTCTGGTCATGCGAGCTGTCATTTTAATTGACTGTTTGAATAGACATGTTATGAGAAGTCTGCATGAAATTCAAAAGCAATTTATCAGGCAGCCAGCCAACCAATAATGGACAGTACAAAGGGCAACAGTTTGTTTTTGACAGGAAATGCGGGGATATGTACCCGCATGTTTCTCTATATTGCTTTTTGACAGTTGTTTAGCAGATCGTCATCTTTATGTGTTTGAATCAGTTATTGAACAGTCAGTCCTCCTCTGCACAATGAGATTTCAGTAAATTTTGCTAGAAGAACAGAGAGAATTCAATTTGACTCCAAGACTCAGGCTGCTGAATCGATTGTCTTTTCATGGTCAAGTACAAGGATGTAACTGAATTATTCCGATAAGAGATATTCTCATGTTTAACGCGAAATGTCATTTTGTGCTAACTCTAGTTTTATTTTTCCTATACTTATTTACATAGAATGGTTGTTCACAAATGAGAATGTAACATAAAGTACTTTATACCCTAGGTTTTAAATTGTTGCTATATTGTAACACGTTAATGTACCAAAGTGAAAGCAGCAGAATCGAAAAACATGTTTACAAACATGTTACAGACATGAAACGTTTGAACAGTCACGATTTCAGAATTCTGACTCATTTTGGACAATTTTAATTTAACAAGGGTTTCCAACAGAAAATTCAGAAGTTCTGAGAAACTCGATCAGAGAAGTACAAATAACACGGAAGTAATAAACGATTTACTTTATTGGGTTCCCATCCAAGAATCAACATGCAAACCTATTTAAGAAAGGAAAGACAAATATATGTAGGATAAAGTAAATATAAGTCAGCATCGTATTTGTTAAATATTTGGCCTGAGACAATTTATAAATTAGGAAATTGAGTTAAATAAGCTCCAAAAATGTGAAGGGAACCATGATTTCATATCATTTAAAGTCCATGTAGGCCTGGGATGACTCACAGTCTTAAGACACGAAAGGAAACACAATTTGAAAACAACAACTATGTTCGTATGAATGTAGTTTAATACTATTGAACAATAAAGGGAAGAGAACTCCTCCACCATAAGAAATATTTACACACGTATGTTCATAGACATGTCAGTGTTGACGTATTCATGTCCATTCGACACATATGCAACATTGTGTAATAATAATTGAATTTAGTAACATTGTATAATTCCGGCCCAGAATATTTGATTCAAGCGCATAAAGAAAATGATACTTCCTCCGATACGATTAAGATCCATGACCCCACAAAACAAACCCACCAGAGTTCACAAAATTAAAATCACAGACAAAACAATGAACTCATGTAAATACAGTTCAAATAGGTTTGTTCATCAACAATACATGTCGAGAGTTGGGTATTATTGGTAGTATTACACATAATGCTGAGTTGTGATTAATATGCATCGCTTTTAAATAGTAAAATCATTGATATATACTTTGCATGAGAATAAATACATATGTATGCATGTTGTTCTGCTATTAGTGGCATCACCAATGAGCAAGTAGAAATCAGCCATGTACCATCAGCTAAACGAGTTTTAGAAAATATATCACCACATCTGAAATGGGAGGTGATGTGCAATGCAATAATAGTAAATACGCACATGCATTTATGTAGTAAATAATATATGTAACAATTAGTAAGTCATGTGTGTGTATCACAATTGTGGAGGCGTCTTTCTCAACGTAAGCACAATTATGCATTATTGTGTTGTTTGCTAATTACCGGCATGGCCCTGGCAAAGAAATTAATGCTTCATGGTGTCATTGCCCTAGACGTAAGACACGAAGTTGGAAATATTAATTTGTGAGACTTTTATATTTTTCTAGACCAAAAATAGTGAATAAGGGCATCCTTATATTGAAGTTAAGTCTACACACTGTTAAAATTCGACTAGGAAACTTGGAGAAAGTGCTCATCCACCGATAGTACTTGGATATCTAAATATATGAACCAATTAGAATCTAAAATATAAATACGAGACAGTATCCTCCATATACAATTAGAAGAACAGAGAATTTAGGGATTTCCTAGTTAAAAATAAAACAACACAGAACATTATGGCTTCATTAATTCCAGAAACGTCCTGAGAATGAATTTTTCCATTGCTTATATAACAAACGTAAATTACATTCGTATTCGATATAGAGCGTTAAAATACATGACTGGTAGGAATACACACATTTGATTTAAGTTTAAAGTAATTTTGAAATGTGTGTATGTGAAAATTGAATTTTTCGACTCATCGACAAGAATTATTATATAATAATTCTTGTCGATGAGTCGAAAAATTCAATTTAAACTTTCAATTCAATTCAAACTTTTAATATATATTAAAAGTTTCAATATTGTAATCCTTTTACTTGCTGTATAAAAACATATTTAGAACCACGGTCTATTATATAGTGATTGAGTGATTGTCATATTAGTTTATCACTCTTATCTACGTGCATACTATGAAAAAATGTAGACTTTTTGTCCCAACCAACATTCTGGACAGAGAAAAGGAAACCCTCAACATGTTTATCCCTAGATAATGGAAACCAATGATTTGAATTTTGATCATTTTCTGTACATTTATCATTCACCTGAATTTTTGCAAAGCTCAATTCTCTATAGTGAAACGATAGCATGAAGTGGAGAGACGAGTATTTTCATTCATACAAAATGCCCAGAGGTATGAATGAGAAATGAGACCATTATTCTATGGATTTGAAGTTTGAACAAATCCTTTATGATTCATAGACTGGAATCTTGAGAAATGACTCCTGCTGAGAATTCTCAAAACTTAAATTAATTAAGGATAACGTCGTATAGTAGTGTTCTAGGCGCCGGTTGTGGGAAGAGGAAAATTAATTAATTTAAAAAACACCCTTAATAACAAGGGTTTTCCTGCATCTTTTACGACATAATTTAATTTGTACCATAAATTGTCTAAATCTAATTTCGGACAGGGAATTATCCATAAATTGACTTGTTCCATTATCATAAGGAGACAACCATAAATTAATACAGGTACATGGTATACAGCAAGCAACGTCCCATCTCAACCGACTAATCTTCACGTTTAGTTGTACATATGCATGTCTTTGTCTAATGGGCTTGAGCACTATTTTCTGATCCGCCTTTATGAGCGTCACCATTTACATCACAATGTTATATTACTTCCGGCAACTAAGCTTAAAGATATCGTCCATCAAACCATACATTCGAAAAATAGTGTTGTTCTTTTGTAAATAATAAATGCAACTCTGGAATGTCACCAGGTCTCCTCCACGTAAAGCAACAATGGGCAGATCTCTGTAATGTCTTAAAATCGTGCATTGTGCATACGTCACGACTAAAGTGAAGATGGAATAAGATTGATATCATCACTCACTATTCAATATTTGGGATTCAAATGAACTTCATTCCTTCATCAGCGGTATAGCAAGGGTCTCGCTTATTATTGCTGCTTTCCCGTATTATAAGACGTGCTGGAGTTGAGTGAGACTCACAAAAGTAACCAACCACTTCATGTAAATTAACTATTTGAGACAAAACCAACACTTGACACTATATCTCATAAGACTTGCAGCAGTATCGCACCGCCACCACCATCACCACCGCCTGTGCATCATCGTGTGTATGCAATAAGGCATCCTATGGAATCAAATAATATATAGAGCCCCACCACTAACAGGCAAGGATAAGTGGATGGCAAGTCCATTTCTTGAGCTGTTATACACGACGAGAGAAATTGGGAGGAGGTGGAGACGACGAGGACGTTGAGATTTTTTAGCTTATCCATTCAGTCGTAGTCCGTGTGGTGAGGTAGGCTGCTAATAATCACCATCCTCTGATAAGGATCTCACCACAGCTTATCCGGCTGGCTTATCCACTCCCCCACTATATCACACCCGACATACACTTCTTCTTCCACAACAACACCAACAACTTCCCGTAGGATTAATACAATCACATTTTTCTTATTTTTATCGAGATTTATTGGTACAACAACTCCTTCTCTGTCAGTTGACGGGAATAGACGAGGAAGAGTGGACGCACTTTTTAGGAACACTTACCTGTGACTAGCACACATTTCCAATTTTTGAAATTTTGACTCCTCTCAGTTTTTACGAGCTATTTTAGTCCCAGACAAGTTCAAGATTCGCCATTTCCGAGGAGAAGAAAACTGAACAACAAACAGCAGAAACAAAGCTCGTCGGACCATATTTGCCGACTGGTAATTAATTCAAGCTGAAGGTAAGTTTAATTTTCGGTATTAATCAGTAATTTTCACAATGTTTTCATCTGCCGATACGAAGCTGATGAGTGGCAGTGCGGAACAGGGAGTGGTTTTTTCTTGGTTTTCTCATTCACTTTCTCTTCCAATCAAGGAGCAGGGTTTCCATATTTTTCCTGTAGGCGTTGCTTCCATTTTGTGCAGTTGATCGCATCTAATGTCACCTGTGATAAGTTAATTGTGTTGGAATGTAAGTAGATTTTGTTCCTGCTTCGTTAAGGCAAGGAGAAGATGGGAGTGGGTGCAAGAAATGCATACGTACTTGGGCTTATCATCTTACGTAGCTACACAGTTATCATTGGTTGATAAGATTGTACTAATAATACTTATGTACAACAACACAACACTCAGACCTGCTATGTATTTCAATTAACTCGACTGCAGTTCGTGTTATGCAGGGGAAAGTAGAGTTGTTGTCGTAGGAAATGTCTCACTTTGCCTCAAAAAGTTGACAGAAGAAGAAATAACAGAATATATAGTTTGAGGGAAAAATGAGATTCTTTGACTGAATGGAAGTTTTGAAGATGTAAAAATTTCGGCGAAAGTGCCGTTACAAGAATTTAGGATGGATTGAATTTTAAGGAAGAACGAGTCGAAGAGTGGGTGTTTTACCCGTGACTCTTGTCACCTCTCCAGTTAGTTTTAACTGTGAGAAAATCATCTCCACTTGTAAGCTCTTGTTTTTTATATGGTTTCTACACTTTTTTTATTGCAGTCAGCACGAAATTAGTGAATGAATGTTGAATGGAGAAATTTATTCTTTTTGAAATGTACACTGCTGAACCAGGTTTTCTTGAAGAGATTTCGTTGATTCATAAAAATGTCCAACTTTTGGCAGCTGCATCATTTCAGTTCACTCCTTGCTTGTGGTAAGCCAGGCAGATTGAGGGCCTGGAAGAGGACTCAAGTCTCAGTCTCCGCACTCATTAAAGATTTTTTGTCCCAAGGAGAAGGAGACCAGAAACATTAAAATCAGACTGTGACACACAGGTTTCCAAGTACATTTGAACAAGTTGTTCCGTATTCAAATTTATTGACTTTATGGAAGCTTAACTTTTACTCGGTTTACTTGGTTGGTTAGTCCGATGACGAGTTTTTGGTGAACGTCAACCCTTTATTCTCACCAACATTATCATCGTCTTAACTGTTCAAAACCATTCAAAATTATGGCTCTATTTCATATTTGCTTCTTGTTGGGTGTACGTAGATTTATTTTCATGCAATGATTTCTTCTCCCTCTGGTAATAACTTATTACCGGACCAATGTCACTGTGCATTACGTTTACATACTTATTATTCTTACATCTCGGGCTATGGCTTGCTCTTGATGATGATGACGACATAGTTAATATGCATATAATATCACGACGTCAAGTTGTGTCTGTGGATATGCACGTACATATCCATCTATACACATGTATTGTGTATATGATGCGAGTCATTTTTTAAATTTATATTCAGTTCACTGTTGCCTCTGATTGAGGGTTGCTTGTTGAGTAATAGCAAAGGAAATGGATGAGTGAATAATTAAACGGAATCCGTCTCTTTCTGAATACTCGCTTAAACTATTTGAGCGTTTAGTACGTAAAATATTGATGGATTTATGCTTAACGATGTATATAGCATGACTTGCCTTTAAAGTACACAAGTCAAAGTTCATTCGATGGATCCATCCACCATGAACTGAGCTGGCTGTGTGAGCTCCCAACTTGTAAAAGCAATAAAGCTAAGCTCACTTACAGCCCATGTCGAATACTTTAATATATTTCTGGATTTGTTCAATTTGTTGTCTTATTCAATAAATTCGTAGGACATATCATGTATAAGTGACTCGCAAACATGTATTTTTACTTGACAAGAGTCCATAAGGTTTCGTTTCACTCCGACGAGCCTTCAATGTAGAGTTGTATATGTGCTGGTGGTGTTGGAACTAGAAGGGAATTTTCTCCAACTATGTACACATTATGTCATTTTTGGTATTATTCTTTTTGTATAGATTTCGTTAGGACTTGAAATAATTGTGATTTTTTAACATCCTACGCGTTTAGCACCGTTTAACATGGTGCAATATTGACATGTCCCATCAAGTTTCGATGAGCCTTCACTTTTTAAGCTGCCTGAGAAGGGAGTAAAAAATGAGCAATGTTTTAATGGTTTACACCAACTTGTGGGTCCCTCGTCCTTCATAGTTTCCATACATGCTAGATTATTACATAGTCTCCGTGCAACATTTTCCTTTGGCTACCAATCCTCCTCTACGGATTGGGAGTATATTTTACTGATTGCATTTATGACGATGATTGAAGAATGAATATGTTGGTGCAAGACAGAGCTGAGTGACTGGAGTCGTCTTGATTTGAAAATATTGAATATTGAGATGGCTGTTCGTAAATTACTTTTCGATGTCAGCCTCGACGTCTAGAATTCCCCTTTGACCTGGGACACATTATATTTACAATTTATATGGATTGAATGCATGCAGACACAGTGCTTCAAATTCTAAAATGAGATAGTACCAATAAACCGAAAGTCTGTCGTCGTTGGACATGAAGTACTCGTCCTTCCATCGACGGGATTAGTAATGTCTCACACACAAAGTTCTTAATAAGAGCTTGTTATTATTTAGACTTATTGGGTCTACTGTTCATTAAATTATTCATTAGCTCCTCTTTGATGACTGATTTACTTGTATGCTGTATAACATTTTCAGCCATTCAACAGGGAAAAAATCATTAATCAGGAAGTGAGTTGGGAGTGTACACATGTATGTACATTCGTTTTGTATGGAACCTATAAAGAACGGATGCACTGTGCCTTTTTAATTTACACACAATTTAGGCAGCTTGAGTCTTCGGATTAGAATAATTTCTATTTGTGCTCATTGTATTGCTTATTATTCTTAGAGAATTTAATAATAATATGTTATTATTATTATTAACTACTCTAAGTTATTATTCATTAAAAATATAGCATTCCTACAAACAATTTCCAAATTAGGAACATTGACTTAAGAAATGGGTCTTGTCGTTAGTAATTTTGAACAACCGTGGGAGATGACAATTATTTCAGTGGTGTAACATTATAGTGAAGCAGTTATAGTTGGTTAGTCAAAGATTCAACTTTTGTGTAAGAAGGTCATACTAGGACAAAGACCTGCACCCGTCTCACTTGAGTTGGTCTCTCTCTCTCAGAGGATGTTGGTCGGTTACATATGTGGTGCTTGAGACATTTGACTTTCTCGTCTATTCATATTAATCTGTGCAGGAATAGTCGAGTTTAATCAACCACCACTTGCTTACAAAACTTACCCAAACGCCAAGACAATCTGCAACCATATACATCATATTCATCCTCGGTGCACCTTTGAGTTGCAACATGTTTAATGAAGTATTCCTCCTTATTGAGATGTGATGAGAATTAAGAATGGCAAAGTCAAAGCAAGGCCAATAGGTTATTCCCATTAAGATTACTTGCAAGCTAGAGCATCTGTGTATGTATGTGTCCATGTGGGAATCGTGCTTCTAATGAATTTCCCTAACAGTCCAAAATTGAGATAGGGAGACACTCGCCATTTTCATAATTACAAAGTTTTCCTACTTTTTTCGCATATCGGTGGTATCCAAATATGTTGTGTGATTATTCGCCTGCTAATTTGAATCTCATGTGACTCGTATCTCAGTTTAAGGGAACGGGAAAATAAATTGCTAAGTATTAAATTATTTCGAATTTTCATTGAGTTAGATTGACGAGGCAGTCGGTGGTAAAGTATATGGTAGCAATATAAGTATGCAAATTATGTCAACTCTTCATTTGACTCGAGTAAGTTAGCAATTAGTAGTCTCCGGTAAGAAGACTGAATCGGAAATGGTAATTACCAATAAGTTTAGTAGAGCACAGTAATCTAATAATGTGTGGATTAAATTTCAGTTTTGTATTCCCAATCTTCACCCTGTTTATAAATACATACATCACCATTTCTCGATTGCTGCGATTTTTATTACTTTGTTCAAGTAAGAAACTGCTGTGTTAGACCCAGTGTTAGACTAAGGATTCGTTCAGAGTCTCTTTGATTGAGCCACAGGATCCCAAGGTTAATGATGCGGTTTGGTTCTATTTTGTGTGTGGCCATTGCCATTATCACGCACGGGAAATATAGTACGACATGCTGACTCGACTAAAGCCGTGTATTTGTGTTTTTGTAGAATTTATTACTTGTCTCCACACTTGTCGTCTCCAGTTGAAACAAAGACATTTGTGACATCATAGCCAACCAAATCCAACCACTAGCACCCAATCTCTCTCTGTCTCTTTCTCCTCATACCACTGACTACTGATGGTCTCACTTACTGACATTGTTATTATTGATTGACTTATAATTAGGCGGAAAACAAAAGAATGATTGAGCGTGGAATAAGTTCGTCCCCCTCAATGTCCGGAGACGCTTCATCTCCAATTGGCGGCGACCTCTTGGGCCATTCCCCTTTCAACCCCAACGGAACCAATAACAACTCTGTGACCACTCTCATACACCAAACCTCCATGGACAGCAACGGCCAGAGTCAGAGCAGTGAATCGGAAAATTTGTTCGTACACTCATCATCGTCTCCTGGAGCACATTCGGACCATTCCTCCGTATCAGACTCTCACTTCAAATCCGTAGAGGATTTAACTAACCCTCAAGACGAGGCAGTCCTGATTTTACCCAATATTCACAAGTTGTCAAATAATAATCACCACCAATCAATCAGTCTGCTGCACCACAACTCTTCGGGGCATCATAATCTACACCACCACCACCAGCGTCAATTGAGTCTATCCCCAGAGGTCGACGTGGGGAACGGATCCGGGGGGTCCGTCGGAATGTCGGAATATCGCCAGGTGATTTCAAATCACCATCAACATATCAACCACCACCACCACACCCACCAAGTCATCAACGGTCAAATGATGAACATGGACCACTCTGAATGTTCCGAGTCTTCTGACTCCAATTCCTCCATTTCAAATGACCCCTTGACTATGGATGGGATGGAACAGAATGGAGTCTCAATTTCCCACATTCATCCCAGTGTCATTGTTGAATCTCGTAGTGTGGATCACCATCATTCTTCGTCTTCTTCTTCCAACAATGGGAACTGCCTCCACAACGGGCACAACTCGTCCACACCATCTCACTTTCACTCAGCAGCCATGTCTCGAACCAGCAGCATTTTGCAGTACTTGATTAACGATCAAGAAAATAATCACCACCAAGACCATGAGGAGCATGGGGTTCACGGGAGCGACGAGGGAATTGGTTCCCGACATCAACAAGATTACATTGACCAGAAACCAAGCATCTTAGATTTGCCCGAATCTCATCATGTCAATCATCCAAACAATGCTCACGCGCATAACAATGGGAGTACAAATACCAATGGGAATAGTAATAATAACCACAACCACAGCCACTCCTCCTCCAATGGGGACCACCACCATGGAATAGTCTCACCTAGCAGCAGGTAAGAACTGTTACGGATGTATTTGTATGCATGTAAAAAAAAATTAAAAGCCTTGGGAAGAAGAAGTTGTTGGGAAGACGAGGGAGTCGAGATATGTTTTTTAAGGCTTTATGGAGGGAGGGAAGAGGCGTGTATCTGGCTGCGTAGAATTATTGGTCACCACCTGAATAATAAAAGATAGTCGGGCGTATCATCCTCAGTTGGGGAGAATTTAGACTTTGACTTGTGAACACCCATTCGACCAACACGTTTTTGCTTAGGGAGGGCTTTCACGGACGACAAACATGAGAATGTTTATGATATGAAGGATAATTTTACATGAAAGTGTTAAAGGTGACCAGAATCATGATCATGCTGCAGATAGATGATGTTTTAATAGCACCATTTTAATAAGTTTATAGTGCTTATTAGTGGATGTGTGTGATCCAAATTGTTTAAAAAAGAGAGAGAAATCGATGAGAAGCAGAAGAAGTCTTATACACAAGTAAATACTCGTTGAGAATTATTCTCATTTCGTCCTTATTTAGTTTTAACGTATAGTTTTAACGTATTCCTTTCGTCCCTCTCGTTAACTCCAGAGTGGATTTGCCTTCTCGACTACCAGTGGAATTACGTATTAAGACCAGAGGTCAGATTTAAGTTGGAGCGAGAAAGGTCATAGTTAGGTTCAGTTATGCAGTTTATAATGTGCCATGGGATGTCAATCTCTGAAGTTGACAACAGGAATAAATAAATTTATAGACATTGCTCGATTTTTTAAGCAAATTTTCAGTCTCCTACCAGTTGAGACGGTTTAGTTTTTGAGGATTTCGTTGTCGTTTATGTTATGACTGAGTCTCTTTAAGTCTCCACATATTTAGCAATAGTAGCATTCGAATCAGGTTCTGTGGAATACAAATTGACGCACATGCAAATTAATGTTTACAGAGCAGAGGACTCGATCCCAAGCTACTCTCCGCTGGACCATGGAGCTTATTCTAACCCCTTCTTTCACGGTTATATGCCACATCAATCAGAAATTGGATCGTCTTGGTCAATGCCAGGTTGGTTTTTTCCTTTCTTGGCACAGTTTTCGTTTCAACCTTTGCTTCTTTTCCTGTACTTCTCATCAATTTTAAATAACAACAAAGCAAAGATAACTATGAATCATATAAACTTTAAACTTTTGGTAGTGCAATAACAGTTCTTGCCTAATATAAAAGAATGGCTGTTATTTATAACCACTATAAATAAGAATAAATTATTAACCAAACTCAAGCTCTCAATTCTTTCTATAGGATTAGATGCAGAAAGCTACAACAAATCATCTCAATCCAACTTTCTTCCGCACCAACAATCTAAATTACCTGCTTTTATTCATGCAGCTCCAAGGAATCTTCACCCTTGTGGACCTCGTACGTTTCAATTTTTCTAAAATCTCTTGTTCTGTCATCATGCTTTTGCGTTTTGATTTATTTATTTATTTAATACTACGTATGCAACTTTCGAGCCAAAGTGGGGGATAAAAAAACTGAAAAATTTCACAACTAATCTCCATAATCACTATGTTCAGAGTACTACACTGACCTTCCCTATTTTGACTTTGGAGTTGCTGGAAACTCGCCATCCAGTTTTTCCAACGGATCAAGTCCATTGAGTTACAACAATCAATCCCTAACCAGCATTATTTCACAACCAACACGAATCAATGGGAAATCTCAAACCATGAACGGTAAGGTTACTTTGTCTTCTTTTATATTTTGACCAATTATGTATATTTACTATCAGATTTAGTATTTACAAGAGCAGAATATATAAGTGAGTAATTTCCAAGTAGTGTTGTAGGTGTGGTGTAAAAAAGCACGTCATATTTCATAAATAATGGCAATGTGCAGCGATAAAACCTCATTAGTTGGGGGTGCACATTACATTTCGATAATGCTTATCTGCAATAATATTGAAACTGAAAGCCGAAACGTGTGGTGGTTTGAGTAGTATGAGCGATATCTAATCTCGTGTCCATGAATAAGAAGCGATAGGGAGACTTAAGTCATTTCAGAACATGATAACCCATATCGAATTTGAGAATGAATTAGCTTTTGATATGAGATACTACATGTGTATGCACTGCTGACAACTCCTTACAAATTATTAATGTTGATAGTATTGTTTGGGTTTTATATCTTAATTTGGCGTGTGCCTTTCAGTCTCAATCTCGTTTACATAAATGTTTTGCATTGCCACGTACTTGTGCATTTACTTTTTCTGCATGGAACATGCAATACTGATGGCAGTGGCGTTACGAGAACATCGAGCAGATATTTAAAAGTAACAAACATATAAAATCAAAAATTCCATTTCTTGAACCATGTGAATAAGCAACAATTACTAAGGAATAATTCCTAAGTAATCCTAAGTATGCACTCCAGCTGCAGAATGGTCATCGTCACCTACGAACAATTGTACTTTGTTTGGAGACAAAACAAGTTTATTTTGTAGCTGTCTGATCAACGGACAAATATGCAGTCAAGACAAGACGTATTATTTGCTTGTTAAGTGGCAAAAATAAAAATGTTATTGTTTGGCTCGGAACAATGTTGTTTTTTCTCACAAATCATACAACGGATTGAAATACGAGGAAGATGACCTATGCAAAATCGGAAATTTCAACTTTAGCATTGTTTTGTGTGGCGACATGCAACTGCGTCTCTGATTATTTAAGTTCATTTGATTATTAAATCATTTACAAGTTAAGACCATTATTAGGGCGGCCGGGCGTAGAAATTAAATGCGCATCTACATAACTCCACTCGCACACCACAAGTTACACATTTCCTCAAACGGTAATGGTTCCAAATAACCACTGCGGTCGCCTGTGGTTGGTTGCACAACCACCATTACGTTGTAATTAGTTAGCTCATTATCATTGCACTTCCTTTGTACATTTGAAGAGTGTCGTCGCATATTTACTTGAATTTGCGTGTAACGTATTTAGGGCTATTGCTCTGAGGTTGTCAATCGTGGAGTTTCTTTGCTATTTGGTATTAAGTATTATTACTCGAGCAATGTCACATTCTAAAATTTTATTCCTCTACTTGAAAGTCATATCACGCCAATCCACCATCATCACTCGGAAATACTTCAACTCGAGTTCTATCCAGGATCTTTTTGTAATATTGTGATACTCAATGTAAATTATTGGAAGCAACGCATATGAGACTTGGTCGTTTATGTACCGGAAATGACGACTTGCTCGAGTTGAAAAATATTTCTTTCTTTGAATAATTGAACGACAAATTTGGATGAATTGGTCATTCGTCTGTTCTAGAGTCACATGAATATGTTGTCCACGTTATACTTGAAACAGGATGGATGATCGTCTCCAATCAGCTAGTGCATATTGTGGAAGTTTACATAGGAGAGAGCATAATGAAATAATTCCACTTTTCAATATGTTGTTAGAGAATTTGAGATAAAATTATTATTTTCGGTATACCCATGTGTGTCTGTGTACCATTAACGAGTTGAGAAGACGATAAGAGTATGTGGTAAGTAGATTGCTTTCCTTGGAACCATGGGTAAACAATATGCACATTATATTATATTATATTATCCATCTCGTCCTCTTTTCTTGGCAGGAGATGAGGAGTAGTCATGAGCATCCTTTGAATTTATTCTTATGGAGGAAGTCCTGTGTTGTGGAAGGAAACCCAATTTTCATGATGACTGCTGTGACCAGAGTCCGGCTATTACTGCATTGTCTAATTACTCGCTGAGATTACTTACATACTCGTATCTCGATACTTTCTTATTTGTCTCGCTTTGGGTGGTTGTGCTTTAAATTTTTCCAAGTTTAGAGTTTGAGTACCAATTTTGAGGTGGTCCAAAAAAATTGCTTTCCTGGACTAAATGTAATGTCCACCATGTCGTACGTGCTCATGAAAGTAATTGACGTTTTAGGTTTTATGTAGGGTGGCCGGACTCGTTGTGTTTACGCTTTCACAGAAATTTATGTTTATAATTTTAGAAATTTTATTTCGGTGTTGCGGTTTATTGGATTGTGTGGCTGGTAAAGACTCATAAACTGTCTGGTTCACATTCGATTTTCCATCGTGTTGGGGGTAGTTTTCATAGCTTTCTCGTCTTCTTTGCATCATCATAATTAGTTTAAATTGTCAAGAGTATTTATAATTGAAAAATGGGAGTGATGTAATCTCAAATAGCTGTGCATTGCATAATTTATTTCCTGTCAGAACATAGTCCAAACTGTTACATTTATTTACTGATTTGTCACGCGTGTATGTAATACTACAGGAGCTAGACACAGATCGACAAGTCATTACTGTAAGAATGCAAAATTGGCAAAAATTCTTGTGGTTATTGGGCTAGTTTCTTTGTGTTACAGGAGCAAGTCCCAATGTTTCAGGCACACTTGTCTTATAATAGAAATGACAAGCTTTCATGTGTATTTTGTTGCAGTTCAGAAACGTTAGACATGAATGGTCACAATAATGTTTTGAAATTTGATCCGTTGTGCAAACGATCTCCAATGAATGTTCATTTTGAATTGCTTAATTTTCAATTACTACAACTGTACATGTTGTGCATGTACATTTTATGCATTATGTCATGTTTTGAGTATCGAACACATTTGAATTAATGTTGTTTGACATGAAGAAACTCTTTCTTGACTTGACATCTAGTTTTTAGGAAGAATAGCAATTTGCATAATTGATTTTTATGATATAAATGTGACCCTTTGCTTTTGGTTTGAATTACAAAGTGTCAGATTATATTGACGGGGAATACGACTGGTGCGGGCAAGAGTCAAGGGATCTAAATGAGGCACGAGAATGTGTATGGAAATATTTTAAGTCACAGTTTTTTGTAATAATTTTTTATATTGTATTCTAAAAATTTCTCAGGTAAACTGTGGTTCGATATCAACGGTAAATAATAAAATGATTAAAATAATGTGGCGATGGTGCATAAAGAGGTTTCTCTATACGTTTTATAGCCTCTCTGGCGTCGCGACGGCACTGGCCACTATCTTTGTAATGCGTGGTATGTGATTTACCAAAATTAGCTATGTTCAAGGAGCGAAAGTTTCCAGTATTGATTTTCAATATTTTAGTGGCCTATATCACAAAATGAATGGTATAAACAGACCACTGATCAAACAACCTAAAAGGATTGTGAGCACCTTTTTTCAAATATAAGTAATATTCTGCTGATGGCAACTGCTTTATATACTTTATGACGATAGCCACAAATTGGTCGCTGCCATGTCGCTTTACTACTTTGCATATACGTACGTACGTACATAGGACGCTATACTGCAATAATAAACTTTAGGTGTCCCGTATGGCTGGATACGTATGCATTACATATAAAATTATTAAATGAGAAGGGTTTTCGAAATTAGGATTGATAATAATAATAAAATATGTAAATTTATTGGCTGCCCCTCCCTGATCGAATATTTATCAAGAATTAATATAAGTAATTCGAATACCACCCGTCTTTTATTGTCCGACATACTCTAAATTAAAGTTTGTACATGCTAGACTGCAATTTAGTCTATTTTTAATACAAGAAAAGTAGAGATGCAAAAATAGAGTCCGTCGTAAATCCGTCTTTGTTGTTTTCTATGCAGGTTCAGGGTCTTACAGTCACAAACAAAGTCCTCGAGACGGATTTGCGACGCAGCCTAGACAAAGACTGGTACGTAAAATTTTATTATTTTTGCGAACCCTTTCACCCTTTGTAAGCAGTAGTGTCTACTAAAACTAGATGTTTTCATTTGTATGTATATATTTCTTGTAGCCCCCATTTTTTCGTACTCAAAATCTAACCAAGCCACTGCTACTACCAATATATTGACCCTTGCACGCTTGTGAACCATAATAAAAATTCATCTCCCCATTTGCACAAATGCAGAGCTTTTATTCAAAACACGCTACTTATGTTTGACGTGTTTGCTTGCTTTTTAACTTGCTTTGATTTTTTGCAAAAAGCTTGCTGATGCATAGTTTATCACTCCCGTGACGTTTTTATGACTATTAGTGCAGGCAGACGCATTCCTTTAATTGCTATGAATGTTGGCAGTCTTTTTTGTACAAATAATTATGATGTGTACATTGTAAATTTGCTGCATGATGCCTATATTTTTGTTATACAAATATTAAATTTATTTCATTTATTTCATTTCTGCAGAATGCAAATAGACGCGTCGGACTCCTGTGCAGGTGAGTCTTGTACCTCGTGGAATTATAGAAATTATTAATCCACAACTAAAATAAAATTTTCTCTCCAGCAATTGTCAAACGGACAAGACTTCTTTGTGGAGACGGAATGCAAGCGGTGAACCAGTTTGCAATGCTTGTGGACTTTATTTCAAGCTGCACGGCATTGCCAGACCTCGGGCGATGAAAAAAGATAACATACAAACTCGAAAACGGAAGCCGAAAGTTAGTCAAAGCCAAACCAACAACAGTAACAGCAAAGGTGGACACCAGAATCATCATAACAATAATAATAATCATCACCCAGTGGTATCGTCTGCTGGTAACGGTAAGTTATTCACAGAAAAAATTCTCCCAAATAAATCCGTATCAATTGATGGCAATACTTAAAGAAACTGAACATGGTTTAATAAATTATAGCAATGCTCAAAAGTGTGCTAACTTCTGGCCCAGCACAGCATTTAGTCTTGATGAATAAGTCTTCTGCACTACCGGATGTGTACCGATCTCAATATCCCGTTTCCTAAACAAGTACAAGTTGACAATTTCCATGCATCCTGTCCAGTGGTCATCATCGTCATCACAAGTGACACACAGATAGATGCTCCATAAATGATCATCATTATCATGCTCCAAATAAACTTAGTTCTTTTAGCTGCCTAAAGTGTTTGTTATTATTAGTTTGTTAAGTAGAATAGCGTAGACTAGATATACACATATATTGTTTTATCGTTAAAAATTGTAAAAGTTATAAGATCTGAAAATTATTTACGTAATACTGAAATGCACAACTTTTATCAGTATGACACTTTTGTTTGTTACAGCTACATAGATAATATTACGATATAACGACAAAGGGTGAAAGTATTTTGGTGAGATATTTTTAGTTTAAAACTTCGTGACGCCAGTCATCGTACACTGCTGAGTCGAGTACCCACATAGTCCACTCTTGTAAATAAAATAAAATATCAATAATTTCAGTTCATACACTAATAATTAGTCCATCCATTAGTATGTAAGAACTAAGGCAATCAGTTTATAATAACGATTTCTAGAGTTGCAACTACTATAGAGTTAAATAAATGCATTTAAATTGCATTTTATGAAATTTTGCAATTCAGCGTTAATGGCTTACAATGACTGCAGATTCTTTATTGTTATTATTATTATCATTATTATTTATGCTTTAGTTTAATTCCATGTCTCTATATGTGTACATGTGTAAGTATGTATGTACGTCGAGCCAGCTCTTCGATTACATCTCCACACCTACAATCTTTTTGAACTATTCGTTATTGCTATATGTACTTATGAATATTTGACCACTACAGATGTTGTTGTGGATTGTAAGAATAAAACGTTCCACGTCTCGGAATAATTCCATCCCTAAATTCTATTGGAGGTGGGGGCAATACAATGATTTGTTCGTCGTCATCATCATCCTCTGTCTCCAATATGCACGAACTCCTGTGCATGTTGGTCATAGCTGGTCTGGAAGTCTTTTTTGGTTTATAGCGATGCCTTGAACGAGATCGACATAGTTGCATCGACGAATACGAAGATTGTAATTCCAATAAGGCCTGTTTCTTGAGTTTTCTCTTGAACTGCTTGAGCATTTCTTGGTATTTCCCCCCCAAGCAGTCAGTATCCAATATCGACTCAGTGAAGCTATTTCCACTATGCCTACTGCTATCAGAAGCGTACTCGTCCAAGTTGGGCTTAGAATCTAGCTCAGCTATTACGTTGGCGTTCAATACGTCCGATTCTCGTAGTTTTGGCTTCCTTTCTATCTTACGGTGACCATACTGGGCGTGTTTTGACTAGTCAGAAATTCACCTTTACTCAGTAGTTCAAGACGTTGAAAACATTTTTAATTTTTTTACCCAGAGATGAGAACTGTTTTGTTCCATTATTTTCTCCTCGCACCTGAAACCTGAAAATTCTTGGAGTGATTTCATAGCATCTTGACCACTTTGGTCTCCTTGTACCAGGCATGGATTCACAGCATATTGCTTTGGTGGGAGGGGAGGAGGTCCAGAAGAAGGAAACATTGGCATAGCTGAAGGATTATTGAATGGTGGGGGATGAAAACCGCTTGTTGGGGTCGGCTGTGATCCCTGATATCCTGAGGGTGCTTGTTGTCCTTCTCCAGGTCTGTGAAGATCAGGCAAAGCAGACTTTTAGACTGTTGATACTCATGTTAGCCCTTTACTCGGTCAACTAATATCTACAGTAGACTCCATATATCTGCATACCCTATGCATGTGCTATGCTCTGTTGCATATAAAATCTCAACCGATTATCCAAATTTGAAACAACTAGTATCAAATTGCAGGTAATTTAATGGGGACTTGAATTTTTTCTAACTAATGCCCATAACTCGTGTTAGTTGTGGAACACATACTGAAATATAAGATGACAAAATTTCGGCGCGCAAAAGTCTGCGTACCTTTCTGCAATTCGTAAACGTCCCCTGATTTGTTTGACCAAGGTAAGTTAATAAATACATTTCAGAGATTCATAACAAATATTTTGTCACTCGTTTTACCGTAGGTCATGATGGCGCCACCACGGAGAGAGATTTCCATAGCCATCCGCGATCGGATTATCCAAGATTGGAAAGGTGATGAAAATGGGCGTCTGGGATACAAAAAATTAGGCGAGAAGTACAAATTAGCTAAATCGACGGTCTAGAGGATTGTTACAAATTTCAAACTCACTGGATCAGTGCAAAATAAGAGAAGAAGTGGACGGAAACCAAAGTTGACCCAGAGAGAAGTCCGCCATGTCGTGAAAAAGGTCGTAATATCTCCTTCACTAAGTGCTCCGAAACTTGCAACTGAGGTCGAGGAGATGTTTGGGAAGAAGGTGAGCCACAATACCATCCGGAGAGTACTACACAAGCAAAACCTAAAGTCCCGACCAGCAGTTCGAAAGCCTCTCATCTCAAAGAGAAACGCAACCAAAAGACTTCAATTTGCACGGGACCACATTTCCAAAGGCCAATCATTTTGGGATAGCATTTTATGGAGCGATGAGTCGAAATATAATGTGTTTGGGTCAGATGGACGTCGACGAGTGTGGCGACTACCAAATCAAGCTTTAAATCCCAAGAATCTCAACCCTACCGTAAAGCACGGAGGTGGATCTGTGATGGTATGGGGGTGCATGGCTGCGAATGGGGTTGGAAAAATGGAATTCGTGGACGGAATTATGGACCAGTTCAAATATCAAGGTATACTTGACCGAAATTTGAAGGAATCTGCCAGGCAACTTGGACTTGGGAGAAGATATACATTCCAACAGGACAATGATCCCAAGCATTCTGCGAAGTCCACCATGGAATACTTCAAAAGAAATAAGATTGTCAAATTGGATTGGCCTCCTCAAAGTCCAGATTTGAATCCCATCGAGCATCTTTGGGAACACATCGAAAGAAAAGTCAGAGAAGAGTCATTTTCTGGAATTCCAGGGCTTAAATCGAGGATAGAAAAAGTCTGGAATGAAATTTCTCCCGACGTGACCAGAAATTTAGTGAGCTCCATGACCCGGCGTCTTGAAGCAATTATTAAGGCTAATGGGGGTCCAACTAAATATTAAAATTGTTTAAGCTAAAATGTCTTGCTAAATTTGAATTTTAAATTATTTTTGCTCAAAGGTACGCAGACTTCTGCGCGATTTTTTTTGCATTGTTTGTCTACAGTAATAATTTAATGAGTAATAAATTTTGATGGCAAACACCATTTTCACCGTTTGTTGTCCACTAAATTCTGCACAAATTAATATTACTCGTTCCAAATTCGGATAATCGGTTGAGATTTTGCATGTAGTTGAGCATAGCACATGCATAGGGTATGCAGATATATGGAGTCTACTGTAGTATACCTTTGGGGTGGACAACACGCATTTGGCATAACCCCTCCAGGGGGCACAAAATTACCCATCTGCCCCACGGGTAGATCTTGAGCTCGTGCATTTTCATTCGTGTAAAATGTGGGATATATAAACTGAGGACGTTCTTCTCCCACCTAAAAATTCGCCCTTTTACATATAAGTGCCATCATTCCATAATTCTACTACCATAAACTGCTATAGTCACATACTGCTTTCTTCTTGAGGGACCATTCGTAGTAATTCTGGTTTTGCTGTCTCAGAACTCGAATGTGCTTAGACTCCCTGTTAAGCACGAGGAGGGGGGAGCGTTTCCTACCGTACTGAGCGCACTTAAAGTACTTTTCATAGTTCAAGGATATGTTAAAAGCAACTTTCCATTTTCATATGCATATGTATAAAATAAAGCCAAACTTACCTTGTCATAGTTTGATGCAACTACGTAGTTGTTGTACATTTCCATTTCACACGGATGTCTTACGCGTTTCCCGTCCATTTTATATAGATACGCCGCAAACCCCACGGGAAATTTAACCCTCTCCTGAATCACGTTCATGACACTTCGCATATTCTTCTTCTTGGCTGGTGGAATATGGACTAAAATTGGGGCTTCTCCATCCTTTCCATTTCGGTATAGGTAAATGTTAACAGCGTGACAAATTCGCCTAGTACAAGAAATAGAACAAGGTCACACAACTATCAAGGTATGGTAGTGACAACATCGACTAGATAAGTTCAATAACCATTCTAAGTCGGTCATATATCTTGCTTCCATAGTGGACGACGACGAGGTTCTCAGTCTGAAAATGAGATGTACGTTTTCATATTTGTATGTATCCCCACTTTACCATCACTCTACTACATGCATGTTTGAACTTACACAAAAGTTGACCAAAATCCAAACTTTGATGCAGAAGGTTACACAAAAAAGGAGACGGATATTCGACAAAATAATAATAGCCCGGCGTGCAGTTGTTCTCAAGAAGTTAAGAGATCAAGACTCAAGACTACAAAAATAGGACGCTTAACAAAAAAAAACATTACCCAAAGTATTGCTGTGAAATACTGCGTGCATCATCCAACTTTCAACTTGAAAATTAATTACTAGTAGAACGAGGTTAATATTTTTGTTGAATTGTGTCTTGAAAAATTCACTGTTGAAAATTCATTGCTTACACGGCAACATAAATCAATGTGGAATGAGTGTCGCGAGTCTCATCTTATACATCTTTTACAATACAATCAGCAACTTTAATGGAAAACTTGGTAAATATATCACAATACGAAACATAATAGGCTACACAATACTTGAAATAGATAACGTTTAACGTAACGTGTAGTTTGGTATAAAGCGGTTCTGTTTCTCGTTTTAATTTTAATAAATTAACAATTTATCAAAATATTTAATTCTAATTGCTAACAATTATAATTCGGTATGTTCGTGTTCTACATGTTTTGAACCCATTTCATTGGCATGCATAAAAATTCCTTCCGCAGTACTCCAGTAACTTGATGAGTCCGAGTGACTCAAACCCACAATTTCCATTTGTCCATGAATCGGCCTCCCAAATGTGTTTCCGCTTGCGGATAAGTATGCACTAACAAGTAATAACATTTATTATTATGATTAATGAGCACGAGTTAATTTTGGACGGTAAAACAAAAGAACAATATGTGTTGAGGTAGGTCTATACCTACCTTGTGTCGAGATGCCGAAACTGAACCGTTTCATCTCTGTCCCAGATGTCTCCTCGGCATACTATTTCCCAATTATCTCCCGAGTCCCCTTCGCCCTCCTCGCCAAACGCTGAAATCTAGAACACATTTATGTTAATTTGAATATATTCATAGTTGTGCTTTAAGAATTATTTATGTGCTATGAATTGTTGATTACCTCCTGGTGACCAGATAATGGAGATTGAAACAAGTGAGAATGTAAATTCTTTCCCGTTTGCAAATGTTCTAACCTAAGTTTCTGACCACATTGAACTGGTTCGCTGTAAAAAAAAACGTACAGTAAGTATATTAATGTTAATTTTTATCATGGTCAGATTAAACATGTGCTACTGACCCCCTTGTACATGGACTCTTATTTGTTCCTTTCACCACCCAGTTTGAGTTGACATCGTCCTTAATATCTGTACCGGTCACACTTTGCTGACCACTCCCACTCCCATATTTAATGTCGTGGCTATGTAGCCTAATTTTAAATGCGTTATTAGTTAATTTGAACACGCTTCCACAAGTTACTGTCGACGCTGTTCGTGATTCTACAATCACTACAATGAGGGATACTTGTACAAGTCCCAACAGCAGCAGAGCTAACGATCTCGTTGTCATCTTTATTTATGTCCGATGATCGTCTTTAGACGCCCACTGTAATTAAAACAAAGAACAAATCATGAAGCTTTGCTTTCTTACCTACTAATCTCTGTTACATACAATACAATACTGTTTACTGGAAGACAGGAATCTGTTTAAAAAAACACAAAGAAATAAGCCAGCCTTACCAACAATTGATATGACTTGTCCAGAATTCCAGAAAGAAGTATGACGAGAATTATTGTTATCAACCGCCGGTTCAAATTTCGTGTAAAGATTACATGACCCCACGTTGAAACACAGGATTGGTGTTCACTCCATAATTCGTACTTAAGGATAAACTCCATGTTAAAGGCGTCCTCTGTTAGGCTCTATTGTACACCAGCATTCTAACATTGGCAAAAATAGAAATTAAACAATTATGCTCATTATTTTAAAACATGCATATAACTTTTATGTACAAACTGCAGTGGCAGGATGTAGAAAACATAAGTATTGATGGGCAACTTTTACAATAACGTAAATAATATGGCGTATTGCATATAGCATGGATGAAATTGTAATTCTTTATGTGTGGATAAAAAATATAACAACTTCAGAATGAATTTCGTAAATGATGTATCTTTGATCCCCAATATTTTTCTCGTACTACTTTGAGCATATTATTCCGAAACAACTTGACAGAGTTTTCTGGCAGATGGCATAGACTTCGATATAAGTCGTATCGTTAATAGGATTTCTATGAATGAAATGAATATTGCTGAAGTACACAACGAGCTGTAGAATACGAAGTACGAAGTACACTCTGCACACAGAAAAGCGGCATTCGCCCAGCCATGGAATAAATACTATCTGTGCTCAGCCTTGTGTGCAAATTCCTCCGTGGATTGTACTATTGCGTTGTAGTATTTTTTGCAACAACAACACGAGGTGTTAGTTTTCAAGTCCAGCAGCAGATCAGACAGGAAGTCTATTATTCATTCAACTAAACTAAACTATATATTTATATTGTGCTACTTCTGAAAACAGCACATTATTATTGCTTTGTTTACCAAATAACGAATAAGTGAAAGTAATTAGGTGACTCAATGGATACGTGAGTTCAAGTTCACAGTAAAGATTAAGTCCCAAGTTACAAATTCGGAACTTCTAATTGCATAATTCAACCTTGAATTTTGAGACGAATTTCTCAGGTGAAATTGCTCCCTTAAAAACCTCAAAATGATGGATATTGATGAATCTTCGTTACCATCCACATTAGTTAAGGAGGAGAGAGTGGACGATGATGTAAGAAAAATTGTTATTTCTTTATATTCAAGGAGACGATTTTAATAATGATTTCACATAGGACTTTTTCGACAAAAAGTTCGAAACTCCGAAACGTGGGAGATCGAGATCTCTTTCAAAAAAGAGCGTGGACAAAGTAGATATCAGAGCCAAATTGGGTTAGTGTAGTAACAATATATAACAAATTGTTTCTTTGCTATAATAAGAATTTGTCTGTATAATGGTTCATTCAAGATTTTAATCTTTTTGTGTATAAATAATTTAGAACGAAGCAGACAGAGTGCTCGGGAGTGCAGAGCTAGAAAGAAGCTAAGATATCAGTACCTGGTACGTGGTGGATTTAATATGCTCTCTTCTCGTGCTTAAGCGTTAAGCTCTCTTTGATTAGTCCTCAATTATACTCCTCTTATAGGAAGAACTTATTTCTGAAACGGAGAAAGCTATTTATGCCCTCAGAAGAGAGATGGATATGTTGAAAGTTTGGGGAAAGGATTTGGACGAAGGTAAACTCCCAGACAACGTGCTGGAATATAGGTATGCAATACTCTTCATTATTTATATTACTCAATATTTTTACAAAGGATTCCGTGTGTACACACAATAAAAATTAACGAGTGATTTTAATTTCGTGTAGGACTGCTATTCGCGATAAGACGTCGACAGACCCGTTAAAATTGAAGCAACATCGGATTCAATATGATGACCAGGGGACAGTTGGAAATGTAGCCCTATCCGTCTCCCCCTCTGGAGACATGACCTCTTACATGACGATGATGAACCTGAATCGACAGTCACAGTCTCTCTCACCCCCATGATAGCATTCTCGCAAAATGCATATACATGTACTACGAGTAGGCATTCACGTTTGTTTGTTTTTCATCACATAATTAAGAATTACTAATAATGGTTACGAAAGAGACCTAAAAACCTAAAATGTGAATGGGGAAAATGAACTGTGATTTTGAAGAATACTGAATTTTTGCATAATGTACCTTCTTAGACTTTCAAAAAGTCGATATATATTTGTTGTTAGTCAAATTGAGCAAAGCAAACGAGCATATAATATAGTCTTGAAAGATTTACGATCACAAAATACACTATACGCTGTTGAATATTTAATAGACATGTATTATGTGTATCTTACCTCATTTTGTGTACCTTATGTCATGGCTTTACATTTAGAGTACACACTTATTATATAGTTGGGAATAAATATCTAGTTAGCTTTTAAATTTGTGTTTTTAGCCCGAGTCAGGGCTTATGGAACCGTCATGTCCGTCCGTCTGTCTGTCTGTCTGTCTGTCCGGCACGATAGAGCCAAAACGGCTGAACCGATTGACTTGAAATTTTTACCATATGCATATTGGACAAAGTTAGGAAACGAGTTCGAAGATGGGCGAAATCGGTCAAGTGGTTGACCAGTGGGGGTCATCGGAGTGGGTGGGGTCTTATGCACTAAAATTTCAAAATTGTTGTAGAGAGCTGAAATTTGGTACAGAGGTTGCTAATGGTTCCTAATAGAAAAAAATAACTTCAGGTTGGACAAATTTTCATCATGAGTGACCCTATGGGGTGACCCATACCTATTTTTCAAAACCATCATATCGAACTGAAATTTGGTGGAGAGGTTGCTTATGGGTCTTAATGAAAGAATATGATATGATATTGGTAAAATTTTTATCTGGAACGCCCCTATGGGGTGACCCATACCGATTTTTAGAAATTGCTTTAAAAAGATGAAATCCGGCACAATGATACTTAATGACTGCTAATTAAAGAATATGAAGTTAAAAGTGAACAAAGTGCAACCAGACCAAAGTGAACAGAGTGCAATCAGTATGGGGTGACCCATACTGATTTTTAAAAATCGTTATATCGAGCTGAAATTTGATTAGGAGGCTGAATAGCACATACATACAGCTTAGAACTTCAGGATGTTAAAGAAGCCACTGGTCATGGTACATGATTTGTAACTAATTCAAAAATTTGGTACCAAATAATAGAAACTATCTAACAAACTTTTAACCATCCACAACACGGAAGATGATGATATTATGTCGGTCAGTTCGGAAAAGAATTTAGAAGCGGGCTCTGACTTATTGAGTCAGGGACTATGTCCCTGACTCGGGCTATATGGAGTCTGCACTGTAGGTTTTGAATATGTAATATAATTTATTTCCCTGACTGTCTGCAACTGCAGCGTTGGTCATAAGGTTCTCCACGTTTGTGAACTTTCTTAGGTTTACAAACTGTAACATGACTAGCATTCACCTAGCCTAGGTTAAAGTTTAGTGCCGAAACTTATCTTACACAGGTTATCATGACTATATTGTATTATACGTCTTCGTCCAACTAGCTGCGTAATCTTTTCAATTGAGCTGGATGCTACGAAGTTTTGTTTGTTTTGTCGAGTAACATAATTAATAAGCCATGCGCAGCATTAATGATCCCCCATGATAACAATTGACGCGTATAATTGAGATGAACCCCTCGAAACAGTTCTCGAATATTCCTCCCTCGTTCGACTAGCACTGTCTCAAAGACCCGTTTCGGGGATTCAAATTGGCCTCCTAATCGACATTGCATCCGGGTTTTGATCACAGTCAGTGGATAGTAAAAGGTACTAAGAGCGGCGCCGATGAATCCTCCACTGAAAAATATTATACATATTATCAATTCATACTGTAATGAGAACTACGAAATCAAAACAATATTATGTACACAATTATGGACATTTATACATAATACATACCATATAAAGTCCGTTGCTAACTTATTCCACATATGTTTGGGTTTAGGGAGAGCACTTTGAGCCTTCTCCTTTGCAAAAAAGAAGAAGATACTGGAAACAGAATTTCGAACCACAATCAAGGATGCTCCCCTGTAAAATTCTGTGATTCCATAGTTCTGTAAGGGAAACCAAAGTCAAAATTGTAAATTTGAGTAAAAGTGAATCACTGAGGGTGAGTTAAAATTACCTTCCAGATATGAGTAACAGCGTGGCGTGTGTTCGTCAACTTGGAATTGTACTTTTGATCCTAAAATATAAATTATATAACCTTGACCTTACAAAATATTATTGCGATTTCAAAGTTAGACCGGATTACATGCCTGCAGTAATACTTGCACCCTTTCAAATGGAGTTAGAATAGCTTCACTGATTCCGCTCAACCCAGCACCGGCACTTTTAGCCAGTTGAGGATTTATATCAAAATTTGATATAAAAAACCGGCCATAACTTTCATACCCTCCAAACATGATAGACATTGATATTCCCTTTTGCAGTAGTGGAGGTAAAACACCTCGGTATAATATACGAACCCCTTCTTTCTTAAGCTGAGCAAACGCCATCCTAGGCATTACCCCATGCACCATCTGTACAAAATATGTAGTTCAATTGTTAAATTTTACTTTCTCTCGAACGTTTTGTCTGTTCGTTCTCGTTTTCCCACACACCTGTCTAAACATTAGCTTCTGGAGAGGATAAGTAATGCTGACGTTGATCAATCCTGCACCAGCACCTGCTACAAATGACTGCCACATTTTCATCTCTGAGGGATTCCGATGACCTTCTTCTGGCGAAGAAGTACGGTCCTTCACCTCCATCTTGAAAAATTTATAGCTCAATCATGTGCGAACGTTTGAACAGACAATGGAATGCAGGTAGGTCTCCATTGCATATTGTACATACGACTCAAGTAAATTCCATTCCTATGTAGAACACGGAATCACAAAATAATCTGTAATTATTAATGTATGCATCTTTAAAGTAATAAGTTTACCCGATACGTGCGACATGACTTTTTTTAAAAAAGCCACAAGGACACAAGCTCGTTCGTAGTTCCAAAGAACTTCTACCCAGGTTTTCGAAAGCTGAAAGAATAAATACGTACACGCTATAATTTCATGCAATTGTGATAAATTAGTAATTTCTATCAGAGATTATAATTTTAATCTTCAATTTAGAAACGTACCCGTATTTTAAAAGTACAAAGTTGAAAAACACTATTTCAATTTTGTGAATAACGTGATTCCAAATAACACTATCGAATTCCGGGACTTCGACTTTCAACAATGGTTCGTTCGAAACAAAAAGTCGTGGCTCCAATCCGATTAAATTATTTGCATTGAATGAAGACAATTAGTGGAATAGATTTTGAATGAGATGATTGCCACTTTGCCACCATCCATTTCGCCCCAAAGGCAACGTACGAAAGCAAAAAGTTTACTTGATTATTATTACAACACGAGATTTTATAAATGCAAAATTGCTGCTAATCGTAATCTAATTTCATAATGAAAACCTATCTAAAGTTAATGTGAATTAGGGAGTTATGGTGGTTGTGACGGGCGAAGGCTTAACTGATTTAATTGACTTGAGGACCAAGCACGAACAGAACGTAGGAGCGAGTAAATTTGAAGACTATTTGTCCAAGAATTGTCGCTTTGTTTATATGCATCTGCAACCTGCTGACCCGTATGACTCGTATTTTAGAATTATATTTTATGTCTTTTTTTTGTTTGTAAATAAACTAAACTAACACTGTTCAAATATTAGGTTAGTCTGAACACAGAAATGATTGAAAGATTCACTGTTTCAACTGTGCACTAATCATGCTGACATTCGGTGAAACTATTTGAAAATCAAAATGTTTAATTAGCTCAGGAAGAAAGCTGCTAGGGTTTATGAAATGGGGACAACTTCGAGGTTTTGTTTAAAGCCATATCTTATCCGATGTCCAATATTATTACAAACCAAACTTCTAATAAAGACGGACGTGTGAGCCGTTACAATAATGAGGATTCACAAAATTATCGGGTTGGTCGTCATCGTCCTCTTGTTTATTCCCCTATTGACGCATTACTACTTGACAAAGGTACTTTTAAAATTTCATAATCAATTCATCTGATTCTTGGAACGAATTACAACAGGCTAAGCATGCATTAAATGTTGGGCAACTTGATTTCGTTACTTTCAGGTTGGAGTAGAGGAACCCAAGTCGGAACAGGACAACTCTCCATGGATCTCACAACTTGCAGATATTGATAAACTCACTGGAGCCGATCTAAAGTATCGCATAGAAGAACTAGTGCGGATAAAATACAGCGTATCAGGAGAACTTCGGGAGCTAGAAGCGAAAAGACAGCGCGTCCAAACAGATATAGCCACGTTGAATCGTCGGTTGGAAGATGCAAAGAATGAGGCTGGACGAAGGCGGAATGAATTGGATCGTTTACAAATCTCGTTGCAACAAGTAATTGCCTAATACCGAAATTGCCGAAATATAATTGTGGATGGTAGATACTCGAATTAATCAGTTGACTATAAGTATTCGTTGTTTTTTACAGGCCAGGGTTGCTGAAAAGGAAGCGATGGAAAGAAACACGCCACGAATGGGAAGACCTAAACCCTTGCCCCCCTTGCGATCCATTCCTGTTCACCCTCCATTAAATGACAAGTCCAACAATCGCTACTGTAATATGGACTCTTGTTTCGATTATTCATTCTGCCCCCTTTCTTCAAAATTCAGATTTTATTTGTACCCCTACATGTTCTCCAACTTATCATTCATTACTATACCCGATTCAAAGTCCAACGGTCCAACAAATTATCCATATTCTGGACCAACTGTGGAAATCTTGCACCAAATGTTAGCTAGAAGTCCATACACGACACGCGATCCAAACAAAGCGTGTATATTCATCATACTTGTTGACATATGTGACCCCCAAAGGCTGTCGCAGTTACGTCAACAGTTACCAAACTGGTACGGTGATGGAAGGAATCACGTAATTCTGGTAATTCATATATTAAAGTTTCATTTCATTTCAGTTTCATTCATTTTTTCAACAAGGCCAAAGTCGCTGTCACTTAAATTACTCAAATTGTTAAGAAACTGCTCCATATTTGACTACTTATTTATTTATTTACTGCTCGATCCACAGCTCGATTGTGGAATCAACTTTCGACATTTGTATACACCTGATTTTTTCGAGTTTTTTGGAAGATCTTTAATTGCAAGTGAAAATGGAATTGTTACGAGTTACCGTGATGAGTTTGATTTAGGTAAGGTTGATTTGATTAATAATTTGATTAATAAGCCCCGTTGAGAGTTGAGTAAGAAGAGAAATCAGCGGCCGTGTGTTTCAAATCACAACAATTCATAAAATTACTCCTTCATAATAGTTGTACCGAATTGGGAAAAGGCAATTCCAAGTGGGGAGATTTGGTCCCAGTTACCTCCTGTTGTCCCTGCGAAACGAAAATATCTGGCAACCTACTTGGGTAAACAATTAAACTTATTTAGTCTTGTGATATATACAAATATTAGGTGATGCCATCATTTTAAGCTGTTTGTATGATTAGGTGGAGAAGCGGACCAATTTATTCAAATTGAATTACTAAAAATTCAACAAGAAGATCCATTATCATTTGTATTTCAATTTTCATGCAACACTGTGCCATACAGAAATGCCAAAAGTGACGAGAATGAAGTTATCTCTGCTAATGGGGACGACCATAAGTCTGCAAGAAATCTCGAAAGCTATACTCAAAAGAAGCTATCTAGTCTCTGCGACAATGGTAATAAGTTTGTGTTTGTTCATTGAATCCGATACCTTCGTCCAACGTGTTCATTGATTTATATACTAGATAATTTCACTAAATACTTTTGAATATTTTGCAGATCTTTTACGCACACGACTTCTTCTCGACTCTACATTTTCTCTGATAATTTTGCCGTCTGAAGACATTGAAATTCTTAGTTCAAATATTCTTCAGCTGCGTTTGTATGAAAGTTTAAAATACGGATCAATTCCAGTAGCAATAGGCACGAGGTTCATTCCACCGTTCAGTGAAGTTATTGATTGGACAAAACTAATATTAACAATTCCTGGCTCAAGAGTCACTGAAATGCATTACATTCTCAAGTCATTTGGAGATGCAGATTTAATTGAAATGAGAAAACGGGGTGAGTAGCTACAGTCATTTGCTAAAAATTTGTCATCTCAATTAAAAAACACTAAAAACCGCATTAAAGTTATAGATTATGTAAAGTATTTATGTACAATCTAAGTAAAGCGTTAAGGAATTTTATTTCAGGTCGATTGGCATTTCAAAAATATTTTAGTACCATTGAAAATATTGCGGATACTTTCATCGCAGTATTAAGAACACGCATTGGTATACCTGCAACCCCTTACAAAGACGTTTCGTCACCAAGTGTGTTCAACGACAGCTTTGTGGTGCGTTTTATTATCTATTAAATGTTTTCCTAAGTAAAAATAGTTTCTTATATAATCCTTGATGCTTGTGGAATTTATGGGCACTAAACCAAAACTTCATTTTGACATTAAATAGCCACAGAAGCTCGACTCCTTCACTGTGGACCCCGAAGAAGAAGAAAATCTTGGACCCATGTACGTACATTGGACTACCTTACAATTCAATGAATTATTAGTTCATAAAGTATTCAACAAATTATGGAACAACTATGAATTGCAAGCCTTAATCTTTAATGATGAACTTCAGTTCGTCTTCACTTCGTCTGTTTCGTCAACTTTCATTATGATTAAATTAATAAAATACAATATTATCTGTATAATTTATCTTTTTACTTATGCTAGTGAGCCCAGCTACCCGTCCCCAGCTTTCACGAGGAATTACAGTTCAATATTTCTTCACAAGTACGAACTTTGGAACACATATTTTCAGCCCACAAAATTATATCCGTATACTCCATGGGACCCTGTAAGTAACAAAGATCTGCTAAATTTTTGATTGCTTATGTTTATTAGAAAGGATTACATTTAGGGGATTTTATTTGTTTATAGATAATGCCATCCGAAGCAAAATTTCGTGGTTCAGCTCTTGGATTTCGCCCTATTTCATCAGGAGCCGGAGGATCTGGAAAAGAGTTCAGTGAATCCTTAGGAGGGAATTTGCCAAAGGAACAGTTCACCGTCGTAATGCTTACATTTGAAAGGGAACAAGTGCTGATGAATTCACTTCAAAGACTTTTTGCACTTCCCTACTTGAATAAAGTTATAGTCGTTTGGAACTCTCCGCAACCTCCAACACCAGATCTTAAATGGCCAGATATCGGAGTTCCCGTTCATGTATAATTAGTATTAGTATTTTACATACGAATGAATGATGTGTTTATAATATCACTTTTGTTATAGGTTGTAAAAGCAGAAAAAAATAGTTTGAACAATCGTTTTTTGCCGTTCGATATAATAGAAACTGAAGCAGTATTGAGTATCGATGATGATGCACACTTACGGCACGATGAAATTGTATTTGGGTTCCGGTAAGATAAACACATTTTGTAAATGTGTACATATTATTTAGATCCATTGAAGTGAAAACTAAACCAGAAATGAAATAAGAGCTACAATCATGTTTGTGTGAATATTTTTTTGCAGTGTGTGGCGAGAAAATCGTGATCGTGTTGTTGGATTTCCTGGAAGATTTCATGCATTAGATCAGAATTTTGGAAACTGGCTTTATAATTCTAATTATTCGTGTGAATTGTCAATGGTATTAACTGGTGAGAGTCGAATTAATTTATTAAAATTTATTTATTTTAAATATTTAAAAGTTTTATCAATGCTATTGGTATTATTATGAATTATTATGCGAATTCTGTATACAATAGGGGCTGCGTTCTACCACAAAATATACTCGTATTTGTATTCGTATGAAATGCCGGCAGCTATCCGCGAAAAAGTGGACGAATTGATGAACTGTGAAGATATAGCAATGAATTTTTTGGTGTCTCATGTGACTGGAAAACCTCCTGTAAAGGTATGATTAAAATGGAGTTATTTTTTAGCTTCAAAACCAGGCAACTTTTAAATTGTGGCATACAATATTCATTATGCAGGTTACATCTCGTTGGACTTTTCGATGTCCAGGTTGTCCCGTGACATTATCGGAGGACGATTCTCATTTTCAAGAAAGACATCATTGCATCAACTTCTTTACCAAAGTATATGTTTGATTATTATATTTCAAGAGAGTCTCTCGTGTAATTTGCTTCTTTCCTAATCTAATGTTATTTTTGTCCTCTCTGTCTAGGTTTACGGATACACACCGCTCCTCTATACACAATTTAGAGCAGACTCAATTCTCTTCAAGACAAGAATACCTCATGATAAGCAAAAATGTTTCAAATACATATAATAAGCCCCTACTACATAGCTGACACTACATAGAAGCCAATTTTCCTTCCTGATATTGTGATAATTCTTATTATTACGCGTCTATATATGCCGCTGTTTTTAGATTGAATACCCACATGCAATGTAAGCGCCTGTTGTGTAATGTTTTTAAACTATATGACTACCTTAATCCTGCTTTGTATGTAATTATCGCAATTGTTTACATTTTATACTAAAACTGACAGTAAATAATTCACATGACCATAGAACAAATGTGTTTTGTATTACTGTTAGATATAGACTTTAATGTACGTTACATTTAGTAACTACTACACCTTCTTTCTGGGATACAATGGCAATTTTAGGCCTGCCTAAATTGCACACCATCCATTTTAATAAGTGTGATCAAGAATTAGTATAATCTCATAATTCTCATGAAAGGAGGTCTCGGTAGTTTTATAATACACTGTGGTTAGGTCTTGGCATCTTTTAACTGGACCGGGTGATGGTAGACAAAGAGAGTGGTTGTTGGTGGTGGTGGATTTGATTGAGCGGACTGCCAGCAGGGGCAGTGTGATGTGATGCAGTGCGAGCGGGGTTATTTTTCTGGTGGACGCTTTCCCCAATTCCAATCAGCCATCGAAAACACTGTTCGCCAAACCTTTGAAAACAACCACAAAATAATATTACCCTCCTCCTCCGCAGACCGTTGTCGCCGCCGCCGCCGCCACCACCTTCACCAACTTTCGACACGAAACGTCACGAAAGAGCACCATGAGTGGCACGGTTTGCTGCTACAAAGGTTGCACCAAAAGCTACTCCACCGACAAGGACGTTTCCTTCTTTAGATTTCCCGACGACCAAAAAAGGTAAACCCCGCACCGTCCCCACTCTACTCCTCCCACCTCTCTTGTGATTCAGTTAGGACTCATTTCAAAATTAAAACTCATGTATGTCCCGTGAAAGCTTATTATGTTTAAGTGGACAATAACGTTTTGGATGAATAATTATTAATTACGAGTCTTTAACGAGAAACAATTATGTTACATAATTTATGTCGTAACAAAAAGGACATTTAAGTCAAACGTTTACTTTTGATTTAGATTGTTTTTGTTTATCTCAGAAACAAGCACGTTCTACGGGAATCATCGCACTCTCGTTATTTCACCATGACCAACTCCATCTTCCATTAGTTAACTAATTAGTTTCAATTTACTAATTATGTTCTGTTTAATTCAGGAGAAAAAAATGGATGGACAACTGCGGTATTGCAGAACTTCATTCCCTCAATGATAGGCAGTTGAGGCTAAAACGAGTGTGTGCTGACCATTTTGCTTCTTCGTCCTTTATTTGTCCTGTTACGAGGAACCAGGTAACGGAAAAGGCCATCCCACTATCACAGAAGGAACATGAAGCCGCTGCAAAAGCTGTCAAGGAGGCACAAAAAGAAGAAGAGAAGAATCCACGGCGAGGTCGAGGAAGACCCCCAAAATTCTCCTTAGTTTTGGTGAAAAAAGAAGTAGTAGACGAGGAGGAAGATGTAGATAGTGATGAAGAAGAGCCTAACGAAAATGGAGATGTGGAATACAGCCCTCCGCCCACGCTTCGGAAGCAAACGCGAGACAGCAATAGTACCACAACCGCTGAACCAAAGACCAAGACCCCAGCAAAACCACCCAAATTGATTGCGGTCGAATCCTCGAAACAGAAGGCCGCCAAAGTGCTAGATGGAAAACTGAAACCCGTCTCCACGCTCTTGCCGGCCAAGTCTAAATTAGCAAGGACTGATAGTAGTGATACTAAAAAGCCGGGGGGCAGGCGCATGGCGGACCTCAGTGTTATTGAGGATGTGGTTAAAGAAATGAGTTTAGGGATTGAGAAATCTAAGAAAAGGCACAGTCTTTCGGACGAAAAAATTTTAAGTAAAAGGTTGAAAGCTTCCAGTTTTAATGAAGATGATATAAATTCAGAAGATGACATGTCAGATATTGATGATTCAGAAGATGAAGAGGATGAAGGGTTGGAGCGAGCGAATAGAGAGTTTGAAATGTTCCAATCGGGTTTACGAAAAATTATTGAACTTCCAGAAGCATGGGGAATGGGAGCAGTTGTTTGGGATCCATTAAATAAAATGAAGGTTATTCCCATCTCACGACCAAAGTTACAGCCGAATGGTACAATCTCATTGTTCAGAGCTATTCAGGTAATACGAAACCAAAAAATGTAATAACGTACTATTTATGTTTCACTTTTCCTGCTTTTTTTGAAGTATTTGCATTACGAGTAATGAAAGTATCGGTGCTTCTCCTGCTTATTTTATCAATATTATTTGAAATGTTCAATTTCATCCAAAGAAAGGGACCTCAAGCGTTACTTTATGATAAATACTAAATCATATGTAATTTTTTTCTTGACCTTTTCAGATTTACGAAGATTCTTCAGTTAAAGTGGCGATCGATGGGGTCGATATGACTATAAATTTTAAAGTGAAATCCATTGATTGCGAGGGGGATGTAAATAAAATCATCAAGGCCGTGGCTGATTCTAGAGTATGTACTGGAGTAGAAAATTTCCTTCCGGACGACATTATATACCTGCCAGATGCAAGGAAACGCGGCTACAAATATTATTCCGATGCATGCCCTGTCGTTATTGATGAAAATGTTAAAGGCAGTGTGTGCAATCCTTGCATAGGTTTACAGAAGGCTGTGTTGGCCAGAAAGGAAAAAGAGAAGGATGAGGTAGCGACACGAAAATTGAGGTGAGCTTCATAAAGCAATTCGAAACGTAATGTACCCAAATTTCTCATATGCTACACAATTACACGTCATTTGCAGACCTGTGCCGAAAAACTTGAAAAATGACTTTGGACGAGCACTGTATGGACTCTTATACGAAATATTAGACGATTCTAATGCACTTAAGTCAGAAAAGAAACAAGATCGAGAAGCTGTTCTGAGCAAATACTCGACAGAGCTTGGTGTATTGAATGGAGAAATTCAGAAACCAGAAAAACTACCTCACGTTCAAGTATCTGTCGATGATGTATCTGCTAGTTTCCAGGATATAGTAACCAGACTAGGGTTCTCACTGGTAAGTAATTAGCTACGAGGTATTTAGAATTTGTTAAAGGTGAATTAAGTTAATGTTCACTTTTAAATGCAGAACAAAAAACCTGGACCTGGTGGTGCACCAATAGTTCCAACCCAACCTCAGGCACCTAAACCACCTGTAGCAAGACTAGATGATAATAGGTCATTGTTTGCCAGCAAACCGTTTTTAAACAGATTTAACAGGAATATCCCTGCTAAACCCAGTACAACAACTTTCACACAACGTACAATGGTCCCAATGGGTTCATCAGCATCCGCTTCTATGTCCAATAGCACTACCAGTTTTTCTTTAGGGGATGGACAAACTTACGAAATCCTTGGGGAAGTGGGCAGCAGTGAAATGGTCCAAGGGACAAAGGGTGAAGCCATTGAAATAATTGAAGTTGATGACGAGACCATGGCGAAACTTACCGCCCAAAACTCAGGAATGATGTTTCAAAACTCTGCATCTGGGTCGATACAAGTGGCCACTCTTGACCCTTCGGACCCAAATATTAGCCAGATCCTTAAGGCGATAAACCCATCACAGGCATAATACGCAACATTATGATAATGCACAGATATAGTGTCAGAGTAGTGAAAGCCAAGGCACTACACAACAAGCATTATATGTGTAGGTATATATATACATTATGATTACTGGCTATTATAATCGTATTCGTAGAAAGGAACTTTCAATGCCTTGTTTTACAAGTTTCATCTTAAATTACACAGCAAAACCAGAACCGGAGTTTAATGTCGGTTTTTAAACATAATAAAAAGTGCTTCACGTGTTTAAATATTCTAACATAAAAATAACGACAGTGTAATAATTCTCAGTACCTTGTGCATATGTAAATATGATAAATATTATTTAAATGAAATAATTTGTTAAAATATTGACATATATATCAAGAAGTTAGATACAAATCAAGTTTTAGGTTTTAGATAAATATAATGAACAATTAACTATTAAGTTGTTTTAGCTGATCCATGTTCTGAATCTGAGATTTATATTTCTGCTATTTTCTTGGTTGTCATTTCACCAGCTTATTCTTCAAGAAGTTTATTAAACTGAATTTGTCCTGAAACCTATTTTTTACCATGTATAAGTGTAAAAGAGCTATTTTTGGCCACCATTGCTATTTTTCCTCCACTATCAACGATTTCTATTTGTTGCATTTATTTGAATAATATATATGCATAAGTGCATCACATTAAGAGTTGGAACAATAGTGATGCAGATCAGCCCGTTTGCAGGCAGATTACTAGAAGACTTTCCCTTTCACTCACTTAAAAAACTAATTAGCCAACAATCGTCGCCATCATCGTAACATTCATATCTGTATGTACACGCCAGTGTAAAACTGCCTACAGGTTTCGGATAGTTGTATGAATCTCAATGGTCTTTTATTTTGTAAGAGATTTTTTATATTAAATTTAGCCACACAAAAATAATCAAATAATTGTGAGCTTACTAAAATCTCTAAATCTATTATTAGTGGTGGCTGACCATGTTACAAAATTATGGTCATCTACTAGTGGGAATTCCACTATTCCACTCATTAGTTTGAGAATAAACAGCGCATAATGTATTACTGGACTGAGGAGGATGTTTCCAATTTATCCTAGCTGATGAACACATATTAAACATCCCTCTGCCTATTTAGTGGCAATGGGTAATAATAATGTTCCAATAACTCCAACCAAAAGCCAGTAGCACGCCAGTAGGAAAGTAATTACCACGGGTGAGCATTTGGATTCAATGTCATGGCCAAGGATAATAATGCATCAAAATTTTCTTGTTTTTCTCATCCACTGCAATATCATCGTTCTCATCGTTCTACAATTGCTCACACAAACTCGCTTACCTACATAGTTTATTTGCACGCTCATTAAATTCTGCAGTCTGATTTGCTTGGATTCAATTCAACTAAATAAATATCTAGAGTTCTGACGCAAAGTGTCAGCCAGAATACAGATAAATATCTGAATAGGTATACAGTCAACTACCAGCTAACAACACAGAAGAATGGAATCCACTTGGCAATACACAGGATATAAGGATACAACTTGAGGAAGTGTATTGATTTCAATAAAGCAAGCAAGTTGGGTGTTCCAGTCTTTGTACATAAATTGTAACCCCTTTTGTCCAGAGAGCAACAAGCAAAGTTAACTGATTCCTGGACAGGGCAAGAAACGGGAAGTGGTCCAAGGATTAAAGGGACTTGTTCATTGTGATTCAGCATAAAACTAAATGTAACAAAGTTTGTGTGTAAAAGAAAATCTGAGGATGAGTTGAATGTAGGCCAGCTATTCTCTTAAATCTCACCTTACACACTTCCTCTAATCTCAAAGCAGTTCGACCTATCTGTGCATCCCAATTGATCTCAGGTTGAGTTGACTGCATTGAACTCTAACTGCACGGTTGGCTATGCAACATGACTTCGTTTTAATGCTTCATTACACATCCGTCTATTTACTTACTTATATTTTTAGAACACACAGAGAAAAGATTTGGTTGAGATCAGTGTTGAGATCACAAGTTTTGGTGACAAAGGGATCTGGGCTGCTGAGTTGAAAACGACTTTGTCAGTGAACAAAGGAATATACTACTTTCTGAAAAGCTTTCCATAGACTGAGTGCAATGTATTTTTGAGTGAATAGGGCGATGACGTCTACATAAACTTTAAGTAGATATTGTTGTATTGGGGACTTATTTTTGCATGATATACGACGTGTATTGTAGAAAGGGGATTCATTGCTGTAATCATCATTTGGTAACAAACATATATCTTGCAGTGTCAGTTTACTTCGAGGACCAGGTTGATTTGATTGTAGAGCTGGTCAATTTAGCTAGCAAGTGTTGACCATTCACCAACCAACATAATCTGCCAAAGTGTTAAGCAACAGTGGTTTATACATCATTACTGCATCTTGTGTTGTTATTAATCATTATTACATATTGAGATGTTTTGTGCTGAAGAAACTATACTACAAATAAACTAAATAATCATTTTCTAATAATTGAATCATTCCGGAGCTCTGATACGAATTTAGGATCGTATAAAAATTTGCGGAAAATAGCAGACACTGTTAACTGTACACACATTGATCAAAATGGGAACCAGAGTGATAAAACTGCTCGTGCATTTCACAGTTCTCTGCATTTTATGCAGTAACTCGAATGCTGAGACTGATTTCGAAGACGGGAAGTTTTTTATCGTCAGCAGCGTGGCTACTGGGAAGGTAATGAGCATCCGAAAGAGCGATACGAATCGATTATACTTACAGAAGTTTATAAAAGCATTTTTCATATTTTTGAAGGCAATGACATTGTCCGGAGGACCCACATTTCCAAAGGGAGCGTCTGTTGTCACTTCAGCTTGGATTGCTCGAGACACCCAAACCTGGCTGGCCCTTGCAGAAAGTTCAAAGAAAGAAGGACGCGTGATTGGGGGGTCCAAGAAGTTTGTTCTAATTCCGCAGCAACAAAGTTGGAATTGGAAAGATTTCGTGAGCAATGGAGATGTTAACATAACACTGGAAACGTTGCCACCAAACACAATGGTCCTCACCTTGGACTCTACGGCAGTGAATCTAACACAGGAGGTAAAGTATCTCTAAATATATCTTTTGAAAGATTATAAGCTATAATTCTATATGTTGTTTTGTCAGGTTTATGCAGACGAGTCCAGTCAGAAATGGGTTGTAGAGGACGTCGGTGAAGGGGAAGTATTGATCAAAAATTGGGGCAATCAACAATGCATTCGAAATTTTGAGTAAGAAACTTGACATTAATTTAATATGTGAGCATATAGTTTGGGTTTTGGAACAATTTTTACTTGTCTAGTCACAAAAATTTGAACTTTTTGGAAAACATAAGGAAAAGGATTGACAATTTTTTTGGCGTCTTTAGAAAAAAGTATGTATCTTATTCATTATTATACTTATCTACTTGATGTTCAACAAGGAGTTTTCAACTCTGCGTAGAACTCCATTGACCAATTATTCAAATAAATACCGTAAATGTAAATCATATTATAGGAAACCTTCTCCATTGGGAACTTTGGCATGTGCGTCAGAAGATATATCAGAAAGATGGACCTTGGAACCTGCTTATGTTCTCAATTTTAAGAGCGGATAGTTTTATCATGATGTTGAATTTGAGCATAAGTTCACAATATTAAGGATGTACAAATAGAAAACATGAATACACTATTTATTTTACTTATTTAACTAAACTTAATCAAACAATCATGAATGGCGATCACCTATACAATTTTGATTACTTTAATTTATTTTCAAATCCTCGGGAACAATTCAAGTATTGTGGATGTGCAAGAATGTGCTATGCATTTCTTTCGTATGTTTAACTGACTAGACAAAAGAAACTAAATTCATATAAAACATGCAATTATTAGAGCAGAAGATGCAAACCAGACCAAGAGTACTACAAAGCTCTTTTCCATATTTAGCGTGAGGCAGAGTGAGATTCGGGTTCTGGTGGGTATCCGCGATTATCGCGCGTCAGTGCCGTATCCGTCTCACTTTGCCGCGCTCACACAATCATGCGTCTTATTTAATTAAGTATACTGGGTTATCTAAATGTTGTCTTATTAAAATACAAAAAACTTAAATGTTGGTATATCCCTCATTAGCCCTCGTTTGTTACGGCACTTGCCGTATAAGTCACTCCCACAGACACTTTGACCCCAAAAATCTCATGGTCCCAGGCATTTCTCGTCGGGCAACAAAAGCTGAAAATGTAGCCCTTCATAAGGAGAAAATTCTGGCATCAGGTTGTCAGACTGAAAATGGCTGGGACCATGACTTTTTTAAGGATTTATGTGTATGCAAAAAAACCGCCAATTTTCGAATTTTGAAACTCTTGATGCATCAAAATGTTCGTTTTCCAGGGGGAAGTCAAATTGCAAATGCAACTTTGGGTCTTATTCTTTTTGTGCCGAGTGTACATTGACTTTCTCATTTTTCACGATTTCCTTTAACAATTTTTGAAGGGGGGGTGGTTGCATATAATTCGAAAAGACCTATGGTATATTGATGTTTCTACCCGAAAATAAATTTTGGATTTTTTCTGGGAAATTCGGTGAAATCGACGCGAAAAGAGCTTGTACTTTTGGCTCATTTTGCACCAGAAGTCATGACTCATCTCAATCATAATTATGTACATATGTACACAATGATATAGATACCTTAACAATGTGGCGCAGAGGTTCTTCATGAAAGAATGTGAGGTGTAATTTGAAATATTAGATATCCACTAAACTCACCAATGTCTAAAATTATGGAATAGCTGAAACTTTAATGGCATGTACATAAAAATGATTTCTGAACATATGTACATGTCAATTCAATGTCAACTTGCTCAGTCACACCCAAAATGCATCAAAATTTTGTACATATTTAAATCTACGCCTCAATTTAATCATTCCATAAATTACATATATACGTTCCAACACCCAATAATTGAAGATGCCTCTCCATCTATTTAATTACTCCAAAGGAAGATCAATATTTGCTAAAATTTTCGTATTGATTACTGAATGTGTTCTTGGAACTGAAAGGCAGTGAAAGGGCAAATGAGCTGACCCAAACATACATTTACATTAAAAGCAGTAGGAAGTGTGGAGATGGAGACAGTTTATTTTCTTTATATGTAAATACGTTATTATAAAAAGTAATAAAATAGTATGTGGTATTTACTCAAAATAATTTACATGCTCCTGTTGTTGCACTATTATGAGTAACCTGTGTTTATGTATGTATTCACTTATGCTTCTTGACTGTGATTATATGTAATACTTTATTTACTTGTATATTTAGCTTGATAAATTAAACCTGGTTCTATCAGCAGCAGTGGTATTCGTGTGATTTTTGGCCTCCACTGCTTCATCCGATGACACATTACTCAATTCTAACAATTTGTACCTTTCTATGAATTTTAAAGGGATGTCCAGCCTGTCCAAGTGGCGTTGCCTTGTCAAAGGATCTTGATGTCGCAAACTTTGAAGTTCGGATCGGATGCTATCGATATCAACTTCAACTGTTTTTGATTTGTCTTGCAAAGGTGTTTCGCTCCCAAGAAAAATTTCGACCTCAGATTCCTTAGGGTTATCCGAGTCGAATATTTCGGGATGTTGGACGTCCATCTCTTCCTCCCGAACAGACTTGGTCCTCACGACCATGGACGTGTATTGCGTAATCAGTCCGTTCTGCAATGCTATCTCTGTCACTTTCGCTTTAATTCGCTGCGCCTCCAACTTTCCTTCTTTCACGTCGTCGTCGTCATCGCTTGTTCGCTCACTTTCTGTTATGAGAACCTCTTGTGTCAGTTTTTTGAGCGTGAGATAAACAAAAAGCTTTTCAACACATTTTTCGTCAAATTCCATTTCATCAGAACAGCTTCCAGCCACACTGCAGTCCTTGATGGGAATTCTGAAATTCCGCATTCCAGTTCTTCCAACCGCACCCACTGACGCATTTATTAAAACCTGACCAGTCTTATTAACTCCCTGCCATTGGTTTAAACGTCCTACGACTATGATGTCCTGGCCTTGGATGGCCATGGAGTATCCGGAAGTAACGATGGATGGTGAAGATGGGAAATGTCCAGAATCATATTTGAAAGACAAGTTAGCCAACACAGGGGAGGATATTTCCCTGTAGAAATTGGCTAATTGAAAACTTGGGTCTGCATCCTCGTATATCTTTCGAGCAAAGGCACCGTTTCTGGTTGACAGATTTGTCAAGAAAGAAAAATCGGCAGATTTCCCAAAGGCCAGTGAAAATATGGGAATGGACATATTAAAATTTAGAATTTTCACTTTGGTCAATATGGCTCGCTTGTCAATGATTCCAGAAGTTGGCTCTCCATCAGTAAAGAAAATTATGATGGACTGAACACCAGCAGGAATTTTACTGCTCAAAGTGGACTTGTAGCCAGAAACTCGCCCACGCTGGTACCGTTCAGCTTTTGGGGGAGTCGGAGAGTGAACTGGGGACACATTTCTTGCAATTTCCAATCCTTCACGTAGTGCTTCATTCATATTTGTAGACCCGTGGGGATCAATTTTGGAAATAAAGTGCCTCGCCTCGTCTTTGCACTTTGCGTCTGCCGGAAATGGAAAAAGTTTGTCGCTGTCCTTACCATGAAAGCAGGACCAAACCTGAATTAAATTATAGCAAGCAATGTTATAAATTGTATTTTAGATTTTCACATAATTGGAGCAAAATAGTAATTACATGGGCCTCGGATGAAAAAGTAACAATGTTGAAAAAATCGTCTGGATTCAACTCGTCCAAAATTTCTATCATCGCAGAAATTGTTTGATTCATTTTTAAGCCAGTCTAAATGAGAGAGAATGACTATATAATGGATCAAATTGGCAATTGATTGTTATGGATCATAAGTTTATCATCATTTTTACCATTGAGTCTGAAATATCCAGTATGAAAATAACATGTTTCCGTAACGGTTCTAAGTCAGTGGGTGCAAAGAAGTGGACAAAATATCCGTTCAGCAGCTGCATAATAAGTAAAAATCCAATCATACATGTAGTGAACCTCATATCATAAATTATAATATTCACTATCTAATAAGATGTACCAGGATGTGACCAGTCGAAATTTCATTTTCCAAAGAATACGTGACAATGAATTCGCTTTTAGGGTAGCTCCACATTCCATCTTCAACATTGAAGTTACTCCATAAAACGGTGGCTTTTGAGCTTGTCATTTTGACTGTAGCATTGTGACTCGCTGCAGAATTAATTATTTTTTAAAACTAATTAGGATATCTTGATTTGAGTATAAACCTACAATATTCTTCATTCAACGGAACTTTGATTGACGTGAGTCGTAAATTTTCCTCAATAATTACTTCAACACGGAACTTGATTTTATTCGTCATCTGAAAACAATGCATTCCGAATAATCATAATTTTCATTTAAATATATTTAAATAGAGTTAAAAAATTTATTTTACATATTCGGGAACTATGTAGATGACAGACTCGTATTGGTTGTCAATTCTAGGTAACCGTTCCTCGTAAATCAAGCTGAAGATAATTTTCTTGTTGGCCCCAATGACCAACTTGAGCAATACCTCGTTGAAATCCAACTCTCTTGAATTTATAGAAAAATAACTTATAAAAACAATAAAGTCTCACGAAAGGTGTTGAATGATAAAGATCATTTTGTGAGGACGTACGATTGTTCAAGAAGACCCAATGTAACCGACTTTCCTTCCCCCACTGCAAATTGCAACATTTTTCTAGCATCCTCTGCTTTCACGACTTTAGCACGATACACTTTCGGATCAGGGTGAATTCTCCTGAATTAAAAATGCAATAGTTTCAACATAGTTTCAATAGCTGAGAATCGTTAATTATGTTTACATTTCAAATCATACATTTCAAAACGTGATATTATGGATTCATTGGGGATACGAAGAATATAGGTCACATTCTGTGCCTTTTTTTCGTCCGGATTCACAATTTGTGATGTAATTCTTGTCCTCGAAAATCGAAATCGAATTTTTGTTTTGACGTAAATTGATTCAATCTTTGGTTGGAATGCCTGGCAAAAATGAAACAATTTTTATATGTATGTATAAATTTAATTTTTAAACATTTCTCAATTTTTAATATCATTAGCTGAACCTCTTCATTTAGATTAATAATACTGCTTATTTCCTTGGATGAAAACACTTCAACATCATCGTCAGGATCAGGGTTGTTAAACTCTGAGCATGATAATCCATGTATGCAAAATTGAAGTGCAACGAACAAAACTATGTTTCTTTGTACATTGAAAAGGAACATTGTGTGTGAGTCTAAATACTACTTATTCGTGGTTTATCTTGTTAGTTCTTCGTAATCCTAATAACACTTGAGTATCATCTAATGATAATTAGCACCACGAGGACTGTTCAACGTGCATTTTGTTCTTTTATGAATGAATAAAGTAGTGCAATCGTTGGTACGGTTGATACACTGACAAAAGGTGGCACTCATTTTTATGCTAATAAATACAACCGTAATATTGTTAATTTTATTAACTGAATTGGAAGACGTCTTATCCACTACTAATTTACATATAGTCAATCGGCTCGTGATCCGCAACTAATGGTTCACTGTGCAACATTCCAATATTCGCAATTTGTTATGGCATGGCCTTTTTTGGGGAAGGTCCTCAATTAACCATTGATGATAGTTTCTCGTTAAAGGAAGTGTGGTCTGAGGAGAAGATTAGCTCAAAAAAGTTGGTATACATTCTGCTGTGGCTTTACCCACATAATGATTTGATAACTTACAAAAATGAAATGCAGAGTTCCACTGCCATTTATTACTGATAAGCACTCTGGAAGCAGGTCATAGGTCAGTAAACCCGCCAATAAGTTATGCATGGATGACCTCTAGTGTCCTAGTAATATGCACACACGTACGCATCAGAATACTTGATAGTTACATACAACATATGCATGTGCTAACATTTATTTTCCATGAATTCTATGTTTTATCAAGTTACACATTCATGTCGAATATTATTATGGCCAATAAACAAAGTGCAAAAAGGAAAATACTTCAAACAAGGTCTGCAAATTTTCTTCAAGACATATTGTTGAAAATTATTTTTCCTTCCACATATTGTATGTACATATCGGAAAATAAGTGTCTTGCGGTTGCTGGTGAATTTGCTGACGATGAATTAAATTGTTCTCCTTTCTTCATTGATGGATGAACAAGAATTTTGCATATTCGACAAAAAGATGGAACCTTTGGTCCTCTTCATGATTTATATACGTAGCTATCTGAATTTGCATGCTAACATTCTCCAATTCTCATTACACTTTAAACTCCCTTTGAGTAAGGTTTTAGTTTATTTCAGTGGATATTTTCATAAGTTAAGAAAAGTCTAAAGTAAATTAATATTTAGTGTCAAACATGCATACAATCCTTACATTATGCGTGCTTGGATTTGTCTTTGGGGGATGTCCAGCGTCTGGCAAACGAGAAATGGTTACTAGTAAATATTTGAAGCGTTGACTAATAAAATTGTAGCTGACAAAATTTATTAAATTTTGTACAGCTTGTGGGAGGTCCAACGATTGAGAAACCTGTAAATCGTGATGTTCGTCAAATGATGGAGAAGCTTAATCCTCAGCTCGAGGAGCAACTCTCGAGTCGCAGTGAAGGACATCTTTTGTGGTCCAGCTCTCCGTTGAAGGCCATTTCGTACAGGTCACAACTCGTTAACGGAAATATCTACTTCATCAAAGTTCGAGCTCAACTTGGAAGAACATTCGTCTACTACCATGTCAAAGTGTACCAGGATTTCAAAGGAAACTTGAGTCTGGTAGGGATTGAAGGCCCAATGCGAATTGATGATAAAATCGGAGTATTCTAATTCCCACAATGAATCAACAAACTCAACAATATGCGGTGGATTAAATTATATTAAATTCTTGGGCAAGCTTAGCCCAATAAAATTTCTCAACGGAAATATAATTGATTTTGACTAAGAAATGTTTAATAAATGGATTTTTAATCAATTAAAAACCTCTCATAAGCCCTGGTTCGGGCTAAAAATTAAAATTTCGCAGAGATCATCAACTTCTTGTGATATTATTGCATTTGATTTTACACTTTCATATCCTAAATTGCATACTTGAATAAGTTTTATGATTTTTATGGGAGCATGAACGGTGTTGCTGTAGTTTGCTGGTTAGATTCCGCGGAAGAACAGCAGACGCCAACATAGGAAACATTTGACCTGAGCGTAAATAAGAGTTTCTTGTTAAAATCTCACATTCACTACATTCGACCATAGTTAATACAATTTGTTTTAGGACTTTAACTTACGTGGTGGTAGTTTGAATAGGACAGAAATAAGAACTTTTAAACAGCCCAAAATCTGCAATAAACTCATTTTGGACGCAATCCCTTAAATGAAGACATTGTCCAGTTCCTTCTTCGTTGATACTGCATTCTGATTTTTGCGAAACTGCAACCTAAATAAACACAACAAAAACTACGTCGACTAGGAGTTTGCACATATTGCTTGTCGCGTGGACTTGACACGTACCGTGGTATCAACAGCAATGGTGTAGTCAGTCTCATTGATCTGAATAAAGGAAGGATTGCTACTGTTTGTGATCCATTGAATGTCCTTCAAGGTGAGGTTTTTTGAAGTCGTTCTTTCTGTAAAGTAGGTCTCTCCTTCCGTCGTTTCTACAGAGGTCACCTCATAATCCGCTGTCAATATGGCTGTGGAGAAGAATGGTGCTGGAAAGGCGGAAGTTGGTCTTGGTCCTATTACATACATGCACAATTGGTTTTGTAAGTTCAACGGTCACATAGGGTCAAATATTTGGTCTTAACAGTTGTCAACCTACTGTGGGTTGTTGTGAGTGGGTGACCATAACCTGCAGGACGTCTTCGAATGGACGAGTACAAAGGTTGGTGCATTGCTGGCGATCCACCCACAATGCGGTTCGCCAAGCCTCCTCCTTGCAGACTCAAAGGTTGTGGTTGGACTACAGCAAAGTAATGCATGCTTTGTGGTGCTGTTCAACGATTAACGTAGACTTGTTTTATATAAGCCAATTAAGCCAAGACAATTTTTGCATAAATATCATGCACAAATTTCGCCGTAAAAACAATGAACACTTACACGAAAGGCTGTCTGCGGTGTCAGATGTTGGGGCATCCGCCGGGACGGTATTTGTCACATCGCTGCTGTTCGGTTTTACGACCACAAGAGACGTAAATGGAGTAACGAAGCCATACTAAACAAATTAAATGATTTATTTTATAACTTGAATATTAATGCATAGTAATTGTGCTACTATACCTTCAACGCCAATCTAATAGCGTGTTGCTTAGACGTCTCTGGTTTTGTATTTTCCGTTGTGTTTGAAGATGAGTTTGATACCGTTTGCGACTCTGGACCCATAGTTGATGAAACAGGGTCAGAAAGACTTGAATCTGCAGGAATCTCATTATTTCTCGTATCCTCATTTTTCAGATCCTGCTCAATTAGTTGTTGAATAGTTAAATAAGCCCAAAGTCGTTCAAGGAACTTGTCTTCTGCAGTCGGGGGTGAAGTTGGTCTAGGTGGAAATGGTGGACGAATAATATCATCACGGTCAATTGGGTGACAGAAAATGGGAGGTGGCTTAAAGCTAACGACTCCATCTCGGCCAGATGCAATTATTCCAACATCCAAGATGTTTTTATTGGATAGAATTAGTGTCTTATCATCAAGCGGGGCGTTATCAGCAAGTGGTACTGTGGAATTAGAGTTGGATGTTGTGTTTTCATTTATCGTGCTTAAAATTGTAGTGGTTCCTTCAGTTGCTTGCTCAACACCATCATCAAATTCGGACGTTTCAGTTTGAGCCAAAGGAACAAGGCGTCCTGCGACGGCAATTTCTGTTCCGCCAAAAACAGTTGGAAAAGCGGTTACTGTTACATCCGTCACGTTGTGTTCTAGCGATGTGTAATTAAACATAACATTGGCCAAGAGAGGAGAAGCTATTTCATTGTAGAATCCTTTAAGTTGCAAGGCCTATAAGGGGCGGGAAATAATATTTGTTACGCATGTAGCAAAATGCCTGAAATTAAGATTAATTTTAAAATGCACTTAAATTTCTTAAGTTCGACTTACTGCATCTGAGGCTTCGTAAATTTTTCTGGCAAATCCATAGTTTTGAAGTGATAGTTTTTTTAAAAAGGGGAAATCTGCCCCTTCTCCAAAACCAAGCGAGAAAATTGGGAGAGTGAGATTCTTATTGGCAGCTTGAATAAGCTCGCGAATGTAGGGTGGGTCGGTCACCCCCACGGTTGGCTCTCCGTCTGTAAGAAAAATGATGAGGGACTCGACATTTTTGGGGAGGATTGTGTCTGGGAGAACTCGTCGAATAGCTGGCTTTCTGCTTGTGGTGCTAGATGTTGTCGTAATGTCGATCTCAGTGACAACCTCTTCCGCGGACGAGTTGCTGCTCATTTTCACAATTTCCACCATGGCAAGGGGTTCAGGGAGCTCTTCTTCAATTTCATCGGTTGATGGGAAAACCCCATCCCTTGCGAGTTTAACCGTAGAAGTAAGGTCGATGGCGGTGATTATGGCATCATGAATGTTTGTTCCTCCACTTGCGATTAAGGAATCTATGAAAGCTTTGGCCTTCACAATGTTTTCGGGAGTTGCGGAATAAGGTTGTTGCTTTTCTGCGCTTTGCTTTTTTGAAGAGCTTGACAAAAAGGAGGGAGGGTACCATCCAGAATGCTTCGTGCTTGTAGTATCCTTGGGTGACCACAACTGCGAAAGAATTTAGTTATATGACATAACTTTTGCATATAATAATATCCAGTGGTCGCCAATGTGAGACAAAATTGCAATGAAGTTCTTACAAATACGTCTCCGGAGAAAGTGATTATGTTGAAGAAATCATCTGCATTCAGATCATCCAGAATTTTTTTTTGCGCTTCTTTGAGTTGTTCCATTTTTCTTCCCCACATGCTGCCCGAGATGTCCAAAATGAATACGACATGTTTTCGCAAAGGCTTCAAATTCTCTGGAGCAAAAAAATGCACAAAATATCCTTCCATGACCTGCAAAATTCATATTGCTTCAACTTTTTTTTATAAATACTTATATTTGGACAAGTCATCTCTTTTATTATCTAAACCAGATTAAACAAATCAACACACCAGAACTTCTCCAGACGTGGAGTCCCTGTTGATGTCATATTGCACGACAAATTTTCCACCAACGCCTTGCTCGGACAGTTTTTCTTGGTCATCTAAACTAGGAGACCATGAAATATTGGCTTTGTTGCCGTCTTGGACTATTATTGCATCTTTGTTATCTATTTGACAGCACGAAGTCACAAATTAATTCATTCGCATAAACTCTAGCTAAATAATTAATAATACAATGGTACTTAAGGTTGTTAGTAAATTAGTATGCTTACTTCCTTGCATGTCAGATACAGATTCAATATCGTTTCGCAAATTGGGGACTCGCAAAAATGTAATATTCTGAGATTCTTCAATGTTGACCACAATTTGGAAATCTTTAACGGACTTCACCTTCAAATCATATGCAAAGATATTAAACAGCACGAAATTGTAATGCATATAAACAAAGAATTTATATATGTAGCCTGATTTAGTTAATGTAATTATTCGACGTATATATAAATACCTGATCGGGTACGATGTTAATTACTTGCTCGTATTTTCCAAGACGTCGAGTCAAGAGTTCCTCGTATGTCAAGTTGAAAGTTACTTTTGACTGTTGACGAATATTAACGTTAACGTTGAATGTGTTAGAGTTCCTGGTGCTAAATTTAACAAATAAAATAATAATATATGTAATTAGCCGAGCTTCCCTGTCACGCATGCAACAATTAATTTTAGTATACAAAAAAGTAATAGCATGGAAAAATCATGGGCACGAATTTCACTGGACATGGACCCTACATTCTATTACATATGTACATATATCCATGTTCATGAAAAATAGTTGTTTATAGCCTGTCGCGTGATGTATAATTACGTTGTCCCATGGGCTTCGAAGGAATAAGGTCGCAAATAAACGCTAAATACAGCAAAGTCATCTTTTCCATTAAACTTTTTGGAGCAAAAACTTCATTGTATTTTCCCATCTCTCCAATAAAACGGAGGAGCGACAAGTTATTTATGAGACGCGATTGCGATGCGGTCACGATTGGTGCCCATCTTCTGCTCACCTTACTTCCACAAGTCCAGCCGAGTGACCTTGACTCTGAGCTTCAGAGTAAACCTTTTTCGCTTCTTCCTTTTCTTTCACGTAGGCTTCGTACTGCTTCCCATCAATTTCCCTATTAAATAAATGCACTACTTTATGGTCACTCAATTTTACGAAGGCTTTGAGTTCCACATGGAAGAATCCAGCTTACATGATGAATTTGGAGATGAAGGCAGTTTCAGGTAAAATCACTCTGAAAATTGCAAGGAAACCCAAATGTCTAATATTGCGATAAAGTGGGGATTGCGATAGAGGAATACAAACAAATACCTGAAAGATACTTCTTGAGACTTGGAATCCCGATTGGCAACTCGTGATGTGACGTGCGTCGTGCAATACCGGTATTTTATATCAGATTTAATCTTAAAGGAATAGATTTCCGGTTTTGTAGACTGAAATTTTAATTAATTCTAGAGTCATTTTCTTGTATTTTTTTGTAAAAAGAGGATTGTGTGCATATTGTATCTGCCAACCTTGATTTTTGCCATAGGAGCTGACTCCATGAACGAGGAAGTCACCGCCGGCTTATCGTCGATACTTAAGTTATTGTTCGTGTCAACCTCCCAAGACTCAAGTAAAGAAGGGGCCACCGTGGTGGCATCCGTCGCCGAATCCTCCGTCGTGGTAATGACTAAAACTTGAGTACCACTTGAAACCCCATGAGCTAAACTTGGAGCACCGCTTCCCGATTTGAGCAACATTCCCAAAAACACACAAATTGCAAGTCCCTTATTAAGAACACCTTCCCCCATTTTAAGACTATACATAGTGGTACTTTTTACAATTACGCAATATTAGAAAGTAAATAATAACGCACAGTTGTGAACCTAAATATTAGGATAAAAAGTATTTATGTTAGATGCACACAAACACAACTACACTGCTGCTACTGCTATTAAATAACAACACAATTTCATTTGCTTTAGTTAGAGTCCCCGTTTCTCACCGTTGATGAGCGGACAAGGTTCTTTTTGCGTCTGAGATGAGACCTGTAAGAATTGCACCTTTATACCATGATGCGTAAGTAACAATGCCAAGTTGATTCTGTTGATGCCTGCTTAATGTCAAGTATGTAGCTTTATTACGAGTAGTATTGTATTTAGTCGGCGACCATCAGTTGTTGTTTTGGACGTACGTACAAAGACAGGCTCGAATGTCTAATGAGTCATAATTTTCCAATAAGAGCTGCAGGCCCAAACAAAATATTTCTTCAGCCATAATCCGGTTAGCGAAATATGCATGCATGAAACTTCATAGAACTTGTTGACTAATAACTGATCAACTGTAAGACGAACGGGTTAATGATGAATATTGTTAATGGTCAATCAGCATGTTGCCGTGTATTAAACTAGGATAATGCCATCCCAGTTTTCTTAGTATAAGCGACATAACTACTAAATATGTAACTGTCGTACATGCATGTGAATACATACATCATACATATTTTACCATGGTCAACTCTTGTGCATCATCGTTGATGTAATGCATTTCCAATGAATGAGATGTTCGTGAAATGAGGATGATTTATTTATAGTATGAAATTAATCAATTCCAGCAAAAAAATATCACACTCACACTCAGAAGCGAAAACAAGCTGGAGATCAAAAATGACCTTTCCGTACTTCGGCCTATTTTATAGAGTTAATAAGTATCTAACACTGATCTGTTCATACATTTAAGAGTCTGCTAGTGCAAGTTATATATTTAATTAAGTAGAATATACATAAATGCTTGCATATTCTTAATTTTAATACATTATAAAGATGCGATAGAATCATTGATTGCTACATGTATGTATTTAAAGCATAATAAAATTTAATCCAATCAGCATCCATTGTTGGATTTCCAAGATGTGCATATTATGCATTTAATACTCCTCACAGTCCTCACAAGCTATCAGATTTAGTTATGCAATTTGTCTTCATCGCCGTGAGCCCCCATTGTATTGAAATTATTGCAATACAAATAAATATATAATGATCCTCTTCAATAATCGTGACTTGATTATTGTATACTCAGTCATCTACATACGTCATACTCTTGAAAATAATTTCAGAAAAAAGCCTGACGTTCATGCAAGCAATGTTTGCATGCGTATCTGGATGAAACATTTCCAGGAATTTTTCCTTGGCAGGATAATTTTCTTTGGAATAAAACTTAAAAAAAAATACTTGTAATTTTCATTGTAGTTTAGAAAAAAACATCCGGGAGTGGCCACGCGGTGTAAAGTCGTAGAATAAGAGAAAAGTTAACTCTTGATCGATTTGCATGCAAATGATTTCAAATTGCCAATGGTGTCTCAATTCTAAGCTGATTTAAACTTGGATTAACCCTTCCGTAGAGAACATTGGAGGCATTTAAATTCTACCGACAACTATTTGTGATCTAACCAAACTCACATATTTACCTATGAACTTGCATGAACCGGCGTTGGTTTATAATGCTATTCTCTAGCAATTGACTGCTAAGTCGTACACTGAACCAAAACAAGAGTCGCGAACCCGAATCTTCGAAGAGTTACTTGACCAAGCAATAACCTCCCCGTCTCATCTTCCCGTCCTTTTCACAAGGCGAATACTCTAACTAATACACAGTGGTTCATGTTGGGATGAACAACTATTTGACTCACTGACGAATGGAAGCTGTGATGCATTCTCTAAACAATAAAAAGAATGCATCTCTATTTACACGAGTAAAGTGATGCCTAATCCTGCAGTTAAGAAATAGCACTTGTAACTCGACTTGAGAGAGTTCATTTTCAAAGTCTTGTTTCATAAAGATGTGCAGCGTTATGCAATCCAAGCTAATCTGAGCTTTTACTCTTCAGACAGGATTGGCATTTCTCTATCCGTTTGTAGACTGTGTGGGAATGGCCCAGTATTTTTGTAATGGAATTTTTGGGTAATAATGAAACTAAATTAGTTATATTTTACATGTGTAGATTCCTTCATTCGAACCTTTTTAATATTAAAACTGCATCAATTAAATTCGAATAAATAAAACAACAAACGATCATATAAAGTATTTCATTTATTATAGAATAACCGATTTTGAGTTTCATCTATTTATTTAAGAGGTGTCCAACAGACAACCGGAAGAACAGTCACTATTTTTTGTTATTATTAAGGTTAGTTCTAACTAATGACAATAAGTTACTTGTATACTAATTGAACTAGGGTTTTGTAATTTCCCCATCATATAAATAAAAATACGCATTTTTCATTCCAATTTGCACCACAAGAAGAAAGGGCATAATTTTAGTATGTTAATTATAAGTCAAGCATGAACATAACAAGTGATAACAATAATAAATAGTTAACAGTTTACAATAATTGGAAAGTCAAATTATCATCCATAACGATTCAATGAAACCGAAAGAAACTAACCTAAAAGATTATAAATTTCCTTCAATTTCAAAGTACTTTACACCGCAATGAAAAAATAGATGCACAAAATTAGCAATTTGGCCTTTCCTAATCTCTGATATATTATTTAAGTCCTAAATTTTTTTCAAGTTGTTCTGCAAGGGCATCCATAAAATCCATGGTGTTTAAAAACATGCCTGGCTTTACATTCTTTAAGCCATGAATGCATCCGGCCAAGTCCTTCGTCATTTTTCCTGACTCCACACAGTCTACACATGCTTTCTCCAGCTGTTGGCTAAACCTGTTATATAAACGCAATAATGATTTTTATAACGAGTCTCTAGAACTGTGATTACTCACATAAATTACTACATATAAATAAAATGTGTTTATTATACTTTTTCAATTCCGGGTTTTTGTCCAGTTCAGCTCTATGCGCTAGACCCCTTGTCCAAGCAAAGATAGAAGCGATAGGATTTGTGGATGTTTGTTCACCCTTTTGATGCATGCTGTAATATTGTTAACCCAAGTTATATGTATATGTGTAATATTTTGTAGTAATATTACCGATAGCACATACCGATAATGTCTGGTAACAGTACCATGCGCAGCCTCACTCTCAATTGTTTTTCCATCCGGGCAAACTACACAAATAGAGTCGTATAGAATACATTTGGCAAAAATACATAGAGGGTCACCCCTATTTTACATGAGCACAGCTAGCGATGACGGCGACATTCTCCCAAAAATTGCCATTATGAATTCCACTAGGTGCCAATGCCAGCTTCTTGGAGATTTCTGAGCTTGGAATATATTGTCATGTATTTTGAATATGTTAGTATTTCATTGTGCCAAGTTTTATACATACAAAGAAATACAGGAAGAGATATCGCAAATTTTCTCTCATGTAAAACAGGGCGCTCGCTTGCTATACCATTACCCAAAACTGAAGTCATAAGTCCAAGTGACCCATATCCTTGGGCAATAATGTCCGACTGTACGTCTCCATCATCTATGTAATGTTATAATATATATTTATCGTAAATACAACTATAAAATATACTTTTTAGTCCGAACCAGGGCTTATGAAGCCGTAAATGCCAAAAAAAATTTAAACTTATGTAGAGCTTCAATTCGAAGGTGTGTTCAGAATTAGAATTCTAAATAAAGTTTACTCTGTAAATCGAATGGTAGGAAAAATAAAATCACAATCTGGTTCGGACTAAACAGGCAAATATTTTTACAAATACGTTACGGTATCTTACAGTTTTTGCATGCCCAAATAAATCCTCCACTACAAGGTCAAAAAATACTTTTAGCTATTAGCACACCTATGATATACAATAAGTAATTTACTATTTTTGATAATACTTATAACATACCTCGACTTTAACGCTTGAGCGACCATATCATCTATTAGTCGGTGTTCATACCAAATCCCCAAGGCTTCGAATTTTGCTTTGTACTCTTTCTCGTAGATTTCTTGAAAAATTACCAAGAACCGGCCATCGTAACGTTTTAGAATAGTGCTAAAAACAAAGTGATAGTGACAAATTAACATTTGGACTATGCGATCAAGGGGAATAACTTTATGCTACTTACTTTTTAGTTGACATGTAAAGTGGCCACTTTTTTAAGAGCGCAGTCTGAAATAATAAATTAAGTAGTATAACAATAGGATATGCGCAACAGAATTTGTGTAATTTAATTATAAATATTATGATTGGTTAAGGTTACATTATTATACCTGGAAGCTGGAATGAGCAAAGCTAGAAATACTTTCGTCCGTATTGTACCTGAAATGTCATAATGTAAGTCATTAGAAATACGTGAGATAGTTTCAACTAAAAAAAGCGAGGTCAAAAATTTACATTGCCAGAGTGACTCCACCACTCTCATTGAAAGTGAACACTTCGAATCGTTCTGGTTGACCACCAGCCTTGGGGGTAATCACAAGTTCCACCTTTGAATTGGGTTTCACGACAGTGTCCGTAGCTTTGTATTGATCACCAAAAGCATGGCGTCCAATAATAATTGGCTGTACCCATCCTGGCACAAGTCTCGGGATGTTTTGACACAAAATTGGTTCTCTAAATACAGTACCCCCTAGAATATTTCTCAACGTGCCATTTGGAGATGGCCACATCTTCTTCAATTTGAATTCTGCAATTGAAAAATGAAATGTAAACCAATTTTTGCATGCTACAATTCACCTCATATACAATTGTATTATTCATGTTATGCATGGATATTTAATTCATACCTGTCACACGAGCCTCGTCAGGCGTTATTGTCGCACACTAACAAGGAATACAAAGGTTTATAAAGATTTTGTGATTAATTAGTCTGTTTAAAATGCAATTTCTTTCAAATTACCTTGATTCCAACATTATGCTTTAAAATTGCATGAGCGGCATCAAAAGTAACTTGATCGTCTGTTTGATCCCGGTAAGGCAGCCCCAAATCGTAGTAAAGACACTCAACTTTTACATATGGGAAAATTAGTTTTTCCTTAATTTTCTCCCAGATAATTCTTGTCATTTCGTCCCCATCCATCTCCACGACGGGTCTTGACACTTGAATCCGCTTTTGAGTCGAATCTAAAAAGAATACCCAAACATGAAAGTTGTACATTTTCTTTCTTCTTGACACCTGCAGCAATTTCAGAGCCGTCAACGACTGTCACTCGCAGTGCAACCCAAATTATGTTACATAATTGATTTGTATAATTCAATTATTATTAAACTTACAAGATCGACCCAAAACTGCACGCAAAAGTCCTTTCATTGGTGTAGTAGATGCCATATTGCACGTTCAACGCTAATTAAAAATTCACCTCGTCTCAACTTTTTGGTTTAGCTGTGCGTGTGAAACTGAAAATTACACAATTTGATGGGCGAGAAATAAGAAATCGGCGAGGAACAGGGATTTAAGGAGAGGAAAGTGTGTCTGCAGCTGCTGGACGTGATGTGTTAACCGGGTCTTTTTTATCCAACAACTAAACCTTGTTACTTATTATATGGAGACTCTGGCTGAGCACTAAAACTTGTGTCACGTTCACAGCTTCATTCGTTAGCATGGCATGCGAGTTCGAGCCAGTCGTTCTGCACTGTTCAGCAGCGCTTGTCGATAATGTTAATTAACAAGAAGGTAGATGGTCCAATAATGGAGATGCTTCTGCAGCGAACGGCTACCTCGCAAAGTTTCGTGCCCTTCGTTCTTCGAAACCCTAGATTAAAAAATATGAAACCTTAAACCCTTTAAACTTTGTAATTTAAGGTGCGCGACTGCATAGCAAGGAGACTCCAACAAAGGTGAACGCACCACAGACAGACTCCTTATTATAATCCTTTACCTTACTTGGGGCCCTTATGCCATTCACAAAATAAAATATGAACCCACATTCTCAAGGAGAAAGCTCCAGACTGCCTGTGGCGCATGGTACCTGTTATTGTTATCTGTCCTTCTAAGAATCCCTTAAATGCTTTAGAATCGATAAATTTCTCGACTAGAGGCAAGAATTTACTTATATTGGGCTATTAAAAACAAAAAATAATTAAAGCATTTTCGTCTCTAGCAATGTATTTTACATGGAATTCATGAATAGTAAGTAATAAGTCCATCGGTATGCCGGCGAGATTAGCAAACAACAAAACTTGGGATGAAAATGGGTTTGTTGGAGGCGTCTGATACTGCATTAATCCACTTCAAATTAAACAAGTGATTGATAAGCGACCTGTCATTGTGTTGTGAATAGATATGTAAATAGGAACAAATTAAATTGCATTTACTAACCGACATGCTAACCACTTAAAATAGTTAGCAGACAAAAAGATTGAACTGGAGGAGTAGTACACATACTAAATACAGATATACATACATATGCCATCGTCTGATGATGATATTAGGTATATAATTCATACTGATATAGTAATTGTATTGCAGTATAATATTATGCATTCAGTGATCTCATGAACATGAAGAAAAACACAGAAGTCGGGTTTTATTGTGAATGCATTGTGGACAGCAGGCTAGGTTTTATCCGGTGCTATCCACTTAAATAGTCGTTCTTCTCACACAGTTGAGTTGTATTATAGAGCAAAAAATATACAAGTGTCAATACACCGACCGACTTGTTAGTGGACCCCAACCAAAAGCATGAACGACCGACCATGACCATTTCTAACCTTCACATTAAAGCTTTTTATCCCAACTCAACGCACTCAAAAGAATGTCCGTTGAACAAGTTTTTAGGACCTTATTAAAGCCCTGTACTGTTATTAGACAACTATATAGTTCCATCAGATTTTGTTATATCCAACTCAACAAGGTTTCAGTGCATGCTTGTGAAAAACTGTCCTTGTCTCAAAAGCAAAAGTGGCAACAATGCGTCGATTCTAATTATGTATTCCTGCGTGCTTGAATACTTTGCAATAGTTGTTTCAGTTTATGCTGCTTCATAGTTTATATAATGAATCATCACATATTTAGTAATTCGCATGAATCCTTCCATGAGAAAAGTTCGGTGATTGATAAAATGGACTCTTTATTATATGCTATGTAAACTCTTTTGCACTACATGAATTCCATCTTATCTTAAACGACAGACGAGCTAAATAATTTGACACCTCCAAAAAAACCAAAGCAAATATATGTGAATGGAACTTTAGCTGAAGTTGTGTGACTGACTGATATGCGATGCCCAATGCTGCATCACAAAAATAACAGATCGGTCATCCGTCAACCCTTCTCACAGAAACTCCTTCCGACTTTCCGAGATGGGATAAAATCAGAACATGTTATGAGATTGCATATTTCTTAATGGCTGTACATATTAATATGACACCTGGTTGGACCTTAACCATTTTTAAAAATAGAACCAACCAGTTGTGTTCTCATTCTTATTACTTCTTAGTCACAGGTTAAATTACATAACCGCATAATTCGAACAACCGAAAAGACAGAAAGAAACTAGTGTAGTTTCTTACAAGGGAACCCTAAGTACTGTCACATCTCGATTTCCTTTCGGATGGTCTTAATTGATAGATAATTTAGTGTAACTAAAACTTTGTCGTGGCACATACGGTGCAAAATCACGTTTTTGTGAAATATTTGGCGAAAGCTGCACCAAAACGTGCAATTTTTCCAATGCTTTTAACATAGATGCTGAGTCTTCGGAATAATGAAATGAAGCTCATAAATTCCCTGTCCAGATTTTCATGCTGATCACAAATATGTAACCAAATCATACAAGCATTGACCAATTTTTTTAAATTGCGAAATTCGGCAAAATTTTCTAAATTTAAATTTCGCCGTTTTTTGAAATTTTAATAAAATTTAAGCGTTAAACTTCTTTTCAATGCTTAAATAAAAGAAGTTTAACGCTTAAATTTTATTAAAATTTCAAAAAACGGCGAAATTTAAATTTAGAAAATTTTGCCGAATTTCGCAATTTAAAAAAATTGGTCAATGCTTGTATGATTTGGTTACATATTTGTGATCAGCATGAAAATCTGGACAGGGAATTTATGAGCTTCATTTCATTATTCCGAAGACTCAGCATCTATGTTAAAAGCATTGGAAAAATTGCACGTTTTGGTGCAGCTTTCGCCAAATATTTCACAAAAACGTGATTTTGCACCGTATGTGCCACGACAAAGTTTTAGTTACACTAAATTATCTATCAATTAAGACCATCCGAAAGGAAATCGAGATGTGACAGTACTTAGGGTTCCCTTGTTGGTTATGAGTTTTGAAAATGTCAACTGTTCCAAAATAGTGTTATTATTTTGCCCAGTTGGAACTGCGTCAAACAAATTTTGCAAATAATTCTTCTCATCACACTGCAAGCTACGTGGTTTGGAAAAAATCTAACTGGAGCAGTTAATAATATTATGTTTCTTGTGCCGAGTTCTTACCCCCGTCAAGTGAAATGCGTCAATAGAGGATATTTAGTGACTCCGAGCCAAAAAAATGAAAAATTAAAAGATGAACTAATATTAAACTGATATGCTACATAGAAGGTAAACACACATACATATAGCTATGAGGACGGCCTTCTTCTAACTCGGTGACCATATCATTCATCGTACATATATTCGTATTACGTCTTTCTCTACCTCGCACATGCAAAAAAAAGTTTGAAAATATTTAGGTCCGCAAATCCTAGCAACGGAAGCAATCAGTTGCGTCTTTTCATCTTCAGAGCTCAGGAATTGCATGCAAACTCCATTAGCCATTTATTATTAGCCATACACATATTGGTAGAGATTTGACACCTCAAGGAGATTTTCAATGTCAAGTGGACTAGGCTTTGGTTTATTAATAAAAAATGAAGCAGTTTTGCATGAACACTGGAACTGGAGCACGGCGCATTCATAAATTAAATTCCATCTACTACGAGTAAATAATATACCTATGGCATATTGGAATAGATAGTTGGGTAATAAGTGAATAGAGATAAATAAACATTACACGCCGAACAAATGGGAACACAATGATAATTCACCAACAATTTAATTTACCTGCCACATGGCCTCGCGAGGTTCCACGTTTTCACTTCCACGACACCAGCCAGACCACCAACTTTTCGGTCGTTATAATATAATGATTAGCTTTTGAAACGTGTTGAAGCGTCCAAACTTGTGCTCAGCTAATTGATTCGTAGTCTTCTCTTCACAATTCACTCATTACTATGCAGACTAACTAAGTATGCTTTATCGATTTATCCAGGCAAATGCTGCAATAGATGTTTTTAATACATTATGCATTGCCAATTATTCAGTTGAACTCACTCACTGCAAACTTGAAAACCACGAGGTTTATGATAATGTAATTAATTCACACCGCTCACATTGTAATTGTGATGTGTGATTTTTCACAAAGTATTTAAAATCTTGAACTGCATTGATAAACTGCATTGCGCATACTTATATAACATAATATCATAATTGAGTCAAGCGAGATACTCAACTCTAACCTAACTGAAGCTCTATTTTGCTTCCTCAAAAATATCACTTTGATGATTACAACGAAAAACAGGCTTCAAATGAATGGCAATAGGTCAAAAAATAAACATTATATATGACATCACTTGTTGACTCAAGTATTTAAGAAGATGAGATAGAAAGCATTTGACAGATATGTTTACTGTCGGAGTACATTAATTCATAAAATTTTGGAAAACTTGTGGAATATTTATCGTTTATTGACGCAGAGTCATTATAATCATGTATGACAAGTGAAAAAAGTAATCTCTTCCTCTCATGTGTTCATGAACATTGTTTAACCAGGTGAACCCTATTCTTGAAATGACACGGAGGGTTTCAGGCTTTCAGGGGTTGTGCAGAGGAAGCCGATTTCTCAACCCTTTTCTATTGTTATAATTACCAACCATCCAAATTCTCAAGTCGTCTCTCTCTCTCTCGCTTTAACTGGGCTCCACACTTTTTAACATTGCTCAGTTGGAGCCTGTGGTTGGACAACATCATCAGACAGCCGAGCTCCGATTTTTATTTTTTATCTCTTCTTTACCAAACAGTCAACTGAAAACAGAGATTGGGACAAGAACCACCAACTACAAGTTGGCATATTGTGAGGTGACAAAACCGGCATCATCTTGTATGTAAGCCAGGTTTGATTTACTTATTATAACGATTAAGCTGAGGAGTTGATTAAAACATTTGCGCTGATTGAGCACAATGATTTGTTGTGACACTTTCCTTTATGTATTGAATTATCAAGATAAATTGTTGTTCATTTTAGCCTTGGATTTAGATTATTAATAGTTTTAATCCAGTAAAATTTGGTTACGTGACATCTGGTCTCTATATGAAACAGGTGGATTAGTTTGGAGATATACTTGATTTTGTATTTTTTCTTAAATGATAGATGGAATATGAATGATGGAAAGTGAGATTTCTTTCCGGTCAATTTGTCTGAAATAAATTGTTTTTAAGTAAATCTGATGGATATTGATCGTGCATTACCTAACTAATCTCCTAATGATTGATTGTTATAGTGGTATATCATTGGTGCCAGAAGGAGGCGGTATCCAAAATGATGACCCTCAAACTGTTTGACGACAGGTCCCTTCTGTTTTTGGCACGGAGACCTCTGCGGACATGGAGCGCGGCGAGGAAGGCGGCGCAAGCTGCATCCAAGCAGGTCAAAGCAGCTGCGGCCCCTGCAAAAACAGCCGCCAAGGGAACTCCCTACAAAAACATCACTATCGGTATCCCCAAAGAAATTTGGCCAAATGAGAAAAGGTAAAACATTGTTCCAAAAACCATGAATGAGCTTGTAAATACTTATGCTGCAATGTGACCTTGTTTAATTTCAGGGTCTCGCTGACACCAGTCGTCACAGCACTACTGACCAAGAAAGGATTCCAAGTGAAGGTGGAAAAGGGAGCTGGAATTGAAGCCAAATTCCGTGACGCCGATTACGCCGCAAGTGGTGCAGTAATATCTGACAAAAAGTCAGTTTTTGAGTCGGGTATGGTCAAGCTACAAAAAAACATAATGAGAATGCATAAAATTGAATGAAAGTATATAGGAATTAATATGCTATTAATAAGATAACATCATTCTTGCAGATATTATATTAAAAATTAGACAACCACTTAAGGATGAAGTTGCTCAGTTCAAAAATAATTCCACTCTCATTTCCTTTGCGTATCCGGCCCAAAATAAAGAGTTGTTGGAACAGTTGGCAGCAAAAAATATGACAGTCTTCGGTATATGGTTCTATTTATAATATTGAGAGTATAAATTATTAAGTAAATTGAGTGTGTAGTCTAATTTAAAAAATTGTTTTCTGATGATTAGGAATGGATTGCATTCCGAGGATAAGTCGGGCACAAGTTTTCGATGCTCTTAGGTAAATACATTAGTTCTTATATATTTACACATATAAATATATATATTTCATATATATATTTCTGTTATTACCCTTAGTTCCATGGCCAATATTGCAGGATATCGGTGAGTTGTCTTTGCTAGTGAGCCCATAAGTTATTGTATAACTGTTTTGTTATTTGTTTTAAGGGCTGTTATTGAAGCTTCCAACCATTTTGGTCGATTCTTTACAGGTAAAATATTGGCTAGAATAATAGTACTAGTTGATTTCACATATTTGTAAATATTATGATTTCCAGGCCAAATTACTGCAGCCGGAAAAGTCCCACCTGCGAAGATCCTTGTTATCGGTGGTGGTGTTGCCGGTTTAGCTGCTTGTGGACAAGTAAGTCGCTTATTATTGTCGCTTATTGTGGACAAGTACTAAGCCAATAATATTGTTATAACTATTATATGGTAACTATAATTTCCTTCTTGTTTATCCATGCAGGCGCGCAATATGGGAGCTATCGTACGTGCGTTCGGAATCTGATTGATGTGGTTTCTCATGGCATGAAGTCTAAATGATAATTTTGTAGGTACGTGCGTTCGACACTAGACCGCCGGTCAAGGAACAAGTTGAGTCTATGGGTGCCGAATTTTTAACCATCACAATGGCCGAGTCCGGGGAAGGCACAGGAGGTACACCTTCTCGTCATTATTCATATTTACAATTACATATTATTGCATATCATTACTCATACAATTATGTTATAATATTTTTTTTATTCTTTTTAGGTTATGCCAAAGAAATGTCTCAAGATTTTCTTAACGCGGAACGCGAACTGTTTGGCAAACAAGCTAAAGAGGTACTATTTTTAAATCGGTTGTTTTCTTTAAATTAGACAGCAGAGCAAGAAATGATTTTACAATATTTACTGAAATATTTTATTTGTTTAGGTCGATATCATCATTTCGACAGCTCTAATCCCAGGTACGTTTGGTGTAACTTCACTTTATTAAACAAACTAATTAATATGAAACTGGTGTATATTAGGCAAGAAAGCTCCAGTCCTTGTTTTAAAGGAGCATATTAAGGTAGGTCATATCGAACGACATTACAAGCACATGAAATTAATTGAATAAATTTAATAGTCTATGCGACCTGGAAGTGTGGTCGTCGATTTAGCAGCCGAAGCGGGAGGAAATATTGAGGTTAATCAATTGAAAACACTTACACACTTATATGCCTCAATTTCATGACAATTTTAACAAACTTTTATTTGCTATTTATAAATTAGACGACTAAACCTGGGGAGGTATATACATTTGAGGTATTGTGCTTTTTATTCTATTTCCTCATTATTTCTCTCTATTTGTTTATCAATTACATAATCAACTTTTGTAGGATGTGGTGCATATTGGGTTCACCGATTTGCCAAGTCGCCTCCCAACGCAATCTTCCACTTTATATGCCAACAATATTTCCAAATTCCTTCTATCAATGGAAGACAAAGATAGTAAGGATCACTTTTACATCAACTTGGAGGATGAGGTTGTCCGAGGTTCCATTCTTCTGGAAAACGGAAAATTATTATGGCCTCCACCTCCCCCAAAAGTAATTCCTGCTCAAGCTACTAAAGCTGCTGAGGTTGCCAAAAAAGCTGAACCACCCGCACGAAATTATTTCCAAGAAACGCTAAATAGTTCATTAGTTTACACCGGAGGACTTTCTGGATTAGTGGGCTTGGGCGTTGTTGCACCCAACACCGCGTTTACCACAATGACCACAACTTTTGCTCTTTCTGGAATTGTTGGATACCATGTAGTTTGGGGAGTTCAACCTGCCCTTCATTCGCCACTTATGTCGGTCACAAATGCGATTTCTGGAATCACTGCTGTTGGTACTTAATAATATTGATAATAATAATTCAGATTTGGAGCAAGAGGATCACTTTTAGTATCCATATTTATTTTCAATCATAAAAACATTTTAGGTGGATTATTGTGCATGAACGGTGGTTATTATCCGACTAATACAATTGAGACCTTAGCAGCTACTGCAGCGTTTATTTCCTTCATTAATATTTTTGGTGGTTTCATTGTGACTCAAAGGATGTTGGACATGTTCAAACGTAAGCACGCCTACTTATTTAATTTTCTGCAACAATTCTATATGAATACCATTAGTAGTCATGAATAGTCAGTCATTCCATCTTATTTTATGGATGATCAAAACAGGTCCAACGGATCCCCCAGAGCATATGTACTTGTATGGAATACCTGCAGCTACTTTTGTTGGTGGTTATATTTATGTAAGAATTTTAATTTATGTAGCTAGCTTTGTTGCGACATTTTTTCAACTTTCAAATTGTTTTAACTAATCTTAATACGGATATATGTAGGCTGCAGCCCAAGGATTCCCAGAAATTCACCAAATGGGTAAGTTTTTAGCCCGTTTTCGGTTGTGATTTAGTGAGTGCACTAAATGTTGCATATCAAAAACCCATACCCGTCTAGATATTGATAATCGCATAAGATGTTTGTTTATCTATATTTGCAGCGTATCTTGGAAGTTCTTTGTGTTGTGTTGGTGCCTTGGCTGGATTGAGCTCTCAAAAAACTTCACGACTTGGAAATACCCTTGGGATGATCGGAGTTACCGGAGGCATTGCCTCGACCTTAGGAATTCTATCTCCATCAACTGAAGTGTTGAGTAATGCCTAAATCGCTTGGATATTCGTAGCAAGTTCACGAAGAATCATTAACTGATGGTTTTATTCTTTTATAGCCCAAATGGCCGCTGTAGGAATGGGGGGAGCTGCTATAGGAAGTATGCTACACTTCTTCAAAATTATTAATATGAAACTATTATTTATCGTTCGTCCAATTACATATGCATTAAATTACGTTTCAGCAACCATTGCCAAGAAAATTGAAATAACAGATTTGCCTCAGTTGGTTGCTGGTTTTCATAGTTTAGTGGGAGCTGCAGCTGTGGTAATTGAGAGGATATTATAAATATAGTATCAAAATTATATCAAGTTTGTCTAACATCGTATGAAAAATGTTTATACTCCAGCTTACCTGCTTTGCTACATTCATCCACGATTTTCCGCACTTTGCAACTGACCCCTCAGCAAATGTGATCAAGACTGCCCTTTTCTTGGGAACTTTTATTGGAGGTACACATTTGACAATCTTAGTCCATTCCAAATAAACCAATATGCGTGCATGTATTTTTGGTACACTAATAATTATTAATTTTGCATCTAGGTGTGACATTTAGTGGCTCTCTTGTAGCATACGGAAAGCTTCAAGGAATACTTAGCTCCGCCCCCTTACTTCTTCCTGGTCGGCACGCCTTAAATGCTGGTCTTCTTGCTGGAAACGTTGGAGCAATGGGTTACTATTTCATGGATCCTTCTTTCGAAGCCGGATTGGGAATGCTTGGAACTACTGCCGGTCTAAGTACAATTATGGGAGTAAGTTTTTTTCTAGAAATATTATCTCATTAGTGACAATTTTCCATATTAAGGGGTGAAGCGAAGCGAAATCCCTTTATGGAAAGATCTTGTCTATCTGTCTGTCTATCCGTATCCACGATAACTTTAGAACGGATTCGAATTTCGACATCCGGTTTTCGCCAATGTGTTTCTAATTTTTGGGGACGAGATGAGTTCGAAGATGGACGTTGTAGCTCATAAGGTCATGGCGCCACGGTGATGACGCCAATGGTCAAAGGTGTCGAATTTTTTGTTTCCACCGTTTTAGACGTATTTTTGGACGGGGATTTCAGAAATCGCCATCATTTCGACGTGCGATGACCGTGTGACCGCGTAGACGACGTCAAAGTCGAAAATGTCGAATTTTTTGCCTTGATCGTTTTAGACGTAGTTTTGGGTGGGATTTCAAAAATCGACATAGTTTTGACGTGCTATGATCGTGTGACCGTGTCGCTTCACCCCTTTACTACATTTTTCGTTTGCAACGGTTTATTAAGGGGTGAAACCCCTTTATAAGATTGATATGTCCGTCCGTCTGTCTGTCCGCGCGATAACTCAAGAACGGTTCGCCATAATGACTTGAAATTTGTAACATAAATACTTCATATAAAAACAAAGGTCAAGTTCGAAGATGGGCACTGTAGATCACACCTGTCAAGGTCAAAAGGTCGCGAAACGTCAAATCTGATACATATGTCAATTTGAACTGAAATTTAACCTAGAAATCAATGGTGACCTCCGTTTTGACCTCAAAGGTCACGAAAGGTCACTGAAAGGTAACCAAACGTTAAATCTGATACATATGTCAATTCGAACTGAAATTTAACCCCGAATTCGAGGGTGACCTCCGTTTCGACCTCAAAGGTCATGAAAGGTTATTGAAAGGTAACCACATGTTAAACTTGATACAAATGTTGAAAACACGGCAGGCATGTCAATTTTAAGAAGTTTTCGACGGATTTAAGTTCTTGGTTTCACCCCTTCGTTACATGCGTTTAACGGTTTATTTAAATTATGTAACAGATAACTCTGACTGCTGCTATTGGAGGCGCCGATATGCCCGTAGTTATCACCGTTTTAAATTCCTACTCCGGATGGGCTTTGTGTAAGGACATTTTATGATAAAAATTGCATGATATTGTTAGCATAACGTATATGTTATTTTTTTCCGCCTGGGACCCACTTTTGGACTTTATTTTTTAATTTGAATGAAACCTCGAAAATCGTGTTCAGCATAATTGAATTAGTGGGTTTAGACAAATTTTGGATCTCAAAAAATTTTCATTTGGCACAACTGGACGATAGTTAGTCACAGAAAATCATGTCATATGTGGATGAAATTAGCATCAAATAATTGTTTGAAGCTGGTGCTCAGAATTGCATACGAGTTTTGTGTGATTTGCGACAAATTACAAAAAAGATCAAAATTAAGGTCATCGAGGTCACGGATCAGTACCATCTCCCGGATCACCCAAGAGGAAGTATTTGTGATCATTTTAAGCCTCAGTTGGACCATATCGGTCCAGTGGTTATCTCAGAAAACAGGGAAATGTCAACCCCCTTTACTGACTAACTATCGTCCATTTGCGCCAAATGAAAATTTTTTGAGACCCAAAATTAGTCTAAACCCAATTATTCAATTATGCTGAACACGATGTTCGAGGTTTCATTCAAAGTAAAGAATAAAGTCCAAAAGGGGTCCCAGGCGGAAAAAAATAGTCACAAATTACATATACCTATGTAATTTGTGTAGGTGCGGAAGGATTCATGTTGAACAATAATTTAATGACGGTGGTTGGTGCCCTTATCGGTTCATCTGGAGCGATTCTGTCGTATATCATGTGCAAAGCTATGAACCGCTCATTGCCAAACGTAATTCTCGGAGGATTTGGAACGTCTTCAACGGGAGGGGGAAAACCTATGGAGATTACTGGAACTCACACAGAAATTGACATTGACGGATCCGTGGACTTAATCAAAAACGCAAAGAATATTATTATAACGCCAGGCTATGGTCTGTGTGTAGCAAAAGCACAGTACCCTATTGCTGAAATGGTTTCCATCCTGAAAGCAAAGGGAAAGAATGTTAGGTTCGGAATTCATCCAGTAGCTGGTAATTCTACATATCTATCAATTATTATGATTTAGTTGACCTGCCAAAAAACTAATACATTTTTATGACATCCCGTTGATTGTTAGGGCGTATGCCGGGTAAGTAAAATACAAATCTGTAAATTATAATCAAAATAAAGTAGAATAATAACTAAAATGTTTTAATTTCCCAAAATAGGTCAACTTAACGTTCTTCTAGCCGAAGCTGGTGTCCCATACGACATGGTGTTGGAAATGGATGAAATTAATGAGGATTTCCGTGAGACGGACTTGGTCTTAGTTATCGGAGCAAACGATACAGTTAATAGGTATGTATTAGTATTGGAAAATTTATATTAGATAAGTTTGAGCTTATATTAAAAATATTTTTTCATGCATGCACTTCTCAACAGCGCTGCGGAAGACGATCCTAATTCAATTATTGCTGGTATGCCTGTTCTGAGAGTTTGGAACGCTGGAAATGTAATAGTAATGAAGAGGTCTCTCGGAGTCGGTTACGCAGCTGTTGTAAGATTTTGTTTTCATACATTTTGTACACGTATGCAAATTGTGCGTCCAAATTGCTGATCTTTTTTTATTTCAATAGGACAACCCTATTTTCTATAAACCAAACACAAGCATGCTATTAGGAGATGCTAAGAAAACTTGTGACGCGTTGCTATCAAAAATTAAACAAGAAATTGGAGAATAATTATTTTATATTTTAGGCAAAAAATTCCAATACTTAAATTATTCTATCATAATATTAACGTATCATTTGTAAAAATATAAATCAAATTATATGAATGCAGTTTGCTTCTGCGTAAGTATGATGACCATTCATTATTTGTTCTAACAAGAAGTTTAAACTTTGCTATTCGCCGATAAGCCTGATTGTTTCTAGTTCGACTTGTTTTTAGAATTAGGTACAAATTGGAATTAATGACTATTGTATGAATATTCTATGCCACGTCAATAAATTATGACTTTTGCCTCCACAAGTTTCACATTGTAATAATTTTTATTGCAATTTAAGATACAGAGAATTATTATGGCTGCTCATTAAAATTAGCAAAACAAGATGGGTCAAATATGCTTGTATAAGTCAACAATTTGTAGAGATAGAAAAAATTTTATGCTGAAAATAGAATATGTAGGTTAGGTAGCCTATTTGCATTACTTAATACATAATAATAATAAACAATCCCGGTTGTGACCGTGTTCCGTCTGCTCAGTAAAATGGGTTGAAAATTAATGTTGTATGTCGTCGGCTGGGTATAAGTACAAATAAAAACTTCGTTTTAAAAATCAGAGTCAAGCTTAGGGATCAATCAAAATCTTCGTAACAAAGATTTAGAAATCAATACAAAACGATTAAGATCCGAGGGACGTACAACAGCGGCTAACGGACTTTTACATTACTACATTGTTAATAACAATGTCTTAATATCCATAAAAATTATAAGCATTCTATTTCATTATTACCCACTTACAAAAAAAATTAGTTGATACATTTATCATCGTAGAGTTATTAAAGTCGCCAAATTTTAGCTGCTATAACTTACAATAACAAAACCAGAAATTAGCCTTAAATAACGGGACATTCATAGAACATTTCAATTTCACGACAAATGCAGCTAGCTGAATTTTGTTCAAGTACCTAGAACACATACATAAATCGCTGCTATAATTTTCATAACTATTTTCATTCGGTACTACATATTCGGATATTGGCGAAATATACAGTCTTACACAAATCAAGCAGTTCATAAATTCACTGTCATTCAATAAACGTTTTGAAATACTGTATATACACAATTTTGGTTCTCGTCTCACCCACACTTTATACATACATACACGATACACATGCATATGCACATCCCTTGGAGTGTATGCACATACATATCATTACATATTTTATACGTGTGAATTTATTATGTAGTATTACCTAATTACCTGATATTTTAGCTTTAATTAATTTTGATATGACGCTTAATTATTTACTTGATACTTAGCCTGTTTTATATGGCTAATTAATAATTAAATGATTTCAACAACATATGCACGCATTTCTCATTACACAAATGACCCTTAATCTACTATTACATACATTTAGCTATTCATATTACCTCACAATACACCAGTTGACCTCGCTTTGTTGATTTAGGAGGAAGTGAAAGATACAGTAATTTACAGAAGAATACAAAAATGACTATTCATTCATAAATAGTCCTCATGAAAAAAACATAACGATGTGAACCACAATATTAGTAAAAACATTGGAATGATGGAATTTGGAAAGGTTCGCATTTTGCCGGAATTATTATAAGCCATGTGTCCGACGTGTAAATTAATTGAAATAATTTTAGCAGCAGTTGTACCGTATATTTTAAATGCACTAAATCGCTACTCCCACTCCCCCACGTATGCCACAGCCCTCGGTGGGGCAAAAGTATTGGGATTTCTCATAGGCAATCGACCATAAATTGGCGAGTAAATAGATTCCGTTTCTATCAACAATCACACAAAAGCAAAAGAATGTTAAAATCATCATTTAAATATGAAAATTAAATACGTTTTACTTCTGGGGACTCATTTCATACAGAATAAAAACATCATGCACACACACGTTTGAAAAATTTATTTGCGTTTTCATGCAATATTATTATACCCACTGGTTTACTTGCATCTTGAATGGGTTATAAAGTTTATAAAGCTGTAGAACCAAGGCAAAAGCAGAGTGACATCCATCGCTTGCATAAAATGCGTCTTACAATTATGGCTAAATATTATTAAAAAGAAGCATTATTTTAGTACAAAAGTTATAAATATGTACATACTTACAAACATTAGAAAAATATTAGTGGAAAGAAATAGTGTTAAACACTTTTTCCGTATGTCTCAGCAGCCATGCAAAGTTCTATGAATCACTCTCATCATTCTACTAAATATGTATGTAAGTCGCGATTCTATCTTCACACACACACCATCACATGCACATAAATTTGAAAGCCTTAAAAATTCAGTCATATGAAATCACTTAGGTTATCTACACAAATAAGAGCTAATAAGTTTTCAATTAGTTTGGCAATGCAGGAAATCTACCATGAAAAAGATAGCAGGACACTTGCATGTTTCTGCAGAAAGCATAATATTGGCAATTGCTCCAATAAGTCAGTCAAGCTCGTTTCATATCGTAATATAATATGGCAAATTCATTTAAAAAGTCCTTCCAAACTCCACGTTGAGAAAATTTGCCAAGTTTTCATACATATTCGATACTTATAAACCAAACAATTCAAACACAAACCAACAATGTGTCAAATACAATATATATAAACTAAACTACGAGAATAATAATTCACAAAATTCTTAAATTGGAGTTTCTAGATGAGTTTCTCACTACCCTCAGTCCTGGAATTGACACTGTTGGAGTTAGCAGATTGGTTTATGCTAATTCTATTTATGATTATCTTGCCAGTAGTCTTCCCATTCGCTTTCTCCTGGTTCAAAGAAAATTAAAAATAATCAGTTATTGACTCATTATCTCCTGCATGTTTTTTGATAGACATCTGAAAAGACAATCTTGAACTCGTTGCATTGCTAATTTTACTTGGAATCAAGTCATGCACGCACATAATACTAAAAATATTCTATCGACGACTATCAGTTTCACCAGCAATGACGTATTAGATACATGTGTATTAATGCTTAAGGTTATCATGGGAAAGATAGAATCAAGTGGAAGGAGGAAGTAAAGTGACGCACACTATGAGAGAAAATATTAATAAGATATCAAGTCAATCACTGGGTTTAATGACGCATGACAAGCAGAATTATCGATCAATTACGATTTGAACTATGATTGTTAAATAAATAAGAATGTGTAATAATTTTGTGATATGGAGCAATCCAGCCAACTGTACATGTATAGATACATATCCATTTTTACACAAGTCTGCTGTGTGCCATGAGTAGAGGGGATACGAGAATAAGAATGGTTGATTACGTGAGAAAAAGCAATACGATTCAGGAAATTTCACAGACAGTGACAGAGACAATAATTGAATGTTCGATTTGAACGTTAAACTGATTTTTACATCAAAGGTGCCCACACATGAGTAACAATAATATACATAACAGAGGGTGAATAGGTAGAGGACATTAATTAATAATAATTTACACTCATTTACTCCCTCATCCTTTTTTCGGTCAGTAGTTATATTTAAAAAAAATAGTGTGCTGTGCTACCCGAACCCAAACACCAAAAACAAACACAACAAGCTACATCAACAGAGCAATTATGATTAACCCACAATAGGTATGTAAATAAGGCATGAAAATGCAAATAACTCCATTGAAATCGACTCCTGAAGTAAGTACGTAGTATTTTTCATCTATCTCGAGTTGCTCTTGTGCTTTTTGGACATGAAATGGAATTTCGTTTGAGTGTTCTTACCACTTTCTGCAAAAGTGCTGTTGTTCCACGAGTATTTGTCCGTGATTAGTCCGTGACCCTTGCGTATGGAGTGCGGGTCTGCGTACGGGTTGGAATGAATGGAGGCTGAAAAATTATATGCAAACAATTCAGAACCCTCGAATAAAGGCAGAACAATAACACTACAATATTCACAATATTGTCAGTATGTCTAGGGTCATGAATATACTGTGTAGGGAATCTAATGTCCGTCTACAATAAGATGCATGCGCCATGTAAGGTCAAATCATGCAGAGATAATATTTGCTGATTCTGATTGAATTTTGAGCTGAATGTGAATACTCAACTCTATCAAGGGGCAGAGAATATGTCAGTTTTGAGGGTTCAGATTGACACGTTGGATAAGAGTTGGGAGGGAGCAGTAACGAAAAGGTGGTCAATCAGAAGAACTAGTCTAGATTTTACCCATTCCAGAGTCGACGCTCTTGGCATGCCACATCATGGGGTGGCCGGGGATGGGTGGTCCAGGGGGGCCAAATCGCTGTGGCACACCCACCATGTGTGGATGTGGTGGGTAGCCACCGTTGGCAATGATGACGTGACCGTTCCTCATGGCGGCCGCTTCTCGCTCACGTTTCTCCGCCTCCGCCTTCTTCCTCCCTGGCATGGCCTTCTGCACGAAGGCTGGGATTCTGGCTCGGAGTCCACAATAATAAGGATCGTCTGCAACATGACGAGAATAGAGAGCAATAAATAATGGCCCCTGGTTTGCAGCCTTTTTCATTTTACTTTTAGTCTTCGAAAGGCGGAGCTGACTGTGTACATTTACCATTTGCATAAAAAAATCATCTATCTGTATTTCCTGCTCCAGATTTGCATTCGATAAATATATGTGAATTCGCAGTATATTTAACAATACATACATGTGAAAATATGCATTGTTGCACTTTACAAGTCGAATCTAAATATATCTCCCTGCCTGTGAATAACCCGCTATCTGTCTGTTATTCTATTATTGGGACACGGAAGAGTAGAAGCTAATTACGAGCAAATAAAAAAATCCGCATTGTCCATATGAACTCGTGCTGTGAGTGATGAAGGGATGTTGATTTCTTGATACACTTGCCAATAATTATTTGGCCTGCCTACCATACGTATTTGTAAAATGGTAAATGCAATGCACCCTATTAATAATCGTTTACAAGTTATAAATTACAACTTGAAAGTCATAAACTGAGTGAACATATATTGTGGCGAAAAATCTTCACCACCTGGGGGAGGAGTGAAATTGCACTGCAGTTCAGAAACTGTAAATAAATTGAGAGCATCCCAAGAAAAAAGCTCAAGGTTTCGGTAAAAAACTTATTTTTGATTTGATAGCCAATATAAGAAGCCAATTCAGTAAAACGTGAAAAAACATGAAAATTCTTAAATCAGATCAAAAGCATGTGTACAACTCACCATATTTTCTGTCCTTTCCTTGCGGTTTGTCCTTAGCATTGGTACGCGAAGAATTTAAGAACGGTTTAATCCTTGGCTCCTCCATTGACTCATCATAGTCCGGCTGCGCATCAAAGAAGATAAAAATTGAAACAATAAGTCAATCAATCAATAAGTCAAAAATGTTTGACGCACACATGTACCTCATGTCATAATGTTACTCTAAATATACAGATACTTGTACGCACTCCGTCGTGTGTGAAATTAGCAAAAAACTCCATTATTATTATTGCTACTACTAAACAATGATTATGCTGGTAGAAATTCGGCAAGTTCACGTATATCAGCCCGGTAACAATTGAATTACGGTATCGGAAACCCTAATCGACATTTTTTCTCCATTCTCCCGTTAACTCATCTGTAATCATAACCTGGGCTATTTCAATTGTTACAGTATTAATTGAATCTTAATTAAAACGGTTCGCAGATACCAGCCCATAAGTAAACAAAATATAAACAGTTATTCCAGTTTTTGTGCGTAACGTACTCCATTGTTCTTTTCAGTACGCAATAAGGAATCACGTTATGGTATGACAAGACTGAGGATTGGTTATTTTGCTAAGAACGGCACATGAAAAGCAAACCTTGCTGGAGTTGAATCATCAAATCTTGATGTTTAATTGTGTGAAAAATCACAAACAAATACAAAAATTTACGCATGTATGGGGATACCTTTGGGATGTTCAGGTCTCTGGGAGGAAGTTTGGGCGGTACGTTATCACCTCTTCCGTTCTTACTTCCGCCAACCAAGGTGTAAGGATCGTCTTCGTCATCCCGTGGGAGTGGGATTTTGGGTCTTTGGCGAATATCTTGCTGACCTCCGCTCACTGGAATTGGGGCTGGCAGAAGAACGCCGTTGGGCACAACCGCCCGATCGCCGTTCTGCCCTTGTGGTGACTTCACTGGAGGGATTCGAGCTACAATTTTGAAAACACATTCAAAATTTACTGAGTAAATTGCATTATAAATATGTGACATTGCGTCAAATACGTATCTGCTAAATGTATTCATTTATGTAGCTACAGTATGTATATGATAAGCACGTGAATAATTGACAACGCATAAGTATTATTAGCTAGGAATTGGAATGTCACTCCTGCATACCTTTCAAAAGGTCCATGGCCACGAGGTTAACGATCATTATCCAACAGGGACAGTCCAACAGTTGTGACTCGTGTTTGACAAATGCGACTGCTGTGACACATTCCATCTCCAACTTTCTCCGATCTGGGTACGCTCTGCGAAGCTCCCGGCTTACGTTCGATGTAAATTTTTTCATGTCAAACAACTGCAAAAGATTGAAGCAAATTATTATTTAAAAATTATAGAATTTCATCATTTCATATTACGAATTGCAATATATTTATGAAGTACACAAGTTGATGCTATGCAAAATATCCTCACATTAACACCAATGAATAAAGCAGAGATAAAAGTAAGGCCGTCTTTCTTTTTTAATTTTACTACCTACGCCCAGAGTAATTAATAGATAAACAATTTAAGTGCCAAAAGTTCAATGTCTGCAAAACAATTAATGCGTTATCCAACCAAAAATCAAATTATCAGTATGGGTCAGTTCCTGACTTAAATCACACCTTCAATTTCCACGTTTGTTTAATACATGGGAAGGTACAGAGAAACTTAGCTACAAGTAAATTATGCATGCTGCGCACCTATTTGTGTATACGTGTTGCTATTAATATATTGGGACGATATAACAAAAGTGAAATTGCCAATCCTTCCTCTCAGAGATAAAGAACTAAATAAGAAGAAATTAAAAGTAGAGATTTCGCATGTTTTTGATCTCGATTTTCTACGCAAAATGTGTGTACCTCACACAATGGTTATTTTTAGCAAGTTTATGTATGTATATGTATAATGTAGTCAGTAAATATAGTTATACATCAAGGTGAAGGCATTCTCATGGGATACATATATTACATAAGTAGTATCTGTCATATCGCAATGTTGAATTCCTTATTACCCAATTTCCTACGCTATGTAATAATTTGTCAAACGTGTGTATTTTATTTCACTTTCTGTAACATGCTTACAAATTATTGCAAACAGTGCAATTTTTGTATCGGTGTATTGTGATAGATATCTCTCATACCCAATGCAAACAAGAATATTTGTTTCATTGGTGCACTCTCGTTTATGATACAGTTTAGGAAACTTGAAGCCATAATAATGTGTATTTAAATGAGGATGGAAGGGAACACAAAGGTTAGTGCCTGCCCTTGAACAATATGATGATGAGTAGGTTTCAACAATGGAAACAATTGAAAGAGTGACGAATCTTGGAGTTCTTTTTGCGATCTTTCCACATCCGGCAGACGAAATTTGGTTGGTCCAAACGTATAGGTCATCATGACTGTGACTTATACATACAGAGGAACAGAAGAGAAGAATCATTACACATTCAAGTAACAAAAAGCAAGAATCGAGTTGTGTCCATCTTTTTTTCATTGAATTAATATTCGATACCCTGCTTGCTCATGTTATGTACTTCAAATCAGAATTAAATTAATCTACCCAATTTTACGCAATCGTAAGTTTTAAGATTTCGAGCAGACCTGATAATGGGTTTCGTAAGCAATTTTAATTTGATCCAGTTTTAATTTATTGCTGGTCGACCTTGACTTGCAAGCGTTGGGTCCCACATATTATGGGTTAGGAAACCACAACACCCTACCAATTTAACCCAATACTACGTAGACGACCGCAAACTTGCAAAAAATGTGTACAGACGAAGTTAATAGAAGATGCTAAGGAGTGTGAACATAAAACATGGAAAGTTAATGGACCGAGATAAAAACGTAGTTGCTGATAAAAGAGGGTCATGAAATAAAAGTTTGCAACTCATTTAAGACATTTGTCTCATTCGATTCTTCTATAATAAGAGAAATAGAAAGAAGACAAAACCGTGCAAAATGTTGATCGTGATCATCAGCCTGACCAACCAGAAGTCGCTCTTTGGTACGATAAATAACAACGCAACGCATGACACTAAATAAATTTTGGCAGCCACACCATCCTGCCACCACCCAGTCAACGCAATTATCCTTCAAATTGGACCAAAAAGTCCAACCTGCTTTTATTGCCTGCTCAACACAATCCAATTTAATGCAAATAAGCGTTTATATGCTCAATTTTTTCCTGGTTTGTCAAGAGCAGCATGTCGCCACATGCAGAACACCTTCCAGCCAAATCATAGTGATGATGCCGAAAGACAGACTATCATTAATGTCGTCAATTGTGTCTCAACCTGCTTATAAAGTTTATGCCTTAAGATGGCCAAAAGTAGGAGAGGAGAGCAAACTATCGATAACTGCCTCCAGTATTGGCTCCAGTTATGCAAATAAACCCAGAAAATCTGCCAAACAAAAGTTATACAATTCCATTCATTTTTCTTAAGCAAAAGGCCACACCCTGGCCAAAAATTTGGTAGATGTAGCTAAAACTCAAACTGCGTGTGTCTGCAACAGATTTTTTACAAGCTGTCCTTTATTCTGGATTTTTGAGACAATGCTTTAATTACAAGCATAAGTTGTATCTGACACTGCCATCGATAAATGTAGAAAGGTGTTCTTTGTATTTGAACGTGACTCTTAAATTAGCATCTTAATCAGGAGCAAAACATTTATCCGCTCACAGAGATAAAAGACACAATCTGATCATCATGATGAAACTGTGTTTTTTCTGTATTTTTCAGCAAACTATTTGATACCATTGATTGTTGGTTGGTGAAGGTCGCCGTTTTTCTCGATTAAGTGGAATTTTATGGACCCTCCCCGATTACTTGCTGTCATCATTTGTATGCAGTTCTGGAGACCTAACTAACTACGTACATACGAACAAATCCTATTTCGTTAGCAGGATGCTATTATTGCATTATAAAAATTTATCCACCCACGTTTTTAATGAAAAGATCCGTTATAACATGGCGTGTATGTTGATCATGGAAAACGAAATATATGCTCTAGATTTCTACGATTAGTAAATACGTGGGAGTGGTGTAGTTACACATCGCAAAATGGCTGATGGTGGAGTTTAATTCCGTGTGCTACATCCGGAAACTAACCAACACCTCGTTGTCTCCCAGCATTTGCTATACATAGGGTAAAACATTGTCTTCAGTTGTTGAATGCAAATTAACAATGAAGGACCACTGGAATCAATTGCCATCCACTTGTGCCAATGTATTATGTTGGGCGTGGCCAATACAGCATCATGTTCTGGTTTGCGCAATCATAAATGCATATTTGGTTATTCATAGTGACATATCATGACACAAACTTGGCAAAATTCCTGCATTCATAATTTTCACTTGTAATCAAGCAAGATACACATTATGACTATGCTTTAATCAATCAAACCTGAACAAGCCCATAAAAACTAATCATGTGTCAACTAATGTTGATCAAGTTGTTGAGCATCCTGGAAAATTGATCTGTACATTTTAAAAAAGCAAGCTTGCAAACTCAGGTAGACGATGCAGAGCAAAAAAATATTATCGAAATTGATTTGACATATCAGGAAGGATCGTGGGGGTACTTTATAGTAAGCATAATTAAATGAAGATATAGTAATATTAGACTTTTAATCACCTATGGATGACAGGATTAGTTGGTTCATACGCAATCGGTACACGAAATACAATTTATTTAACGAGGATGAATCTATAACGTGCGTTCAAAATACTTTTTCTTAACATATTATGAAGTGTATTCCTAATAATTTCCTTCATTTGGGTAGTTAAAGCACTTCATCAACGTCACAACAGGGATCAATATGCGATAACAATCAAATCAACTGCTCATTATTTTGAGATTCCAGCAGTGTTCCAGAGATACGAATGACCTGGATATTGTGGCATTTGAATATATGTGAATTCAATTTTAGTCTTCAATCACAGACAACAAGTTGTGCACACCTGTGAGTAGATAGACCACGTTTACGAAAGACGCCTCCGCATGAACTTTAGTACATCCCTCGTAATCCAAATCGCATCCTGATTTCATCACAAAAAGCGTACGCTATTCAGTTTATCCGTGCCTTACCAAGATTAACAAGCTTGTGAGGTTTTTGCGTTGTTCAAGATTACGTCGGTGGCTCGACAATCGATCAATAATCAAAACCCACACGGATATGAAGGAGGATACCAGCAAATCCAATGAATATGGAAATGACAATGGCGCATCAATATCATCATCCTCCACGCAACCAACCTACCTTATAATCAATTTGGTGTGGAAATTGGTGTTGCATTATCGTGGTGGTTCAGCAAGTCAGTTGACTGACTCAAAGCGACGTACCACTAACACAGTGTCCACAATAGAATTGAATTCAATTTCTTGAAGTAGGAGGACAATAATAGGACAACAATGGAAATAACGCCTAAGTGGTGCCTGCCTGGACCAAAAGTTTGAATGGTACGATCCATTAATCCACTTTGCCGTAATTGAGAATTGACTCCAATTCAAATTTGCTGAACACGATTTCAACTCATCCAAAATTCAAAGACCTTGCATTGTTGAAACTCGATCAAGACTGCATAGATTTCGGTATACGTTATATTTTACTCTAACCGTAACGCTATAATCGACCTGTGACTAATGGGTTTTAAACAAAACGGCATTGTTTGTGGAATAACATTCTTACGCGAGCTCTCCATCCAACCAACGTATACTTTCTTCCTTCTCGTCCTCATAGCTAAGATTTGCAAAATTTCGCATGCAAAAGGACTGTGCTATTAATAATAGAGCTGAATTACTCAATTTATTTAATGGATTACCTCTCTTCTGATCCCAATCTTATTCATGACATGGAGTGACGTTGTCTGTTGCCTCTAAATTTTACGAAGCTATGCCACAGCCTCCCTCCTCCTGTGACGTGATCTTTTATTCGAAGAATTTAAGTCTGCTATAGTTAAACAGTAGTTTACTGCTAAAGAAACTGCTCTGAACGACCTTAACATTAAATTAAGATCGCATTATTCAGAGACCTTATTTCACATTTTCTAAATACAAAGTCTACAAGTTTTTTTTATACCAACTTTGGTAATGCACTTCTCCTACTCAAGTGATTCATGGGTTTGTTAAACAAAGTCTTTGTCTTCACTCTCTCATTCTTCTGTCTGTCATTCATGTCACCTATAAACCTACAGACTGATCGCTTAATTCAGCATCTTTGAAACATGGACTATGTATGTACATAATTGCAGCGATATTGTTTATTAAATGCAAGGATGCTATACTCTTTCCGGGACTTTTTACAGATTCGTTGTCGAATGTCCCTGTTGTGCCAAATCAATTACAAAAATATATCGCTAACTGCAAAAGTTTCGATTTATTTTGCTACACTAGGTCGAAATATTCAGAGAAACTACTGCAAAAAACAAACAAGATCAAGGTGTCATGAATAAATGGAATTTGAACGGACCTTGCATTGCTGAGCATGAATTTATTGCTTTTTAATATAATGTAGTGTCTCATCTGCTTTTATAAAATGTCAATGCTACGAACAGATACATTGCCCTTCTTCTCAAGCAGTAGTTGGATATTTTAAATGACGTGTTTGTTTGGGTCTGTCACCTAATTCAATTCAATTGAAACACAAATCCCTTTGTAGCATCTCTTTAACAAACAGTTTGATAACAGGTAAAACATTTGCCTCCTTAAAGAGAAGAGGAATTGTCAAATAATGGGGCTCAGTCCAAAATTCAACGACTGTCTGCTATGCAAAATACTTGCGTCGCACATAATGAGGTAATCATAAAGCGAATGTCAAAATGTAATAATGCCTGGGTGGACATGATTCCTCACGATTGCAACAATTAGCAATGTGAACAAGAAGACCTATTGTTTGTCACTGGCTGTCATTCACCAACAAATATTTGTCATCATCACCCTCCCACCAACAACTATGATCTATCTCCATTTAAAGAGAATGCCAAATTCCTTATCCCAACCACTTTGCTGTGCTGTCAGCATAAATGAATTCACCGAAAGACAAGGGACTCTTCTGATTGCAGACAAAACCCCAATGACAAATTACAGCAGAACTGCAGCGCGATCCATTATTGTGCATAGCTTGGAAAACAGTTCGGGAGGATGACCGTGACACACTTGCTCTAAATTTACGCGACACGACAACCAACCACAACAAAAACTATGCACTGACAACGCTACACTTGTAGGGTTTCCTCAAAATCGTGTACATGCGTATTTTCATCTTAGGAACCTACCGATATCCATAACTGTCTAAAAGTTAGTCTTATTTTATACCTTGCTAGAAAGGTAGCAGCGGATAATGAAAGAGAAACGTGACAATTTCTACCGTGATAATGTACTTACATATGCAAATATATATGTAAATGTATATAGTTTTTCTAAAGGGAACATTTTATTAGCGCCAGAATTTGAGAGTCGCAAACATTTTTAGATACTGCGTATTTCATCAAATCTGATCTGTGTTTTAAATTATCTTAAAAATTGTCTTAACGCTGTAGAATTTTATGTGTGGATGATATGTACGCACATAAATATGTGTCACTCATGAAGCCGACAATCGTGGTTCCTCATTGGTGTCACTATTGCGTACTATGTCGTGGCTTATCTACTTTATTAAACGTATTTACTTATAAATTTAACAAGACTTCCAATTTACAAATAAATGCATATAGCACACAACTTGGCATAATTTATAAACACATTTTGTTGTAGGGTCTAAAATACTTCAGATTTTACACTTAAAGTTAGCTTGGTGACATGCAAAATGTGAGGTAATAAAGTGGACACGGCCGAAAACTTATTAACTCGTCGAGATTGCGTTATGCATACATGGGTGCAGAATAGGTCTTCATTTTTGTATTCATAATATACGTATGAAAATGTAGTAAAATGCAATAAATGTGTTAGGCTGCTTCTACACTTGGTCCACTGACTGCATGTTACGGCAGATGTGTCGGATGGACACGACGCAAATAAAATAATCAAGAGACACTTGTTGATGTCACTCTAATTTTATCCAATTTGGCTAAATGAACAAAAATCATGCATGCACTATTAATTGCACAATAGCTGAATTGTGTGTGAATGGACTATGCTATATTCATATTTACATGGCTCCAAGTAGGTGACAATGACAACCACGTCTTGTAATAATCATGTTGTTACCGACTAGAAGAAAGAAGAGTGTCGTGGCATGGCGTGGTTGTGAGACACAAATCAGCAGATCGAATCTCAACAAAAGATGTGCCGAGGATCAGTATCGGTAAATATAACCCAAACAATGTGAGGCTGTGTATTATAGCGTAAGGTAATAATATCAAACCAAAGACGTATGCATATTCAATGCACAGTAGACAGGTATCAATCCCAGATCTATACATGTATAACGTATCAACTATGCATGCAGTTTTGTGCATATCGTACCAAAGAACTTTCGCCTTTTTGCTGGCTATCTATTGTACTAATAAACAGGAAAATCGATCTTTTGAAGATCAGTTTAAATTACTAATAAATTTGAAGGAAAAAGTGGAAATTCAAAAGAAACTATTGTGTACTTGGCTACAGTGTGGGATAACAGGAGGCTCATTAGTATACGATATCGTCACAAAGTACACAGAGTCGTTGGTTTGTCACTCATGTGTCGTTACTATTTACGCTTTGTTGATGAATGATGAGGAGTAATCATGATAATGACAATTTAATGAATGACGAAAGTGAGAGCGTAATATTCATTTTGTTTTTGCATCTGCTACTTATGCAGCCAGGCCCATCGCTGATTTTACATATTTGTCAACATATGCAAAATGCAATAATAGTGAGGGAAACTTTATTGGTATTTTGCTAACCTTGAGCGGTTTGTCCAATTCAAGAGCACCATTAACCAGTTTTGAAGCATCGTTGGCAATCGCGTTCTCATCAGCACACGCCTGAAATATATGCCATAACTTTTAAAATTCTAGAAAAATATAACAATGTTAGCCTGATTTTCGAAAATATGAATGTTGAATGAAATGCAGCGAAACTTTCAGCTGCATAGACGTAAGATATGTTTAAATATGTATGCTTGTACCTTAACATAGACTGGATTTTTTGAAACTCGTTTGATCAGAATATTTCCGGCGTCGTCCATTTTGATTTTGATCCCATGGCCTACATGTCTTAAAATATCTTCCGTTTTACTGTCTCTCATGGGATTTTCAAACCCATTGAGCTGAAAATTAGGAATAATTAAAAAATTGGAATTGAGTAATTTAATGTTACATATATGTAAAACTCTTCTTGAAATAAGCTGCTCGATTATATGTAGAGCAAAAGTTACAAGCTCCTTTTATTCAGTGGAGTTAGAAAATTTTATAACAATGTAAAAGGACTCAACCCCAATTCGAAATCCATCAAATCCGTCATCTGACCCATTCACGGTGAGCACTGGAGCACGAGCATAAGCCTGAAAATACATGTATTGCACTGTTACATAAGGTTATTAATTTATGATTCTGAATATTTGTACGAAACTCACCTTTGCAACTCGACGATTTCTCTCGAATATTATGACCTAGAAGTATGCAGGATGATTGTTAAAAATATATAAAATGTACGAATGTAAAAGAAAGAAATGGAAGATAAAGTAATTTCTGTGAAAAAATTGTACCTTTGACCAAATTTCATCGTCGATTTGTTCCCATTTGTCAAGAACCTGCAGAAACATTTAAAACTTTTAAGTACCTGGAATACCTACTGAAGTTCAACATACGATGTATTTTCTGTTTACTAAACACGGGTCAACAGTATCCATATTTTAATTTTACTTGTGTGCAAAAATTATCAAATAATACGAATACCCGACAAACTGCAGTTTTTTCTTAGTAATTTAATTATGTGCAACATACCGCTATCCATTTTTTCATAACGATACAAATTTTAATGGATTTTATAACGCGTGTCCAAAATCAAGTGGACATAGGCCGGGTTAGGAACTCACCTCTTGAATGTGATCCTGAAATTTAAAAAATCAATTAATCTCAATCTCAAATCATCATCATTTCGTTGAGTACAAGCAATTTAGAAGCAATTTACCAGCGCAATACTGAGTTAGTTTCACCAATGAATTAGCTTATGATAGTATTAGTTATTATGATCATTTTTTCATATGTTCCTGTTATGCAACGAATGAGTGTGCTGTGCACAATATTTATTTGCGGACGCGTATTTATCTTACAGTTTTAATCTTGGAAATAAAGTCAAGGTTCAAATCTACAGTGCCAGTGACTCAATTATTACTAGTTAAAAAAACTCCGCTACTGGCAACAATTTAATTTCCAAATCCTTACTCAAGGTGAAAGCAGTCAAAATCTGGGAAATGAGACGGGTACGAGGGTGGGATGAGCATATCGCAGGTTGTGGACATCTCTGAATACATGAATATGATGGGAAATGGAGGACTGTCATTTGCAACTGCAACACTTTGGTAAATACAATATAGTCTTAACCTGGTTAGCTTATTTTAATATTCGTAAACTGTCGGTGTCTATTCTGTATTCTGCATAAAGTTGCCAAATGAGGAAGAGTTATGCTTCAAGCACAAACCTTTATACGCAGCCAAGCTTCAGCACGTTTGAATTGAAAAATAAACAAACAGTACTTGAAATCTAGAGCAGTTTTCAATATCAGTTTGAGGCAGAATTTTGCCACTTTCTGCACACGAGGAGGAAGAAACATTATTTTCGTTGGTGGTGTTGTCACAAATAAAGCTGTTTTCTCCAACAACGCTTTTCAAGAAATGCCTTTTACGTGCAACCCTGAATGGATTTGTTTCACGCATGAAATTAAATACGATTATGACGAGTCTCATCATGAGTTTGAATTTTTACAATTTGTCAGCTGTACACTTGTGTAGTTGCATTACAGCCATTACATTTTATCATACGTAGATTTTGAAATAATTTATTATTATTGTGGAATGTACATATATGAGAAATCTAGAATCTATTTCCAATCTATTAGCAAAATTGTCAGAATCCATGTCAGGGCCTTTCAATTCGAAAAGCTTGTTTTTTCGTGGAAAAATGCTCAAGTGTGGTAGCTTTTTGACACCCCATAAGGAATTATGTCAGCCACAAACCAGCCTTAAAGTTATCTATTTGTTACGCTTCCCCATATCAATCGCTTTCGCCACGATGTGTGCTTAATAATGCTGTTTCCAATTTGCCCTTTGTACTTCGGCTTCTCTACGTTCGTTCGTGTAATGCTATCTTGATTGTACATAAACATTGATCTTGGATTTAACAACTTCTGTCGATGTACAAAAAGTTACGCTACAATACGCCACAATTCTGATCGAGTCACGGGTTCCTTGTTTTTAAAAAAATCCTTCGCCCTATGAAACGGATTATTTTTTTTAGATATCTTTAATCTCTGTGTTGTTAGCATTGCAATCAGAGTTTTGTCTGAATAAATCAGAAACCAAATCGTTCGTTTTCAATGAAAACGTTAACGTTTTTGAACTTATTGAACGCCATTGGATTATATCACACAACGTCGGATTTGTGGTTATGTGAAGCCAGTCATAAGCGTAGAAATATTATCGAGTTTCTGGTTTTCTTCTCGTATCTTTATACACAGTTTCGAATGGTCACCACCTTCCTGGTTCCCAAACCGTATTTAATGTTTACGTCTTTGTGTCAGTTATGTGGCTACTCAAATTTGTCACCGCAAATGAAAGGTTATCTACTGAAGGATGTATGAAAAATAACAACAAGAGCAATTCTTGCATGACGTATTTAAATCTTTGACATCAATTTCAAAGTACGAAATCGAGACGAGATAATAAGTTTTGTTTACACTATGCACTTATTTCATACGCAATTATTCAACAGGGCAAATTAACCTGTTACGATATATAGATCAATAGTTGCACATCAATTTTTAAAATCCATGGACATCACTCGAACTAACAAGATACACGAGAAAATTCGTATTTATGCCTATACATAAATGTCTTGCTGCGAGATGAACAATATGTAATGCGTATTTGTTGTCTTGTGTTGAGTTAATCAACTTCAAAGTGTGATTCCTCAAATGTACATAGGACCAAGAAGAAGAAGAAGTTGCGGAATTGTTGTACTACTTGTTCTCGTTCAAACGAAACGAAGGATTTTAAAATTTTGTCATCCCATTGTATGACAAGGATGAAATAGTGTTGGTTAGTTGGTGCACGATTACAGGAGATTCATAAAGTCGCGTCACGACGGTAATTTCTACGAGGGACCTTTGACTGCATAACCAGGCCGTATAGATTATGTTATTAACTGCTATTAAGCACATTAAGCCGACTAATTTAGACAATACGTAATAATGAACGTACGCACATGCATAAAAATTAATGGTGCTCGCATTTGTTCCATTTTAAATATAAATGTAGTCATGTGGTGAAAATGACACATTTAGATGTTTGATAGCATTGAATGTTACATTGTCAAAATTTTTGCAAGAATTGAGAAATTAGAAATATCGAAACCAAATATTTATTGACGAGGAAAGTGCCGTCTGCCAATCACCATTAATTGTTGACCAACAAAAGATGCGGAAATGACGAGCGTCACATTAATGTACGATTCAAGTGTAACCAAATATCTAATCGATTAGTTGTAACCAAACCAAACTATTAGGATCACAGACTCACATTAAGCACGTCCAAATTAGATGTTTAGCAGTGCCATTAGCTTGTGAGTTATTGTTCCTACGTTTCACAAGTCTTATTACAGGTCCATCTTCAGTTATTTATTGAATAGAGATTCGATTGCGATTTTAATCCGATTGCCTAATTGAGCCAACAACACCGCAAGATCTGCTCACACATATTACGTACTTATTGTAGAATGTGTTTGGCTTAAACTCAATTTTATGTTTTGACACTTTCTAATTTCTACGTATTTTTCCATTATAACATCAATTCAGATTCGTCCCTATAGCTGACTTATGCGTTCCTGCAAAAATATGCAACTGTAATGGGTGCAGTCGCCTCGTTATAATGATCTAAATAACATTTTTGAGATTCATGAGGAATCTCACAAAGTCGTACATAATCTATGCACATATAAAATAACGTAACCCAAAGTTTGACAATTTCCTTTTCTCCTAATGATTTAAAGAGTTCGAAATGTGCGGAGGCACAAATAGCAAATGGAAACACTCATTTGAACTAATGATCTAATCGGATAAAAGTATTCTTTGTATATTTATAAAAAACTAACAAAAATTTGAAGTCTACCGATCGAAGAGAAATCTGTGTCTACATACATGCACCCAACCTAAATTAAAACGCATTGAAATTCATCAGCAACAATTTGTAGCGGAATTTGCTATCTAATAAAAAACAAATTAGCAAATCAAGTCACACCTGGGCCTACGCAAAACGTAAATCAAAATTCGGAAATGAATTTGATTCAATGCAAACTGCTCTTAATTCATATCGAATCACTCCACGTAAATCTAAATTCAATCTAATCAAACTAAAGACAGATTCAAGTACATGCATACATCAGACATCAGAGGGTTGAATTAAAACTGTTTGTCGAAAAATAGCAACAGAGAGCAAGTATGAATAGAGGAAAGTCGTAAAAATGGAACCAACAACAGCGAGGTGCTTCTACTCGCACTGTTAAATACGTGGTTACAGTGTGTGTACATTGTCTGAAGAGACACAATAGAGAGTTAGAGATTCCTTGTACTCTGACTGTAGACTGTACTGTGGACTCTAGATGATGACGTCATCAGCTTTTTGTACTAATTCTACAGTCTACAGTAGACAAATTGAAACACGGGCTCAGTTTGTACTACTGTGGAAAATCAAGCGTTGGCAAGTAGGATATCTCTTGAACGCCTCAATATAATCTAACGCCGTTTTCGCTATTTCGCTACTAATTTTTGACCCTAGGTCGATTTCGAAAATGGGCTCCCTGAGGTCAAGGTCAAGGTCACCTTGGCATGAAGTAAACGCAAAGTTCTACCTTAATTTTCATATGCGGTGTCATTTTAAAGGAAATTTCACCGAGAATTCATTGTCGTCAATACTTTTGACCTCCGACCAACCCATGACCGAGAGGACGAGGTCAAAGGTCAAAATTTAAGTGTCGAATGTTTTAGACTTCGGCTTGGGCGAGAATTTCAGAAATCGATACAGTTTTAACGTACGAAGACCCCGTGACCACGTCAAAGGTCAAAAATGTTGAATTATTATTTGGACCGTTGCAGTCGTGTTTAGTTTGAGGCGGGGAGTTCATAAATCACTATCATTTCGGCTTACATCAGCCTGGTGACTGTTGTAAACGAGGTCAAAGGTCAAAAATGTCGAATTTGTAGTTTTGAACATTTTATACACACTTTGTGGGAGGGGGTTCATTTCGTATATCATGAGTTGATTTGTCTCAATTTTTGACGCATCTATTTCGCGGAGTTTTACAATACAATTTTTCAGAGTACAATATAATGGAAATTCTCTAGGTCTTTTGAATTTTGTACTAATTTTTGTATTGTACTGTAGTCACAGTACAGTACAAGTAAAAATACAAAAAATCTCTAAGTCTCTAATATAATAAGATAACATTCTTGCTCGCATAATGAACTACTTTGTCTTACTTATTCATCATTATTGGCATTATTATTATTGGCATGGCGAAATAAGCAGGACTTGTTTAAATATTCACCTGTTGTCTGTTTCCTCACTCGCTGATTTGCGAATTTAGACTCAACTTGATTAACTTTGATTTCTCCCCCTCACAAATTACTCGTTGATTGCTGAACAGAATTTGTGTTGTGTCGATGACTCAATGTCTGATCTGAATTCTGGTGCCTAGGACAAGTTGTGTTTGATGAGAAAGTCAATTAATCTTAACTGAGTGACAGAAAAGGTGGATTCGATTAAATTTGAATATTTGAAACTTATACGTATACGTGTGCCACAAAAAATTCGATATACTTTTTTGCAATCAGGTAGAA